TTATTTATTTATTTATTTATTTATTTATTTATTTATTTATTTATTTATTTATTTATTTATTTATTTATTTATTTATTTATTTATTTATTTATTTTATTTAAATAACTATAATATTACTATTTATATACAAGATTCTTATTTTCATATAGCACTTGCCAGTATTACTTCTTACAGCTATAATTATAATCAACACAATGGATCAAATATATCAGCCCAATGAAAACTCTATATTTTCTCCCATTGCATTATATTTCCGAGTTAATGAATTTTCTTCTGAAAGGAAGGGTAAGAAAACCATGATCGGCCAGAATGGCTGGCTTGAAATCACAGAGCGCTCTAGTTGTAATAGCAACAAGCAAACGCCACAAAAGAAGATGAGTATTTTAGATGGCATCAGAAAAATTGCCAAAGATATAGTGAGTTAAAAGTTTTATCGCATAAGTTAGAGAAGGGACTGATAGGAGGAGACTGAGGTTCACCAAAGCCAACGAATGCAGCCTGTTGCAAAAGGATCAATGGAGCTACATGGGGCTGTTTCACTTGACCCTCGAGAGCAGAGTCTTTTATATTGCGAACTGGAATTCCATCTTACAACGGCTTTAAATGAATATATTAGCAACGAGCTTGAGAAAGGCCATCTCTCTCCTGACAACCTGAAGAAAATCTCAGATGCGTGGCGCCAAAGGGGCTATCCTAGAGTAGTAGGGTTCAGATACGATTTAGAGACACAGCTTGATCTCGTCAGTCTTCATATCAACGAGTTTAGCTTCCATGGCCGTCGACAAGGTAACGCTGCTGAGATCAACCGTTTGCTGAACGAGATGAAAATGAATGCGCGCAACATGCGTGTGCGGACATATTGTCAATTGGACTCGACTATTGCCAAACACCTAATTGACTCGCAGTCACTGTTTAACTTGATTAACGCATCAGCAAGTCAGCAAACCGCCCTTGCAGAAATCGCACAATTCTATAAGCTGGTCATGAACTAATTAGCTGATAAAATAATGTATAATGTTATACATTGTTTATGAGTTCAAATACAGAATATGGAGCATATGGTACTAGTATATGGAGTAAGTATATCATTGGCAAATGCAGCTGTGCATGTCAGATGTATGTCCGCAATTAGTTTTTTTAGCCTTTCTTTGGAGAAGGGAAAAAAAAAATGTTTATGTAAGATTTTCTACCTACCAACCATATACTAAGTCTAAGCATGTACAAACTTATCTCATGCTAATTTATGGGGCGCTCTTCGGTTTTTTCTCAATCTCTGTGCTTGAAATATCATGGCGAAGACAGAAGGATGTCTAGGGTCGCCGGCCCTGGACGATATGGTTATGGGGGTATGTGTACTTATGCTAGGATCTGACTAGATATCGTGCCCTGCAATAGCCCTACTTAATTGCGATTTCCACGGTGTCTTCGTAGAGTTAGTACTAATGACATAGCAGACAAATAACAGCAGCATTGCCTCCAAACGCAGTGTTGAGCGTCTGTACTATGGAAATGAGCCTTCTTTCTTCCGTTACTTTGTTCCAAAGTTCCAAAGGAGGGCCCCTCTCATCAATAGAGGATATTGGCTGCGTCTCCGGGCGATTGATGTCATAGTGCAAAAATTTCTGTCCAAAGCGACGACAGGGAAAAAGGTCGTCATCAATCTTGGTTGTGGGAGGTAAGGGACTGCGTATTGTATAAATCCTCGTTGTAATAGCAAAGTCTTACAAGCCCAAGTGATGTCTTGCCCTGGCAATGCCATGCTCGTTATAAAGATCTAGGCAACGATGTCCTCTTTATCGACATCGATTATCCTGATCTCATCCGGAAGAAACGGGCCATAGTTTTGCAAACTCCAGAACTCCGAGATCTTCTTGGAAATGACTTTACCGTAGGTGAAGGTAAAGATGGGCTGCTGCTGCGCAGTAACAGGTATTGCCAGCTTGGGTGTGATCTTCGTCAACTCGACCAACTACGCGATGTCTTGAAGACGGTTATTGATCTACCCGAGTGTGCTATTCTTTTCGTGGCCGAAGTTTCAATTACTTATATGGACACTCAGTCTGCCGATTCTCTGATTCATTGGGGAAGCACTGTTGGGCGAGGTTTGTCTGCGCATTCTGATTTTACCATAGCCTGCGCCAAATTCATTCCGCAATGATTCTCCTACCCTTTCAGATGTTTCACTTTGCCATTGAGAGTGCCTGATGCTAATTTATATATAGAAAACGATTTCTGTCTTTTGGAGCAGATATTGCCTTTTGGAAAAAGCCATCCATTTGCCCAGCAGATGCTCAGTCATTTTGAGAAGCTGAGCACTCCTTTGCGCTCTATTGAAGTATATCCTACAGTCGAGAGCCAAATTGGCCGATTTCAAGAACGCGGCTGGTCTTTTGTGGAAATCAAGGACCTATGGCAGACATGGTCAAGTGAACAGTTCGTTACTGACTCAGAGCGAATTGCCCTTGACAATGTCGAACCCTTCGACGAATGGGAGGAGTTCATACTCTTCGCACGGCATTACTTTGTACTCCATGCCTCTACTAGTCCCAACCAGCGTTCTTCCTTAAAGGGACCGTCCTCAATATGGAGCATGGGTCAGAAGAAGCCCGCAGGACTACGTGTTGAAATGATCGGTAGATCTTCCCCGAAAACGACCAGACGACGATTTGGAAATATTATGATATCGAGCAATGCATTCGGACAACGATTCGCTCTGAATTTGCTGGGGATGAGTCTCAATAGCAGAGAACCCACCTACGATATCTTTTCTCTCGATGGCGAACAGCAGCCCCCCCAGCTGCCATCTTCCGGGCCGCCTGCTCGGATGTGCTTCACTTTGACAGACTTAGGAGATTACGGCATCATGTTAGTTGGTGGTCGTGCATCCCCTGCTTGTGCTTTATCCGACTGTTGGCTCTTTGAAGGAGGTACTAGCCCACGCTGGCGGCAAATGCCACGACTACCAACCCCTTTATTTAGGCATTCTGCGGTTCGGCTGGGAAACTCGTCACTCCTCCTGATTTTCGGAGGGAAGAAAAGTTCATCGAAACTGTCAGACGAAATCTTCCTATTTAGCCCTGACAAAGCTTGTTGGCAAACCTGCAAGGTCGTAGGATCCGCTCCCGACCCCTGCTTTGGATCAGTTGCTTTCAATGGAATCTCTCCTTCAGACCAGCCGGGGACTTTTCGTGGAATGCTGGCTGGAGGTATGTCTCAAAATGGGTGTATCAATACTAAGCAGTACACATGGCAAATAAATGCCTTTGATGCCCAAGTATGTTTCGCTCCTCTCTGGACTTACGGGCTCAGCAGCTCTAAAAAGCCCTACATGCTTAATTGTTCGTGCTAACGATTTGGTTATTGCGCTAGCCGACCATTTCATTCTCTGCTCTCTCATGCAACGACTCCGATGGACGACTCGTATCATCATTTGGTGCTCAAGTCGTTGATTTAGGGGCCTCCGTAATAATTTGCGGTGGAATGGGGGCAGAACCTTCCCTACACGGCCAGACTATCACAGCTATCAGGCCTTCTGTTGGTGGCTTTGACGTTACAAGCTTTTCAACTTCGAACGATGACAAACACATGCCATTTATGATTGGATCGTCGATTATACCCTGTGATGATTCCCTTTTGGTGATGGGTGGGGGAGCGACTTGCTTCTCCATGGGAACCTTTTGGGAAACGGGCATTTATAAAGTTCATATGCCCGATCATATTCTGGACTCCCTTTATCGCACATCACGCCCTAGTGCCTCGTCTAAATCCGCGCCTGGTCTTCTTGGGAGTCGAAAATTTTCAACTACTTCTGCTACTACGCCTTCGGAGGATGTCAGAAGTTTGCATCGAGGAGAGCATGGAATACAAATTACACCTGTGCCTCGAATACAGCTTGAATCGGCTGAGCAATTCCAAAAGATCCTGCGTGACGGAAAACCCGTCATTTTCAAGAGCTGCAACATAGGACACTGCCAAAGCAAATGGTCTCCCGAGTTCTTGGTGAGCCAAATCGGTGCAAATGAGAAGGTATGTCGACATGAATTTGGAAATCTTTAGGACCAGCAATGAACAGCCGACTGATTTACAGTAGTTTGTTATACATGAATCCCGTGAAGACAAAGGAATGATGGATTTCAATAGCAAAAATTTTGCGTATGTAACAGACTCATTCGGGAGCATCATGAATAAGCTACAATCTGGGGCTAGAGTTTATCTACGAGCTTTATCCCGTAATAAGCCATCTGAAATGCCAGCCAATCTGGAAGAAGATTTCCCACGTTTGGCAGAAGACTTTACTCTACCACCAGAAATGGCTTATATCAAGGACCGTCTTTTCAGTTCTGTGTTGAGATTGTCTGGACGAGTAAATATGTGGCTACACTATGATGTCAGTTCATAACTCCTTACTATGACAGCTTGCTCGTTATCCCTTGTTGGTAAATAGGCTAACAAGATATCGCACTCTCATCACAGGTCATGGCAAACGTTTATGCGCAGGTAACGGGGGTTAGGAAAATGATCTTATTCCCCCCCAGCGACGTAAAATACTTGTCTTTCGCACCTGGTGCTTCTAGCTCCAGTATAGACGTTTTTCAGGGGCTGGAGGCTTCAGCGGCCTCGCTTCACGGGACACATCCTCAAGAAGCAGTAATCCACCCAGGCGACGTCTTATTGCTACCTGCTCTATGGCTTCATACAGCTGCTCCAATGTCCGACATGAGCACTGCAGTGAATGTCTTCTTCCGTGACCTAGAGCAGCAAGAGCATTACGCCTCTGGACGAGATGTCTATGGAAACAAAGATCTCGAGGCATATGAGAAGGGGAGACAAGCTGTTGCTCGGATTGCGAAGACTTTGCGGCCGTTGCCGCCTGCTGCGAAGGAGTTTTATCTCTCTCGAATCGTGGACGAACTGCGGCTGGCTTTGGAGGAGTAGAGCAAGGCCGTTTCTAAGTAGGCAGAATTCAGCGTTGGGTGGTAGGTAAATTACACACCTTCTCTGAATGGCATATGACTCAAGCACCGGCTTTACATATTGATGTTGGAATAGCGCAGGCCTGCGCGCACATGTGCTAGATATATTTCCCCCTCTCCTCATTCTACAAGCCATTCTTCGATATTTACTCCGATGCCTCTCCCTATGCCGCGTACAATCTCCCATCCAATATTTATCCTCCACTTACCAGATCTGTCCATAATATCTCCGGCTCCAACTCGTATAAGTAATCTCAGACTCGCTAGAGTGGCTAAGCCCATACCGATATCGCCATCTACGCCTGACAAGACGGCCGATGGAACCCATTCTGTTCTTACGGCATCAAATATCGCCAATAGACGTTCCAAGAGAAATGCATGGGCTCCGAGTAATTTGCGCGATATTTTACGCTGTTTATTTCGATGATTGGCCCGAAAAGAGTTGGGACCAGCACGCCGGCGCTTGCGACCGCTATAATGGGTAGAGAATAGGGTCAAATCGTGACGGATAGTGTTATGAGACGCAATGTACGCCGAGAGCAAAAGCACTCTAGCGGTAGTCGGTAGCAAGCCAGTCAGACCTGCGAGAGGTTGTGAAACTAAAGTAGTTGATGCCAGTGATGATTCCAAGTGTCGAATTGAAGGCTGCTTGCCGTGATCGATGCTTATTCTAGTTGTTGAGACTCGGGGCGAGACTATCTTGGGATTTAGGAACGCCTCATCCTGAAAGGAGGGTCTAGCGGCGATGAGAAGCTTTGAGAATTGGTGAGACGTGTTTGTTCCCGCAACAATGGGCGCTATAAACCGCGGCCAAAGAGTATAGCAACTGTTTTTGAAGGAAGGCAACGACCGGCCAGCGGACTGAGCAAGGGAGTCATAGACTGCAGCACAGAATCTTGTCCATAGATTGGCTTCGTTTGGATCTAAAGTTGATTCTTGTACATCCTCGGCTGCGCTTGTCGTTTTACGGGTATGAGATGGAGGTTCTTTTGACAAGATGTTGATTAATTCGGATTTATTGTATGGAGGGAAGTAGAGATACGAAGTTGGACAAGCTCGAAGAAATCCAGCTGGCGGAGTCGTAACAATGAAAATGCATGTAAGGCATGAAATCTACCGGTTTCCTATTAGTGGTTGCTCCTATGCCGCGTCGTTCTCATAATTCAGAATATTCCCGACTTACAGTTTCACATAACCTCCCTAACGCCGGCGTCAAGGTTGGCGGTGCGTCCCTTTGCTTGTCCATACCATCTAATACCAATACAAAATGCCTTAAACCATCTTTTATCCGAGGCTGGTTGAATATCGAGCTGAGCGAGGCAGCAAGCTGGGCTAACGTCTCGCATCGTTGCGGCGAATTCTCGCTATCTTCGGTGCCATCCCATGCGCTAAGTGCACTGGATACTGCAACGACGATACTCTCGAAGAAGTGACGCGCAGAAATGCACCGAGCAACGTTAACAGTTGCGTAAACGAGCGCGGTAGCACGACTACCTGCGGCTCCATCATCTGTTCCATCACCCTGTGCTAATCGTGCAAGCAGCTGGGTCGTAACGCTGGATTTCCCCGTCGCTTCGGAGCCATGTATGACAAGGTTTCGACAAGGCGCGGCGTCTGTCTGGTTTGTATATATTATTAGCGGCAGATTGCTTTGCTACGAGAAGCGGGATGCGCCGTACATGAAGCAAAGCGGCAAGCGAACGTATTTGGTGATCTCTGCCGGGAAATTGACCGAGTAGAGGAGCCAGGCTTGGCTCGTCTGGAAGCTTGAAAATGTTTGACGCCATTGAGACGCGCCCTAGAGGGAGTGAAGGGCAATGGGAATGTCGACTGGTGTGGAAGTAGAGTTGCGAATGCTAAGGCTTAGGGCAGCCCAAACAAGCAACATCAGGATTAGAACGTGAATTCATTTCTTAAGCGTGGCAGAGCATTCATCAATTGCGTCGCACTTTGTACCTATGTATGCAAGACACGCTTGCAAGGGAGGCGCGCTAACTCTTTAGTAAGCTCGGCTGCAAGGAATATAAGGCAGATACTTTAGTAGGTACTGCAAATACACCATCTGCATGAGATTTGTATTTTATATTGTGTATCGTGGCATATTTGAAAGATATTTTTACATACATCTACCTTTAACTCAAATCAGTATAAGTACAGTCAATAATATTCATTGGGCTTTTCTTAAACAATTTGTCAAGTTGATGCATCGATACCTTTTTCCCGCCTTGTACGTTTTAAGCTTCCCACTTTGCTTGGATCGCTAGATCGGTCAAGTGGATTTGCCCCACCGCGTGAGCTATATATATCTTCTGCGCGGCTATGAGCTACGAATTATCAGGGCACCTTGACATCATCCATGTCACTCTGCAGGCCGGACAAGATATGTGAGGCACGATGACTGAATATGGCCGGATAGATCCGTTTTCGTTCGCAGCCTCTAGGGATATCGAGTCCCCAGTTAGCATTCGAATGTCAGATACTTCCTCCTGAGCTTGGACGTTGGTGACCTAGCTAACCGCCCCCCTCAGCATTGGCATAGATGGAGACGAGCGTCCTGCCAGGTATTCGACACTCCTCGACAAACCGAACGTCCGCCACATTGGCTCAAATACTAGGTGCGCCGTGCGATGATGCGCAGCGATAGGGAATATAGATTTCTAATGTCTGGAGACACAGCCCTTCCCCCGAACTCTACGTTACAGTGCAGGTCTGGGCTGGATCCAAGGCCTTGACGGTGCCGATCCAGACATCATACAAATCTCCTCGTCTGGAGCGAAGGCATGTGTATCGTCAACAACTGTAGAAGATAACATGTATAAAACTAACCGCACAATCTAATCCCTCAGATGGAACGAGTGGTTGCGGTTACCTATTTCATACAAGTCCATCCCGGTTAACTCCCGTCTGGCCATCACTATATGGGATCTTTCGCCAGATCAAGGCATAAATGATGTCTCTCATGCTACTCCTTTCGGAGGCACTACTCTTTCCTTGTTTGGCGACGATAACCAAATCATAAGGGGTCGCCAGAAGTGTTACATTCATAGACATAAGCACGCAGATGGGACCGACGATACGACCACGCCCGCCATCGTCGGAAGCAATGGCAAAGGAGTGCCACAGCTGGCTAGCTATGCGGAAGAGCTAGAGAGAATGGAGAGTCTGTTTAAGAAGCACGAAATGGGCGAGATTCCGCGAGTAGATTGGCTTGACCAGATGGTGTTTAGAGGGTTTGAGAAGAAGGGGCTGCATGCCGCCAAGCTATCAACGAAATTACGCCAGCAGGATCGCACTGCGAATAAAAATGACCTCGAAAAGACGACCGATATTCCAAACCACCATGGCGACACGCCTGATCCTTATACGTGCGTTCTGAACGTGGAGCTGCCGCGATTTGATTTTCCAGTTGTCTTTGCAGATCACGAGTATGATCCTCCCCCAATATCGGCTCTACAGCCTTTATCTGCTTCGCAAATGGCAGCTCAAAGGCAACCCGAAGTTCATTTTGGTCCTGGAATCAACGCCATTGGCGAGAGCTCAGCCGATATTGGGTCACGCCTTGTAATGATCTATGACCCTGAAGTAGGTCAAAGGGATAACCCGGCTGAAGCGAAACACCGCCGCCTTTTCCGAAGTTCTCACCGACACGGCATCCTCGATAGAGATTTAAAACCAAACGCAAAAGTCCGAGATGAACTGAATGTCATCATGTCCTATCCGCCAACACATATTTTAACGCCAGAAGAGGCAGACCTTGTCTGGAAATTTAGATATCATCTAACCAAGGATAAGCGAGGTTTGGCGAAGTTTGTCAAGTCAGTCAATTGGAATGATCAGAGCGAATTGAAGCAAGCAATTCAAGTTTTGAGTCGCTGGACCGAAATCGATGTGGATGATGCACTTGGCATGCTAGGGCCATCTTTCGATAACCCCACTGTTCGATCATATGCCGTCAATCGATTGCGAAAGGCTGATGATCATGAGCTACTGCTGTACTTGCTTCAGCTTGTACAAGCACTTAAATATGAGCACATGTCCGTTGACTCGAACGAAGAAAACATTCAAGATTCACCGCTGGCACAATTCCTGATTCAACGCGCTGCGGCGAATTTCATGCTAGGAAACTATTTCCATTGGTATCTCATGGTTGAGTGCGACGACTATAGCCCTGAGCAAGATGTTCGCAATCGAGAAATATATCGAAAAGTGGCATATGAATTCATGACAGAGCTAATCAAGCAGCCAGAAGGCAACGAGTTTCGGAAGACCCTCCTGAGGCAGGCTGAGCTCCTTGCCATCTTGTCAAGGATTGCAAATGACATCAAGCTATCAAGCGAATCAATCGCCAAAAAAACAGACCGAGTCAAAACGTTTTTTGGAGATCCAAAGAATGAACTCATCAGCATTGATCCACCACTGGCAATGCCACTTGATCCTTCCATCAAAATCACCGGTATTATACCAGATCAAGTCACAGTCTTCAAATCCTCGCTGAATCCAATAAAATGCACGTTCAGAACTACAACAGGAAGTCAGTATCCTATAATCTTCAAGCTCGGTGATGACTTAAGACAAGATCAACTAGTCATTCAAATTATTACCCTGATGGACCAGCTACTTCAGAAGGAAAACCTTGATCTCAAACTATCACCCTATAAAATCCTTGCAACAAGTACTACAGCGGGTGCCTCTCAATTTGTCCAGTCGCAAAGCCTGTCCAGTATTGTCAGCAAATTCAAGAATAACCCAGCCTTGGCTTATCTCAAACATCACAATCCAGACGACCGACAACCCCTTGGCGTGCGTCAAGACACGCTTGATACATATGTTAGATCCTGTGCAGGATACTGTGTAATCACCTATATTCTTGGAGTTGGCGACCGGCATCTTGACAACCTTTTGCTAGCACCAGACGGCCATTTCTTCCATGCTGATTTTGGTTACATCCTTGGTCGGGATCCTAAACCATTCGCCCCTGTCATGAAACTCTCCAAGGAGATGGTAGACTGCATGGGCGGAGTACAGTCAGAACATTACCGACAGTTCAAGCAATATTGCTTTTTAGCCTATACTGCGTTACGAAAATCGTCAAACCTGATTCTCAACTTGTTTAGTCTCATGATTCACGCCAACATTCCGGATATTAGGCTAGAACCAGACAAAGCTGTGCTGAAAGTTAGAGAGAGGTTTCATCTTGAGATGGGAGAAGAAGAAGCGATTCTTTACTTTGAAAGAGTAATTGAGGATACATTAACGGCTTTTGCGCCTGTTGTTATTGATAAATTGCATGAGTGGGCACAGGCTCTTAGGGCTTAATGCAAATAATAAAGAGAAGAAATACATGATTAAAAGCATATGAACATGTAGGGGGATATGCGACGTAACATATATTCAACAAGCGTATTATTACACTAATAAGCATATCGCTTCATTCTATCGAAGCCTTTCAGCATGCTGCGGGGAAAGAGAGCGCCCAGTTCTAGTATGACGCGGATCTAGCCACACAATTTGACGAACCCCAAGTCGGATTTATGCAGCGCGGCCAAACAGCCGTACTCGTATCATAACCCTTCCCAAAGCGCCCAGTCTATTTCTTCCTACAGCCTTCGTTTACTCGCCCTTAAGCTTGTCCTGGGTGACAGTGAATGCCATCTCCAAGAGCTCCTGCTCTTCCTGCTTGTGTGTGTTCTTCAAACCAGTTGCCACAGAGGCAGAGGGGTTACGGCCAGCATACATAACGTGCTTGCGGTCGTGGTATTGGGTCTGGTTCAGCAGAGTCTCAATTCGCGGCTGTGTGAAGCTCCAGGCTCCGGCATTGAGAGGCTCTTCCTGTGCCCAAACAATAGTCTTGGCATTAGGATACATGTCTAGGTTCTCCTTCAGCTGCTGCCAAGGGAAGGGATTCAGCTGCTCGATACGGGTCAAGGCGACGTTGTCAATCTTGTTATCAGCGCGGTGCTTGTGCAGACTGGCCCAAACCTGACCTGTGCAAAGAATGACTCGGTCAATCTCTTCAGGAGCCTTGATAGCCCCAGTCTGGTGCTCAGGATCGGGGATAATCCACTGGAACCCAGCGTTGGGGCCAGTGAAATCCTCAATGTTTGATCTTGAAAGAGGGTGACGAAGCAATGACTTGGAGAAGAAGATGATGAGGGCTTTATAACAGTGTTAGTTGATCATCCATCAAGTAATAGTACAGTTTAAATGAACAAATCATCACGGACAACTTACGTTTTCTGAACTGGCGGTGCATTTGTCGACGCAGAACGTGGAACAGGTTAGCAGGGGTGGTCATGTAGACGATCTGCATGTTGCAATCCTGGTGCTGGCGGGGAAGCTTATCCTCGGATGGGAAAACGCGAGGATCTTCATTGCACAGCTGCAGGTAACGCTCCAGACGACCAGAAGAGTGCTCTGGGCCCTGGCCGTCATATCCGTGAGGCAGAGACATGATCAAGCCGGTCCTTTGCATCCACTTGACTTCTCCAGACGCAATAAACTGATCAATGATGCATTGAGCGTTGTTGGCAAAGTCACCAAACTGGGCCTCCCACATCACAAGCGCATTGGGCGATGACAATGAGTAGCCATACTCGAAACCCAAGGCTCCGAATTCGCTAAGAGACGAGTTGGAGATGACAAACTTTCCTTGATCCTTGCTAATGTGCTGCAGAGGAGTGTACGTCTCTTCGGTCTCTTGGTCGTGGAAAACAGCATGGCGCTGTGAGAAAGTACCACGCTCAACATCTTGACCGGAGACTCTCACATGGTAGCCCTCCGTAACGAGAGTGCCGAACGCAAGAGCTTCAGCGGTGGGGAAGTCAATGTTGGTGCCCTCAGTGACGGTCTTTGTTCGGTTGTTCAGGATTCGCTTCAGGTTGCGGTGGATCTGGAAGCCCTCTGGGGCAGATCCAATAATTTCACCGATATGGTTCAATGTCGCCTTGTCAACGCTGGTATCGTTATGGGGAAGGATTTCCGTAGCGAGCTCCTTGGGCGACTTGAAGCCGTTCCAAGCCGATGTAGTCCACTCCTTAGACGTAGGCTGGTAGTCCTTAGACTTAGAAAAGCTCTCTTCAAGCATACCCCAAACCCACTGCTTGTGTTCCTCAATGTCTTCTTTCGTGAAGGTACCTTCCTGTAGCAACTTGTTGACGTAGACGTCGATTTGAGGGACCTTCTCCTGAATGCGCTTATACATGAGAGGCTGGGTAAATGAAGGCTGGTCTGTCTCGTTGTGGCCGTGCTTGCGGTAGCAGATTAAGTCAATAACCACATCGTGCTGGAACTCAGCTCGCCAATCAGCAGCCAACTGGCAGACAAAGTTGACGGCTTCGACGTCGTCAGCATTGACGTGGAAAACCGGAGCGTCGATAGCCTTAGCAATATCCGTGCAGTAGGCTGTTGAGCGTGCGAAACGAGGATCGGTGGTGAAACCGATCTGGTTGTTAACAACGAGGTGAATGGTGCCTCCGGTGGAGAAGGCGGGCAGCGAGTGGAATCCAAGACATTCATACACAACACCTTGAGCGGCAAAAGCAGCGTCTCCATGCAACAAGACGCTCATGGCGGTCTTGTGGTCCTTCTCATCATTGTTGTAGTGCTGAATGGCACGGGTCTTGCCCAGGACAACAGGATCTTCGGCTTCCAAGTGGGAGGGGTTGGCAACAAGTGAGAGCTGCACCCGCTTGCCAGAAGGAGTGGGTCGCTCGAAGTTCATACCCAGATGATACTTGACGTCGCCGGAGCCTTCGTCTCCAGCAGTCAGAGTTCCAGCAAACTCGCTGAAGATTGATTCGTTTGGCTTTCGGACGACGTTGCTCAAAACGTTCAGTCTACCACGGTGAGGCATGCCGATGACGATATCCTTGACACCGTAATCGACACTGCGATCGATAAGAGCCTTCATACCGGGAACAAGGGTCTCGCAGCCCTCAAGACCAAATCGCTTGTCGTTAGGGTATTTAGTCGCAAGGAAAGATTCGAAGCTAGAGCTCCAAATCAATCGATCCAGGACGCGGCGCTTCTCATCGATGGAGTACTTGAATGGTTGGGGGACCTCGAGGCGCTCGCGCAGCCAGTCACACTTCTCGCGATCAGGGATGTGAATAAATTCAACACCATAAGAGCCGGAGTAGATCTTTTCGCAGGCGGCGATGATCTCACGGAGAGTCATCTTATCACGACCGTCCCGTTTAAATCTGGGCAGGATGCCAGGGCCAAGAGTGTATTCGGTGTCGAGATCCTTTTCGGTGAAGCCATAGTGTTCGAGCGTCAATTCCTTAGGCTTGATGTTACCAAAGCCGGCAGAGGTGTTGCGGATGCCGAGAGGATCAATATTGGCCTTGTGGTGACCGCGGGCTTGAAATGCGCGCACCAACAGCTGGACTTTCAGGTGGTTTGTGACGTCGGAGCCATCCTCAAGGGTGAGGCCACCGGACAGGCGAGGGACGCCGCCAGTCATGTTGGGAACGAGGTTCGGGGGAGGCTGGAAGGCCTGGGAGATGGGCATGTCGCCGCTCTCCATGTTCTTGAAGTAGACCTGCCATGATACGTGGACGCTCTTGGGATCCTGTTTCCACTGCATGTACATTTCATCAATGTAGTTGGCAGTGCTTCCAGAGAGGAAGTTGTCACTCGGGTCGGGGGCCGAATAGGTGGCATTGGGAGCGGTGGTCGCGGCGTACAGTCGCCTGGTGGTCAAGGGCAGAGGCTTGCGGACAGCAGCAAGCCTCGTCGTCCTCGATGCCAGGCGGGCGCTCTGGACACCCCTCAGCAGAGAATTTCTCCACATGGTGAACAGCTATGAGATCGTAGGAGTCCAAAGAAGAACAAAAAAAAAGGACTATCTTTGGGCAGGCATCAGACCCAATTGGACGTGTAGTCGCAAAATGAGCGGCGGAGTAAGTCGAGATGATGGGAGACAGCAGAATTTGCTTGGAGAAGGAGAAATGAATTGGGGATTTCGGGCTGTCGCAGCGTGGTCATGCCCTCCGTAAAAAAAACTATGACGGCAGCGGGACTTGGCAAAATAATACCGCTCTTTACCCAGCTGATAGCCTAGGTTACACGAGAATAGGGCGGGTTACCGGGACTTTGCCAGCCTGACAGGGAGGGAGCCACAAGGGGGGTCGGGCGTTCCGGATCCAGCGCCCCCTAATGCTAGCAGCTTGGACTTTGCACTGCACCTGCCCCTCCATTTCAGCGGCGCTTCCAATAGAATGTCCACGGCAAGGAGCCCGGCACGGCTATATTAGGTAATGGGGCTGTCCTCGTGCAGCGCATAGTAGTTAGTATACAGTAACAAACAAGCCGTTGAGTCACTGGACAGCAAACAGGTCTCGCCAGCCACTAGTTTTTAAAAAATAAAAAAAAGAAGGGACAGGGGAAAAGAAGAAGAAAAGAAGAGGAAGAGGAAAAAGGGGAACAAGAAACAGAAATCAAAAAGAATCGGAAATCGGAAACTAGGACGGTATCTAGTAGTATTGTATTTCCGGCCTCCAACTTATATCGTAGACGTATCCTACGAGTCCTGTATGCCCTGGATCTCGATATGCTCAGGCAGCCTGGGACAGCATTTCGGTTTTGGTGTCCCTATGCACGGGGCTTACTAAGATGCCACTACAGTATTCCCTGCTGTATGTACTTCGTGCCAACTACCGCGTACTAATTGTAACAGGTACATAGCTGGCTCTATATCAGTACCTAGATACCTCTAGTAGGTGTCGGTGAGTGAAGAAGTAATACAGTATGTGAATACCTAGTAGCTATACATAAAAAAATTCCAGTAATGCTGTAGAGCAGCGTCTACCTAGTTAAATAAATTTAGAGGGGGTTTTTTTTTTTAAACGAAATGAAAAGCCCTTTCCGTACTGGCTATCATACATTCAAGCGGGGGACAAAAGAAAAAAACAGGCAATGGAAGAACTTCGAACATATACATCAAGATTATGCCCATACAATATCAAGGGATAGCTGATCAGTTGTAACGGGTGTTCATGTTACAGGTTTATACGCACTTGTTCATTTTGCGGTCCCTATTTTCTTGCCCACTCTCCGCAGTACATAGTAGGAACCCTTGCTAACTTGCTGGCGCTGTATCTGATAGAACGTACCAACCCAGTAGTGCCCGCAGTGGGCTGGAGACAAGGCGTCCACTAGGCCACAGCTCAGCGAGCTCGACACAAGCCTACTCCTCCTCTTCTGCAGTTTCGACGTGCTACATTCAATGTCGCATCTTGGATATCCAACATCATATCCCTGTCGACCATAAACACGCCGTCGCCCTCCGCCCGCATTGCCATCGCGTTTAGCTATACGTCCCCTACGTCTATGCGCATATTCCCACTTCGTTTCTATTGGCGCGACATTTTGGAGCTCCATCGACGTCATATCCAGCGCGAGTGGCCTGTATCGAGTAACCTCAGTTTCAGACCTCCCGCCTGGCAATAACCATGGCAACCCCAACGCTTAACTTCATCACCTTTAACCAAGACCATAGCTGCCTTGCTGTTGGTAAATAACTCGACCCAGCTGCCGAGCGCTGCCCTCTTCATCTGGCATACAGAGACTGACATACTCTCCCATCTGTTGTTGTTTCCAGGCACCTCCAAAGGCTTCGGCATCTATCACACGGACCCGTTCTCGCGTATATTCAGCAGCGATGACGGAAACATTGCGATTATCGAAATGTTGTTTTCGACGTCTTTGGTCGCCCTGATTCTCTCTCCCCGCCATCTTATTATACAAAACACCAAGGTGGGTGCCTGGCAGTAACTAACCACATTGGCTTGTTGCTCATCACTGCAACTGCAGAGAGCTTCGGTCATATGCGAACTGACCTTCCCATCCGCCGTATTGGCCGTACGACTGAATCGCAAGCGATTAGCCGTTGTGCTCGAAGAAGAGATTTATTTATACGACATAAGCAACATGAGCCTCCTCTACACCATCCCTACCTCGCCGAACCCGTCTGCCATATGCGCCCTGTCGGCGTCCTCCGAGAATTGTTACATCGCATATCCGCTCCCTAAACCGAGGGAAGAGTCAGACAATAGGCGACCCTCCCACGCTCCGCCGCAGTCCGCATACGTTGCCCCCACGTCTGGAGAAGTTCTCATGTTCGATACATTGACGCTCAAGGCTGTTAATGTTGTGGAAGCTCATCGCTCGCCGTTATCTTGCATCAGTCTCAACAGCGAAGGAACGATGCTGGCAACTGCAAGTGAGACCGGCACTATCATTCGAATATTTTCGGTGCCCCGGGGCCAGAAGCTCTATCAGTTCCGCCGTGGGACATATCCGTCTACAATTTATAGCATGTCGTTTAATCTCAGTTCGACACTACTATGCGTTTCCTCTGCATCAGACACTGTACATATATTTCGTCTCAGCTCTCCTCCAGGCCATACCACTCCAGCTGGTGCCCCAATCGAGGCTCTGGGTTCTCCAAGACAAGATCGGTGGTCTCGAGGACGAAGTCACGATGGGGCGGATTCGCCAAGTAATAGTGCAACAGAATCTCCAAAGAGTGAAACCGCAGAGCCCGCAGGTAATGGCACTACGCCGGATTCCAGTGCTCAGCCGGTAAATCGCAAGCAAAGCGGCTCTTTCAGCAGTATGCTACGACGCTCATCCCAAATTATGGGTCGAGGTGTTGCTGGCGTGGTTGGCTCATATCTCCCACAATCAGTTACTGAGATGTGGGAACCGCTGCGAGATTTCGCTTACATCAAAATTCCCAAAACTACCGGGCTCGGTGCTGGAGCTCGTCTACCGGGGCAAGGCTCCAATCCACTTCGCAGCGTAGTTGCGATGAGCAGCAGCAGCCCCCAGGTTATGGTGGTGACAAGTGACGGAGGTTTTTACGTCTATAATATCGATATGGAGCATGGCGGAGAAGGTTACCTGGTTAAACAATTCTCGTAAGAGGCCCCCCCCCCTTTTTTTTTTTTAAAAAAAAAAAACTTTGATTTGCATAAAGACAACTGCTAACTCATCCATCTTCACAATACAGAGTTCTTGAAGGAGATAGCAAAAGTGACCCTTCAGCCTACACAGGCTAATATATTGGCATTAACGTAGCAAACTCCCCAATCTTATACCCCCGAAACAATTTTTGGGACTGGCGTAACCGGTATTTCAGAAACGGCCTCATTTTTGTGGCTTTTTATTTCATTTGTGTACTAATGCAACACCCCGTCTTCGATGCCAGTTTCAGTGTCGTCCTGGAATAGCATCACCTCGTTTAATAGTACTTCAGACGTCACTAATACGCCAATTTTTGGACCAAAATCATTTTCTTTTTGCTTGGATGAAAAAAAGTTAAGAACGGAGAGCTCAAGCAATTCCCATTATAATCCTGAGTGATAAAGTACGCTATATAAACCAAACTCGGACGCTCGAGAAAATCCTCGGGTTCAGGTTTGAGGTAGAAGTAGAGACAAATAAGTTCCGAGTGCGCAAAGCCCCAAACATAAGCCAAAATTGTTCGCTCCATACAGAAAAATCCATACCTTGCGGTAAAACAAAACAGCTTTCTCAAACACAGCAAAACAAATACAATTATCTGGAATAAGGACGGTTCATGAGAGCGATTTCTCTGGCAATCTCCCCCCACTCCATTTCCCTCTTGTACGGTTCCGTGGAGCCACCTTCCTGTCGAAGGAATTCCTCCCAGCGTAAAAGCTCATATGCAAACAGTAAATGAGGCTGAATGATGACGTTGAGACGACGAGCCCTGACAAAGCAGTAAGCGCGCGGAAAGGAGAGATTGAGAGTTCGCATGACTTCCGCTATGCAGATGGTGGCGCTCCTGGAAACTCCGACACGGCAATGAACCAACGTTGCCGTGCCTTTCTGTATTCCTTGATCTGTATCATCAGTCAGCTATGAGAACTATGTTTCTGCATGATGAAAAGCAAACGAAAAGAAGAAAGACGTCAGTGAATCTTACCAATAAATTCAAGGCATCTCCCAAACTCCTTAGTCAATGGATCAATACCATTATCCTGAATCCCTTCAACAAAGCACATATTATCCGAGCCCCAATTCGCTCGATCTTCGTCCGTCCATGAAGCAGATTCTCCAATGCTTAGTATTTGACGGATATTGAGGCGCCTCAAGAGATCTGGATTGTTCGCATGAACAAGATTACCCAGGTACAGGTAATCCAAGATTCTGCTAGGGAGTGAACCATCCAGATCTGAAAACCATTGCGGTTCAGCTCTTATATAACTCGTGATGTCTTCTAGACTTTTCCCTGAAGACACCGGAGATTCACACAGCAAGCGAGGCCCTATGGCGGATAAAAGCGATACATCAGAGGGATAAGCAAAGAAATTGCGACGTTTTGTCGTGTGAAGTTCCAGCCAAGCATCCGGTATAGATGAGCCAGTGCTATAGCTGAAATAGGCGATAGCAAGCAATGTAGATTCTGTATATCCGTCAGGACAGTGAATAAGTACTTTCCGGGCGCCTGCAACGGCAGACTCCTCCTCCTGGGACGTGGCATTTTGATGTGCGTCACTGGATTCCGGTACAATGTTATGGGCAATGTGATATATCCATTTACAAGTATCGATAATTCCGTCAGCCTCCCTCTGGGACCAAGTTGGGGGCATAATACTTCCGGAAGAGGGAAAGCAAATAGAGGATGGCAGGGACGAGTGAGGATGCTCAGCAATGAACTGTATGGCCTTTGGGTCCAGTCGACCCGTATCACTGCATTCGATGAGAACGTCAAAATGCTGCTCTTCAATGCCACCAGGGTCTGGGCTAGGGCCCAAGTAGACGTTGTGGCATATTTCAGAGGTTTCTGTCATGTTTCGCATCTCTTGACGCTCTTGCTGTATCAAGTCCAAAACTTGACCGGTCGAATTGCCAGATGCATCGATAGATACCAGATTCCTATGGTTTTCTTCAAAGGCAGAAAACGGACTTGTGCAGACGAAAGTGTTATACGTGGGCAGATTCTTGGCCTCTGCATGCTGTTTTTCTCGCCATCGTTTCTGAGCAACGGCAACTTTCCACGCAACCCTTCGAGTCTCATCAGGGTTCAGGCCATATATGATAATGTCAGAGGTCGCAGCAACCTTGGCAGGCTGGATGTGAAAGTTACGGACAGACAATCCGCTCAGGGGGTCTGCATCGATGAATTCAGGTGTTGCTCCAGGCCGCATAAACTCGCCCGGGGCAATGGCACCTTTCAGCCGCGCGAGGCTGAGATTGCCATCCGCCTTGACAAGAGTAATCGCTCGAAGACAGTTTGGCGTGCTTCCGATAACGCACTGATGGCCATCGAAGTAGGTCCTTTGAGTTTGGTTTTCAGGGTGTAAGCCATGCAGCCAAGGAAAGACCTGCGAAGGGGGAGGGAGTAACTGCTGGGATGCATAATCCAATGCTGCTGCCACACTAGCAGCATCTATCTCATATATAGAAGCATCCTCGCTGTCGACCCGCACATAGCTATCGGGAGAGCAGAGCAGGGAGGCTTGTGGCAGCGCTGGAGCATGGCTTGGAGAGGAGGAAAGCGTATACTCGCATGAGCCCGTGTCATCCGCGTCGTCGAGTATAGCCTGGCCGGCGGCATACAAGGAGACAGGGTTCTTGAGAGAGACGGACGCAGCTAATTGTGGGGATGACGCCAATCCGAGCGTTTGGAGTGGAGAGGCTGAATTGACTGGAGTGCTTCCGCGCTGCGACGAGTTCTTGGGAGATAGAGCGGGTCTCGGGACGGCAATTGTAGCCATCGCTGGATTCGGCAACCGGGGCTTCAGTGCAAGGCGATGGTGAGAGGATGGTGGAGGAGCAGCGCTGGCATTTTGTCTTGGAAGCGTCAAGGGCCGGCCTGGCCCAGCGCTCGTGTCGGTGTCGTCGCCTTGTGAAGTCACAAGTGCTCCGCGACTAACGTTTTGGGAAAATGGCGGGCTGGCAGTAGAGACAGTGTCAAGGTGCACCCGGCTAGCTACGTACCCTAAGCAGAAGCTCGGTCGCCGCACACAAACAGTAGCAAATGATTCAGGCAACGCGCAAGGCTGGGGAGATGGCGGATTAGAAGGTGGGCGAGGTATCTAACGAGGCACGGGGTCTTGCGCGCAACAAGTAGGAGGTTGGTTGCGATTTTTATAGCGAGACAGCGGGGGAGGGGTCTGCGAGAAATGGCCAGGCTCGTGCAACAACGCGGGAGGGACGATGCTTTGTAGAGGTCAAGTAGCGAATTGCCAATGTCGCAAGCAAACTGTACGAAGGGGCCGTTGCACCATACTGTGCCCGCTTAGTAGGACGATTGGTCGCGCAAGCAGAGACTTTTCGATGATCAGCTCCTTAGACGGTCCGCCTGATGAGATGAGCGAGACGGTGATGCAACAAGCGAGATCCTATTGGGCGCAGCCGAGTCGCCACCTACCAAGCAAGGAAGACCGCACTAACAAGGGAAATTCAATTAAAAGTAACATCCAGAGTGCTACTTTGCAATAACAAGAGACGCAGAAGAGAAATGATTCGTGGCTTATTTTATTCTATTTTTTATAAATAATAATTATTTGATACATACCGCTAACATACTTATAAAGAGGTGTCTTATTTATATGAATGAGATAGAGGTGCGTGAGAGCTAGTTTCACGCCTAAATCTTAGTTGTGATACGCCCTTATGCAAGTACAGTGCGCAGCACTGGCAGGCTATAATATGTCGGTAGTCAAAACCAATACAACCGCGGCTCTATTTTTAACACTGCATGCAAGGCTGCTGGGGCCTCACTATCAATACTTTGAACTCTCTATGTGATTCTTGAGAGCTATATTTTCTGTATAGGCAGCTCATGTTACTAGTAGATTGATATGTCGTTGGGATCTCCTCATCAACAACGGTGCGCAAGGCCAGCTGCAGCGGCTTCTGAGGTCCGAATTCAGCGCCACAATGGGCGTGTTTTGAGGAAGATGAGGGCGTAGGCGTAGATAAACATTCACTCAGTGCACGGACCACATCTGCTCAAGAGGGAATTTTGACTTTCTTCATACGACTTCTTAGTGTATCGTCGTTTTTTTTGTTTTTTTTTTGGCTCAGAAACTCAGCGGCATATCGCCTCAGCCGAAGTCGTTTCAAATCCCATGTTTTTCCTTCTTCTATAGAGACGATTACAACTTCCCTTAAATAATGGCTGGCGGTTTCCAAAGAGCGCTGCCAATTGGGCTTACAATATTCTGCGGCGTTTTGAGTGGTTAGTAAACGTCAAGTAGCTTCTCTATATTCTACACAATGTTAATTGACTGGAAGGCTATTATACCTTCAAACCTGTATTTGCTCCTAAAGAGATCCCTAACGAAGAAAATGCCCCAGGTAAGCGATAAAATATACATTGTCAGAGAATCGTAGTTAATAAGATTGTGTAGACTCAACGAAAAGATAGCAGCCCCCTGGGGGGGGGGGGGGCGTATTGATCGCCCAAATAATGGCGGATGTACGTACGTTTGGAATAGAGCACCTTAGCGGTAGATATAAGATTAATAGGCAAGAAAGGATAATTTGTTCGTGAATCGCAATGAACTACTATTACTAGAGAGAGAGAGAGAGAGAGAGAGAGAGAGAGAGAGAGAGAGAGAATGAAACATTACCCAAGGTTGCATCATAGTCGACACTTCCAAAGCCAAAATATTTACAATCACTCATAAGGGATATCGCTTTTGCAATGTGGAGCGAGCCTCATTTTTTTCTCATTAAAAATATATATATATATATATATATATATATACGATATGGTATTAAATAAATGGTGCGTCGATACCCCAGAACAACTTATCCCAATCTATTGTATTCAAGTCCATCTTTCCTTCCAGCATCTGCCAATGCTGCTCAAGCAGTACATTCTCCGTTTCTGTGCCGATATTTTGTTGCACCGAACTCATACGGATCTCTTGGTTCGCCGATTCTGGTGTCATTGGAAATGAATTGTTGTAGGGAGCTATCCCCGAGACTTGTTGTTGCAAAAGATCCAGAGCGCGGTGCTTGATCTTGTACTTCCGAAGAATCTTAATAGATAGCTCTAATAATTTCGCTGCTGGAGGGAACTGGTCTTGGACTTCGTGCAGAATTTTCCATGCCCCGGCCACCTCATCCTCTCCTTCTGTAGTGTCCTCTGCATCACCTGTGAGACAAGCATTCAGCACGAGTGCAATGCTAGCCAGGAATACACTCCGCAGCACCATCGATAATCTCAGACGAGATCTAAAGAACGGCAAATTTTCGTTTTGTAGCTGATGATCGAGCTCAAAAACTATTCTGGCTGACCTCAGGCAGGCATCGCGTGAATATGCGTACGCCGGATCGATGGTCCCCTGAGCTAAATATGGGAGATGAATCTTACACAGCTGGCGGTGAACTAGTAGATTCAACATATAGCGCTGTGCAGTAATAAATAGTGAGCGTCGAATATCTGTGGCAGGAAGTTCATCCAAGCCAGGGTAGTTGACCGAAAAGAAGCTCGGTGCATTCTGGATGAACTTGTTAAGCTTTGCGTCGACATCTAGTATGTCCTGGTATGCTATAGACTCGGAAGCCTGTGTACCCAGAGGCGTGCGGTCTAGCAAAGCCCGACAAACTTCTGCTAAGCGGATGCGCTGGACGAAATACGACATACAAGTCGCCTCAGTTTCTGGTCTGTCGATGATATCTACTCCTTCAATTACGTCTTCGTCGTTTGTGTTCCGTGGCTTGTTTACTGCCATCTGGTGTTTGTGGATAAGATAAACCCCTTCTTGTGGACAACTGAATTGAGCAAGCGTCCTGTGAGCCGGTTAGCATAAAGCTCGTGAAAAGGAAATACTGAGACTCTTGTATGTCCAAATACTTACCAGTCAGTTGCAACCATAAACCACCAGACCCTTCTACCGATTTCCTTTTTTGCCTCACTCATTCGAACAAGCGTCGGCATTGAGCTGGCGGTAGGGTCATCGATACGATGTAACAATAGCTCTGTGGCCATTGAAATGGCGTACATAAAGACATTACGGGCACGAAATGAGACGCTCTCGTGATTACAAAAGACAAAAAAGAGGATGATGAGCCCCTGGATGCACTCTAGCGATGCGTGGGCTGTTTTTTGAGAATGGCCGATGACATCCAGAGCTTGCTTGATCCAAAATGTCGACTGACCGTTCGCCTCGGCTGAATTTGCGAATAAACATCTGATATCGTCGGGAGGCGACCACGCATACGTTGTGCTCGCACATATACTCAGAAGTAACAGCACGCCGCCAACATCAACGCGGACGTTTGCTTCCAGGCCAGCGTAGATATCTTCAACGAGGCTCTGGAGTGAGGGGACATGGACAATGTGGTAAAACAAGGAAATATCAACTATATACTTCTGGAGTATAACGCGCATCTCATCTCGCTGCGGCAGCCAGATGCACTTCACGACGTCCATTGGTCCTACCATAGAGGGAGCATGATTATTTTGAAAAGAGGGATTCTGGAAAGTATAGGGCGGTTGGCCAGGGGCCAGCCGAATGGGACAGGTGCGGAAAATGATGGGATCAGATATTAATGAGTCCTGCTGGACGTCTCAGTCTCACAAAGCACTTATTACGACGCGGGAGACAGTCCCAAGGGAAGGGTTGGGTTGCACGAGCTCACCGTCAATACTTGATCTGAACAGGATCGCTCAAGCTGCAGTGCATCTGCTGTCAAACGCTGGAGTCTGGGAGGCACAGGGCGTGAGACGGTGGCAGGGCTTGGATGCGCCGACCTCTCAGACTCATTCTTGGGCGTTTCTCTCTGGCTCGGGGGAGGCTCAGTCCTTTCCCTCCCCTGCGCCGCGACGATGCTCTCGAGGCGTTCCAGCCGGGCCAAGAGGTCCATCGTGGACATGTCCTTGACAGCAGGAGACTCTACCGGCGGCCGGCTTCCAGCCGCAGGTGCCGCAACCGCAACGCCTTCATGCTGGCAAACGACGCCGCGAGACGTGCAGTTGGAGCATGGGAACTGGCGACTGCAGCGCAACTTCCGTACCCTACACAGGTGGCATGAAATAGGACGTTGTCTCGGTTGCCGACCCATCTTAGAATATCATTCGGTTGGTTAATCCAATAGTTTTACTACAGGAGAGTCCATGGAACAAGGTCGCAGCTGCAGTTCAGGTCCATGGGCATTGGGGGATGGCTGAAGGTTGACAAAATTTTCCGCGGAGCTTCCACGGAGGGTTTAGTCTCTGACATCATACAGACGAGGTTAAGGATACATGAGTAGGTATATAAATTATGAACCATAGTGCTTTGTTTCTTCTGGTCTTCTTATTTTTCTTTTCCTTTTCTGTTTTTGGCGCTCGTTAGATATGCCGTAGAAGAGTTCTGTATTGACTTAATCGGAGCACAATTCATAAACGTGTTGTGCTGTGACACAACATCTGACTCTGACACCCGTCTTATATGGGGGTCACTTCATTGAATGTTCTTATCTCAGTACACCTGATCTCCGTGCTGGTTAAGTGGCAATCCCCAGTCATTACATAATTCAAAAATATGCAGGTACTGGTGGCGCATAAACTTAGATGTCCCGTTTACGGAGTGTCGTAGAGTACACAGTAAGAGCTACCAGTTGGTTGATTGGCTGCGTGCCCGGCTGATCTAAAGCTTCTCGGGAAATGCTTATTCCTGCTCAGCGCCCTTCGCTCAACTTGATCTGATATTCATCCATACTGCTCAATAAAACCAACTAACCCGTATGCTGTGCTTGAGACATATTCTAGAGGTTTTTCGGCTCCCATCAACCGGCCTTGAATACTCAGTGACCTGGGATCTGCGAATCGCGTTTACCTAATTCTTAATATATCTGACCCCCCTATGCAATGATCTGACTGAGCCGCAACACCCATAAATCTACCATCCTCCGCCTGGGCTCCTGGGGCGGCTATTCCCATCCCCTGAATATCTCCCATCGTGAGCCTCATTTTCACAATGATGTTACTCTGCCGGCGGCGTTCTCTCTCTCTTTGGGTCTCTCCCATTCAGAAATACAGGGATGTCACCGCTCAAGCAGGACGCCAATGCCGGTATCTCTCAGTGCACGCATCGCTTCGGTCTAAACAGACGCCAGATTTCACTTCGGGCTTTACCAGGAGCTATGACCCTACGGTGGAAGCTGGCCGTGGCCCAATGTTTAGAAAAGTAAATTTCGGAGTGCCGCAATTCTATCCTCGTGATTTGAAGAGACGTGTGGATGATTATGTCGTGGGCCAGGATCGTGCCAAAAAGACTATATGCTCTGCTATATTCAACCACTACCAGAATTTGAGGAGGAGGCGCCAACACGAACAAGAAGACAAAGAGAAGCATGAGAAACTGATGCGGCAGCGTTTCGCACGTGAGAGGGAGCTGTCTCAGAGGCGTTGGGACAGTCTTCCTGTTGAAGGTGAGTTGACCACTCGCAGATATCAAGATCTCCATTGATAACACAGTCTATCAAGAGGAAAATGTTCCACAAAGTTCCCCAGCCCGTCAGATACCTGAGCTATGCGTATCCGAGACAAATTCAGCAGCCCCTATCTTTAAGCCAGAAGATCCGGCGATTCCTGAGCATATCAAGATCGACAAGAGCAACATACTCGTGATTGGGCCGACGGGTGTTGGCAAGACGTATATCCTAGAGTAAGATACAGATGTTTCAACGTCGCAAGCATTTGCATTTAGCTAATGAGAAATTTCAGAACTCTTAGCAAAAAGATCCAAGTGCCGCTCACAATCTGCGACTGTAACTCCATGACTCAAGCGGGTTATATAGGGCAAGACGTGGAATCCTGCATTGAAAGGCTTCTCATAGAAGCCAATTATGACGTGAAAGCCACAGAACATGGAATAGTTGTTCTTGATGAATTTGACAAGTTGGCGAGAAGAGAAACAACGACGGGTCGAGACGTGAGCGGTGAAGGTGTCCAGCAGGCTTTACTTAAGCTCATTGAAGGCACAAAGGTTACCATCAATGTTAAAGACAATCGCTCGTCCCGTGCGACCACGCAGATTCCTACAAACTACAATGCATCTGGAGCTCCAACTCCCACACTGCCAGTAAACAGCCCTCCAGGTAAAGTGGATCAATACACCATTGATACTACTAACATCCTCTTTGTCTTCTGCGGTGCTTTTGTCGGACTGGATAAAATCATCCTCCAGAGGGTTACGAAACCAGCCATGGGGTTCGGAGGAGACCTTCAAAGTCGCCATACTGGACCTGGAAATGCTCATATTTTGCCACCCGAAGTATACTCTCACCTGGCACATTATAGTCCGCAATCGGCATCCTCCTTTACCCCGATAGATCTGGTAACGTCTGAAGATCTGCAGCGGTTTGGATTCATCCCTGAGATTATAGGCCGGTTACATAACATCTGTGCTCTCAGTCCTTTGTCGAAAGAAGATCTCTTTCGAATTCTAACAGAGCCACGCAACAGCCTGGTAGCTCAGTACACTGCCCTATTTGAGACGTATCCATCCCAGGTCTATTTCACGGGGAAAGCATTGACTGCAATTGCGGAGCGTGCTCTCGCAGCTGACACAGGCGCACGAGGACTAAAAATGGAAATGGAACGCGTGTTGGCCGAGCCAATGTTTGATGCTCCAACGCCTTATGTTCTCATCACTGAAGCCTGCGTCAAGGGGTTTGAAAAGGCGGCTTACTGGGGGAAGGATGGTCGACATGAGCTCATTGACCGGCTACAAGAAGAGCAGCTTGACTCACACAACCCACAACACTCACCAGAACGGCTAGGGCAAGCAGATGAAGGTAGGGGGTGAAATCAGACAAGCGTGGAGACGTTACTTTCCGATGTAGCACATAATCTGTAAGGATGGTTTGAAAGGTTCCCAGAGCAATATTTCCTTTCGAAGATTAATGGCGGGTATCTTCACTGGGCGACAAAGGAAGGGTGTAATAAATGAAAATGCTACTGGCTTTTGATGCAACAACATTTTAGACTCGTCACTTGAGTTATCAACGCCATGCGAGAACCCTGTCTTGCATACTCTCTAAGACTAAGCTATACATGTACAAATGTCATTTGACAAAGCCCCCCATGCCCGCTCCAATCGTGCGAAGCAATGAGTGGCAGTATCGTGTTTTTCTTTTACTGTTTAGGAGGAGACTGAACAACACCCTTGCCGCTGTATCCGGGAGAGGAGATACCAGTGAGGGGATCCGCGCCTTGAGCCTATTCCAACGAGTTAGCCATATCCATATCCAATATCGAAGCAACGTCAAACAAGACACATGGGAGAAGAGATATACCTTGAGGATCTCGTTGGTGGCCTCCTGCCACTCCTTGTTCATGGTGTGAGGTGCAGGCTTAGCAGCCAGTCGGATACCGGCGAAGAGAGCGAGACTGGAAGCCAGGCCGATGACAACGCCCCAGGCAACGCGGGCACCAGTTCCGGGAGGGTCAACGGTACGGGGGCCGTGAGGGCCGAAAGCAATCCAGTATGCTGCGAAGATGACTCTGGGTTAGCAACTGCTTGAGCAAAAGAAAGCAAAAAAAAAAAAAAAAACAAAGAATGTAGGTGTGAATAGTGTAATATGCATGTTGACGGTAGCTCTTTTCAAGGATCAGGAATAAACCCCACTTCGCCCGATCAAAGAATTGACAGTGAACAGCTCAGCTCCTTTCGATTGATGCTCGATTTCCACCGCAATCCAGAGACAGCTTCCCAATCAATCTTTGACGAGCCAATGCAGATCCATGGAGGTCAAGAGGGCTCTCAAATGCCGCCGTTCCGGACAAGGCGAGTAGCTCGGCAAGCTCTTTCGTGCTTCCGGAGGGAATTTTGACACAAAAACTTCAACACGGCACGCCACCTACCGGCCTTCTTCTCCTGCAGGGTCAACTCCTTCCAGTTGCCCTTCATGCGGTCGCGCAGGGCCATCCACAGGTCGGCCTGCTCCTGGAGAGGCATTCCCTCCCATCGCTTCTCGATGTTGCTGAGGGTCGGGTTGGACAGGGCCTGGGTGGACATGGCTCGGGACGCCAGCCGGGTGCTCTGCGTCAAGGCATTGCCTCGCAGGACCATGGAGCGAAGCATTTTGGGCGGATTGGCGATGGTAGAGGAGCTCGGCGGAGGTTCAATTGAGACGTGGCAGCGTCGTTGCCGGTGGTTGTTCGGTAAGGTGGTGCAGCGAGGGGATTTAATTCCCGTGCTCCGTATGGCTTTTGGCTAGAAAATCATACGACTCTAGTTAAGCTGTTTGGAGTATGGAGCGATTAGTGCAAAATTCTTGACTCTAGCAGCTATATTATGTAAAGCGAGTCTAAGACAGCCAATGGCCGAAAAATTGCCTACCAATGCAGTGCCGAGATTTGATGTAAATTCACCAGTGCACGTGATGAAGCAATTGTATCTACGTTTATAGGTATTATAGTATTTACATCCTCTGTTTGATACCGCTCCAGCCGTTCCTCTACGTGTGTACCATCACTCGTTGCTATTAATTTCCTAGATTGCATAGATCTTGATTATCGCATATTGCGCTAATAACCACGCAAAAAATTTAAAAATTTCGCAGCCAGCATACTAGGGTCTGTCCGTCATCCTGGGTACACCCCAAAGGTACATATCCATGCAGCTTGCGCTGCTGCGACGCATTAGCGGGTATCGCATCCTGCATCGTAGTAGTACGTATCGCGCGCCGTCATCAAGCAGCCTCACGCATTGTGCTTGTGCATTAACCCAATACAATCCCACATGCAATGTCTAACAGGGCTCTTCGCCGGGCATTATGGCTGAGACACCGCTTAATAATAGTAGTTCAGCTCCCGCTCCAGCTCCAGAAGTGAAAGATGACATACCGCCCAAGCCTTACCATGCGAAGCGCCCTCACAAGAAGTCCCGGTCCGGCTGCCAGAACTGCAAGGCGCGCAAGGTCAAGTGCGACGAATCGAGACCAACCTGTCGGTCATGCAAGCTGAGGCAGGCCGACTGCGTCTATCTGTACCCTCAGAAGACGCAGCAGTCTGTAGAGGCGCCTCCATCGCAACAATCATCGGCGCAGCTCAAGTCTGCAACCGCTTCCTCGACTAGCATCGCCGATATAGCCTCAGCGTCGTCCGTCTTGTTTTCGGCGCCTGTACTTGCATTGGCGGATAAATACAATGGCCAAGCGCCCATGATACCCACCGAACTGCTCCTCCTCCCGACCGGAATCGACACGTCAGATATGAAGGCCCTCTGGTTCTATGCGACTCAGACATGCGGTTCCTTCTCTACAATGGCCAATGAGGGGCACAGGTCAATCATGAGAAGCCTGCTGGTTCGCTACGGATCCGAGTCGCCTTTTCTGATGGACACCATCTTCGCCCTTTCTAGTTCACACATGCTGCATTTGAACCAGCAGTTCGATGCGCAGCGTGCCCTGACATATCGCGTCAGGTCCCTGGCAGGATATCGCAAGGCAATCGAGGAAGCCAACCCGGTAGACTATCCTGCCCTGCTGGCAAACTCTCTGCTTTTAACAGCACTATCGTCTCAGAATTTCAGAGAAGCTGATAGCAAAGACCTGTATATTCTCGACTGGCTTGTCGTATGGAAAGGCATCATCCTCGTAATCAACCTTGTCTCCAAGTCTACCTTTCTTGAATCTGGCATGAGGACTCTATTCAGCCGACCGCTTATAGATCTTGAGAAATCTGCCTCCTTCATCCCTGAGAAGCTTCTCGCCATGGTTTCCGCCATCCAGCCGGGTGATCTCGACTACCCCTTCAAAGAAGCCTATGACCAGACGTTGAAATATCTGGGGAGTTTATATATGGACTTAGCAGAAGGCCCCTCAAGTTTGATGAGTCTAAGAGTCATAACGATCTTTACCTTTGTCCCTAGGGAGTTCATTGATATCGCTCGCAGTTTACAGCCGCGCGCTTTGGTGATTCTTGCTTACTTTGCAACCTTCTTCAAGCTAGTTCAGTCTGATGTTTGGTGGCTAGAAGGCATTGGAGACCGCACAATACGGGACATTTGCAAATACATTACCCTGGAATGGTTTGACTATATGCGAGTCCCTTTCATGGCTCTTGATATACATAGCAGCATAGAGCTGGCTAGGGTCATACTCGGAGATACGGAGAGCGTTTCGCCTCAAAAGTACCATCTCATAGACTATGCTGCTCTGCAGCTAAGCTGACTCAAAGTTGCAACCGGGAACTGATTCACGGCTGTAGCGTTGGAGGGTTTATATCCATATTATGAAGCTATAGATTTAATGAAGTATGAAAAAGACACACGACACATTTTCTCAGATAGCTTTAATACGATTTTTTTTTTATATATTAATAGTTGTAAATGTCCCAGCTATTGTACATATAGCCCGCGGATAGCAATGTTTGAAGAAATCTTACTATCAGATAGCTGTTTACTACTATACTAGTCTATACACAGGCTTACTATTCCCCAGCTCTTGGGACAAGCTAGCTAAAGCCTTTTTAGTTCTTCTCCAACTCCGCCAGAATCTTCTCACCCTTAGCCTTGGCTGAAGCAAGGTCACCAACCATGTAGAAGGCAGCCTCAGGCAGGTTGTCACCCTCACCGTTGAGGATGGCCTTGAAGGAGGCAATGGTGTCCTTGAGGTCAACGAGAGCACCCTCGATACCAGTGAAAACCTGGGCGACGGTGAAAGGCTGGCTGAGGAAACGCTGGATCTTTCGGGCACGCTCGACGGTAAGCTTGTCGGCCTCAGAAAGTTCGTCCATACCCAGAATGGCAATGATATCCTGGAGACCCTTGTACTCCTGGAGAATCTGCTGGACACGGGTGGCGGTGTTGTAGTGCTCCTGGCCAACGATACGGGGGTCAAGCATACGGGATGTTGAGTCAAGAGGGTCGACAGCGGGGTAGATACCCAACTCGGAGATACCACGGGACAAGACAGTGGTGGCGTCCAAGTGAGCGAAGGTGGTGGCGGGGGCAGGATCAGTCAAATCGTCAGCAGGGACGTAGACAGCCTGGACGGAGGTAATGGAACCCTTCTTGGTGGTGGTGATTCGCTCCTGCATACCACCCATGTCGACGGCGAGAGTGGGCTGGTAACCGACGGCAGAGGGAATACGACCCAGCAGAGCAGACACCTCAGAACCGGCCTGGGTGAATCGGAAAATGTTGTCAATGAAGAGCAAGACTGTGTGAATAGGACATTAGCAAAAAGTACGTTCGAAAGAGGGTAGAATATCGCAAAAAGCTTACCATCCTGGCCTTCCTGGTCACGGAAGTACTCGGCAATGGTCAAACCAGTCAGGGCAACACGGGCACGGGCTCCCGGGGGCTCGTTCATCTGACCGAAGACCAGAGCGACCTTGGACTCGCCATCAAGCTGAATGACGGAGGTCTCCTGCATTTCGTGGTACAGATCGTTACCCTCACGAGTACGCTCGCCGACACCGGTGAAGACAGAGTAACCACCGTGAGCCTTGGCGATGTTGTTGATCAGCTCCTGAATGAAGACGGTCTTGCCGACACCAGCACCACCGAAGAGACCAATCTTTCCACCACGAGCGTAGGGAGCGAGCAGATCGACGACCTTGATACCAGTGACCAGAATCTCGGCAGAGGTGGACTGGTCAGTGAAAGAGGGGGGGTCGGCGTGAATGGGCAGGAACTTGTCAGTCTTGACAGGTCCTCGCTCGTCAATGGGGTCACCAGTGACGTTCAGGATACGACCAAGAGTGGCAGGGCCGACGGGAATGGTAATGGGAGCACCAGTGTCAGAGGCCTTGGCGCCACGGACGAGACCCTCGGTACCTATCAAACTCATGAGTTTTTTCCGGCCTTGTCTAAACGATGATAATCAGGGTTCCTTACCGTCCATAGCAATGCAACGAACAACATTTTCACCCAAGTGTTGCTAGACAAGACGTTAGATGAGTTACTTTTGGGCGTCCCACAATATCTACTTACAGCAACCTCGAGGACCAGCTTCTGGTTGTTGTTGGTGGTCTCCAGGGCGTTCAGGATAGGAGGCAGCTTAGCAGTGTCGAACTTGACTATGGCATAATCAGTTGTCTGCTCAATACCGCTTGAATGCGTTCCGCGAACGAATATAAAAAAAAAGCGCAGGGTTTTTACTAACCGTCGACGACGGCACCAATAACCTAGAACTGCTGTTAGCCGCAAATCCCACCATTGAGTCTTTCTTATGAGCTCAGCCTACCTGGTGGATCTTGCCATCTCCGACGCTCTGGGTGCTGGCGAGCCTGATGGCGGAGGGGAGTCGGAGAGAGGCTGGTCGGAGAGCTCGTCGAGCGGCAAAGGATGGGCGGGCAGCCCTGGCGAGGGACGAAATGCCGCTGTGGGGGGGCAACGCAGTTAGAAAAAGTTCCAATTCGCATGCAGGTGGGAGTACAAAAGCTGAAAACACCAGATTGAGGCATCTCTACTCACCTCTTGAACATCTTGGCAGATGACAGAGAGCAATCAGCGATGGATATGCAAATGAGTTGGTTAAGGCCGGGAGAAGTTTTCAAAATGAGCAGTTTTGGTCGGGACAGCGACTACTCCAGTCAGAGCTTTCTTCCGGGTCACGTGCAGCCACTAGGATTGGCTTTTCGGCCTTGGACGGACCCCATTCCCCATCGATCCGTTCACCCACCCAGGAAACTGAGAGATTTCCAGCTAAAACTCGCAGACTAGGTGAAAACTACTGCTGCCTCCGTGTCTTTCCGGCTAGCAGGGCTCTACGTCCTTTTCGGTTCTTGCTGCCCGCCTGGCATCTTGAAACACGGTGTTTCATTGATGCATCGCAGTCGTCTACGCAGGTGTAAGACACGATTCTGCAGCGCACTTTGCACTCAGTCACCAATATCAAGCCATCCTTGCCACAATCAATAATTTATCATTGGTAGAAGAAGAGAAGAAAAAAATTACAACCTTTACTTAGATCGCCCGTGACTTGAACTCTCTCAGCTTTGTGTTGCCTGGTTCAAGATGCGATGAACTCGATGTTCAATTGTGTGCCAGACACCGACCTCCCCTCTGAGCGTATACCCATGTGTCGAGTATTGTATACCTACTTCTTAGCCGAAGGTCGCGGGGTGCAGAGGAAGAAGATGCAGTCTCATATACTTGCTTTTCCATACACATTACTTGTTAGCCTATGTACAAACTACTCCGGCCGCCCGATCCTGGTGAGGAGTCTGGCGCACACTATCTTTTTTCCATGTACTTATACATACGCACGACTCTCATTTCACCATTCTCTCAATCCTCCAATTCTCTCGTTAGCTAAGCAGCACTCGAATACCAAACAACAGAGCATGTATCCCAGCGCTCTTTATATATGCAAAAATTCAATAACATTGGAACTGAAATTGAGTAGCACTATCAACTAACTGCGCCTTCAAAATCTTTGCAAGGAATCCTACCGCCTATACCGTTCATCTGGGTTCAAGATATAACTGCCAAGCTCCCTATTATAACCAACACCCCCCATATTGATGATTCTGAGCCTGGTTGCTCTAGGAGATGCTTCCTAGTTGAAGAATTAGCCTGCATCCATATCTCCTTTTCCCTGTACGCTTGCAGTAATAGAACAAGATTTCCTAAGCAACAAAGCGGAGTTACTAGGCGGAAAAATGTACTCTTTATGAACTCTGTGAACAAGTATGGTATCTGCATTGGTGATGTCGACTGACACTCATAGGAGAGAGCAAGGCAAGCCCCAAGAATCCGGGCTACGAGTGTCGGCGTGGGATGGGAAGTTGCTGGTGATAACCCCAACTGAGATGGCGATGGCAGTGATGCAGGGCTATTCATGTCAGCCTCTTGCCCTTCGTGCGTTTCAGTATTCATGCAAGCATCAGCATAGGCTGCTGCTTTATCCGTGAGCGCTATGCTCTGGGTCTCTAATTCTGCTATTGTCTTTTCAAGGGAAGCCAATTTCTCTCCCATGCGTATGCGTTCTTGATCGATTTGCTCTTCCATCTCTGTGCGTTTTTGGGCCATTTGCTCTTCCATATGTACGCGTTCTTGTTCGATCTGCTCTTCCATATGTGTGCGCTCTCGTTCGATTCGCTCTTCCATGAGCATGCGTTGTTGAAACATTTCTTCCTCCATGAGTACACGTTCTTGGATAATCTCCTCTTTCATATTCATACATTCCCGACAATCTCCATGGGTAGTATTTGGCTCTCGGCTCTGGTACTGGTCTTTATTGCGTGCGGTGATAGACTCGACCATAAAATTTGCAACATCACATCCGCTATCACCCGTAAAGTCATCGACAGAATCACTTGCCATAGACTTGCTCGCGTACACAGCATCAGCTTCAGTGTCGTTTCCGCAGACGAGTGCATTGCGTTCACTCCCAGAGTCGCTATCATTCCAGAAGTTGGCACCTGAAAGTTCATCAAAGGCTGAGCGCCGTTCGCCGCCATCTGCCGCCTCCACGCCGAAATCTGAGACACACGGAGAAATATCCTTGGCTTCAATCCTAGGGCTTTGCTCACCGATGGTGAAAACATCGCCGTCCACTGGCGCTTCGTTGTTATCCTTGATTTCGGGTATTTTAGCTGCTCGTGTCACCGAATTGCTCTTATCATCACCGACAGCTTCCAAAACAGCTTCCTTTGCTGCTACAGGGCTTGTATGTTGATCCCATTTGATTGAAGACTCAGGAGTTACATTTTTTCTGCTTTTGCGTAGATTCGGGGAAACTGGCTCAATCCTTCGAGCGAAATGGTCAGGTGCATCAGGGATCCAACTTTTCGCTGCCGAAATGTCCAGCGGAAGAGGGGGCCCACGATTCGACATAATTATGATCCTGTTACTGTTAGTAAGTTCTAAGCAGTAATCCAAATCAAAGGTGGTGAGCCAGGGGGGGAGAATATACACATATATATGTAGAGACGAGAGAGAGAGAGAGAGAGGCCTAATAAGGAAATCAGGTGGAATAAAGGCATAGGTTGTGAGACCTTTACTACCGGCGTTTAAACCGACTTTATAACAGCTATGAAATATAACACTCTGCTTCATAGTAAGGGAGGAACTAGTTCGCGAGGCCAGCACATGATGCCAAAGATGAAACCGCACCTTTCAATAAAGAAGCTTGATTCCAAAGAATTTTCCATTGTCTCTTTGTTGCTCACAATGCTTCCTTCACATTGGATTTTCTACGCTATGCAGCTCTGTCAAGGGTCAAAAGAGCGCTTCTCTTTCTTTGACTACAGCGAATAAGGTTGGCCTATACAATAGGGTATATAATAGCGGGGAATACAAGACATAGCTAATGATATGCGTATACAATAGACTTAGTCTTTCTCCGGTCAAGATTTCGGACCCCTCTTGTCTAAATTTAGATGCAGTAAATTTCTCTTCAATGCAAGGTCAAAGCCCCATTCAGCTATTTTGAGGCAAACAATGGCTGCCTAGCCATACCAACCTCTGGCCCCCGGGCCGGTAGCAGACAGTTCCTGCCGATGTTCGATCATGGGCTCTTTAAGGCCCAGTGTATCAATTATATCCTGCCAGGTTTCCATGTCCATGGATAGAATAGCCTGGTGCTTAGAAGTTGACTGACGAACAGCCCCAGCATCGTCTCCTTCTCGATCTACCGGTGCTAAACACGGTGTTAGTATCAAGACGTATGGTCATAACGAATTTCCACAGCAATCTGCATCAATATGACACTCACCTAATGCGGGGAGCCCATCTTCGTCGAAATCAATTTCCACTCTTCCATCTCGAATAAGAAAGCTCACATAGAACAGATTCTCGATAGTTTGTCCAAAAGACTTGGGATTGACCACAAATCTCATCAGGTCAATACCACCTGTGCTCCGTAACCCATGCTCGTGCATTAGCCGAGTCTTTTCATCTTCCTCCATATCATCTGTGATCAAGTCTGCGACTGTTTCTTGGGCATTGGCCTGGATCCTGTAGAGCTGCTGAAGTATCTTCCCGCAAATAATAGTCAGATCATTCTCCCTCTTAGCGAGGTCATCGACATTGAGTATTTCGGGTCGCGTCTCCGTCAGGCTATTTGGACGAAACGGGGCACTCCGTTTTGCTGCCTTGCGCACCTTCTTTTCGACCGATAATGGGCCTAGAAGGAATCCAGGGAGCGCAGGTCGCCTGATATATGGCAAGCACGCGAAACGGCCAAGGTGGGCCCAGTTCATCATGTCTCCTTCATCTCCTATATCCCCGCTATCATCCTCATGCGCTCTATCATGTACAGTGTGCCGTCGTTGTCTCTGGGTGCTCGAAAGCTCTAGGGATTGGTCATTGGCAATCCCTCCACCACTTCGCATATATGTGATGCACTTGGAAATGAAATCGTCGGCGTCGATTCCTTGTGACAGGCTGCCTTGAGTGAGTCGCAGGGTCTTGCGGTACGAGAGGTCGGTTGTGCTGACAAGCAACCGTGAATCAATGGTGGCTTCTGTCGTCTGTCGTACTTGCTTGGACAATTCGTTGGCCCGCAAAATGGTCTCGTGCAGACCATGAGAATCGCCTTGTAGATATTCTTCGCTATTTTCCGTGATGTTTCGAAGAAGGTCACGAAATCCCTGCTGGACTTTTCTTCTTTCTTCTAATGGTTGATCTGGATCATATACATCATCTGAATCGCTATCGTCCTCGTTATCGTCGTCGTCGATTGTATATTCTGGCGCTCGCTGGGGATTCCGCGCGCCCCCAGAAGTCGTCGTATCAGTACGCTTTCGCTTGGTGCTGGACTGCGCTTGTGTATCTTCTCTCTGCCTCATGACCAAACTCTCTCGACGAGCCGGTTGGCGGCGCGACTGGCGTGAGCCATCAGACTCAGAATCTGGAGAATCTGTACGACGGGCTGACATGGCTGCGGATGGGAATTGTCATAGCCGTGATTGGAAGACTAATAGAAAAATATTTCATGATGACAGCATGGTTGCAAGTCTTGGCGACGGCGGGAGCTCCTTGCTTATTTGGCAACAGAGCAGTTTGGAGAATCCATGGGCTCGCAGATAACGATAGGTAGGTAGGTAGTCTAATGCCTATCAAAAGCGACGGGGCACGACGCGCTTTCCGAGACTCTTTACGCGGTACGGCGTGTTGCACTAATAGGTAGTCGGCGGGTGCTTTGGCCGATTAGTCCCAGGCAGGCTGCTAAGGCCTAGGACTAGAGCTAGAAGATGCTCCGCATTTCTACTGCTGTTGCTATGAAAAAGCTCCTACAGCTTAGCAGTGTGCATAGTGTTAAAATCCACAGGCTAGCAAATAACTGTAGAGGGACCAAAGCTCATACGAGGTAGTTCAAGTTGCTGCTAGGGTAGGCTGATTCTCGTCCCATGTACAGGGTAGTATGCTTGATATTCTGCTGCAGATTCCGAGGGTCTTGTTTCGCTATCCGGGTACTATCGAGGGTCTAGACTTGTTAAGATATGGCTGCTCCAAAAGAGCCAAGAGGCTAATGGCTGCAGCACATGTCGGCGAACTTGCATGCTGCAGTCTAAGCCGCACATAATCTTTCGTTCGACGAAGCAGAGTACCTGCCGAATGCCCAAAAGGCGTAATCCTCCTAGGCACCAGAGCCTCGTATCATGTACTGTAGGTTATCGGCTCCATGTAAAATGCCAAGATTTACTCCGCCATAATCGTTGCTCCCCGCCCCAATAATTCTCTGCGGAGAGCCAGTCGCGTGACGATTCCCGTCGCTTGCGAAGCTTGTCTTGTCTCTAAGAGCCCGCTGGAATGCATGGGAACATAAGTAGAATATCCCCCCCTTTAGCTGGGATGTAGAGTCAACTTCGACTCTTGTCATCCTGTATCTCCGGAAGAGATACTTTCAAAGACGATAGCCTTTGGAGTTTTGGCAAACAACCCCATTTTGCTTCGCCTTCGCAGCATTCGATCCCCGTCACTGGTGTTGTAGTAGCAGCTTTATATTATATCCGTTCTTCACTTTGGTGTATCTTGCTTCTATTACTAGTATCCGCTACCTACTAAGCAGCGTTTCCACAAGTATCAATTTCGTGTAAATCCTGCTGGAAGACTTGATATACGTTGTCCTGGAATCGCCTTGATTGAATCCCTGGTGTTTCCTTGGTGTTTGTGCTCTCTGGTTACTGCGTCACCGCCGTCATGACAGGAATAGCTTCCGCGCCTCGGTACAGCGCAGACGACTTTGATACAGCCTCAGTTCACTCTGCGGCTCCCTCCTATGGTATGTAGATCTCCATATTGACCATAGTTTACAATTGAAAACGCCCATAGGTGGCAAGTGCCTTGGCATACGGAGCGTTTGAATCACTAACGCCAAGGATAGTCTCAGAGGTGCCTTCATACCGCTCTCGGACGGCACATAGTGAGGCCCCTCCGTCATATGCGGCGACAGCTGCGACGACAGCTGCCGTAGCAAGGACGTCATCGCGGAGAGATGCTCTCAGGACACAGAATTCTTTGCCCGGGAGGCAGACAATTGGACTGCCACCGCTTCCACCGCTTGCCTCACCAAGCGCCCTGAACACTCACAATTACCGGATCCCTACATGGTCGGCCAATAACGCACCGGCAGCCCGTCACTATCGCAATGTGGCGGAGAGGCGAGCTACTGACGGATGGCTGCAGGCTGCAGCTGCAGAATTGATTGTTGGCATGCGAGACTCTACAATCAACCGACAAAATGATAGTAGCGAAGCTCCCCCTCGCCCATTAGAAGATCCATACTTGGTCGGTGAGCAAGCCGCCGCAGAAGCCCGCCGGCAAAGGATAGCCAGAGAGGTTAACGAGAGCATGTTGAAAGAAGAGGATAAGCAATGGGACTGGATGCTGGCTCAGATGAAGACTCGGGAAGAAAGAGATAGACCTTGGACTCGGCTTCGACAAGAGGCAGCAGCTCAAAGCCGGCGGAGAACGTTATTCGGACGGATCGGTGGACGATTACCACGATGACAAGGACTGCCAATTGTACTTACCCCTCCTTATATGTAGCAGTACCCATTGCTATCTATCTTGTATATGGTTTATTTTGTAACCCATCTCCATGCGTTGGCGCCCCTGGTTGACTTAGATATGCCTAGATATCTCATATGTAGTGTATGGAGTGATGGAAATAATAAATATTTGCCTGCTAGTGGTTTTGATTTCAATCTTTGTATTACCGTTGCCTTATGAAGAAAGAAACCACCCTGGACAGTCCTCATGGGCGGACAAAAAATTTGTTATACATTACCATGGCCTGAATCGAAAAAGTAGAAACTGGACACAGTATTTACGTGGTTCGCCATGCCACACAGCGCGTAGTAAAAAAAAAAAAAAACACCCCCTTAAACCATCCGACGTCTAGAGAACACCCAATGAATGTGGAACGCTGATCGGAGCCATTTAGTTGTAAATATCCGTTAAACTGTGAAACGCAATCGTCTCGGAAAGATCGAGTTTAGCTCTTCGTGTTGAGTAAAAGAGCAACGATGAGCCTGTAAGGGGGGAATATTAGCATGGGTCACATAGGATGAATGGAATCGATTGCTTACCCGTAAAGACCCAATACTTCGCCAAAAATAAGAATTAACACCATGCCGACGAATATCCTAGACTGCGCCATGAAGGCACGAACACCGTTATCGCCAACAATACCAATGCAGTATCCAGCTGCCAGTCCGGTCATTCCTACAGATATGCCGCAGCCAAGGTGCATAAAACCTCTAAGCCGTATGTTAGCGAATTATAAAGGAAGCTCCTGGTTGATCGGCCCGACGAACGTGAATAAACTGTAGCTCTTTGCTGAGGGGGCGGCGAGATCTTCTGCGATGAGGACCGCAATAACAAGCGAGTAAACTGCCAGGATACCAGACATGATCACTGGAATCAGACACTAGGATATGTTCAATAAGTCTAGAATTCCAAGATCCATGATAGTTCAGGCGCCCACCTTCATGATCAGATCCGGCCGAAAGGTGCCAACGCCGGCAATACCGATGCCTGATTTAGCCGTTCCATAGGCAGCACCGATAGCTAATAGTCCATATAATATTTAGCAAAGTCGAAAAGATCGGAGGATTAGGAGTTAATTCGGGATGGAAGTCGTACATCCAAATATCATTGCAGCTGCAATGCCGCCCTGGATTAAGCGTGTCAGTCAGCTAATGCTGGGATCTCCTTTTATTGAGCGGCGAGAGCTTACCATCCCGATGAAGGGCGCAAATTTGGGAGCAAGTTCCGACTCCATGATTGTGATGTAGCCACTGGCGCAGGGAGAGTAGAGGGAATGACGGACGTCGATACCACAGCTAAGGCGCGACCAGATGGTAGAAGAATGGCTTCGGCGCCCGGTGTTGAAGCTGGCGTCATGGCAGCCAATAGAAGCGATTGAGAATCACGTGACTTGAACCGACCTATTCCTCTCATTGGCTGGTTTGCCCCATTCGCATCCCTGAAGCATCTTTCGGAGTACAGACTAATGCTCCGTGGAGGTACCACCACAGCAACATGAGCGACTACATGTACATGTATCTACGTATAATTGTCTTATTACCTCGCCTGTAGCGGATTGATTGCCTGAAGCTCTGGAAAGCGCAGTGGATGCTCTCGGCTACTCGTTAACTAAGGAAGTCCTGACCGGATGCCACTTACGAGATACGGCAGCTCTCTGAGCCACATCAAGTTCATCAGGCAACAAGTAAATTTCTTCTATTAAAGAATAGCGTCCAGGGCAATTTCTAGTAATATGATGCTGTAGCGACTGCGCCTTGCCTTGGGGCGGGCGGTGTCTGAATGAAAAAGTTTACATAGGTACTTTAATGGGCGGTCCTTGACGGGATGTACTGCGCTGTTAATTGCGCTAGCCTACGCAGTCTTGGAAGCCAACCAATTCTCTTGTCTACTGTAGGCTGTTAATAACATTCTGGGCGTTTAGGGATTTATCTTTGGGCTCGAATACGCTACTATTGTTCCGAGTGTTGTTCAATACTGGGGCCACCGATATGGAGAACAAAGGCACTTAATAGCACGTAGTGCACACTTTAACAGGTTCTTTGCATAGGCGGTCTTGAGTGCCCCATAGCTTTCAGCGTGGTGCACTAGGCCTGGCGTTGCCTTGTCCTGCGGATAGGTCGACTCCCCTGTAGGCGGTGCGGCGGTGCCAACAGCACGCCGACCCAATCCCACTATCCCTGAGCACTCCGTAATACGCAGCGACCACTTTATGTACTTCCCATTCCCCAGCCTAGCAGTTTATCAGACAGCCAAACCACCTACTAGCCACAAGGTAGGTAGGTCGGTCGCCAACCAGCCATATCTGCCAGTCCAGCTGCAAAGGACTCACTCCATCCAGGTTACTGCTCGGCTTGACGGCTGTTCTGCATCGCGAGGCGTCCGCTGCGCTGGATAAGAACGGCCTGCCTGGGTTCGAAACGCGACCGCCATCGTCACCCACGCCGCAAGCAAATCTTGCGCCCACTCCCCTTATGCAACCTTCTTGACACGACGCAGCGTCCGTATCCCAAGGCTACAAGATAGCAACATTGACAGAAGCGTCTGAACACTGGGGCTTTTATTGACCTTGGTCAGTACCTGTGAACGGCTTTGAGAAAGGGAGACGAGCGCTCCACCACCTGCTCCCCTTTCTGGCGCGGCCGAGAATTCATTCCAAAGGGGAAGTGCTTTCCCACGCAAGGCTACAAATATCGATACTCTCACCACACTGGCCTACAACGACACGCGAAGCATCGCTGCCGACTGCGACATCTGGCTGGCTAGAATCAGATAGAGTCTGACCGCCCTAGCGGCTGGCCTTACGCACCACTCTTGGCTCGTTTGTCCCCCCCCTCCCGTTGAGTCTGCTGGGAACACACGATCTGACTACTCTCGCCGTCCGCAGCGCAGGAAACATGGCCGACTACCAATATAATTCCCGGGCACCTCCTGGCCAACGCCAGCAGCGGGGCTACCCCGATCAGAACGGCAATTATCAACGGGATGCCGCGTTTTCAAACATCTTTGGTGCTGCCCCCCCTCCGGGAAGGTCGCAGACCATGACATCGGCCTCCGTCCCGCCAATGCTTGACCAAGGAAGGACACACACAATGTCATCTGCCTCTGGCATGCATCGCCAACCCCCCCCTCGTCCTGGCCAGGGGTACTATAACGACCGTGAACCGGCCCCGAGACCTCGGCCTGTCGATCACATGGCTAATGGCAACTATCCGGGCCAGCGCTCTGCTTCGGGGCCTCAAGTTCCTTCCCCTCAAGCACAATACTTGCAGCAGCAGCAGCAGCAAGCTAGGCGTCCATATCCAGGGCCTCCCGCTGCAGGGCCTCGATTCGACTCTCGTGGCCCGCCGCTACCATCCGGGGGTCCAAGGGGCCCAGTCCAGAGGCCATATCAAGGAGGACCGCCTCCTGCTCTGAACAGCGACGCATATCGATCGCAATCCCTAGCCTCCATGCCTCGCCCGCAGATGTATCCCGGGCAAAATACCTATCATCAGTCGTCTGCAAATCATTTCCGGCAAGCACCCTATAACAATCAACAAGCTCTCTCCAGGACAACCGCTCAAGGTAGGGTAGTCCCGGACCGCCATGATGACCGTTCAATGTCATTAACTGGTGTTTACCATCCTCAAGATCGAGATGGCACACAAACCATGAGTGGGCGAGTTATTCCTAACCGGCGAGCGCCGACCGATGCCAGCTCAAGCTCAGGGTACTCAGCCCAAACAGCCCACTATGCCCCTATGCCAGGGACGCAGACGCGGACAGCAACTATGACGTCTACAAGTAGCACTGTAGACCATGGAAGAACTTTCTCTATGGCTTCTATGATGTCTACAGCCTCAACCATAACCCCGTCTGAGTCTGATGCAGGCACGCTTGTTCAAAGACCAGGAAGAAGCAGATCCATCGACAGCGAGCGCCCGACCACTGCGACGACGAAGATCCGAGCTCCGCTTGTATACCCGGCCCTTCTTTCACGGGTGGCCGAATGCTTTAGGCAGAAGATCATCGTGGGCGACAGAACGAAGAACGAGCTCACATATAAGAATGCTTTTTCTGGTTCAGAGGCAGTCGATGTACTATCTTACATCATTAGAACGACTGATCGAAATTTGGCGCTATTACTCGGCCGTTCGTTGGATGCTCAGAAATTCTTTCACGATGTCACGTACGAACATCGGCTACGAGACTCACAATCCGAAATGTACCAATTCCGAGAAAGTCTGATGGATGAGCCTGAAGAGACGCCTGTGAACGGCGTCTTTGTGCTGCTCTCAGAGTGTTATTCGCCTACTTGCACGAGAGATCAGCTCTGCTATTCTATTGCTTGCCCTAGAAGACTGGAGCAGGTTTCTAGGTTAAACCTGAAGATTACCTCTGGACTGCGCAAGGAAGACTCTGCTAATGTCAACGATGACGAGGTTGATAAAACTGATGAACAGAAGCTCTGGATCAATTCGGTGCCAAAGGAGGTTGCTGACGCAGTCAGTGAGCGAGAAAAGAAGCGACAAGAGGTTATATCTGAAATTTGCTATACCGAACGAGATTTCGTCAAGGATCTCGAGTACCTGCGCGATTTCTGGATTATTCCTCTGCGGTCCAAGGCGTCGCCGATACCTCTCCAGCGGAGAGAGAGGGTTGTCAAGAATATCTTCAGCAACATCATTGACCACCCAAGTGTTCATAGTGTCAGCTCACGATTTGCAAGCGCTCTGACTACCCGACAACAGAAAGATCCTATCGTGCAGAATATCGGTGATATTTTCTTGGAGTATGTGCCACAATTTGAGCCCTTTATTTTTTACGGCTCTAGACAGCTGGAAGCCAAATTTGAGTTTGAAAACGAGCGTTCAATCAACCCTTTCTTCTCCAAGCTCGTTGACGAAATTGAGCGGCGAAAAGAATCGAGAAAGCTGGAGCTTAACGGTTATCTCACCAAGCCAACAACGCGTTTGGCCAGATATCCTCTGCTGCTGGAGAATGTGTTGAAATACTCGGAAGATGGCAGCCCCGACAAGGAAGATATTCCAAAGGTTCTCACGATGATCCGAGATCTTTTAGGAAGAGTGAATGCAGAGTCTGGCAAAGCCGAGAACCGGTTCAACTTGCGAAGACTTCAGGAACAGCTTCGATTCCGACCTAACGAGCGGGTCGACTTGAAGCTTACTGAAGATGGCCGCGAACTTGTGTTCAAGAGTCAGTTCAAGAAGTCTCCTACTGACCCAGCTGAGTTGACGGCTTTCCTATTCGATCATGCCGTTTTGCTCGTTCGCATAAAGCAGAATGGTAAGGCCGAAGAGGTTAAGGCATATCGACGACCAATTCCCCTGGAGCTGCTTGCCATTCGAGAAATGGAAGAGGTGATCCCGTCAGACGGTGGCGTTAAGCGATCGGCATCTAGCTTGCTGCCGGCTATACGAACCAATGCGGGAGACACCAAAAAAGGAGAAGGCTGGCCCATTACCTTTAGGCATCTTGGCAAAGCTGGATATGAGCTCACGGTCTATGCTTCTAATCAGGCAGCGCGAAAAAAGTGGCTCGAACACATTGATGCTTCACAACAGCGGCTCCGAGCGCGAGCCGACTTCTTCACGACCAATATTATCTCTAGCAACTTCTTTGGTGGAACAAACCAGGTTAACTGTGTCTCACCATTTGGTACGTCTTATAATTCCCCTTACTTTCCATCTTATGATACTTTGGTTTTTTGTGAAAAAATTGAGAGCTAACTAGTGTGTACAGACGGAGGCCGCAAACTTCTTTATGGCACTGACAACGGTGTCTATATCTCGGACCGCAAGAACAAGGATGCGGTTCCTCGACGTGTCCTAGAAACAGCCAGTGTCACCCAGATTGATATTCTTGAAGAATACCAGCTTCTCCTTGTTCTATCAAATAAGACGCTACTCTCTTACTCGCTTTCTGCCCTGACGTCTGACGATCCTGCTCTGGCTAAGAGACCTAAGAAGATTCAAAACCACTGTAGCTTCTTCAAGTCTGGCATCTGTATGGGTCGACATCTCGTGTGCTGCGTCAAGTCGTCAACACTATCTACTACGATTAAAGTGTTTGAGCCCAATGATGCTATGACCAAAGGCAAGAAGCAGAAGGGTCTTGGAAAGCTCATGGGTGGTGGTTTTGATGAACTGAGGCCATTCAAGGAGTTCTACATTCCCACAGAATCGTCTTCTGTGCACTTCCTAAAGTCGAAACTGTGCGTGGCATGTGCCAGGGGCTTTGAAGTCGTCTCGCTCGAGACACTAGAAACGCAGTCGCTGCTTGACCAGGCAGATACCTCCTTGGATTTCGTGGCCCGCAAAGAAGGAGCTAAGCCCATCCACATCGAACGTCTCAACGGAGAATTTCTGCTCAACTACTCCGAATTTTCCTTCTTTGTCAACCGAAATGGCTGGAGAGCTCGACCAGAGTGGAGAATTGATTGGGAAGGTTCACCTCAGAACTTCGCGCTTAGCTACCCCTGGATTCTTGCATTTGAGCCGAACTTTGTTGAGTTGCGCAATATTGAGAATGGTGCTGTGCATATTGTACCTCATAAGAATATCAGGATGCTTCACAGCAGCACTCACGAGGTATGTACCCCTAGACCTGAATTCAACCAACAAGACATGTGTTGTTCCATTTACTAATTGGTTTACGATAGATTATATTCGCCTATGTAGATGAACGAGGGGAGGATGTAGTAGAATCCATCGATTTTTGGAAGAGCAGCAAGCGATCGGACGTGTTTGGCGCACAACCGGCCTCATAAACTACCGAACAGCAATAATGGTAGTCTTCGTTCAACAACATTTTAGAACTCTTTAATTTCCAGGAAATTCTTCTTGGATCCTACGAAGTCGCAAAGATATCGTTGCCTCATTCCTGAGAGCAATATATTTGAGCAAACAGTTTTAACCCTGTTTCTTTCTTCTTTGCTATTCCCTTCTTTGTTTTTTTTTACCTGTTACATACGCCTTATTAAGCACTTCGACTCCAGTCGGGGCGAGATGGGGTATCTATACTTTATATGAGCGCAAAAAGAATCAAGAGGCATCCTTGCAATTGCCTTTAGCGCCTACAGAGGTCTGTCTTAATGCCATTCCGCCTTTTTTATTTTTATTTCTCTTTCTTCTCTTTATTCGTTCTTTTTCCTGCTTTTGTTCGTAAGTGAGTGGCGAGAGTGAGTTGGCGAGAGCAGGACCGGCCAGCAGTTGAGCTCACCCAGAGCCATCCGGAAGGGGGAATGGAATTGGAGTATCAAAATGAAGGAAAACGTATACGTAGTTGAGAGTGGGAAGCTTTGTAACTTAGGGGGGTAGGATTTGAAACCTGGTACTTTTTTTTTTTTTATTTTTTTTTTAAAGAGGACGTTCATAATTGGAGGTAGATTCATTTACACACAAATACCTGTAGTAGACCGGGCAGCTCGCAGCTTTTAGCATATTTGTTTAAGAATTCATGTAATGAGTGATTGATTCAAAGGGTTTCTAGGCAATATTTACTTATGCTTAAAGTATTCCAAGCCTGCCTGCTGGTACAAAAATGGTAGTGGACAACGAAAGTAGTGTGACGAGAGACAAGAAACAAAAAGATGGATAGAGCGCTACAATCTAAATTAATAATCTATGGTGATTCCTCATCATGACTGGTTTTCTCTCTTTCTCTCACCGCCGGAGATACTAAGAACACGACCATTGTGAAAAACCACAACCGTCCAACGCTGTTCTCTCCTCTTTCTCCGCCCCCTTTCCCCTTCCCAGAAGCCTATTTCATCCAGCAGCACCTCCACGACCGTCATAGCACGGAGCGAAGAAGGTGCAACTCCGCTGGGACGCGGAGCTCGCGTGCAAAGGAGGTGGAGACCAAGGAGCTGGGTAAAGACGAGGCCAAAGGTTGGCTTGTTCGCCTTGTAAGATGCGCTGGCCTGGGCGGGGCTGAAGATGGACCGCAGAGTCGGGTCGGTAGAAGAAGCCGATTTGTAGGCGGTGGACGACGACGACGATGATGAAGCAGCGGCGGACTGTTGCTCTGGTAACTGCAGGGTCGAGTTCAGGTTCAGGTTTAGGTTCTCATGGCTGTGAGATTCTGAGGCGTGGGCGCCGGAATCTGTGGAGTTGATGAGGATGACGAGGGGGTTTGAGGGGAGAGTTCTGGAGAGACGGCGGAGGCGGGTGGCTAGGAGACGAAGAGCGGCGTGGGCGGCTGGTTTGTCGCGCTGGGTGAAGAAGCTGGTAAGGAGGGAGGAGAAGTGGGTTATGAGGAGGATGTCGGGAGGAGTGGCTTTGGCGTCGTTTTCGTCGATTTGGATTTTGGCAGCGTTGTGGGTGTCCGGCTCTGTTTTTGCATCTTTCGTATTGGAGATATCGTGAGATTGAAGTTGAGGAGGTTGAGGTATCGTTACTGGAGATGGTGGTGGTGACGGCGTTTCGTCTTCGTCTTGGCTATCTTGAATCTCGGCGACGACAGACGCTTCCTGTGGCTTCTGCTCCTCTATGCTCGTGATAATAGCATCACCAGCATCACCAGCATCACCGGCATCACCAGCATCACCAGCATCACCGGCATCACCACCACCACCAGCAGTAGAACCAGACTGTGCTGCTGTTACAATAGTCGTCTCTTTAGCTGATTGCATCTCCCCACCTCCAGAGGCAGCAGTCGTGGCGTCCAAATCCGCCAACACCTCATCCAGGCCATCCATATCGAAGACGCGCGACAGCATGATGCGATCCAGACAGTCTTTCCTCCGGGCCGCAATTTCATCGGCGGCCGAGACATTTTTTGCCTTGAGCTCGGCCGTGATGGCGTTTTTCAGCAAGACGACGATGGTGCTCGGCGGTTTGGGTGTAATGACCTGAACTTTTTGAACGGCCTTGTCGAGGAGAGAACATGCCAACACTTGGAGCCCCAGCTGCGACAACATGATGTTAGATATCGTCTCCAACCAGGAAGAGGGCGGGAAACAGAGCAATAGAAAAAAAAACACGAGAGTGATTACAGTAGTAGATCAGGGAAACCTACCATCACGCCCACTCCATCTTCATCCTCTGCGCTTATCCCCACAACGCTCCCTCGCTCAAAGCCGCCAGAAAGAAGAACATAATCGTCCAGATCGTCACATCCACTCCGACACGGCCCCAGGCCTCTCACAAAATCGCGCCGCTGCTTCTCAATGCTCGCAAGAGTTGAGGCCGACACGGGCTTGGGCCGTGAAGGGTCTTGTTGATGGCCCAGTGAGGTGAGAATGTGAGGACGATCCGAGGTTCCCGCCATGCTCTCTAATGGCATTGATTAATTAATTACACGTCTGAACAAACTACCTTGGCTTGGTGCACCCGACGCAATGAAGCTGTTTGATCCCAAAGATGATATTGTTCTTGTTCGTCTTTATGACTGCAAGGCATGATTAACAATCGTTGTGGCCAGCTCCATCACATACCGGCATACCAGAGCGAATACAGAAAAAAAAAAAAAAAGAGCCTTAATTGAGTGAGTAATGCGAGATTGAATTGATGAGCCCAGTAGAAGATGATGGATGATTTGGCAATCCTATTATGTATGATGTTGAGAGAAGACGTTGATTGTGGAGTCGCCATCACAGATGAGAAAGCTGGCGCCAGTGAAGGAAGCCACCAAGTCTGGCCACCGAAGAATCTCAATGATACATAAACAAACCACACCACACTAGGCACAACTCACTCATGTTGCAGTCTATGAGGTGGTTCTATAACACGAGCAGCATACATTTTCCTTTTCTTTTTTAAACACCAGTTCGGCTAAATAGCTTCAACTACGCTTTCCATAAAAGACGTCAACTCGCGGCTGGCCAACTGCAGGAATTCTATTATCGCAGCTATGAAGTCAACATCGTACATGACTTCAGCTTATCAAGAAACGATCATCCCTCACATCTTCCATTCAGCTACCAATTAATTCATTTTTCAGAAACCTTTTATGTGGCAGAAAGAAGAGATAGTCTCATATGCAGTAGAGAAATGGAAATAGTTCACAACCTATTTTGTCTTAGTTTTATCTTTAAAGAACACAAAGTCAAAACAGTTTCATATGTATTAAGTACACAGCCCGCTGGAATAAGAAAAAGTGGTAAGAAAAACACGAAGGAAAAAAAAAAAAAAAAAAACTAAAAAAGAGTCTTCATATGCGGGCTTTGACGAATAACCAAAGGCTCAATTCTTTAAATGGGCAGGCATCTCTCTTATGCCCCAAATTACTCCTCTAGGGAGAAACAAAAAAAAAAAAAACTTCCCTTCCTCCTCATCATTCTTAATCCCCCTTCTCTCTCCGAAAATGTCATGCGGATATCATTTTTATAGACCATGGGGAACCGAACATTCGTATCGTCCAGCTGCTGCTTTCACAATTTCACGCTTTGCCAAATCCAAATGCAATGTGCTTTAGGTAGCCATCCCCGGTGCCTCGGCATTCCTGGTTGGTCGCCTGCCTCCCTTCAAACTCTTCATTCGGCCCAAGAGGCCTGATGGCTTGGCGGGAGCCTCGTCGGATGGAGATGGTAGTGCCTCCGCGCTTCGTCCCTCCAACGCACCTGCTGCTGAGTTTTGTCGTGGCTTCAGTGGCGGTGATGGCCTGGCCTCGCGCTCACGCTCGCGTTCACGCTCACGAGGAGGAGGTCTCGGGGCTCTGACATCTTCACGACCGCCAAACTCGCCAAAGTCGTCGGATTCATACCGGCCGTGGCCAGGCATGGGTCTGTTGCTGTAGTCTGGTCGCACCCTGTTTTTGATTCTCTGTGCTACAGACTTCTTCCGCTGCAAGCCACCTTCAGCAAACTCCTGAGCCTGCTCTGCGTTTCGGCGGACAATGGCCGATCTTGCGGCCGGCGTTCCTTCAAGGAAGGTTGAGGTGCCTAGTCCATGAGACTCGTCTCCGTGCACCAAACTGGCACGAGACGATGAGTCAAAGATAACGGGTTCTCGACTCTTGCTCTTGCCGCTAGCGGCATAGTCACGGAATGCCTCGTCAGAGCCGTGGCCCATAAAGTTCGAATGGTCAGCCTGGGCGTTGAGTGGGCCGGAACCGCCAAGTGTGTTGTTAAGAGAGCCCTCTGGGAAGGCTTGCATCGGAGACAGTTTCTTGCTGTTCTGGCGATTTCGGTGAGGGTTGAGGGCGTCAAAAGGCCCATCGTGATGGAATACTAAAGGGAAAAGATGAAGAGTCAGAAAATACATGCCAGGACATCATACTGAGGAGAGTTGCCAAATCGGTTGTACATACAGCCTGTTCCATAAATGCTGGTGGCGTCCAGCTGATCAATAATGTCCATTTTGCGGCTGGGGCGCTGCTTGGCCTTGCTCTTCTCCCGACGCTTGGCCTCAATCATCCTCTTCTCTTCAGCAGTGAGATCAAAATCCATGACTGATGAATCAGAGTTGCGCCTCGGGCGTCGCTGCACCGGCTTACGAGGCGGCGAATCGTCCAAGAGGCTTGGGCGGGTAGTGCTCGACGGGGCGTTCTTTGGGGGTGGCTTGCGGGCTCTCAGGGCCTCTTCCTGAGAGCGGGTAGGGCGATGCTTGCTGGATGCCTGGCTTTCGCTTTCACGACGAGGAGGAGCTGGCCGGTCTGTAGGTCGCTTCTTGGGCTGCGAGTCGCCAGGCGGCTGCTTTAGTGAAAAGGCAGGAGAGTCGTCGAGCGTCAGAGATCCCTAGATTGATTGGCATGACTAGTTAGCACTGGCTGATTGTTGACTCCGGAGAGGTATCAGTCGTCGGCACACGCGACCATGTCGTAGAGGGAGATAGAGAGAGAGAGAGAGAGAGACGGAAACGCACAAAGATGTCTTCAGCAGTGAGAGACTGAGTCTTGTCGGGACCAGCAGCACCAGCAGCAGCCAGGTTGTCAACCGGCCGTGGTGCTAGAGGCTGGTCCAAGAAAGGGTTCCGCGATAGAGGGCGTGAGGACGGCATCGGGTCGGCAAAGGGCGATGTAGGCGTCGTGGGGAAGGATGGAGAAGCAGTGCGCATGTTGCGGAAGGGATTGTTGGAGGCGAGGCTATCGCTGTTATTATCATTGAGGTCGCCGTTGAACGACAGCCTGGGCGGCTGCGAGGCGGGTTGCTGCCCTATAGGAGACGGCATCAGCATGAAGCGACGGACAGCTGCAGGCCAGATAGGCGAATGATGGGCAAAACATGAAACAGGACGGCATCCCGTCTCGTCAACATGACACAGCAGGAGGAGGGTCGATCATAAGATGGGCTTGATGCGCCCGCCAGGTGGGCTTTGGGCCCCTTGATTAGTTTCGACCGCAGGCGCCATGCGAGAATCCCATCCATTCGCCTCGTTGACGATGCCCCCTTTGCGCGTCTTGCCGCCGTGGTGTCGCAGGACGGGCCAGCGCCAGAGGACGGTCGGCAACACGGCACCAGGAGCGACATGGCCGAAGCTCAAATGAATCGAAACAAGGACGGCATCACGACGCAATTGGGGGCTGCAGAGCGGAGGGGGCGCTTACCGAAGTAGAAGCCGTTGGCGGACATGATCTGATGGCTATACAATTGCTTCAACGTCAAAATGTATGTCCAAAGGGTCTCGAGAGCCGTTGACTCGCGACACAGGGGAGTATGGCAGTTAAATTCCTGGGAGCTGCAAGGCTGGGCTTAGCGTCATATACCGGTGGCAAGCCGCCAAACAAAGATGTGCGCTACCCGCGGGCAACCAGGCACCACCACCCTCTAAAGAAGCCACTGCTAGCGCTGGAGACGGCCCTGGGCGAGCAACGTGAGGGCGCTGAGAGCACTGCGTGCAAGTTAGCCGGGGCTGGTTACAGCACAAGGGGCCCCCCTTCGCAGCTGGCAAACGCACGCGGCAGAGACTGGACAGCCAACCTCGAGGGTGCCAAAAATAACTGGGCTGGCAGCGGGAGCAGTCGTGTTGCAGCAGGTAATCTTAATAGCAGGAATAGGGAACAGACGCACAGAGTACGGAGCAGGGAGCGAGTGAAAAGAAAAAAAAAAAAAAAGGACCAAAGAAAGGAAGAATGAATGTATGAATGAATGCATGCATGCAGCACTAATCGATTGGTTGATTGATGGATGGATGGACGGATGGACAGATTACTGGAAATTGATGGTGATGGGCACAGGTCGCGCAGAACTCGCCCCTCCACACTGTGCTACTGTACTACTGCCGCTATGCCCTTTCTCCAGATCCAGAAAAGGGGGGTGGCTGCCCGCGCTTGGGCACGGGAAGTACCTATTCGCGCTGGGCTGCTGCGAATAGCGATCAGCGGCCCCGGCTGCCCGTAGCAATCAGGACCATCCGGCTAAGTACAACTACCTGCAGACGACAAAGCCGAGGGCACTCCTTCGCTTGGATTGTCGGTGCCGTAAAAAGAGCGCCGAAGCAACCAATCTCTCCCCGCCAGCTCCAAGGGCTTTAGGGACTGTTTCCCCCCTTTTGCTTCGTTACTTACTCGAGATGAATTATACTGTATGCCGTTTGGCGAGTGGATTCGACCCTGGAGCTGTGAACCCCCCCAAAAAGCTCCTAAAGCAGTAAAGACCCGGGGCGGGGGCAAGTTGACCTGCAGATTAGCGCTAAGTGGGAGCGGCCAGCCCACTAAGAGCTTTTAGGTACCGCTAGTGCTGCTACTATTGTACCTCCTAATAATACTGTAATTGTTGCTGTATGAGGCAGATGAATTCTCCTAGCTAAATCTATGCAAAATGAAGAACTACTCCATACTAGGATCAATGATCACTACTACTACATAGTAGTCCAGAGGGAAACTCACAGTGCGAGATAGCCAAGACCCGGAATGTTTGAAGACGGGGCAGAGGAGGCGAAACCAGGAGGTGGTAGCACAGGTACCTAGAGGAACCTCTTGCAACGCATAGGCAGTTGGTGCTGTAGTACCTGGTACTTGGTATCCGCGCAGTGGAGGCCGGCTGCTACCTGAAACATGCGCGTATCACAGGGCACAGGAGAGCCGTCCACAGCAGATGGCACTCCGTATCCCCCGTACAGGTACATCCGTACGAGTAAAGTGCATGCAGGCCCAAGAGCCAGGGGGGTCAGGAAGCGCGCTTCCTGCTACAGAAGCCACTAACGCTGAACCCGGAAATGGCCTCCCCAGTGCAAATTTAAGGGTCCAGTACGGAGTACAGCGTCTGCGCGTCGGTCGGCGATATCAAGATGGAACCTCGCACATACTGGATTAGGTATGTAGATGGTTGCTCTGAGCGCAACTAAACTCCCTTTATCATAGTAACCCTCTCTGTCTGTCTATGTACCTGGGCAGCAGCCCGGAATCTCGCATTGTTTTGCCTCGTCGGAATATTGATAAAAAAAAAAGTAAAAGTAAAAGTCTGCTTACCTCGTATCGTTAACACCTATCAACCTCCAAGCATAGATGGCTCTCACAAGCGCTTTTGTGGTGTGTGACACAATCTCGCATGCTCCCCCCTTCCCCTCCTCTCATCATCAAGCATAATACAGCCCCCCTTCCAAACATATAGACTCGCCAGGAGAAAAAAAAAAAAGAGCTGGAGACGACCAGTAGGGAATCTCAATTAATCTCTCTCTCTCTCTCTGTATCTTTTAAAAAATCTCATCAGTGGGGGAAATGAGAGATCAATGCCCTGGATCCGCTTTTCTTTCTTCAACAACATGCCCATAGTGGAAATTTGGCGAATGAAATACTGTACATAGACAAAAAGACAGCCAAACAAACTGCAAGCCTTTGTGCTATCAGGAAACAAGGGGTCCATGTTTCAGCGGGCGATCCCCTGCTGCTGGGTCGTTGAAGAGAGGGGCAAAACGCCATTTAATACGCTTAAACCCAGGATAAATGCCGTGATCCTAGGTAGGGCGAACCTGGCTGCCATGTTCGTATTTAGGTAGATGTAGAGAGAGAGAGAGAGAGAGAGAGAGTCTTCTGAAACACCGTTGCCGTGAGGAAGCGAGTGGCATCATACCATTCCCATTTGTACGGATCAATCTCCTAGCATTGGTTCCTCATATTATTCTAATTGCCTCCTAGTACGGAGTAGTGTTAGTGTTGGAAGACAACTTACAAGGAATAACTTGTATAGATTTCCAGCTACTACTGCTGCAACTACTAGTATGTACATGTAGTATGTAGTATTAATGGGTACACAAAAACCCCCATTATGGGAGAGGGAGAGAGAGAGAGAGAGAGAGAGAGAGCGTGAGAGAGAGAGCGAAAGACTACCGGATGAGAATCCGGCTCGGGAGTCTAGCCGAGGGCCTTGAAGTTCTCGAACCCACCCCTATACTGCAAAGGATCGTATTGTTTTGTTTCGCAAGGTTCCAAATTAAATATCCAATAGCAATGCTACTACTACTGCTACTTGCCATTCTAAGATAGCTTAGTACCTAGCCGGCAGCAATATGCCGTTTCTTCTGCCACAGCAACCACAGTTGCATTCCAAGGGTTGTATATGGGGTTTAAGATGTTGTGCTCTATCTGTAACAATACTAATGATAATTCCAAGATCTTGTATCGATAAATGAAGCACGTGATTTTCACATGGCTGCTCCCAACGACCTCTCATCTGTGATAAGACGTAGAGGGCGAAAGGGAAAGCATGGATTATATGATATATATATAGCATTTATCTTGAATCTAAGCCAAAGAGAACCACATACTCGATCTGACATATCCATATCCTCCAAGCATAAACAAAAGGAAACATTTGGTAGACAGGAGCGTCTCCTTTACGTCTTTGGCCCCTTCACTCTAGTCCTCTGCTGTTAGTCTACAACGCACTCGTCCACGTTTATTTCCCAGCTAAAAGAACCGGGAGTACGCACAGTATGAAGAAAAAGAAACCTGGTTACTTTCATTTCCCAATTGAAGAAGATCAGAACTACCCGACAAAAAAAAGGTACACGATCCTCTTCAGTCTTCCTCCTATTACCCTTCAAATTCTAGCACAGCCGACCCCCCTGTCGTCGACGCGCTGTTCGCCCGGCGCCGCCCAGCCGCTGTGTCAACCTCTAATAAGTTATGATCATGCCCCGGTCCTTTTGAAGCCGCCCCGGACCCTGCCTGTGCATCTGCTCCGTCTAAAAGGTCGCGGTCAGTGCTCATGACTGACCGGCGCTCAATATCCGTGCTAGCGCCCTTCCTCACGCCAACTGCAACGCCAACATCGTCATCGTCATCTTCGTCATCCTCAGTCCGCTGGCTGGGCAGAGCATTCTTTTCCAGCTCCCTCTGGGCCTCTTCCATCCTCCTTCGCACCTCGGTCGCCACCCGCATTCCGTCCGTGACGATGTTATCCAAAACACCGCGCAAGCCGCGGCCGCCTCCCATGGGGCCGGATTGAGCCTGGGCCTGTGATCTGGTGCTAAAGCCTAGGTTGGAGAATGTGGTAAGTGAAGGACCGTAATAAGAGCTGCTGGGGGCTTGAAGGCCTTCTATGATATGAAGTGATGTCGGGAAAGACGATTCAAAGAACTGTTCGAGAATCTCGTCTGCCAGCACAACCATTCGGAAAGTTGGCAGTGTGATATGGAGCGGATGAGCTGGGTCAAGCGCTGCGTTGGCAGCCTCAGCCTTGGCTTTTGATACGCGTCGACGAGACTCATTATCGGTGCTGGCGCCATCGAAGCTCTCTTCATTAGGGCTTAATAAGTTTGCAGTCTTTTTAGCTTTTGTAGGAGTACCGGGCGGTGATTTCTCAAGAGCTAGGAGATCTTCCTCCTCCTCCTCCTCCTCTTCTTCATCGTCCTCATCATCTCCTATTGCAAAAGTATTCGGATCAACCATTAGGTCTTCATCCGATGTCGAAGTTCCAAAGTCCTGTCCATCTTGATTTTTTGGGTGGTCAGGGTCGGCATACTCAAAACATCTCCTGATAAAGGCGCTGATGCTTCCCAAGAATCGCTCGTTGGTCGATATTTCGGGGGGCAAGCTGCCCTGCGAGTCGCTAGCGCTAATATCTCCATTCAACCCAATGCTCGAAGCCCCTGGACTCAGCGTGCCCTCTAGTCCGCGTCGAGACAGGAAGAGTAAAGCCTCGGATATCCGCAGGATGCCCTCTCGGTCTACCTTTCCATCGTTATCATCATCGTAGAGCTCAAAGAAATACGTAATTGTGCCCATGATGTCCTTCTTGCCCTTAATCCTGGCTATGCCGGTCACCACATTTTGCAGGGTCAACGCTGACGATCCGTCAACATCCCACTTGTTGAAAACTCGTTGTAGAAACTCATGTTCAGCGGGTTCGGGTCCGTTACCCCAAGGCGACATGGTATCGGGCACCTTCTTGGCGCCGTAATACTTGGCCTCCCCCCCATTTGCCGAGGAATCTGAGATGGCCCATTTAGACATGCCAGCCAAAAACTCACGGAAGGCATCGTAATCCATTAGACTGGTGCTTGGGCCAAGTCCAACGCGGCCCTTTTCCACTTCGTTGGGAGCAGTCGTAGCGAGGATTTCCGAGGCCCGCAGTCTACTCGTCTTTGCCTGGCGCTTCAGCTCTTCCTGGATCATTCGATCCCGTTGCTGCCGCTCGTACAGGACATTGTAGAACCGATCGTACAGGGAACCGAGCTCTTCCGGGCTTAGCAGCTTGCTGTCGGGTCCTAGGTTGCGAATCGCCGTCCTCTTGGCGAAGCTCTCGATATTATTCAGGACAGAGTCTTTGTTCTTGAGCCGAAGCTCTGTGATGCTGCTGTGAGTGACTCCGGAGAACTCCTTAAAGGCCACAACCATCAGCTCTTGAAATCTTGTAACCGCCCTCAATTTAGGGTTTTCTGACTTCGGATGGGCTGATTCGTCGAGTCTAGCAAAATATGACTTGAGCACGGATATGAAGGCGCCGTCATCGGGTGCATCCAGCAGCTCCTCGCCATTTATCCGCAGGATGGCAAGGCCAACCTGGAACAGCACTTTGGGGCCCTCGACGAAGAAGACATCCAAAACGCGGAAAGCAAAAACAAGGGGCATAGAATTAATATACAGAGAAAGGAACCAAGGAAGCGAAACGACTGATAGCTGAACATCGCTCTTTACAAGATGCTCCCACAGAATGGGCATGGTTTTCTCAACCAGAGATTCAAAAACTTTTTGGTCCAAGAGGGTGCCGTACATGGTGGTGGAATAATACCCGGGGACTAGACGATCGCATAAGGCCGAGAGAAGGAAAAAAGCCTGAGACTCCGACATGTAGATGAGCAGCGCAGCCACAACAATATTCATAGCCTGGCAGTAGCCCACATCAGCATTGACCCAGCTGTAGGCCGTGAGGACACGACGAAGCCTGCCAATGCCTTCCTCGCTCTGGAAGCCGGGATACTCGGGCAGACTGCGGTTGAGATCTTTCTCAATCTCATCAATGGCAAGCGACTCCTGGCCCTTGTACTTGGCCAACGTATCAGTGTATAGCGTCGGGTTTTCCAGCCGAAGATACAGAGAGCCGGAAGTCACCTCCCATATCTCGCCCCGAAGTCTGTTTGGGAGACCAACACGGATAAGCTTGTGGAAAGTGGGTTGACGGATCAGCATCATATTCCGGCCATTATCCCGAAGATATTCAGCCCATAGTCTCATCTTGGCTCTATCGCGGAGCTTCTTTGGATCTCCGGGATATCGGAAAGCCATACCCAGTCCTGCATCTGGCGGCGATACGTTGGCCTTGTCATCTGTCCGCAAGAGATGTTCAGAGTAGCATTCAGCCACGACTTTGCGCAGCTTGCCCACGTTACCAACTCCAGCTCTGAGACCCCGTTTTAAGCCGTCGCAGAACCGTTCACAAGCCTGCCGAGTGCCTGCTAAGTGGATGGTAATGCGCTGTTCTCGAACGTTCTTGTTGCTGCCGCTGCCATCTCTGGGCTTTGAGGCGTCCGCTAGTAAGCCATTCCAAGTCGTGATCGCGAGAGCAAACTGGTGGTTGAAGCTTGTTAGTCGTGTACCACTTTACTGGGCTACCAGATATGACATACTTGAAAGTTTTGGCTATTCAATCTCTCCACTCGTCTAATAGCACAGAGCGGAAACGTGAAGCCACTTCCACTCGGCCCGCTACCATTGGTCTGGCCGGTAAAGGCGGAAGAAGTCGACGTGCTCGCTGACTGCGTGAAGCTTGTCGGCGTTGTCGAGAAGCACATGTAGGCCTCGGAAAGGTGTAGCTTTCCAGCATAATGCCATCCCCTATCATGGTCCGGATCGCCGCGCGTGGAATTTGAGGGCGGGATGGTCAGCTCCGCATTGATCTCGTAGAGAGGAGTTTGTGAGGAGGGAAGCCGGAACTGGCTCTGGAACAGGGAGGCCTTGGAGGGATTCCGATCCGAGTTGGAGAGATTCAATCCCTGGGTGGGATCGATGAGCTGCTGAGCTCTCTGGACGATGTTGGACAAGTTGGAGAACATGGTTTCGACAAGATTCAAGGGCGCATGACGGTGTTATGATGGCAATGACTCCAACCCAGGCGACAGCAGAGCGGCTGGCCGTCGGATGGCTAGAAGAGCCGCTGATATGTTGCTTGTTTGCTGTCGTCGGGCTGCCGGGATTGGGCCGTCGCGAGGGGAGGGAAGGAGGCGGACTCGAGTCGTGGAGGTCGGTGGCGAAGCTTTCACAGCGCCGGGAGAGCGGGTTAGATGCTGCAGACGCCGTGGAGAGCGTCAGATGCCGTGGGCGATGCTGGCGATGTCGGGACGTTGAGCTGAGCTTCGAGGTCTGGTGGTGAACACAGTCAGTGACGGCAAGTGTCCAGGCTGCCGTTGCTGCTAGCGGCCGTGGCAGCGCTGGCGCTCGCGGGGCTCGCCCTTACGAGAGCTAGCAGTGCTGGGGCTGGCTCGCCGTGGTTCAGCCCGCCAACCAGCGAGTCTGCCTTGGCTGCAGGGCTGCATTCCACCAGCCAACCAGCGGGTTCCAGTGCTCATGACGCCTAGCAGGTCCGCTGATCCGGCACGGTACAGGGGAGTTGTCATGCCCATCTCGGCAGCTGGGCGCACTGCTCGCTCGCTCTCTATCGTGGTTATACTGTACCACTTGTACACACATGTACATGCTAGCAGCGCCTACTACCATTGCACCTACTAAGGTCAGCAAGGGGCCGGTGAGATCAAAATGCCGTCCACAAGTCTTCCTAACAGTGGCTCTAGTACCTGGATTTGTCTGACACCTGAGGTACAGCACAGGGGCACTCGCCCGCAGGGACGTGTATGAGAAGCATTAGGCCGTTTTTGTATGCCATTGAAAGTTGCCCCTGTTTGATGCCCCGTGACCATCATGCACACAAACGATGCGTTATGCCACCACTCCATACATCTCCTATGAGGCGTCGCATGCAGTAGAATTCATGCAAGCAGTCTGAGATCGATGGCTGGCGCAAAGGAGACGCAAACAAGAATCCTAATATAGGAGCTGGCATATGGATGATGGGCGGGTGAAAAGCTTGTTAAGATGAGTGCACTCGTATTCATTAGGCGCAAGGCGACGATACATAATGCGAACATATGTGCATACTGATCTGTTATCAGATACCGCAAGGCCCGCGCTGGCATCTCCATAATGCATGGCCTTCCATTGGCTGCGGGCTAATCCGCGCAAAGTGTGCCGTTGCATCCCTAAATCTCTGTGCCCGCCGAAGCTGTCAAAACCCGATGACTTACATGCCGCCTGCATGGTCTCTGGAAATGGTAATACGCCAGGTTAGTATGTAGTACTCATTGCGAAGTATGGCACCCAAGGTTGGCACTGAGCTTTCTCCACTGCAATAGGGTAAAATGAAGAGAAAAGCATAAAGTTAGGCTAATTTATCAAGTAATACTACAGTGATATATTTATATCAGAGCTTGTACCTAGTATTGATGGAACAATGGCCGATGGTGTCGCTTATTATCCCGCCACCGTCCTGATGTCATCTACATGTACCTACCTGCATATCTCCGCGTGTAAGTGCGTGTAAGTGCCAAGACCACAACAAGAACCTATAGGTACCGTCTCCTACGCATGGCCAGTCCACACGCCGGAGCTGTACTGTATCCAATTGATCACGATGGCATTGCCTGCCAAGCCAAGCCCAGCCAGCTGGAGCCATGGCGGCCGCATGCCATCAACTCCAAACAAGCCAAAAAAGGCTGCTCCTCGACCTCCGCCGGATTCCCTCTTGCGCTGCTAGCGTGCCCCTTGGAGCATCGCCAGCACCTGCTAGGGTCCAACGGCCCAGTAGCCTCTCGCCTGTTGCGTCATAAGTGCCCCTCGCCCGGCCTCCACGAACTACCCACGGGCTGGTGGCACAAGATATCAGCCTCAGCTTGCCTCTTATCGCCTGGCTCTTTTTTCCACTTGCACTCGTCCAATGGCTGAACCGCCAAGAAGCAATTGAGCAGCACAAACCACCAACAGCCAGGTTCCGTCTCTCGTTTCTCTCTCTCCGCTCATCGCAAAAGAAAAGAAAGGCTTTACAAAAACAGGCCTCTCTTCCGTCAGCGCGCCGAGTCCAGCAATCCCATCCCGTCCTCTGCTGCCACCATCCTCCGGATTCCTTTCGCCGGATCTCTCCGCCACTGCTCTCGCCATGCTTCGACTGAACCAATAGCCGACATCTCCCTCGCGCTTTTTCCTTTGTGTCGCCTTTCACAAATAAGCACTCGGCCGACCTGTGCGCGCGCGCGCATCTTTCGCTTCGCTCCCCCATCTCTCTTTGAAACTTTTTTTTTTCTTACTCTATACATTCTACGAGGCCATGGACCTCCCCTGATTTGAATCCGCCGACAAACTCATCAATCAAACGCCAAAAACGCGTACGGCCGGCTTCATCCGCCTCTTCTTTTTTTTTCTCTTTTTTTTTTTGCGCATTTCCAGGCGTCGCAGATGGCCGCCACAGTTGCTGAAACGCAGCCGGCCACTCCTGCGTTATCAGCCGGCATGGCCTCGTCTCACCAGCTCCACCAGGCCGGTAACGCTCCCAAGCCTCTACAGCTGACTCGCACGTTCAAACTCGCCGATTTCACGCGGGTACGGACTCTGGGAACAGGTTCGTTTCACCTCGTGCATCCTTGAATCGCCCCATCTCCAGCAGCAAGCAAAAAATCGGCTCTGGTCAATGACATTTTTTACTAAATATACACATTTTTTTCTTCTTCCATGTAGGGACATTTGCTCGAGTGTGTCTCGTCCGCCCTGCTAGCGCCACCGTGCCTCTGGAAGAGGACAAGAACGCAGAAGTTTACGCCCTCAAGATCCTCAAAAAGACAGAGGTTATCAAGCTGAAGCAAATCGACCACGTGCGCCACGAACGAGCAGTCCTCGCAGATGTGGCAGGCCATCCCTTCATCACCAATCTGCAGGCTTCCTTTTCCGACAGAGATTGTTTGTATCTGGTTCTCGACTACGTCCCTGGCGGCGAGCTTTTCAGTTATCTGCGCAAATACCGCCGGTTCGATGAGCAGGTCGCCCGCTTCTATGCCGCCGAAATTGTTCTCGTACTGGAGTACTTGCACGAGAAGCAGGGCGGCGTCGCTTACAGAGACCTCAAGCCGGAAAACCTGTTGTTGGACAGGGACGGGCACATAAAACTGGCCGACTTTGGCTTTGCGAAAAGACTAGGTTATAAAGATGATAGACCCGTCGAGACTTACACGTTATGTGGGACGCCCGAATACCTTGCGCCAGAGGTAATTCATAACAAGGGCCATACGACGGCAGTGGACTGGTGGGCGCTGGGCATCCTGATATATGAATTTTTGACGGGCTACCCTCCTTTCTGGCACCAGAACCCTATTGAGATTTACAAGCAGTAAGTTGAACGATTTTCTGGCAGCGTTTGACTCATTAGAGCAAAAATCCCCCAATGATGCCTGCAAATATTTTTTATTTCTCGCTTGACTTGTTACGCCAGCCAGTTGCTAATACCACAGCCAGGATTGTCGAGAAACCCGTCGTCTTTCCTCAAGAGCCTCACATTTCAGACGAGGCCAAGGACATTATCAAGTCGTTTTGTACACTCGACCGCTCCAGACGCCTCGGTAATATCAGCGGCGGGGCCGGCCGCGTCAAAGCCCACCCCTTTTTCCACGGAGTCAACTGGGAGGATCTCCTCAGTCGTCGGCAGCCCGGCCCGATTATTCCCCCCATTCGATATCCCGGCGACGCCCAGTGTTTCGACATGTACCCCGAGGACGACGGGAAGGGAGACGTTTATACGGCCGAGTTGGCCAATAAATACGACCAATATTTTGAGGATTTTTAAAAGACACGATAAGCTATATATACCTTTTTGGCTTATGCTTAATTTTGTTTTTGTTAAGGCGGGAAAAAAAGAAGAGATAGCGTAATGTCTTTACCTGTCTGTGTATGAATGTGTGTATGAGAGAGAAAGAGCTTGCGTGTCTGTTTCAAAGTTTCATTAATTTTAATTGGCGAGAGAGAAGTGTGTTATAGGTAATACCTTTTTTGTTTTTCTTTTGGGTGCAAAGTCTTTTGTTTTCAGAACCTTGAAAGGGATATATAACGATCGGGGTGGACCTAATTTTTCTTTCGCGTGTACATGGTCATCAGAAGAACGGGGAAGGGGGAGAGAGAGAGAGAGAGAGGAAAAAGTAAAAGGGAAGAAGGACTGGATGTTCTTTTTGGAAAGTCTGTGTTTATAACATTTTTTTTCCACGGCATGGAGGTATATTTAATCGCTACATGCACCTTGACGTGTCATGACTGAGACGATCTCTAAATGGTGTATTAGGTAGTGGTCGATAATTAATGCAGAAGGTAGTCACAACGAATAATGATATCAAAAACGCATACACACACACACACACTCATCTCTTACCAAAATCCATACCTATGCTTCTAACCAGTCTTCTCATTCCCATCATCGCGTCCAAAACATCACAACGCCAACACTCCAAAACCGAAACGTTCAACCTCCCCTCCCCCCACCATCTAGGTATATTGCATCAAATCGCATAAAGAGACAAGTAAAAGATTTAAAAAAAAAAAAAAAAAAAAAAAGATCAAGTGTACCAACAGGTCAAATCCCTGATGGTCCTCTCCATCGCCATTATCATGCTGAACGGTAGAGCCAGTACCCGCCCACGCTCGCCGCCAGCACCGTCGACAGGATATACGCCCCCTGCCGCGTGCTCCAGAGAAACATGGTCCACCCAGCGGCAATCTCCCGCCGTCGCGCAGCCACCCTCCTCTCCCAGGCTTCCGGATCAATCTCGACGGGGAGACGAACTCTCGGGTCGAATCCGTTGGAGCCACCGGGGGAGCCAGACTCGGCGGCTGATTCCAGCACGGCCGCCGGAGGGGCAAGATCGGCAGGTGCCACGAGGGGTACGTCGACTCGGAGGAAGACGGGACGGTGGTCGCTTGTGCGAATCACCGGTAGAGCATCGTACTCACGGACTTTCATCTTGCTCCTGATCCATGACGGGAGCTCGAGGAAGAGGATGCGGTCTGTCCAGCTAGGATATCGGTGCGAGGCGAACTCCCACTTAACCTCGTCGACGGCGTTGCCGGCCTCGCCGGAAGGCTTCGTCTTGGAGTCGACGACATATTTGTACGTGGGCGGGAATTTGACCTCATGCTCTGACAGACCGTGGAGGGTCCGGCCGGCGAGTCTTTCCCTCGTCAGCTGGTCCAGATGGAAAAAGTGCGTGTAGTAGTTTTCTGAACCTGGATCCATGTTTGGGAACGCAGAATAAGGAGTCGGTGAGGTGGTGGAAATGCGGTAATTGAGATCCCCCGCAACAAACAGGTGAGAAGACGGCTTGAAGACGGAGAGATCGTGAAACTGCCTTTGCAATTGGAGATCCTGCTGGTGTTGCTCTTCCCGGAGCAGGCGAGACTGCTCAGTGGCATCCCCTTCCTCGGACGAGATGCTCTCGCCTCTCGACTCGGCATCTCGCCTCATCTGGTTCAGGACCTCTTCCGGGTTCTCAAACGTCAATCCACGCATGATTGTCCCCCAATTGGCGTTCCTCCGCGGCAGATTCCACTCCATGGCAGCCAGATGCGTCGCTACAAACGTCAGCTCCGTCGACTCCCCATCAACCTCATACAGTGCTCGAAGGCCAACCGCTCCCTTGTTGCCCATCTCAGCAGCGCCAAATCCCACTTCCGCTTGTTGAATGTCTTTGAGCCGGGTGGCATCCCGGGCGAAAAGCATGATGGCGGTGTATCCCACATTGAGGGACCTGATTAGCGTAAAGGGCTTCTTTGTGCCACTTGACGGTGAAGAAGGCGGAGGAGCAGGAGAGGAGGCAGAATCCAAGACGCCATCATCGCTTTCTTCACTTGTCAAGTGTAATGTAGCCGCGAGATTTATCGCCTCCTCAAACCGGTCCACATACGGCTTTAGAAAGTAATCCCCGCCAATAAAGGCATAACTTAGGGGGGCAATCTCTTGTAACGAGCTTCATATTGTAAGCACATGAATGTATGTATGTAGCACAAAAAAAACCACCACATGTATATAAAAATATATATATGAAACAAATGAATTGTAAACGAAGAAACAACAACAGTCAAGGAGGCAAAATCTGCAAAACTTACAGAACAACCACCTCGGGCAGCTCCGTGGCATTCCGCGCCAGCGCAGTCCGCAAATGGCCAGCAAACACAGGCACGTCAATGAGCGTCGCGGCGCAGTTAAACGACAGCACCAGCAGGTCCAGCGCCGAGGGCGTCTTCATCGTCTGCACCAGCACGCCGTCGTCGTCGCTTGACTGGTCAGTCGCCGTCGTCGCCCTGCCGCCAGCCATGGTTTCCCCCCTGGAAAAAAAGAAGGGAGATTTTGATTTCGGTATTCCCCCGGGCCAAGAGGCGCGGCACAGCAAAAACGATGGTGTACAAGTGAGTGAGTGATTGGCGCAGCTGCAATGCAGGGTTCGGCTAAAGAAAGGTTGATGGTGTTATTGGCTGGCGTAGCGTATTTTTTTTGGCGCGGGATTCCTCTGCCTGTCCACAAAATAGAAGCGAGAGCAGCAAATGCCATTGGACTGTGCAAGCTGCAGCTCCTGCGAGATGCAGACACAGCCTCCATATATAGCATCCAGCATCCGTCTTTTCTGGTCTGCCTACATGTCTACCTTTAGTACCTAGGCCTCTTGCCTGCCACCTGAACGGTGGATGAATAGTAGCAACCGCCGTAGGTCTAGCTGTAGGCACTCTGGTGTGGCTGAGAGGTACCGGTACATGGCCCGGCAGCCGGTCATGCAGCTATCGCCAGGGTTCTACGCTGCAAATGTATCAGTCAATGGCCAGCCATTCCTGCTTCCAGCGACGTTCCGCCCGGTCAGCTGCGGGCTGTGCAGGCGCGACCATGACTTGCCGCCGCCACTACTGCTCGGGGCTCGGGTAGTAGGTAGTAGTACTAGGTAGTAGCAGTACTAGGCAGGTAATATACTAGGCCTGCTAGAACTCCATGGGGCTCAGTCAGGCAAGGCAACATGTGATCATGCTGGTCTCGTGCGACTCCTCTTGGCCCACGCACGCGACTACAGACGCTCTGTTTACGAGGTGTGAGACGAAGACAGGCACAGTAGAATTATCGACGAGTTGAATGCGCAGCCGTGTTTGTAAGGAAAAAGACAAAAATCAAATTTGATTGCAGACTACATGACCTACTGGCGGAGTTTGTTTCTGGCGACCTAGGACCAAACCCTTTGGCATAGCTATGAATGAACCTTGAACATGTATCCGCCATTTGTGAATATCAGATGTCTTGTCCGGATGAGACAAGCCGACAGATACCATGTACGCATAGATAGCCAAAGAGTTGGGTCAGATGCTGTGGCGTTGGTCCGTACTACCTTAAAGTTGGTTAAGCCATAGTAGCGGTCTCCTCCTGACACAACTCTTGACCGTGGGCCATTTCACTCATGATGATTGTCTTGTTGATAGTGTGATAGCCAATTCCAAGCGTAGCATCAAGCCTGCTGCCACCGCCATCCAAACCCCTGTGCCGAAAAGCAGACTTCACAGATAGCCTCCATTGCCAAAAACGGCAAATGTCGGTTTCACTGTACCAAGAGACTGGCCTCTTCGCCTCCAATCTCATCGACTTCCCCAGAAGCTGCCCTTCGATACATCGGCCTAAAAATAGAAAACAAAATTGCGAACCGAGAAGTTGAAAATAGGATGTTAATGACCAAAGAAAGATAGGAGAACGCCCGTTTGTTGATACGCAGCTGTACCGCAACGACTGAACTTCGGGGACCATGGTAGAAAAATGCTTGCCAAGAACCATGGGCCCAAGTTCTGCATCCTAAGCTCTCGAGCTAGCAAAGGCTTGTACGGCCAATCTCTAACCCTTTTGGCGAGCCATCAAAGACTAGTGCCGTTGGATTTGAAGATTGCTTAGAAAAGAAGGAGTCCAATAATCGAATGTAATCGGACGTGCCGTTCAGATTAATCTCCAAATTACAGGTAGCACTTGAGGTAGAGCATTGAGAGGCTCCAGCCAAAAAGCACTATCCGGTTACTTAGAGTAATCCGAGCCAAGCGTCAAGTCGTGAATATAAGATGCGTCGAAGAACAAGATAAAGCGATGCGTAGAGGGAAAATGAAAATGGGGAACAAAAAAAGGGAGATGCATAGGGAGGAACTGAGAGCCACAACGATCGACGACATGCTTTGCCCGATTAAGGTCACCACTGGACGACCAATGTGAGCTTGTTGCGTGTCTAAAAGTGCCGATTGGAGAGGTTTTCGCAGCAGCCCGCCGCCCCTTTTGCTCAAATCCCACCACAAGAGAGTTGTTCAAGAAACGAAAAAGCCAGGGACACTATCTTCAGTTTGGCCGATAGCTACCAGAGGCATATCCCGCTCCCTTTGAAGCAGAGCGAAGCCTGTTTAGCGTCCACTGAGTCAGCCATAATTGTCAGCAAAATTCCCTTTCGCTAGTGCTATTAAATAAATATTCACGCAGAGGGAGAAGGACTCCTTACGATGAAAGAGCTATGCCAGAATGGAAAGAAAAAAAAAACTCACATCCTATCGCTTCCACCGATAGCGCGGCTGGTATCAGGGGTGTCAACGCCAGCGCCAGAGCCTCGCTCAAGCATCTTGCGGCGAGAGCTGGGGACGGCGCCAGGCTTGGCAGCAGCAGAAGGTCCGGCAACAGCAGGGTTCATGCGAGAAGCACGGGCCTTCTCATCATCCTCAGGGTTGGCCTGACCAGCAGCCTGGGCAATGGCCTGGGCGTTCTTCTGGTACTTGTAAACAGTCCAGTCGAAGACGTAATCGTACTGGAAACCCTCGCGGACGAAGAGATCACGGAAGATCTTGCGGAGATAGCTGTAGTCGGGCTTGTCGTCGAAGCGCAGAGATCGAGTGTAGTTGAGGTAGATGGCGAACTCGTTGGGGAATCCGCGGCAAAGAACCTCGGTGGGAGTAGTCATCTTCTTCTCCATGATACGATCATACTTCTGCTTCTTAGTAGCAGCCTTCAGACCCTGCCAAGGGAGAGAACCACGGCAGAAGTAGAGCATAACATAACCCAGCGACTCCATGTCGTCACGACGAGACTGCTCAACACCAAGATGGGTGTTGATGGAGGCATAACGGGCAGTGCCAGTCAAGTTCTTGTTCTCTCTGTATGGGATGTGGAAGTGGGTCTTGGGATCACGGTACTTCTTGGCAAGACCAAAATCGATAACGTTGACCTGGTTTCCACGCTTCCCAATGCCCATAAGGAAGTTGTCGGGCTTGATATCTCGGTGAATGAACGACTTGGCGTGGATGTACTCAATACGAGAAATGAGCTGATCAGCAAGGAGAAGGACAGTCTTCAGGGAAAATTTGCGGTTGCAGAAGTTGAAGAGGTCTTCCAAGCTGGGGCCAAGAAGGTCGAGAACCATGGCGTTGTAATCACACTCGGTGCCAAACCAGCGGACAAAGGGAATACCAACGCCGCCGGCAAGTGACTTGTAGACACGAGCCTCATATTCAAGCTGGGGGTGCTTGGCTTTGACAGACTCAAGTTTAATGGCAATCTCCTCTCCAGAAATGATATTAGTTCCTAGGTAGATATCGCCAAAAGAACCGGAGCCAATCTTGCGGCCAATCCGGTATTTATTACCGACGCGAAGATCCTGAATAGCCACAATTATGGGTTAGCCGACCATTGATCTAGAAGAAGGCAAGAAATCATGTTGTGCATGGGGCTGGGTGCTCCGTTCCCAAGAGGTCTCAGCTGAGCAGCGGTGTAATTTAAACGGGATAGCCGACCATTGCACTGGCCAGTGGTTCACCAAGACAGAACCATGCCCCAATGTTGAACACCGCCCCTGGAGAAAAAGAGGGACAGAAAAGTACGTGGAAAGAAAGTGATGCTTACCATGGTCGTCATGGCGAAGGTTATTAATTAAATGCTTCTTTCCGCGCGGGAAGGAAGCAGTTTCGTCGATTTATTGAATTATCGGAGCCGGTAAGTCTGCAAATTCTGTTGATGCGTTAATAACAGACTGGTTGATGAATGGTATACCGATGAAAGATGGCAGGGTTGTGCAGTGATGATGGATAAGAGAGTGAAAAGAGAAGGAGAAAGATCGGAAATGTTGAATGGGTGATGAAATGGTTAGCAAGGGAGTGGGCCTAGGGGCATGTCGAAGGGCGGTGGCTACGCCGCCACCAGCGAAATCCGGTACTAGGCCGAAGCATGACAAAGAGCCTGAAATGTTTGCTCCCAGATAGGAGATCGGCAGCAACGTCAAGCCAGGCACTCAGCAAAGGACGGGAAAATAAAGCAAGAGGGGAAACGGTGCATCAGAGGGCATGGAATATTGATTTCTCTTTCCAACTAACCTGCAGAGACGAGTTCGGAGCGAGGGTTTGATAGAGCGTGGCGGGAAAATCCCAGTTCGAGATGTCGGTGACGAGGTAGCGCGAAGGGATGCTAAGTGGAAGTGCAAGAAAGAGAGAGAAAACAGAAACCCCGAAAAATTATTGCAAATCGAAAATGCTGCAGCGGGGCCGAATCGATGGACGAATCGAGAAATGCGGTGATGCTGGAAAGCAGAGATGCGGTGATGGGCCGATTAAGGCGCAATGCTCTCGTCGGGCGGGAGGCGAAGGATGTCGTGGAGAGAAAGAAAGGAAGAGGGAAAAAAAGCGGAGGGAGAAAGAAGAAAGGGGAGCTGAGTGAGCAAACGCACTTTTTCAAGGGCGCCTGTGCTGTGGCGCGCGCGCTGCTGTCTGGGCGCTGTAGCTGGGCGCTTGGCGCTGGGCGGCACTGCTGGCACTTGGCCTGTGGGTAGTGGGCAGAGCGCAGGCAGAGCGCAGTGAGCGAGTAGCATTTCAGGCCTGGCGGGGAGAGGTCGGGTGCTACCGACCACTAATCCAGAAGGCCCCATGTCGCTCTGTAGATGGAAACCCGGGCTAGGCAGGCATTGGCAAACCGTATCATCAACATGCACATCGCAGGGTAAGGCGGGATTGCGCTATCAGATAGATAGATACTGGGTAGTTACTACACGCAAGATACCAAGTTTCTCTCCCAAGGATCTACGAGCAGGCATTTGCCATCTCAAGGCTCGACGCTGGGCAGATTTGGGGTGCGGTACGCACATGCACCGATAAAGCACTGACTTACTGCCTAGGTACTGCAGCGGCTGAGTGCAGTTGAGCGTTGAGGCACTACCGCCAAGCCAAGGTCCCTGAATCGCGCCAACTCGATACGAGTCCATCAAACCAACTCCGGATACAAGCTACAGTTTGCTGCGAGCAGGCCAGCAAGTAACCCTCGTTTTGTCTTGCTTTTTTATTTTCTCACCCAAAAAATGGGCCAATACGCAAATCACGTATCGGATTGATTTTTGTGCTCCAACCGATGCTCGTCGTTTAAGCCCCTCTTCCCTCTTCCCCCCGTCGTTGCAGCCCAGTTCAACCCAAGTGTGGAGCTGAGCAGTCGCTTAGGTGCAGTTGCAGTGAGCCGCGTCGGAATTTGGGAAACAACAGCACGGAACTGAGGAGACGGAGCTAATTGAGAAAAATAGCAGCACGGAGGAGCAGATGTTGATCCAACCAGAATACCCCGAGCCCATCGCCGCTCTGCTCCAAGGGGGCCCAGACGAACGATGGTGGGAGATACAACCAAGACCCGGTGCAGCATACAAGGGCGCTAAAAGTCGAGATGCTCTGGGGCCATTGGATCGTTATCGAGGCAAACAATCAGATTAACAAAGGGAACAACAAAAGGCTTTCAGCATCCAGCTTGTGCGAGAGGCGCCCTCAGCCGCACCAACCTGGGCCGGCCATTGTTCAGGGCTCTGGACTGCGTGACGGGCCACAAGGCCAGGGTGCGGCTCACCGAGATGCCTCATTTACCGCCCTGCATATGGACCACTGGTCGACAGCGTGCCAGAGGATGCAGCGCTGACGTGCGCTGGCGATGAACTGGCAATTATGCCTCGAAATGTGGCAAGCCGTCGGGGCTTTTGCTGGATTGTCCGTCCACCTCATCTCGGGATACGAGAAATGCGGCCGAAAGGTGCAATTCTTGCATTACATGGACGGACGGATATCGCCGTCATTTATTGGCACTATTGCCATATCATCGTGGGCTTTGGCTGTATCTCACGAGGAAATAGCTGCCGAGCCACGGTATTAGATCAAATGCATGTTAATATTGCGAAGTACCACAACGCATAGCTTGCAGCTCCCCTTGAAACGCTGCTGGCAATAATTTAACCCCAAGCCAAAGTCAAAAGCCCACCTAGGCTTCTCGAATCCTCGTGCTCACTCGGCGCTTGCTTACGGAGTACCTGGACAAGGCGGCGCTTCGCTTGGAGCATCTCCCCGTTATGCCGTTCTGCAGCGACGAGGCAAACCCAGAAACGAGACTGCGAGAAAAATCCTCACCAAACCTGCAAACCCCCCTCAAAAACGCCACCCATGCGCCCTCACCTGACCACTTTTGACATGCGAAGCCAGATCGGCGCCGGTTGACCAGTTTCTGGGGTAGCCCCGACAGGTCGCGAGCGCCCATCACTCAGTAAAATTCCTTCTGGCTGCGCCCTTTGTCATGCTAAAGTCGGTGTGACCGGCCGGTAATCTGAGCCTTTTCTCTCAACACAGCGAAGCAAGTGAAAACTTTTTTTGCCGTCCGCCCTTTTCCCAACACTCGCCAACTCCGAGCTGAAACGTTGTCTTTGGGGTGCATGTACTCCGTAGACTGCAATAAACTAATGTGTCTCCCAGCGCCCTTTGAAGCATGCAGCTCAAAATCTTTAAAAATAAGAAAAAGCGCGGAGTTTTCCTCTTTTAGGCTCGGGCAATTCTGCACATCTACTAAGCTGCTTGTAGCAGCCGGATTCAGGGATACTACTCTTCCCACTTTTGAGGCCATGTCGTCCGATGAGGCGACCCTTATACGAAAAAGAAAAGCTGGCGGTATTAGCGAGCGATTTGGGGGAGAAAAAAAGTCTCCGGAATTAGGCCTACGCGGCGAATTTGATCCCTGATACTACTAACTAGGCATTCATTCCCAAGTGCAAATACCGAGGTTCTCTCGCACTTGGTTTTCATTGCCACAAGTGTCTTGTCCACTGAGAGACAAAGCGCTAATCGGACGCAGCAGAATGTCACTTTTGCGCTCCTCCTCATTTCTCCCATATCCCTCTATTTACCTATTTGCTCCCCCTCTTTGCATTCTGATCTATCAAATACTCGAGTCTCCTACAGCGTCGGGCCGCCAGCACCAGCGGCTACTTAGTCTCTGGGCCTTTCTCCGCAGTGTCCGAAAATAGATTATTCTCCACACAGATCACATAAGCCCGTCAACCAAGCTTTGCAGCGTTTCCATCTTGCTCTGGCCAGTGCCTCGTTGTACCATGAAGTATCTATATAGTGCCGCGTAGAGATATAGTAGCACTACTTGTGCATCACACGGCATCGCGCACAGATGCACACCATGCACGAGGTCATTTGGTGAAGCTCGCCAAGTTGGGGAAGTGGCGAAATAAAACAGGAACTAGGTGTTCGGAACACGGCTAACTACACTGCATCGTGTTAATCTCGGCGGTAATACTCCGTGGACGATCAAAATATGCGGCTCTCCCCGAGGCGCCAAATTGCCGTTGCAACGCGGAAGAGTAGGAAGAAGTAATCAAAATCAAAAAAAAAAAAAAAAAAAAAAAAGAGAAAAAGAGAAAGAAAGAGAAAGAGAGAGAGAGGGAGAAAGAGGCTCCTTATTTTCCTATTGACGTGGATCGCACCGCTCTAGACGCTTTTGGTCATGTGTATGAGAGGCGCCTTGTTGTCTTGAATCTGCCAACACATGGCCGCTGTGGCTTGTAGAAGACCTGCATATACTTGATGTACATGGCCNAAAAAAAAAAAAAAAAAAAAAAAAAAAAAAGAGAGAGAGAGAGAGAGAGAGAGAGAGAGAGAGAGAGAGAAAGAGCCTCCTTGTTTTCCTACTGGTGAAATTAGCTATTATCTAGCTCGATGCCGTCATGTGTATGAGAGGCGCCTTGTTGTCTTGAATCTGCCAACACATGGCCGCTGTGGCTTGTAGAAGACCTGCATATACTTGATGTACATGGCCACCTGCTCAAGTCCAGCAGACCCTTTTTTTTTTTTTGCATGCAAATTAAATATGTTAGCCATAGGAAGATGCGTCTGATGATAAAAGCCCGCTACCTAAAGGATCATCCCATCTTTGGGGGGGGGGGGGGGTTTACCCCCTTCAGTGACACTGTCCTGGATGGGTATAGAGTGACTATAGGTAAGTACATTAGAAAAGAAAACGGGGATCAGCACAAGTGCTTCTAGCTCCATGAGAAACGAACGCTATCCAGATTTCTAGAAGCCGGTGTAAGCTTCACAGCTCAAGCGTTTGAACGAATGTATGTAGCCATGTATAATATTATGGAATCAAATATTATCAATGTTTTGCATGCGATGGTATTACACAAGTATACAAATCAGCATAGCATACAAGCATGCTCATTGGGCAAAACAAAAGCGATTTTGGACTGTAGATAAGTACCCTGTTTGATAAATTGGTATATTGAACGACTTGGCTATCTAACCCTTTAGTAAAAGCCTTTCTGGAAATATTAGATGGTATTTTCCAAGGCATGTACAGTTAACAAATACGCAAAAAGAATATTATACAAAAGACGAAAAAGAAAAGAAAAATGCAATGCATCAAATACACCAGCTATAGTTAATATAGCCAAAACCATCTCTTCATTCCCCCTCTTTGGTCCACTTTGTAACAATATCAAATTCCGAATCGCTGCTTCTAATCCAAAAATTCGCTCATCAGATGCATGTACACACACACACATATATATATAGAAGGAAAGAAATCCATTCGACATCTCAGTTTGGTCGAGGCGGCTGAGGCGGCAGCTTAGACGCACCCTGCGAACCAAGCACAGAATCGAGACGATTCTCCAGCCCCTTGCCCGTCTTATCGATCCACTTCAAGGCCGAAGAGCTGCTAAAGAGCTTACCACTGCCCATGCCCATGCCCCCCGATGATTTCCTAGGAGGGCCAGCCGGGGCCGCGGGCGGCGGGTCAAACACTCTCTTCGGCGGCGGAGGGTAAGCTACGACGTGGGGGGTGAAGCCCGTGAGCACTTGCGGCTGAGAGCCCCAGCCAGTTGCCGTTGCCGGGCGAGGCGGCAGAGGCGGCGCGGCATATAGTAGATCTTGTGGGTTTGGAGAAGATGGGCCTTCGCTATTAGGAGCAGCGTACGTTGGCTGAGTTGGATATTGATGCTGATGGGGAGCCACCGCTGGCCCGTATGGAAGATTATACATGGAAGGCTGCGCATAAGGAGGTTGCGTGTCTGGCCTTTGTACGTCAGGGAATGCATAAGGCAAAGGTGACTGCGGCGACGCTTGGGGCTGATATGCACCCGGCGATGGTTGTTGGTACTGCGGCGGTCGTGGTGGCTGGGGAGGTGGAATATCGGCTGAAGATGCATACGTCCGTTGTGGGATATCATAACTTGAAGTTGGTGGCGGAGGCGTATACGGCTGGGCAGGTGGGTAATACATCGAAGCTGGATGGCCTGGAGATCCTGTCGGCGGCGTAGGGGTCGAGGAAGGATACAAGTTTTGCGGCTGACCTTGACCGATGGGTTGGAATGGGTATGTAGTCATGTTCGGGCTAGGCATAGACGAAGTGGGAGCAGAATGAGGCGACATATATGGTTGGTGTCCAAGCGCTGGGCTCGAGTTAAGAGAGTAGCCCGGAGCAGGACTCGAGCTTGACGGTGGGCCTAGAGCCGGACTGGAAGCTGATGGACTTGGTGAATGATGATGTAAAGGAGCAGCCGTCGTCTGAGGTACGGGAGGTGGAGGAGCATGAAACGCAATTGAAGCAGCAGGAGGGGGTGGAGGAGGAGGAGGAGGAGGAGGAGGAGGAGGAGGAGGAGCAGCAGCAGAGGCTGGAGGAGGTGGTGGAGCTTGAGCGGGAGCAGGAGGAAGTTGAGAACCAGCCGTTACTGATGGTGAATGAAGGCGATGCGGTGCCGCTCCATCTAAAGGAGCCCCCGTCGAACCAGACGGCTCAATAACCTGATGCTGCTGCTGCTGCTGCGAAGGATTTGGCGAAGCTGACGGCGATGGTGTTTTCAGAGGCGGCGCCATCTGGGGAGCCACAGCCCCGGTAACCAGAGTTTCCTGAGCATTCGGCAGCGGAGGGGGAGGCGCCTTTGCCGGCGACGATGATGTGGATGCAGGCCTAGGAACCGGCATCACAGCATGTGCCGCCACATCAACTCCATGGTCTGATTTCGATCCCGGCGGTGTAACATATCCAGGAGGCCGATAAGGCCTATACGGCAGTGCAGTCGAGCCACCTTGGGGACCTTCAGATGATGCCCTCTGGTGTTTCACTTTCAGCGGCGCAACCGTCTCATTGTTAGTCTCTTCTGGTGGGAGATATGGCTTGAAGGCCGGCGCGACTGTGAAGGCTGGGACCTGCTTTCTCGATAATCGTAAAGGCGCTATATAGTCTGTCCCCGGTGGCGGCGGCGGCGGCGGTGGTGGTGGTGGTGGTGGTGATACTGTTGGTACAGGAGGGCGCACATCATGAGGAGGAGATTCATCCCCGCCTTGTTTGTCATGTCCGCCGAGATGCAGCGGTGGTGGCCGTAGCGAAGGATCCTCGACATTTTCACTCTCCGCCTTGGAATCTCCCTGCTCCTCCATTTTAAGCTCCTCCTCCATCTTGATCCCCAATCCACCAACACTCGGTTCAACCACTCTCGCTCCCCCTGCAGCCTCATGCCCGCTCTCATCTTCTTCCTTGTCCTTCCCTTCATCCGACGTCATCTCGGGTCCAAAATACGCCCACGGATTCGCCAACGGCTGCTCAGCAACCTTTGTCTTCCCAGCGCCCTCCTCTTTATCAACTCGCGCCTCCGTCCGCACGTCCTGGTCCAGGTAAAACGGCCACGGATTGGCCTGCGGCAGCGGCTCCGTCTTTGGCGCCACCGAGTCGGCGGGCATCTCGAAAATCTCCCCCTCGAGCTGCGACGGAGGGTATTGGTGATGATGCGCCATGGCTGGTTTACATGGAAAATCACACGCGGCGGTCTTTTCCTTTTGCAAAAGTTCAGCCCTCGGCGTTCGCCAGGCTTGCTTTTATATGTATCGTATCACAGCTGCGTGCCTATTGCTGCGCCGTGGCCGTCGTATGTCGATTCGTCGTGTCGGTCAGGAGGCTGTGGTCGCTCCCCTCCGCAAAAGGCCAGAACGCAGCAAGCGTGGCCCTTAGAATCGGTATATATCCCCGTGAAATCCACTCTTTCCCCTTGTTCAAAAATCCAGCCACGGCGATATCCTCCCAAACAGGGACTTGCTTCGTCGTCGCAATCGACTCGCGCTTGTAGTTGGTTTGATGTGTATAAGTTGGCAAGTGATGCAGCCAAGGGAAAAAGGCACATAAGCCACAGCCCGCCCCCAAAAGCGGGCCGAGTCAGCCACGCCAGGTGCGCAATCCAGGCTGCATGGGAGCTGCACATGGCATGGCGTGTGAACAAGACAAAACACCTGGTCCTGCTAGGTGATATCCACATGCCGCGCCCGCCATCTCGTCGCAGAAAAGCATTCGAACCCACCAGCAGGGGCTGCCTTGAACTGTGCCGCCACTAAGGGTTTTTTGCTTGCGTTACATGTACTCGTACAGTAGAAAAAAAAAAGGAAAAAGGAAAGAAAAGACCGGCCTCGGCAGGCAAAGCCTGGCCGGTCAGCGTCAGGGAGCGGGAGCGGGAGAAACCAAAATTAAACTCCCATGAACCTGGTTCCCTTGTGGATGCTCGAGGGCCAAGCTTCGCCATGCAAGGTGTGTACAGCAGCACATGCTGTACTTGTACAAAGCACCCTGCCAAGCTCGGCGCTGCACACGGGACGTGGGCCAGCACTCGATGCAAACCGTCTCGCTGGAATCGTCGCCTCTTGGCCCTCAGCAGACGAGACCAGGATGCCTCCCCACACGTTCTCCGAGCCTTACAGGGCATGCAGGGCCGTGATCTGCGCCAGGGGGGGCGGGCACTCCAGCGGCTGCAATGCTGTCGAGAAGGCAGGGAGCTGCCATGTGCGCCCCCGAATCCACTTCCCGCCTGGACTCTTCGTCTTCTGTCCCTTCTTATTGGCAAGGCGTACATCACTAAGGTGTGCTACTACGGTCTCTGCTCCGTAAGAACGTCCAAGTAAGCTATGTACTCTGCAGGTACCGTGAGTTCGCTGCGTCTTCCAGAATCTCCCCCTTGCATTGCCTCCGAGGTACATAGATTGCAAACCCTTGTCAGAGAACGGTGACAGCTCGCTCTCTAATATCGACAGTCAAATCATACTAGAGCATACAAACGGCTTACATGCCGTCAGTATTGATAAACACTACATTTTCAAGGCATTGTGAATAGTGCATTACTCTACTTGTCTGGAGATGATATCTCGCAATCTTCGACACGGTCGCTAAACTCTTATACAAATAGTCATAGTCATACATACACCTGTGTAAGCCGTGCAATTTAGATGGCAAGTAACAGCAAAAAGGCTTACTGCAGAGAACGAGGAGAGAAGCCAACTTATGGCTGAGGAAAAAGAAGCGCAAGTTGTGTCATCAGTCAAATTCATCCTTGGACGTTCGAATAACCCAAACCATCCCCATATATTTCCAAGTAATCCAGCCCGCTTGCAAAACCCATTAGTTCCCTATCATAGTGCAGCTTTTGAAAACCGCTTGACCTAGATGCATACAATTCCATAAATCATATAGCAAGCAAAAGGACATTAAACTAGCAAAAGGAGAAAGAGAAAAAAAAAACCGTGAACCGGGAACCGTTTCATCATAGCCCCTCGGAAAGAAAACGGAAAGAATTAGGCATCCGGGGGGTAAACAACCATTCAATCCCAAAGGTCAGAATAGTTACATAAAAGACGCATCAAGCGTTTTTTTTTTAAGGTAGGTGAAAATGTATCATCAACGAAGAGCTTCGCCCAAAAAAAAAAAAAGAAAAGAAAAGAAAAGAAAATGGCTTTTAATCATCGTTATTCTTCGCTGCACGTTTCATCCGGTTGGCCCATCGTCGCTTCCCGGGCCTGGTTTCAAAATGAGGTGCTACAGACTGGACGTCAACCATAGCACCTTCAATTGCTGCGCGCGTCTTGTTTCGATAGCAGTCGACTATTTATCCTGTCAACATCTCAAAATACTCTCTCCGGTTCACAAATGCGCAGCAGTGGTAAAAACTACTTACGGGCTCGTTGGAGGAACACAGTCCGGCCAGAAAACACTCTGCTCTGTAGCCAAGCCATCCGGTAGCCAAGATCGTTCAGCCGCACTTCGTTGACACGACCTGATTTTCTCATCCTCGGAATAGTCGCCTCCCTCTCTTGGCCTTCCGCCATGGTAATCTTCACCACCTCGCCCCTAGATTTTTCAACACCGCGGCGGGAAGCCTCGCGGCCCTCAGTCTCTTGCGTTCCGTCATCCGAAACGTCGTCAACGAAGAATTGCGAGCCCGTGGCACTGGGGGGTGGGCTTTGCATCTCACGAGGGAAAAAGCTTCTGGGAAATACACTTGCTCCCTTGCGGAAGCTGTCTGGGATCTCATTCGTATCTACGCCGTCCAAGGTGACACGCACACGAAGGCGTGAGGCCCGTACATTGTCTTCAACTAAGATGAATTTGCGTCTCTTGGCTTCAGGGATGTCGGGGAACAGGTCGTCACTGGCGTCGTCGACACGGCCATGACTCCTCGCTGGTATGGCACCGTTTGTCCGAGGAGCCATATGAGACATCGACCCGCCCTGAGGACCGACGGGATATGAACCCGGGCCCGCGTATCCCGCAAAGACGTGTGCTTGTCTCACATCGTCGTTGCCAGCAGGGGGCATCTGAGCCGCTGGCGCTTGATGGTGGTGGTGGTTATCCTCGTAGGGATTATTTCCTTCGCCTCAACATACGCGTTAGCTTTTACTCTCCATAATTACTACTCGGCGAGCAAACGCGAATGACAGGGAGAATGAAATAACCAATACTATAAAAGGACGGCAAAACACAGAAACATCTTAAAGGAGGATAATAAAACAGAAAGGCAAACCAACTTCTCCACTATGCGTTATTGAAGAAATGTTCTCCTAATTAGCATAGCAAAGTTTAGCTGCCAGCAAAGCTGGTGAGAGAAAAGGGGGAAAACTTTTTATAGCCTCAAGGCATATTTTGAGAACTCATCTAAGAGTCGCGCGAAAACCACCAGCAAAAGCAGACAAACTTGAACAGCAGCGGCAGCCGATGCGACTTTTTATGATAATATACAGGATTTGTGCCAACCGAGGGACCGACTATCGACCTCTTGCCATTAAGGCATGCTGTATAAAATAGGTAATAATAATGCGCGGTAAGACAAGCGAAGCCGGCCCATTGCTATTTAACAAACAAAAAAAAAAGGACGTGAAATAACAGATTGTTACAGAACCCAAATTCCTAAAGTGTCATAGAGCCGAAGAGGGAAAGGAAAAAAAGAGAAGCCAAGGAAAAACGGGAAATAATAAAAAGACAAAGGCCACTCGTGAAAAGGCAAATAAAGAGTTGCCTTGCCAAATATAAGTGTAAAGTGCTTTTTTTGCATGGGTGTAAAAAATGAGTTGGTATCATTAAATCAACACAACGTTTTGACGGCGTAAAAACTGTCTCTAATGAGGGTTGCAAAGCAAAAAAGGTGATGCAAGTGTACAGCAGATGCGATCATTTCAAAGAATTACATCTGGTGAAACATACCGACTTCTTCTCCACCCGGTGCGCCGCCGTCAGGGTGGCCCCCGGCATGGTGATGGTGCATAGGTTGCCCCATGCCGCCTATCGTTGGCTTGCCCATGTTGGGCGCATGAGCTGTGGGCATGTGTGCGGGAGCGCCTGGATGTCCTCCTGGCCCACCAGGGCCTGCCATATGAGCACCAGGATGCGGAGCGCCCTGGACTTGTTGTTGCTGCTTGCGACTGTTCATCTTGGCCATGCGGCGAACTCGTCGGCTTCGGAGTCGAGGATCCTGGTTGCTGTTGCGCCAGCTGTCCACTGCACGCTGGATCAAGCCTCGCTTGCCTCGCAGCGGCACGTTCAATTGTGCCAGAGCCCATCCGACTCTGTTGCACTCAGTCTCGTAAATCAACCGGTTTCCGCGGTACTGATCCTTGGGACAGCATGCCCTTGGGTAGACACAGTTCTCCTGCTTGAACTCGGGGGAAAGCTCCTCGATGTTTACCGACTCGACATCGCAGCGAATAGTGTACTCCATCTTAACCCGGTCCCGGGAATACTCAAAGGCAATCCACTGAACGCCATTGCCATCTTGCCTTACAACGAGAGGCGTCGTCGCTGGGATAGGGCCCGGAGCGGCATTGGGGTTAACCGCAGGAGTCGGGTTAGCAGGACTCTGAAGTTGTGGCGGACCCTGTTGATGGTGGGGCTGCGACATGGGAGAGGGCTGCTGTTTCTGCAGCTGCAGGGGAACTTGGGGCTCGATCTTGGGCCGCGGGCTACCTGTCATGCCGGCCTGCGCATGCTGTGCGTGCTGCGCCGCGTGCGGCGGCATTTGGTTCTGCTGTGCTGCATGCGACATCATCATATTGGGTTGCGAGGCCATTGATTGTTGATGGTGATGGGCATGCTGCGCGTAGGGAGAGGGAGCCGCCTGATGGGGCATGGACTGGTATTGAGGCGGAGGCTGGTAGTACATGGACTGCTGCAAATGCTGAGACTGCGGCTGGCCGTACAAATTTCTGTGCTGCTCATGCTGCGATGGTGACGCTACTGACGCGGGCGAATTGGACTGTGGTGTATGATATGACATTGGAGGGTAGGGAGGTCTGGGCATTTGAGCGGCGGCCATCATGTCGGAGGTATCTGCAAAAGAGACTTGTGCGTTAGCATCCTGAACAAGGCGGAATCGCGTGCGTGTGTGCGCTGCTGCGCGCAGAGAAACTTACCGGCGGACGTGTATCCGCTCGTGGCACCTGGTGTGCTGTACGGGCTCGGGTGGTTGTAGTAGTTCAAGGTTTCTGGCGTGCTGGTCGCCTGGTTGCCGGCCTGGTACGCCTGCGGGAGAGTGTGTTGCGATGAGTATGCGCCTTGGTGATGCTGCGGCGGCTGGTGTTGCGAATGAGGGTGGTGTTGTTGGTGAACAATGCTTGGGGGACGCGAATGCTGAAGCTGTTGCGAAGGCGGGTGACCCTGTTGCTGGTGGTGGGCTTGATGCTGCATATGGAGAACACGCATCAGTAAAACTTCAACGTCGAAAAACTCATTAAGCTGGTAAAGAAAAACATGTCGAGATAGGACGCGTTTGATGTTTTATCTGCCCCCTTGACAGACTGATGGACTACCAAGTCGTGGTGGGGTGGGCCAATCCCCTGGCCACGACCGGGATGACACGGGTGAGGCGTGCTAGGCCTGAAAAGACAACGCCGGTAGAAGCAATCTTGGACTCGCGTACCGGAGACAGAGAGGGCTTTGGGGTAGAGGTACAGTGGGCGCAACGTGGGGACGTCGTACCGCCTAGCTCCAGATTATGAATTGGGAGAGCGAGGGATGAGCGGGAGACCGGGGGGATGGCTTGCGAACAACGGGAGACAGGAAAACGAGCAGGGCGGTTTCTTGCGCCGTCGGGGCGGCCATGCAACAAGCACAAAGAGGACAAGCCAGGGGGAGAAAAGATACCTGACGGACGAGCAAGGAGGGGTGGACGAGGGAAGAAAATTATGTTTGGCCCAAGGACCAGGGAATTTGCGTAGGGATCTGAGGTGGTATGCAAAGTACGGGACTGATGCTTACCGCCGTACCGTACAGAACGGAGATGCAGAATCGGGACGGTCAAGAATGCTTCCTTGAAACGAGAGGCTTTGCTGAAGGCCCCTGGGAAAAGAGGACGTGTAGAAAATTGCAGTACAGGAATAAAGGACGCAGATATGCAACGCGCTCAGCAGAAAAGGAGGATAAGGCTCGCTCTTTCTTTTTTTTTTTTTTTTATTTATTTTTCTCTCTCGCGCCGAGAAATAGAAAAAAATTTCCAGAGGGATTGCAAAAAGCAAAGGAGCTAGGTGACCCCAAGTCCCAAATACTTTTTTGAGCCGTACTAGCAGGGGAGGGGGTGTCTCGTCGGGAGAGGCAGCTTGAGAGCGACGGGGAGCAAGGATGGGCCAGAACCGGGGCTAGCCAGCGCATGGGAGACGCGACAGGGGCGCAGAGGCTTTGATTACACAGCCAATAATAGCGTTGGCAAGTCGAGCCAGGGGCGACATGACCAGGACCAGCTGCCCAATCAGGCACTGGAGAGCCGGGCCTAGCCAGCGGACAAGGATTGTGCCGGGATTGCCATCACCATCTTCTCGTTAGCCCACAGGCGGTGTGTGTGGGTGGGCGAGAGGTCGAAGAAAGGGAAATGGCTTGACCCAGCACTGTGGCGGACGGCACTAGCACGTCCTGCAGTGCAGAGACAGCGTGAACAGAGACGCCGGCATGAGGAGCAGCAGCAGCAGCAGCAGCAGCGCCATCGCCATCGCCATCGTCATCCGTTGTCGCCCCGCGGCCAAGTACATGCTTGTACATAAGCTGGAGAGCCGAGATCAGTTGCTCGTGCCTCGTACACGTAGGTACACTTGTCCGTGCTGGCCATGCTCTAACAAACGGGAGGCCAGGACAAATGCAGGCACAGACACATTCAGAGTAGACCAGATGAACGTTCCCCGGTTTCGGCTACCGGCGCGGCGGACACCGAGCCCACCTTGAGCGCCAGCCTGGTCGCGGTCATTCATCCTTCTGCTCTGATATGTTCATATTTGTGCGCTGTGCAGCCCATTCCGCCGTTGCGTACAGAGATGCGACGAGCAAGCTTTTGCGAGCAATATGCTATTCTCGTCTGGCCAACATGGCTGAGTGTTCTCCATCCCTCCATCCATCAACTGTGGCATAGCGCCGCGCCGCGCCACGCCTCCAAGCAGCTGAGCCAGTCTCGGGACAGGAGCAGACATTAGCAGCTTCCCACGAGTAGATGCGGTGGCGCGGCCCCCACCGAGAGCTCGACGATTGGGTCGTATTAGACCCGTAAAACACAGCAGCTTTTTGTGTTTCCCTCAAGTGCTGTTTAATCTCCACTGGCCTATACGGTATTCCGTAGGCGTTGCGCTTGCATCCAGCGTATGATAGCCTTGCTCTGTGTCCCTGAGTAGTGGTGTACATACTGACCAGGTACTCCGTATACTTGAACGAAGAATAAGCGCGGCTCAGCGAGAACCCAGTTGTCAAATGAGACGCTACTAGGTACCAGGTGGCTGGCCCCTTGCCATTGACGCAACTTTGCTCAAAAATAAAGATTGCAGAGTGCTGTGTACTTCGATACAGCTACGCCAGGCAGCTTCCAGTCAATGCTACTCGAAGCTCCAATCGCTTCAAGACGGCGGTTGGCTCTGGTTATGCAACGCGTCAAGGTCTTTTGCTGCAGCTCTCGTGGCTTCCTGACCACTGGGTCACTCCCTCTCAGGGCCCTATTTCTCGCCTAGCTGCTGCTCAAATATCGCCGACTGACACCAAGACCAGTGCCATTTGGGCCCACTCGGCCCTGTCGTAGGTGGCGCCCTGGCCGCTGGTGAAACAGGAGCTGCTCGCTATAAGCCCACACAGTGAGTCCCGGCCTGGTTAATCTTGCGACAGAGCACACTAGCGAGCTTCGCGGCCACAGATCACACCCTGGCCTGAATGTCGATAGAAACCTTTACGGGCTTGCTGACACCGCTTGGTGCTATGCCTCTAGAAGGAATCTGTGGGAAAGTTCTTGCACCGATATTTGGAGGGAGATAGAATTATGTTGAGCATGTGTAGAAAAGGGGCAACGGCGAAAAAATCGAGAAATGCAACTTACTAATTCGGTAGTATGGTCCTGGAAATATGCTCGGGTTTGGCCGAGAGTCGCCATGATTGCAATCAGAACCAGAAGTTTTGACCTTGGAGATACTAAGCAGTGTCAATCAGCGAAGCTTAGCTTAAGTGCAGAAGTAGTATGAGAGGTTGGAAGTGAAAGCCCGGAAGTGCTCATGAATGTTCTCAATTGCATTGTCAAGTTTCCTTGCGTTCAAGGATATATCTTGATAGCAGAATTTCCCAGAATAACATTCCTAGACGAGCTCAAGGTTACGTGTACAGCCGGGATGGACTTGTGCAGAAAATGATATAAACAAGCCCCTCCGATGATAATGCGTTCGGGACAGAGAGCTCTGGGGGAGATCGTGGTCGAGTTGAGAATATTTAATATATGAAATAGTACTTACTTTGAAAATTCTCAGTAATCTCCAGCCAAAAGCTAGTCGTGAGGCCCAAGCAGCAGAGCTTTGGCAACTTTGTCAGGTATAGTACTTGTCCACTACGTAACGTGGAGGTTTGCAGGCAGTGAATGCAAAGCCACAGCGGTCACAGATGGCTTGTGATATCTCGACCGCCAGTATTAGAAATGTGGCGGCACAGTTGAGTCGTGGCAATTGGCTGGCAGAGAGAATGCTTCAACTGCCTAAAGAGCAAGCCTCCTGCAGGAGTTTCGCTCAGGTGCTGGGTTCTGCGGTAGGTACTACACGAGTTGTTACATTAGTTCATGCAAGTCCAAGGATATACCGTCGTCCCATCAGCGAGGCTCGTGGCATTCCATACAAACTAGAGCAAAGAAGAAACACGCAGGGCGGATATCACTACAGCACAGGCGCTTGTATTAGGCTGCACTCCTGAAGATGAATGGGTCGGTCTCATGAAAAATTTCAAGGTAAGTTCCAAACGGTTCAGCTTGGAACCCCGTCGAGTAAATAAGCAAATGAAGAGGATGCGAAAGAGAGAAGCAAAATTAGGATAAGCTCGGCTGCAGAGAAATTCAAAGGTGATCAGCCTATGCACACGACATGATTCGTAAAGGTAGGGAGATAACGAATAATGCCAATTATGAGAAGGCACGAAGTACCGCTACATGTAGCTCTCCGTAGGCACGGAACATACTGTAGACTGGGTACGAATACTAGAAGAAAAAAAAGAGGCATGGGTGCTGTTGCTCAAGCGCTGGCCCCTTTTACCCTGGTAGACGGGCGATTCCGAGGCACCGGCACTCAAGCTTCGGCTCAGACGCCTGGACATGGCGAACAGGGATGATTCTCATGCCACTACTAGCCGTACTACCGCCATAGAGTACCTACTTGTACATATAGAGTAGCAGTATCGAAGAACTGTCAAGAGTCAATGACTACAAGGTGGTGATGTCTGCATGCAAGAATGGGAATTTAAAGCCGCATACAGCTTTGAATGAAGCTTAGGAGCCCCTTATGCTACATATACAGGCGGCCACAGGTACACGGAAATGGTCTTTGCGTCAAGGCCGGAAGAGGACAATAAAAGAAAAAAAAAAAAATGAAAAGATCTTACCGACTTCTGTTCTCTGAAAGACCCCAGCGTGCGCAGCGACAAGTATGTAGTGCTCCATCCTACTAGGCCGAATTTTACACTCATGGCTAATGTGACCAGGACTCTCTTTTGGCTAGTAGAGCGGCGGTGGAGCCGATCCAGGGAAAAGACCTGCCAGATGGTTAGCGGGTTCAGTCAGCACTAAATCCTGGTCAAGGCGCGGCAAGATGCTTGCAAGGTCAAGAGATGCTACTGCACAATAACGGTTCCAGTGCCTACCATGCATTTTGGCGCTGCACAACGGGATAGGAGATGAGAGAGTACCCATATCAAGTACTAGCAGTAACTTGTAATGATGCCAATCAGTGAGAGACATCAAGCAGGTCAAATACCGAAGACATATAAACATATATCATGAAAACCGGAGGCCTCATCCGGCAAGAATGGAAACGGCTCTTAGTCCCCAAGCACTTGCCAGTAATCAACACGCCGCCACTCTAGGCAGATTGGGCGTGGGGCCGCTCTCTTTGCAGCACAAAGGTTTGTACTTGTAGGCAATGCTACATTACATACTCACAGGTAGGTAATACGGAGTAGCACTATCCAGTTTCAATACGGCGCGTGGGAGTGGCGTGGAGTCTTGGACCTCTCACGGCCGACTTCCATTGGCCTAGATCAGGTATCTCTAGGTCGTCGTGTCGAGAAATGTTAAGCAGCATTTGTAATTGAATTGGCCTCGTGCCAATGTGTGTAGTTAGATATTGAGCCCGGCTTGGCGTCTCAAGCAGATGACTGCCTCTTTTCGTTAGCTTTATTATTTCGTGCCCAGTCCCGGTGGAAATACTCGTACGAGTACAGCAGGCTCTTTCGCAGGCGCTACCGACTGCTGCTTTATTGCAAGTGGCTTGAAAATACGGAGGTAGCAGTATGTTGCACAGCCCTTACAGAGATATTATTCCAGAGGGAGCTGAGGGAATTGTTAATGTCAGTACATGAATTCTTCGTAGTATTGTCTCGCTTATCCCTCAGGTTAGCTTACTTGTATTATAAACGCCTCATACGTACCAGCTCAAAATAGGTGACACTACCGGAGATGCAACATCATTGGGGCAATATTTGCTGGTGCTATTCCGTGCCCTCCACGAGGCAGACCTCTTGTCTGGTGTCTGTGTTTCGGACAGAGTAGAGTATACAAAGTATCCGTACTATGGAGTAGCAACAATGCTGCCAACTGCGCCAAAGTAGGAACATACATAGGCAGTGTTACCAACGTGCTTGCCTCTTGTCAATTACCCTTTCTGTCCTGGGTGCGGAGAACCTCACACAGCTTAGTCGCGGTTCGGTCCCTTTCAGAATATCCACATGTACAAAACGGGCCGGACCAGCCGCCTGAGGCTAAAGATTTTTATACGGCATGCGCGCATGTACTTCGTAATGGGATAGCATAAGCGGCATTGCCGACTGATATCAACAGGGTGTCTCGTCTCTTGCGTCGTCGAGTTCATGATGTAAATATTCGTCAACCGTAAAACCAGAGATGCCACACTTTGTAACCAAGAGAGCCTTGCAGGGCTGTCGAGACCTATGGCAGCATTTAGTGCTCGGTAGCACTTCGTAATCGAATTCTTCTACTTGGCAGCAGCCAGAGTCCGAAACGCCGCTTAGACTGGCGGGTGTGCGGCGATCACTCAAATTGAGGGCGAATGCCAAGACGCGACTGTATGTATGAGGAAATTGTGGTGTTCCACTAGGTTCGTTCTTTCTCATGCTGAGTAAAGCTCTCATGATGAAGTGGCACGAGATGGGGCCTGGATTTAATCCTAACCGCCTCAATTTGGCGCAGATACGGAGGACTTGCGCATAGCCGCATGAATCCGACTAGTGTCGTTGCTACCCACCTGCCTTAGCACGTCGAAATGCCACTAAGGCAAAATGACACATTTTTAATTTCCTTTTGAATATGTGATGCAAGACAAAGAGAGTGGGAGAAGAAAAAATTCTTCATCCACTGGTACGATGAGCGCACCGCCCGAGTATTACTCCATAGGCGCTAAAGGGTTCGGCGAAGATTGTGCGCTCCTAATTGCTCGTTCGGGCGATGAATGGCCGTGCTGTCCTTCGCTTGGAGATGACACTAAAGCTTCCTGTCGGTTGCAGCGTGAGAGGATGCTCCCACAAGAAATACACGTGGAAATATGGAATATCGCTAAAATCATGGGGCCCATGGAGCGTTGGCGCAGTCCAGGATCATTGACAGGCAGTCACCCTCTCCAGATAGACATGCTGGCTCGCACCAGACTTCATGAGATCGTCTTGAGATCCAGCCTTCTTCCTTCGGTGTGTGTCTCAGCTGCGGTAACAACCGCATATCATCTTTAATGTGACCGCGAGGGGTCGCTTGTGGGTAGATAGGTGCCTAGGTAGCTTGTTCGGGTTCTTCATACCTATTACCACTGCCAGTCAATGCTCGCCAGCGATCCGTACAGTCACAAACGGAGTATACATTTTCGTCCATTAGGCGGAGTGGTCTGATGAGGAGAGCCCGCAACAATCCCTTTCCAAGGCCAATTCCGCATCGGATTAATTTGCCGCGATGCCCACACAGCATCCTAAAAGTTATTCCTGCCTATGGCGACTCGCCCGTGAAAGCATGTCATCGCTAAGCGCATCTGCTATAGTAGCAGGTTGACAGGCGAAGGGCCGATGCGGTCGCTGCTGGTAAGCAGGGCCTGGACACTTGTACCGAGCATCCTTGAAGCAAAGTGCCGTTGTGGCTTGTCTGCCGCTATACTTTGGAGCTGTACTCGGATATGGCCATGATCTGATCCCCAGAAAATGTTTAGAGTTATAGACGGAGCACAGAGGACGGTGCAGACCACGTCTTGTGCAGGGGTTCAGAGGTAACGGTCGGAACGTGGCGGATATGCAGCGGAGACGGCAAACAAGGATGGATATTGAGCGGTCGATGCAGAGAGCAAAATCCTTGCTCGTGCCTTGGCCAGGAATCTGGGAGCTTGGAGCTTGCTCTGGGGGTTTGTGGCCGCTACTGCCTCTGCGCCGTGGAGAAGATGCGAGGATCCCTCCTTCCCATCGCCCCTCAGCAGCGTGGCCTCCAGGACACACCATGGATAGTGCGAGTACTTGTACTTTGTGCTCTGCTCCGCTCAATGCCAAATTCGAAGTCGAGGATACTTTGTGCCACAGACAAGTTGGTGCCGCATATTACAGGTAGTATTTTCTTCCAGGGCCAAGCGAAGGAACTACTATGCCTACATAGGTACATAGTATGTACCTTACCTGCCAGAACAGAGCATGCTTCTGGAAAGTCAGAGATCTGTGTTCATCACAGACCCTTGGTATCCTAAGCGATGAAGCTGCCGAATATGGAGCATCGAATGCGACAGCTATCTCCCCGATGCTGCATGCATTGACTTGTGCATTGACAAGACCTCTTCCGAGCTATCAAAAGGGCTTTTGGACAATTCGTCAGCGCCAAGACAGCGTTGCTAAACGGCTACCTACCTGTACTAGAAGGTACTTAGTTATTTGTGCAGTAAACACATGTACTTGTATGTACTGGCTTTCACCGTTAAAATCTCATGCTGGAGACTTTACTGGAGAAGGAAAGGATATTCTTACCATCCGGGTGTGGTGGCTGGCATATCTAGCAGGTAGACGCTCATTCAATTGTTGATGTTACATACGATGCCGGCGCCGGTGAAATCATGACGGCCCTGAGACGGCCATGCCCGGAGATGCCGACTGCAGGCGTGACATTCACAAATCTCAAATGGGAAAAAGATAATGGCTGGACTGTACTGCGTACGGCAGCTTAGTGGCCGCCTCGGTGTTAAGGGGCAATGGCAATGTGTGTTCCGTACGGCAGACGCGCTAAGTAAATGATATTCCCTCGATTCTCTCTCCTTCAGGCTGAATAGCAGCCTAGCCACCACTAGGATATCCATATTGTAAGCGGAGAGGCAAGCTTGGCTCTGATGGTACGGAGCTCTACTCCGTACACACGCTTGTACGCAGTTCGGCCAGATGACCGTTTTGGTTGCAGCTCTGTTGCGTCGCTACTGCTGATATTTCGGCCGGCAATCGTCGATTTCAATTCATCCGACGTGAGATCTTGTTTAGGGGGGGGAGTGAGATGATCCAGGTCTGACGCGATCCTTTAATTGCGGTGGCAGGTCATACTTGTCCACGGAATACTTGTACCTAGCACTCAGGCTCGGCGTACTCAACTCTGCATTGTAGCGATGCTTCGCCAAGTAGATCTGCAGCGAAGCCATTAGTGGTAATGGACAATATCCAGATCCAAGCCGAGTTCGATTACGGAGACATTCTAGAACATTGCTACCAGCAGGACGTGCTTGTTGGTACATCTTCAGCTAATAGTACCTGATTCCTGGCCGTGGGCACAGGCCTCACGTCCCTTGTCATGGCGGTAAGCATTGATGCTACTCTCCTCCCACGGGGGCTGGGGCAACGGAGGAGCAGTAATCCTGGGACGGCAGATGCTGCTCATCGTGCGCATCGACGCCGCTACGGTCGCCCCCTGGCTCAACCCTGTGTACACGCAGATAGGCAGTTGGGGATATTTGCTGGACCGTTTCCATCTAGTCTTACCGCATGTGTAGAAGGAAACTCCGAGCATCTTTGCTCGTCATATTACCAGCCAGGGGGTAACATGGCGGCTCTGTCTGAATGATCCATCTGCGCTTAGGCGCCTGCCGGCAGCTGCTGGCAATCCTCAGCTGTCCTCTGCAGTGCTTGTGGATGGTGATGCAAGGGAGCAGCAGGCGTACCAGTAGCGGTATGGGGTAAACCCAGCATTGGTTCGCAGTTCATGGCTGTAGCTAGCCACTGGCGCCACATATCATATTTCATATTGTGCTGGCTAACATTGGCTTTGTGCCTGTAAAAGTTGTACATACTTGTAGGTACGCAAGTACTGCAATGGCTAGGTACCTGCATCCTGCCCTTCTTGGCTCTCCTGCCGGGCATACCACCCGTCAACGGGCAGTAGTCCTTGGTGCATCGACTGTTTTACTAACCTCATACAATGTATATACTCTCTTTTTGCAACCGCCACATGATTCAGCGTGTCATCTCGTCTCCACAGAGCACAAAATTGCATCTCGCTGGTACTGTACGGAGTACAAAGCAATGGCTTGGACAGGGGTTCTGAGCCGCTGTGGGTGGGCTTTCGGCAGAAGATTCGTGGCGACATGGTTTCCGGCAGGGGCTTTCCGGCTCCACGGGAGAGACCAGTCCACCGGGCCAGTGGCCGTGGTTCCAACGTGGCGTGGCTGCGGCGTCTTTAGGCCTGGAGAGGGCCTGGTGGACAATACTTGTTTAGCTGAGACAACAGGCGTCCAGTAGCCGTTTGGCCACATCGCCGCAGCCCAACCTGAGATGAACTGGCCGATTTAGCGAAGACGATAAATGAAGAAGTGATAGAATACTACGACTGTCCGCAAGGTAGTATTATGCTTATGATGATAACTTAAGCACCATTGCAGGCCGTCGCCCTGATACGTATGTCAGACGCTTCATGCATGCTACACCGTTTACCGCTCATTCGCAACGGTATTACTAGGTATACTACGAAGTACCTGGGTAGTAGTAAGTCGGTAATACTCCGTACTTCGTACCTGTATTGCTAACCGACCAACGTCTTTCTTCATCCACAGGTTCCAGCCTCGTGAGCTAGCCCGAATTGCTTGTCATCGCACTCGGTTAGTTGGTAGGAGCGTACAAGTAGGTATTTGCCGTGGCTTCTTACGAGAGACGCATGATGAACATCAAATTAAGATGGCGAAGATTGGCTCTGACCAAGGAAACGCAGGATTACACTCCTACTCTTCCGTTTACTGTTAGTCAATCGTACGGCGTTATGAACAAAGCGCTTGTAAGAGGGATTTTTCTTGGGTACCTTCCTAGGTATTAGGTTAAATCACGCTTCCTTCGGCGCAATGAGCGATGCGTCCGTACTTGCATGATGAACCACACCTGCCACCTACCATAAAGCACTACTACTGGGAAATATACTATACATGGACTTATTACGGTCTCTTCTTTAGTGGCAAGGCGTCTTAGCAAGTGCGTCGTAATTGTGCTAATATCAAACGTTACTTTTGTCTGCGGAGCGCGGTACGAGTAAATTCGAGCGCGATGCTCCAAGGCTAGTGGGCTAATTTTAAACACGAGAGGCCTTTCAGCAAAACGCCGCACCGCCATGGCTGGCACTTCATCTCACTTCTCAACTCGCTCCACCACGCGATGCCCGATCTTGCCAAGCCTGACGGAGCAGATGTCCCTGGCAAATGGAATTTCGATTGGCGGACAGACTGGTATGGCAAGTACCTAGTATTCTGTATGCGCGATACGGCTTTGTAGTGTCATGTCTCGTCGGCTGCAGCAAGCGGATGAGCAAGAGGTTGGCACGAACAGCTCTCTATCCTCACGTGTTTGGGATATGATACGGGCAAAGTTGAGCTGCCGCGCGTTGCAAGCATGAGATGTTGGACAAAAGTACGTGGTATGATGCGCAACAAGTATGTATGGGTGCGTATTGACAGGCTGCAAGCAGGGTTGCAGCGCGATTTGCACTATGGCTACTACTACTACCAATGTGGCATACTCGTACGAGCATGCCTAGGCAAACACAATGCTATTGTGATGCATGTATAGCTTGAATGCTACGCGTTTTCAAAGGTACCAAACCAATACTCTACAGAGCAAATTGTCCGTCTCCGTGCGCTGATAACGGAGCACCCGTTGCCAGCACGTTCGCATCTCTGCATAAATTGCCAATGCCTGTGGCCCGACAAAACGAGGCTACCAAGCAATGCCCTGGGCAAGAGACAAATTAGCCGATCGCCGTTACTGAGCTGCAATATGATGTCGGTCAAGGGAATCAGTGTTAGCAAAACGCAAAGAGCTGTCACAAGACCGGTAGCCTTCTCGTTGAACGCTGCAGAAACGGCCCCCAATGGATGGCCCATCACTGGCAAGTTCGCCGCCCACGCGTTGTTATGGCCACCCCTCCTCTTCTCCTCTCTTCTGTCGCCTCCCAATATATACAACAACAGTGTATACATGACGGATATTGCATGGATGCTTTTACAAAGTACCTACCTCCCATGCTACAGGCGGTACTTCCTACGGTACTTGTACCTTACTCTGAGCCATTTCCACATCTGTACTACTGTACATGAGAATCGCTGCTGCAACGCTGTCTGGCTAGCGAGCCTGTGAGTCTCAGTCTCATCTAATCCTGCTTTGGATGCTACGACAGGACTAACTGGATCTATTAGCCGCATGCGGGAGATGGGAGCTAGGCTGGCCTTCCGGCTCTCCGGTCTCTGCTTGCAGGGAAGAAAGAGGCAGGGCGTTTGAAGCATGTATACGATCAACGCGCAAGAGTGCTCGTATACTACTTACAAGCAGAACTGCATATCAGACAGAATACCTTGCACTCTGTATTATGTACTTCGTACTTGTATCTTTCTCAGAGCTGCCACGCGCCTCGTGCATATGGCGGTCTGGCTCATGTTGATTAGAGGCCGAGAGTGACGAAATTCCGCCGAAGAGAGACTGACATGCTGCGCTATGAAGTTGCTAGTACTACCTAGTACCTAGTATTACTACTGCCAAGGTGAACTTGCCTCGCTGCTCGCACGGGTACGCGCAGCTAGGTATGTACAAGTATGTACCTATATTCTTCGTGGACGTCGGGTAACTTTCCAAACAATATCACTGTCCATTGTGTGGTTCGCAATCTACTTCCGATACTGCCTAGACGGATTCAGGCCGAGACGGGAGGTCGTTATGCGCACGCGGGTACATGCCTCACGCACGCTTGCTCCGCGGCGACTGAGGCTCGTGGGGGTTGTCCAACTTCGGATATCTACAGCATCTGTCTACGCCTACAGAGTAGCAACCTACACTTGGAGCAAAACAACCGTTTCAAATTCTGTAATGAACATGAGGCGGTTTCTCCTCATCAAACCTTAGCAGCGGTATGTAACATTCTCAGCAACCACCCTTTTACTCTCCTCCATGCCAGTAGTATGCATAGGTAGTTGTGGTCTAGGCAGAGGCATTGGTTCACCACCTGCGTTAGATGATAGGTCATTCTCGCCTTACAAGTACTGATACCCCTACAGGCACTCTATACTCAAAGTGTAAAGCTCATGTCAAAAGCAGCTTTAGATACTGCCAAATGCGACAATGGCCTGACACGCCCCCGCTTCAGCTATTTGTTCCTAGATAGCGGTGAGTCGGTGAGCTTCCAGAAGCGAACTGCATGCGAAGTGATACTCCAGAATCCATGTGCGGTTTGTGAGCTGGCATTTTCAACTACGGCTCCGACCGATATGATCAGGTAATATCTCTTCCAAGGTATGTGCTGGTGGCGTCGATAACTATGCGTATGTAGCTTAGCAACCTCCCGCCTCGAGCCAACATTTGCCCCAAGCTGTCGCGTTCAAGTACAAGCACTGTCTAATAGCATGTACTACACGGGCTCCCGCTCGTATGTGTATGTGTGCGGACACAATGCGCTCCACGAGTTCATCTCCCAGGAGTTTCTTGGTATGGAATGCGGAGTGCCTGTGTCTATAACCTACTGTGCTGGAAACGCAAGCGTCCTGCTCACATCGAGTTCCAGGGGGGGGGGGGGGGGGGGGACCAATTGGTATATCCTACCCAGTGTACTCCGAGCTACAAGCACCGAATGCCGTATGGAGTGCCTAGCACTGAAAGTATTCGAGTGGGCAGAAGTGGGGAGGAGATCTTTCACTTGTACCCCCAATAACCAGCCCCTATCCAAAGGGTCTGCCAGAGCCGGCAGGGGTCCGAGCACCACCACAAGCAGATTGCTATATGGGCATGGAATCCCCTTCCAGCCATATTCCTGGTAAATCTGCATCCCCTGTCGGACAGCAAGCGGCCTGGACACATCGGGTTACATCCTCTGCAACGCGCCCACTGCAGCCCATCAAAGACATCCCTTCTTGCATCCGAAACTCCCTGCTCATCTTCGTGGGGAGGTGAGACGGCCAACACGGCTGCAGCCGCGTGTATGCCATCGTGACCAGGGCATCATTCGCCGCGGTACAGTGGGGAGAGAAGCGTGCGCTCTCGCCGCAACAAGCTAGCCTGTTGCTGGTACGAGCTACGCGCGAAGAATACGCTTCCAAGGCTAACGGAGTCGATTTCGCTCCGCTACCGACACCCCAATAGTCATGCCGTCAGTTCTACTGCTATGTATGTACAACAGAGTACAGCCGCGTCTGTTCCGTACAAGGATACCAGTTAGGAAGCGATAGCTGTGACTACACAGCACTCTGTATGATGACAGGACTTACTGTTTACTATACAATTTAAGCATCTGGAAAGTCAACTAACACGAAGGAGAGACAATGGTCATGGCGGTCTAAGGAGTGGGTTAGCAGACTAATCTAGTGCGCGTTCAGACCCTTTCTTCTTTTTTTTTCTTTAGCGGCATTCGATAGCTCAAGGACTAATAGCCACATAGTTGGATAGTATGTTATTTATTATGCATGGACAAGTCAACGCAACGGCCCGCCGATCACCATTACTCATGCTGAAGTACACATGACATTAGAAGTTTAGGGCACTGCGGCAAATTTTGACGTTATCGAATGGCTTTACACTAAGTACCGACTACTCACTAGCAGCAATATCAAACTCAAAGGCTTTCATCTCCCCCTCCTCTAAAGAATGCGTTCCACAAAGTTAACTAGAACAGGATCCGCGCCAACGTGGCGCGAGGTTCATTGGTCCGGTTGTTTTCTTGCAAAGTGAGATGTGAATGAAGGGGGTGGGGGCTGTTATGCCCGGCTGTACTGTAAATGGGAAAATTTGATATGAACGCGATGTCAGGAAAAAAAAAACCCGCAGGCACAACAGGTATTGTTTAAGGTTTGGAGTTGATAACTCGCGTGATTGGTAATGCTATGGTAGGACCTTTTGAAAGAGGGGCCGGTGTACAGTGATGGAGTACGAGGTAAGGAAGCGGACGCCGTTGAATTTTTTGACGCTCTTGTGCTAACATGATCGAGTTACCAATACGCCTTATCAGATGTTAAGGTATGATACAAGGAAAGAAGCGGCTCAGATTTGAACTTCTATTCTTTGGCCGCGAGACAACGAGGCTGACCATGGAAGCACAGAGAGGCTGGGATAGGTGCAGGGCAGGGGGGAGAGGACCGGCGTGTTCCGGGGACGGCGCTGGGTCTCTGTCTCTGTCTCTCTGCTGCCTGCCGAGCACCGCATTTACCTAGACAGGCAATCAGGGGGATTCCTTGTCCCAGCGCTGTCTTTCCATGGCTTAGCGACAGCATATACCTACTACCGACTTGTAGTACCTACCCGTACTCGCACATACTTGCGAGAGTATCTATCATGTGAGAGTTGTGGAATTCTACTAAGGACGGAGTGGTACAAGTACGATGCTGCCTGGTGTAAGCTGCAGCACCCTATTCTGCATGTATCCAAATCCGAAGTGCTCCGTTGAGAGTGGTGCTGGCTTTTTCCGCATGCTTTGGCTATTCTAGACTTGTTCTTCACTTGCCTTGTACTGCCAAGCTGGGAAGTGAGAGCGTGGGTCGATGCTAACGTTAGCAGATGTGTGTATTATTAGACTGCCAATGATGGACGGTCAGGGGTGGGAATGCTGGGAGCTAGCACCGGGGAGCAGCGCAGAGGCACTCCTAGTGCTGGTAGCAAAGCAAACCGCCACGACGCGCCCCGGGAGCGCGCAGCCAGGAAGCCGGGCAGAAAGAAGGGTGAGATGTACAAGCAGGTTGAATGAACTGCGCATATTAAGGGGGTGTGGGTGGGCTGGCAGGTGGAGAAGCGAAGACAGGAAAAGGGGCGCGGGGGGGGCCTGGAAGGATTTGTTGGACTTGGATTAGGGGGTAGGGGGTTGAGGACAAGGAATAGGGGGGTTGGAGCTGGCCGGTCGTCGCAAGGAGGTGCAAGCAGGTACTCTCTACAATCAGCCGCGCTGGAGCCCCCTCACAACCTCGGAGCATACGGCGGAGACGCAGCGGTCTGAAGTGGACACCGGCGAGGTATGAGATACTTGTCTCGACGTGCAAGACTGGCCATGGGCGGCGTGGGGTGTGCAGGCGGCTTGCCAGTCCTAGCACTCGGTACCTGCTTGACTGCTGGGATCTCGAGAGCAGCGCAATCCAGGGTGCCTTGCCGCGGCAGCTTACAGTATAATACAACTATGTACAGTGGATGTTTGAGATTTTCTGATGCTGCCAAACGAGATATCGAGGTGATGGATTGGGTCAGTGGTGACATTCCGGCGGAGGGGGGTGGAGAGAGAGAGAGAGAGAATAATTTTGGGGGGGGGCTGGGGAAAAGAGACAAAGACAGAGAGAGACGGAGAAGGAGAAAAAAAAAAAAAAAAGAGGAAAAAGGGAAAAGGAAAAAGAAACCCCGAACTCGCTCACACGTACTCGGTTAGAGGACAAACGCGGTTATACAGAAAAAGTGCCTAGAGGCCAAAGAGAGAGAAAAGAACGCCATGATAGAGCCATTTACAGTAGTGCTCTGTGAAAGGCGGAGCTTGAAGACCCCGTAACGGGACACTAGCGGTGACATGTGGTGTCTGGTACTGGCTACACGCTGTGCTTCGGGGAGCTAGGGAGGAGGCTAGTGGTTATATTGGGATGTTCTCGCTGCTGTGGACGAGTCTGGTAGCGATGCGCGGCGTGGGAATCCTGCTGAGGCAACTGGATGATATCATGGCATTGATTGATGTGTGTATGTATATACGTACATGTATTCTGTGCGGTATATCGATATCAGGTCCTATACATACACGCTTACTATACTTAGTACATACCGCCTGATGGTACACAGTCAGTACCTGTAGATATGTGCATGATACGGCAAATTCCACTTAGTAACTTCTGCACTTCTACATGCACCCTCGGACATTTGGCAGTCGGAGGGTTTTCTGGGACCCAGCAGCAGCATTGTCGGCGCTATTAAGTACCTAATGATACCAGGCATCAGCTATTACTGTGCTGCATGCTTGAAGAAATAGTGGTAGGTACTTGAACCGATGGGTACTGTACTAAGTAGGTACTACTGCCTTGTTTGGTCATAGCGAGGAGACGCTTCGTGTACTTGGTACTCTGAACGAATGTATTCAAGAAATAGATGATACTTGGAGATATACCTGGTAGAGGCAGTAGAAGCAGTAGACTACATGCAATCGTAATTCACGACTTTGGCCACAGCTGGATATTAACAATTCCTTTTTTTTTTTTTTCCTTTTTCCACTGAGACCGGCTATGGTACCTACCGTAGGCGCAGCTCATTATAGAGAGGTACTGCTAGAGTGTATGGATGGCAGCTAAAGAGGCATAGTAGGTAGCTACTAAAGAAAAACTCTCGCCATGGCACGCGGTACTTTTTGGATGCAGAAATCAGGCGACTCGAGTCCCAGAGCAGAAAGGATGCACCCGTGCTAAAAGTTCGAGGTACGTGCTGCTTACGCATTTGCAAGCTGTCACAGAAAAGACGACTCGATAATAGCCGCAACTTGCATGTTTTGAGAAGGACCAAGGGTGGGCTTGACTTTTTTTTTTTTTTTTTTTTTTCTTTTTAGTGAAAGACGTCACCTACGTATTGGAGTTGAAGGCTTTTAAAATAGCGTTAAAAAAACACAAAAACAAAAACAAAAACAAAAAATTGGCTCGTGCTGTGCGACCAACAGAACGGGATCGTGGTGGAGGGGGCGTGAGTGTGGTGGTTGAGTTTGAATAGCACATGCTACAGTCATTTGTGGTAGGTAATAGGTCATAATAGAGAAAAAATTATTGTGGCCAACCAGGGAAACCTGTATTTTTTTGGAACAACGCAGAGAGTACAGAGTACGTTTTGCCATTTTTTGATCACGCTGAAAATCTTCATTTTCATCATCGCTGTAGCCACGTATGAGCAGCAGCAGTAGCAGCAGTAGCATTCATCTACTTCATGGCCTACCCTAGAGTACGTCCACGAAATCTCAAACTCATATCAACATGCAAGCGTTCAAACCCGGCAGCCTTCACTCACACGTCACTACACTTGTCCAGTATTAAATACCTTAGTAGCCAGTCCGTAAATGAAAATACACACACGCAGACTTTCTCTCTCTCTCTCTCTCTCTCTCTCTCTCGTTAATCTGAACCCCATCAGATACACGAGCACAACCCCTCAACGAATATACCTGCCTGTATCCTCCTTTCCACCCCTCCGGCCTCTTCTCCAGGACTGTAAACGAAAGGGGTGGCAACACAAGGACAAGCACAGGCACAAGGCTTTTTTTTTTTCAAGAATAAAAAAAAAAAAAAACCATCGCAGCACAGCATCCCAAAAGCAGGGCCCGGGGGCGACAATCTCACAAATCTCTGCAAGGGCCACATGGCGAGGGGGGCAACTTTTCCAGAGATGAGATGGGAAGATGGTTGTGTGGTAGGTAAGGCAGGGGGTTGCAAGATGCTGCTACTCCAAGATAATATCACCCACAAGCAGTAGGATTATCCACAATAGCCCGTAGACAAGGCGGAATGTCGTTATATTTCCGCTACCTACTGCCTACCTACCTACCTACCTTACTCTCCAAAGTCGCCATGTACTCGCGAAGCACCGAAAGTATGAATACCTACCATACCGTTTGTTGGGAGTAGCCCGAGCTTGATGATCCTTGTTCCTCCCATGTTCGCCGAAGACCAGCTTCTAATTGCAAGTACGTGTAAGGTACCTATGCAAGGAGGGTACGGAATAGGAATGTGCGAATAGAGCAGAGATTCGGCGATGGCGACGACTTGACGAGAAGTAGAAATAGCCATCCATCAAAAGGTAAGCCATCAACTGCCACGAGACTTTAATGACAGCGTTTCGGAATGATACGGGATAGATGGCAAGTAACGCACATCCATCCAAGAGAGCGAGTGAGAAACAATCCCAGTATTTGTAAAAAGTAGCGCTGAGCTTTAAATAGGTATGGATAAATGGGACCATACTTGCATACCGTAACACTGTCAGGGTTTGATCAAGAGAGCAATAGTCCGCAATAAACTCTCAATCACCTGAAAGAAGTCACTATGGGCTCAAGCGTGGAATTAAGATGCAAAAGAAAACCAGCCCAAGCTTTTATTCCCACATATGCCTATATAAATATAAAAAACAGAAAGTTCATCCAAAAGTTTTGATAATATTTCGGTATAACGAATAAAAAAGAAAGAGAAACAGAAAAGAGAGAGAGAGAGAGAGAAAAAAAGAAGAGAAATAGATCTCGTTTTGCCATCATTCAATCATTGTCACATACCCCTCTACTAAATCGCCAGTGTACATTCGTCAAAAACCCATTCAATTTCGCCAGCATGTAAACGGGAGAAGCAACGATATAAAAGACCCAAGAAGAAGAAGAAGAAGAAAAAAGAGGAAAAAAGGTCCATAGGAAAATGTCAAGTCTCTTCAGTTACGATAAGTAAGCGGAAGAGAAAAGAGAACAAAAAGGTCAAGGAGAAACATCTTCGCAAGGCCGTCATACACATACACGCCCAGTTGGATCGGATTGGCAAAGAAAAGAAACGGGAAACGAAGATAAAGGAAGAAAAGGCAAAGAGTAAAGACGCGCAGGCTCTCAATGCTTTTATAGGACGTCATCGTACCATCTTTACACCTCTCGGTGAGACCTGTGGTGATGGTGGTGCTCTGCGTCTCTTGACCTGGAGTCGTATTCTTCGTCATCGTCGCGCCTGTGTCGACGCCGTCTCTCACGCTCACGATCGTGGTCATGATCACGCTCACGATCGTGGTCATGATCACGCTCACGAGGGTCTGCGCCATCCGCATCATCTCGATGACGGCGATGGCGATGGCTTCCTCGCCGCCCTCTATCGTCTTCATACTCACGCTCGTAATCGCGGTCATAATCTCGACCGTAGTCTCTATCATATTCTTTTTCATCATACTCACGATCGTACTCTCGACCATGATTGTCTCGATCACGGTCGCTTCGATCACGGTCGCTGTCTTCATATTCGCCGGTATAGTCCTTGTTTCGTCGCCGCTCTGTTTCATATGTCAGTCAATAGTAAAGCGTCATGAGGGGGTGGCCATGATGTGTCGTCTTACCTCTCAGGACTTGCGTGGCATTAGCATAAGTCTGAATCTCCTCTTTGCTCAAGACTCGAAGCACAATAACAAAATCGTCGCGGATTTCAAATCTCTCCTTGCCGATTTCCAGAGCCTCTGGGTTGACAATCTTGCGGTTGATCTTGGTCCATCGAGCACCCGAAGGGACCTCTTTCAGCTTTTTATCCTCCTTGTGCGGTGCTACGCCTTCACGAATAGGATTGGGCTCCTCCGGGAACTTTGCGCTTGGCTGCTTGAGGATGCCCTTGAGAGGCTTATCCTCTTTCTTCTCATGTGGCGGTGATACAACACGGACCTGCTTTTCCTCCGGGGGACGGACGATAACAAGGTCACGGCCGCGATTTTCTTCCCCGGCAGGCGACTCGGAGCGTCGATCATCCTTCGCAGGAGGAGATGACCGGCCTTTACCATTGGTTTCAGCCTTCTCCTTCTCACTATCAGATACCTTCACAGCAGCAAGCTGCTCGCGGATTTGGCGCAAATCTCCAGTGTCATTGGGATTAAAGCTGTGAGAGGGACGATGCTTGCGAGCCGACTTCTTCTTTCCTTCATCAGAATCCGAAGACACAATCGCTGCCGATTCGCCATTAAGCTTGGCTTCAGCGTCTCGCCTGCTCCGATCTTTAGTCTCTGCATCGGCCTTTGCATCAGCCTTTGCGACTGGACGGTCTTTGTCTTCATTGCGCTTTTGCTCTCGCTCTCGGTCCCGCTCTCGGTCCCGGTCCCTCTCCCTCTCCCTCTCCCTCTCCCTCTCTCGGTCTCTTTCTCTTTCTCTCTCCCTCTCCCGCTCACGATCGCGCTCACGGTCGCGCTCCTCAGCCTCATCAGAGCCTCGGCGTCTCCGCGACTCACTTGGCTCGGGCTTCTCGTCCTTCTTGCTACTCGACGAGATGCCGCCAGCTACGGCAGCAGTAGCGGCAGCTCCCGCTCCAAGGCCAGAGGCAACCTTGTCTCGGACTCGAGATCGGTCATTGTCTTCTTGATCACTATCCCTTCGTCCATCTAGTCTCTCACGGAGGTTGTCTTTGTAGCTTCGGTAATAGTCTTCCCTTTCCCGGTCGGATACTCGCTCTTCATCGGAGTGAGACCTCTGTCCTTCCTTGGGAGCTTCTATCCTCTTCCTAGAATGATCTCTTCTGGCCGAGTCATCCCTTCCTTGATCGTCTCTTGGATCCCAGTAGCGGCCGTGGTGGTCTTTAAGGTCGTCTGTCTGGGCTGTCCGGAGACCAAAGCCTCGAGCAGTGACACTGTCATCGTAGAAACGCCGGGGGTCATAGTCGTCATCCTCATAACCTCTATAATAGTCTTCGGGATGGGAAGCACGTGATCCTGGTTCTTGAACGAGTGAAACAGGCCGCGGGCGTCCGACAGTACGTCGATCAGAGGATCCCCCAGCCATATCCAGCTGCCCAGACGAGCTGGAGTTGGGAGGAGCTGGGGCAAGCGGTGGAATGTCATATGCTCGGTTGATCTTGTCAAATCCACGAACTGAAGGTGGAGGCCCGCCTCGGCTGTCATACGGCCGGCTTGTGCGACTTGGATCCATTGTCGTGTTGACGTTGAAGCTTCGCTGATCCGCGTTATAGTTGATGTTGGGCCGAGAATACCCTCTATCAAAGCTTTCGTGCCTGCGTGAACGGCTGGGAGCGGGGGCAACGCCATGGTCCAAATCATATCGAACCAGCTCGCCGGCGTTTGTGTACTGATATCCCTCGTCCCCGTAGTCTATAGCGGCATTGCTGTGCCGAGAGTTGCTTGGATACACAACATGAGGTCGGGAGCTGCGGTAGGCATCAGCGTCCCGGCTGGCCAACACAATTTCGCCTTGCTCTCGAGAACGACCAAAGTCGTCGCTATTTGTGGAGGTATGGTATGGACGGGCGGTGCTCCTGGATCTTATGGACGACGCTGGCTGGGAGTAGAGTCTCCCTTCGCTTGCTCGGTAGGCATCTCGGACGGGGCTTCCTGTGTGAGCGAGAGCGTCGGTAGTGAGCGCAGAAGAAGTGTGCGGGCGGTGATCTTGCATAGTCGTGACGATGATGGGTGGTCTGGCAGACGCATCGACAGTATTCGAGCGCCGGGTGCGGCTTGGTTCTCGAGGGGCCGGCCTGGGTGCGCGCGGCTCTGGGTTGACCGTGGAATATGATCGTGGAGGCGGCACGACAGCGCCTGCGGGAGCTGCAGCTGTTGTGTAGCCTCTGGGGGTGGCGGCAGAAGCGTATCTCGTAGGCGAAGCGACGTAATCTGCATCGTTGGCATATAAGGCTCCATATCCACCCACGCCAGAGGGAAGAGAGATCCGCGCCGGGTTGTTGAATGTGGCAGGCCGGCCAGCCGCAGGATAACGATATCGGTCACCCATGGTGCCAGCACTGGAGGAGACTGAGAAGCAAGATGTTGTCGTCTAAGACCAGACGGAGAAGTATCCAGAGATGTAGAAAAGAGCAAGCCTTGGCCTAAGCAGTGGGGGAAAAAAGGCGGCAAAATGCACGTTGTTTGGGCTGCGTCACAGGAGGCCAAAGTCTTTTCTTGCAGTCAGCCGAGCAATGGACAGACCGGGCTGGCAGAGAATGAGGGGTCGTCGTCGAAGTCGTCAGATAATAATTACGGCGGGAGAAGTATATATAAGATAATATGATCGCGGGGTTCCTAGTCAGCCTAATAATGAGCTTCTCGGCCGCTCGTTGACAGACTGTCCCCTCAGCCGGGGTTCAAGGTTCCATATATGAGAAGTACATACGCCGGGAGCAGGGAAGGGGGAGAAGAAAAAAATTTACCTGGTGTGCAAAGACCCGAACCATGCAGCGCAGGGTCCAGAAAAAGAAGGGTTTGCGTCGTGGAAACAGACTTGGTTGGACGCAAGGGAGAGGGGACAAACGGTTAATGTGCGCGATGCGGGTTAAAACGGTCTGGGGTCATGGCGACTTTGGGTGAAGCAGCCAGGGGCACGATGTTCAGTGGACAGGCAGTGGACAGCGCCCCCTGTAGAGTTACCGCTAGGAGCTTCCAGCAGCCACTGGGGAGAGCTGTAAGACGGCGCGCTGTCGATGCTAAATGCTCGTGTAAATCGCTGCACGATGCTCCCATTCTTAGCGGCGCAGGGCGCTCTAGCGGCGGTCCGGCAGTTGCCCGCTCGCGGTGGCTTCAGCTGATGAGAGCTGCTGCTGGAGCTTCCCGCTGGCGTCTCGTTCCTTGTGGCATCAAGGTTGCGTTCCCGCAGATAGCGAGGCGCGATGACGGATTACGGCTCTGGTGACGCCCTGGTGATGGGCTAACGACTCGTCTGAGCTGCCGAAACTTGGGCCCGGACGTTCGGATCGCTGTTTGGACTCGACTGTTGTTCAGAAAGTGGAAACCAACGGACCCAGTTCTGAGTCCCCTTGGGCATGAATTCTTTTTTTTTTCCGTCTATTTTCGTCTTGTTTTTTCAACTAGAAGAATTCGTCCATGCCTCGTACAGCAATCCTCCATCCGCCGAATCCTTGGGCGCAGAATTAAGCTGGCACGCTGGAATAGCCTCGCTTGGAGTCTTGGGGAAAATACGATGATGACGTCGCGATTCGTTATTGCCACCACGCCAACGTCAGAACTAGCATCCGGCCACACGCCTCTGGTTGCCTTCTTCTCTCTCGAGATCCGCTTGGTGCCTTACCGAGGGCCTGTGCACGGCTATTCTAATCTCGAGCAAAGTTTGAATGGTTCTCATCTCGAGCAAAATTTTGGCTGAGGCTCCGGTTTTCCTGCTGGATCGAGTTGGACGCTTATGAGGCACGTTTCCGTACGTGCTCGCTTGCCAGTTAGCCAGGAACGGCCGGATACACTAATACGACGTGTGCCATCCAGCATCCAACCTCATGCCATCACGCCCAGATTCCATCTCGTCTGCCCAGCGAAGCCGATGTCGCTGTGCCGGCATGGCAAATTCGCAAAGACACCACAGGCGGGAGATCTGCTTCCACTGATCCCGAGAGATCATGCGTCCCGCGGCTGCTACGGCTCTTTTTGCCAACGACGAGGCGACAACTAGCAAACTTTACTCCACCAGTGTATGAAAATAAAATTTCGCCGGGGCTTCTTCTGAAAGCCTCAATTCTGTCTTCAAAGTAGTGGCACGCCGTCTGATTGATGGACTGATTACCCCTCGGGTGCCTTTTCTCTGGCCATGCTATTCCATTCTCGATAGCTAACCTTTGGGTGGATCTGTGCTTGAAGACTTAATCCCGAGATTGGGCTGCTGTGCTCATGCCCAATCTGACCAGGGGCTGAGCAAACCTCGGTCGATTTCTACGGGGAGAGCTTCAACGCCCTTTTGACCCCGGGTTACAGCCATGTGGGAAGACCTGAGCTCCTTATCGCCCAGACTTGCTATAGCATTGTCAAGTTTGAAGTTGGGAACAGCGGATGACCGAATTTTAGCTTACAATGGCTCTTGCAGATATAACAATGGGGGGCCAATGGGCCAATGTATCAGCCTGATATCGAGCTGGTGCTACTTACATGCCTATACATCCATGTCATATTATACGGCGCATGGTACACATGTATGCTTATATGATCAATGCCTGCCCACATGCAGTGTCCAGTCCGGCACTTGACATTGACTTCTTCCCGTCTGACACGTGCATACAGACACTAGGTATATGACATATGCCGTGCATAGGCAAGAAATACATGCTCATGCTTGTAGTACGCACACCCGTATGTATGAGTATTAATACCTACCAAGTACTAGGTAGTACTCCATACGCACGCATGGAAAAGTGCTTGCATTCCCGTTGCATGCGTGTACATACAAGCTAGGCTTCAAATCCTGACATACGGAATAGCAACCAGCCGGGTGCTCACTTATGGAACCCATAAAAAAAAAAAAAAAAAAAAGCTTGGGCACTGCGTTCCTTGTTTCCATCACCTCCCCATTAGCAAGAAGAACAGATTGTCTCTGAGAATTCCCAGGGCTTTGGTAGCATCGACTTCAAAGAGCCCACTCGGTGAGTCCCACACTTTGCACAGCCGGATCCCTGTTTCTCTTGAAGCCCAATGCAGCTATTTCCCGGCTAAGAGCAAGCGTGGTGTTGGGCATATACGACAATAGCTGCATGTTATTCCAGAAGCGTGAAACGCTGAACCGTCACGGTTGCGTTCGAACCGTATTGGGGCCAATCGCCGAGTTGCGAGCCATTATGACAACTGATCTACAAGAATTGTTTTTTTTTTGCGTGCCATGAATACAAATGTTTCATTGGAAATGGCTCATGTCTCTGAATAAACTTTAAACGAGGATTAGAAGATGAAACAGGGGGAGCAAAGCGACTGAGCCAAATTCATGTAATAAAAGGCTAAAGTGTGATGTAACGTGCGCGTACTTTGTGTTTACCTCGAGTTTTCTTCTTGTTCAATACCGTAAGATATCAAACATGTGGAGAGCTAGATATTGGAGCCAAGGAGCTTACTAACAACCCAAAGCGGCAATATCTGAACGGCTTGTGTGTTCAAAAGACAATAGATTAACGTAATTGGATACGAACTATCTAGATATTGTGACCTGAGCAGGAAGAAAGGGAAGACAGAGAACTACAAGCCAGAGTTGTCTGGACGCCAAAAAAAAAAAAGCCAAACTCACGGCACTCCTCATATATTCCCTCTAAGCCAACGAACCCATAGGATCCCACAACGGGAGCACAATAGGCTCCTGCTTCAACACATCCCTCACCTCCTTGCTGAGATATCTCGGGTCTACAACAGCCTGGTACACAAACTCATCCATCCACGCATCACTCATGACAAACCACCCCTTCTCGCCAACCGCCGTGCCCCAGCTATTCTGCACCCTCCATCTCACCGGCTTCCCCGTCTTCTCATCCACATGCACCGCCGTCAGCACCATGGCATGCGTCATGGCACTCTCGCCCGTCATCAGCCTCTGCGCCTTGTCCATGCCCAGCAGGCTGGTGTTGATGCCCGCCTCATAGTCAAACAGATCCAGGTCCATGATGCCCGCCACTCGATCGCTAAACTTGCCCACGTCGCAGCCGAAGAAGACAGGCACGCCCGCCTTGAGCAGCTTGACGCACGTTGACTTGAGCGTGTCCATCTCGACGTTGACGTAGGTGATGTCGCGGCCACCGACGATGTTGCCCAGCCGAGAGACGGTGAGCTTGCGGAGAGACTCGTGGCGCGGGTCGTGGACGAGCGAGACCATGCTCTGGATGGCGTCGGATGTGACGCGGAACTCGGAGCTGTAGATGTCCTTTGCAAAGGCCTTTGGTGTTGTCTTGACTTGTTGCGCTTTGCCGTCCTTGTCGAGGAACTGCCATGTGAACTCCTCGGTCGGCTTGGGAGGCTGTCCGAGCAGGAGAGTCATGATGAGAGCAATCTCCTTAATCATGTGGATCTTGTGCCCGCTAATGACCGAGGGCGAGACAGAATCTCCATTGACCACCTCCCGCAGTTTGAGCGCGTACTCGCGAAGCTTAGTCTTGACGATGCTGTTGAGCGTGCTCGAGTTCATGGCGTTCCAGCTATCCGGGTACAGGGCCTGGGGAACAAGCCCATACTTCTCGACCAAGTTGTACACCATGTCCCACTGGCCGCCGTCCGAGACGAGATCGCCCAGCAGTCTCTGCACGACGCGGCTGTCGATGTCGTCCTTGGCCGTCTGGACAATCTGCTCAAGGAACCAGTTGGCCTTTTCCAGCTTGTCCCAGTAGAAGAGATAGGCCTGGGACAGCTCAAACGACTCCAGGTTGTGGCGCTTCATGAGCGCCACGCGGAAGACATTGGTCGAGGCGAAGAGCCAGCAGCGCCCGCTAGACCGCTGGTTGGTGATGGGGTCGCCTTCAAAGGGGATCTGAACGTTGAAGACGTGCTGGTTGGCAATCTTGGTCGCTCGCGAAGTGAGAGCTTGCTTCGGGTCAGACGAGCTCAAGGCGGCATGCGCCAGTCTAGATGGTAAGATCTCATGGTCAGCATACATGTATGTATTGATGATGCTATTAATGAGGCTATGGGATCTTCCCACTCATCATCCCAATGTCTTGAGTGCTCAGCTGGAGCTCATGACTCACCTATTCTTAGGATCCTTCACCACGGAATCTATCCAGACTTCCAGCGACGACACAGGCAAGCCCTCGGGTTCTCGAACGAATTGTTCTTCATAGTGCCCTTCAGTCTTTTCGTCACTGGGCCTGATACAATGCCCCTCTTCTAGCTTAAAGCTTCGGAGACGCTCCAATATGAGCTTCTCACTCTCCGCGGCGGTGATCGGCTTGGACGGCTGGCCACCCATTGTGAGCGACTTGAATAAATCCTCCTTCTTTCACACTCAATTACACAGCTCTTCTCCGAGAGCAAATGGGTTACGTTTTCCTTATATCAAGATAAGCCGGATCTTATGTGACTTGATTCAGGGCCATCAGGGTGCCTTTGAATAGCTGTCACAATATTGAAAGATATGGCGTGGCCTGCATATACGCCCTTCTTATCTGCCCCTCACGAGTCCCCTCCCGTCGGGCGTAAGAACTGGCCGGCAATCACGAGTTCTACTGTACTTGTACTAACTGTCCGCCGGCTATATTCCTACTGGTTCTTTTGCAGCGCCACCTCTTTTCAGCGATCCCGCGTTGCCCGCTGTCTCTGCCTGGAGTACCTTCTTGTTTCTTCGCTCTTGAGCGCCGTAGTTGCGATCTTGCACACTGGTTGTTTCAGTTGGCCTGGCAGAAGTCGTCATACATTACTGTACCTATCTACCCGCCTACTAGTTCTTTATGTAAGTCAACACCAAGGGCAGAGAGACATACTACGACAGTCTATCAAGTAGTAGTAGTAGGTACCTACTAGGTACTAGGAATACTACCATACTTAGTAATACAATTAGCAGCGTAAAAGCAGGACGGCATACAGCGGGGCTGAGCAATAGCTCCCCGACGCTATCAATACTCACAAAAGCCCGAGGGCCACTTGTGGGGCCTCCCCCATGTTGGTGGCGTTCAGCTGGGTAATCTAATATTACAAGCTACGCGCTCGGAAGCTGCTCGTAACGCGACAAGACAGATGGACGCAATTCCACGATGCATGCGGGATTAATCACGATGGTGAACGGCAAGAGTATACGAAATCCATCTTAATTACAGTGCAACATATAGGTAGATCCTATCTACTGGGCACTCTGCCTCATATCCAAAGTACATCCCAACCCAATCCAAGTAAAATTAGCAAAGCCATCGTCCCACAACACCCTCACTTTCCAAGCCCATGGGGTATTTTTCACATTATTCAGACTAGAAAGCGAGCCTGGAATATCCACAGGATGGATAGAACAGCCGTCCTGTCAGAGACAAGAGATGGCGTCCTTACAAGCGGGAGCCGTGGATGACCTTCATCTCAACAGCGAGCTCACGGCCGCCATCGTTGAGAACGAGGACACGGACGCTGCCGCGGCCAGACTCGAAAGCCTGCTGGAGACGAGACCACAGGTTGGACTGGTCAATGACGGACAGGCCCTGCTTGACATCACCGGTCTCGGTCATGGCAGTGACGTAGCCGTCAGCCATGTCGAGGACACGGTACTGCTTGAAGACGGGGCCGAGCATGGTCTGGACAACAACGCTGGGGGCGGGGTTGGCAATGAAGGAAGACTCCTCGTGCAGCTGCTTGGTGAAGAGGTCAACACCAAGGTAGCGGTACTGGCCGGTGGCAGACGAGGTCGAGATGCGGATGACCTGGCAAGGTCGGCCCTGGAGCATCAAGAAGTCACCCAGACGGATGTGGTGACAGGGGATGGAGACAGTGTTGGGCTGCTGCTCGGCGGCAGGGGCGGCTGGACGGCGAGAGGTATTAGCATCTTGGTGGATATCAATAATATCAATTTGCTCTGTGATGGTAGTGTTATTATTGTTTTTATGGTGATGGTGGTGGTGGTGGTGGTGATGGGGGAGGAGCCTGTCCACTGCTTTGGCCACGCCTTGGCGGACAGAGTGGTAGGAGCCTACCGGCGACACGCGTTAGCGTACGCTTGCACGCGTCTGGCAGACAATAATAGAAAGTTAGTGAGCTTACCCTCATCATCGTAGTAACCCATCTTGGCTGGTTTTTCGGCGGGAGAAGACTCGCGAATTTCCTCGGTGATCTTGATTTCCTCACGGAAGTTGGGACGAGAAACAGTGGTACGTTCTTCAACGGTGAACTCGGTACCCTTCGATTTCTCGGAGTGGTGGTGGTGGTGTCGAGGACGACGGACTTGAACTAGTTCAAGGCCGGTAGAGCTCTGGGGTTGAGGTTGAGGACGGAAACGTTCTCGGTATTCACGCTCAGCAGCGTCAATGGGGTTTGAGTAGCGGCGAGAAGAGTCAACCTTGACTTGAGTCTCAGTGTAGTCGCGAGGAGGAGGTGGAATAGATCTAAAAGTACTCGAGTTAGTTGGAGGGATTCCCTTTTGTGCTTGAGCTTGCTTGGCCTTGGTCTCTGGGCCAACACTTGTGGGCCTGGACTAGACCCCCTGAGCCGGGATAAAATAGCATGGCTGGGAACCCTAGCTGAACCTCGCCCCCGGCTGTCAGCTCCCCCATAGTGAGCTCCGCCGCCCTCCGTGCTCAATTCGCATCTCCACCCCCAATTGACGCGTTCTAGAAGCCGCGGCAAAAGAGATTGTAAGAATACGAAGAGCAATTTCAGCGCTGCCTGTGGCAGGCGGGTTCCTCTCCCCACGGCTATTTCTCCTGTCCCCCTTCCCTCGCTCCCTCCAATGGCTCACGCAAAATGAGGCCAGGAGAGACAGAAAGCGAAAGGAGTGAAAACAGATAAGAAAAAGGTTGCAACTTACTTGAACTCTTCCTTTACGAAGCGTTCAGAGTGGCGTGAACCGGGACGGCGGTGGCGTTCTTCCTCGCGCGTAATACGGATCTCTTCTTCGACGCGGTGTTCACCACGATGAGGAACTAGATCGGCACTTGGGGGGAGAGAAGAGAATTGACCCTCCCGTCCGGCTGGCTTTTGTTGAGGGAGGGTGATTTGAACCTCCTCGAGAGTTGTAGTCTGGGTTTGAGGGCGGCCTGCTTCGTTGTCCTTGTAAGTGGACGGGAAGATGCTAAAAGGCACGGGGACTCGAGCTTCAAAATCCAGGTTGGCGGCTTGCGCTGGCGCGAGAGAATCTTCTCATACAACCTTCCGTAGTATCACGAAAGGAAGATAAGAAGGATCTCAAGCTTCTGTTCCTGGAAACAAAAGTCGAAGAGGGAAGAAAAGAGAGAGGGATATGATACCTCTGAGAGTCTTTTCTTTCAATTGTCCTTGCTTCTTTGCTGGAGATTCAGATAATTGGAGGAAAGGAATGGCGGATCAGAACCAACGTCGCTCGATGGGCTTTTTGAGGTCGGGGGCCAGGCCTGCGATTGTGGGCGTGCTCGTTGTGTTGCGTTGCCAAGGAGGGTAAGCCTATCGGCCCTCCATGTTTACCTGCCACCAAGACTGGGCATGTTATTGTTTATTCTCATCACAAGAGGATTAGTCCTGTCGTATCCTGGCCTCTCGTCTCCGCCATCAACTCCACATTCAGCCAACCTCATCCAACTCCCCTGCAAGCCCAGCGAGCTCAGCAGGCATCTCGTCCACTGGCCTCTCGAGGCTGCGTCTCAGGCGTACTAGAGTCTCCAGTCGCCAGTGGACTCCTCGGACATGATGCTGCAACCCAGCGGTAAGCGTGATGGGGCCCCAAAGGCAACCCAGAGGTCCCCAGCCACCTTGCTTTCCTTTACTTCCCTTGCGTCCCCCCTGAATCGGCCGCTGATTGACCAGTCAGGCTCGGCGATTGATGTTCATGGCTACTGGGCCACTAGTGGTAACAATATACCGGTAATGTAATCTGGTAGCAGCAGTAGTGGTACCCCGTAGGAGTGGTAGCTCCTCCATAGCGCGTGGTCAGCTACAAGGACGGCCCATTTTTAAGCGTGAGTGTGTGCCTCTGCTCTGTTTATTTTCGGGCCAGCCTTTGGCGCGACTGGTTCCTGGCCTAAAGGGCCTTCCTGTTTTCCCAATAGCCCCAGATCCAGCCTCATCGGCTTACTCGTACCGAGCAGCACGCAAGCGAGAGAGAGAGAGAAGCGCTGGGAGCAGCGGTACTCGTAGTAGTGCTCGTAGCCGGCCCTGTGCCTGTTGAGTACGTAGCAAGCAACCCGTACCCGGCAGTAACTTGAGCCGTACTGGGACCACAGCTCGTACATACATCGTACAGCATTGTACTTTGTAACTCACTGACATGGCGCCACCGGAAAAGCTTTTTGGCTTATCATGGAGGGCAGGCTGCGTCCAAGCTGATGCTGCATCTCGCCCATCGCCTATTCCTGCGACGCCCACGCCGGCTGTATGAGGACTGCCAAGCGCCCACTTTTGTGATGCACATGCCGTCTTAGCTGCAGCAGTGCAATGAAAACAGAGATGGCTGGGGCTCAGTCTTCGCGCTCTGGGCTATTGCTCGCCGGACAAGGCGATCGTCACCCTCGGAGAGCTGCGTGGACTGGGCTGCCATTGGCCAGCTTGGGCGTGCCGCCCGCCTGAGACTACTTTGTATGGTTCGCTGCACGTAAAGGCGCTCCCTCCCTGCCGCCCGTATTGATATCGTGTAATGCCGCCATTGGGCTGGAGCTGTTTCGGTGCTAATGCAGCAGGATAATTGCAGTATGGTAGCGGCGTGGTGCGAGCGCTGCAATCGACGCTGTGCATGTAGCACCCGAAATTTCGTGGCTGGGTGCTGGGAAGAAGCCAGACCTCGTCGGATCGCTCCAACGAGAGGGGCCATTGCTGCTAGCACCAAGCTCAGATAGAGATGGCTGGTCGCCAGCCGTCCAGTCGCGGGCCAGGCCACGGTCCGCTTTTGGGGCAGCTCATTTCCCTCTCAGTTGGCCATGACGCTTGCTGTGGGCTTTGCGGCGGCGCCCGGCACCCAATCCATGGCAGATCTGTGTCTTTAAGCTCCCTCTGTCAAGCCGTCCCTGGCTTGCCCGTACATGTGTCCTGAACATCAGCATGGATCGGGGGACATTGGCGTCTCGTGCATGCTCAAAATGCTGGGGACCTTGATTGCCTCCCGCCTCATCTCCACCTCAATTATCTCGGTTGCTGGGACGATTCAGCATCGCCATCGCAAATGTGTTCTCTTGGAGGGGGGGACAAGGATATGCCGCTTGTGTTTCAATATTAGACATCCAACAAGGTGGCAGGGTAGAGGTCCGTGCTGCCTGCTACGACGCGTCGAATCGCGATAATTTGGGGGGTGGACCGAGGATGAAGCTGAATTGCGCGTTCGATTGGATTGATGAGATTGGATGTGGCGGGTCCAATCGTAGCCGCATGTGCCTCGGTCGAATGGCTTCAGCTGCTGATTTCCCCAGAGGTTTGTCCGAAAAGTGAAGCCTTGTTGATCGCGTTGGAGCACTCGTCAGCTCAACTTAAAAGATTAGCGGCCGCGTGGCCTAATGGCTAAGGCGCTAGATTTCGGTTCTTCAGCAACTTTCCCTCTAGAGATTCCAGGTTCGACTCCTGGCGTGGTCGTTTTTTTGCCCTTTTTGACAACCTTTTGACTTGCAATTGCCATTGTTGATGGCAATGGCCGTCAATTGGGCCCTCTCGACGGTTAGATCAGTTGTGAGTGCTGTAGGGAGACGACGACAGCTGGCACAAGGGATCCTTTGCTACAAGTAATAACCCTAGGCGCCCGCCCTTCTTTGACTGTTATGTCCGCATTGGGTAATTTGCAGCGTCCGTCCCTCGTATCAGAGTGATGAGCGTCTCACCTTTTTGCAGGCTAATTTCTCTACTGCAGGTTTCACTAGTAAATACGACTGCTTGGTTGTAAGCCATGATTTGCACCAACTTCTGCAACTGGCAGGGCAATCAATTAGTGCTTGCTTCCTACCCTGCTGTCAGGTTTCGTCCAGCATTGCTTTTACACATGCTGCATGAGCGCTGCTGCGCATAATTGACAACGTAACTCCCCAGTCAGAGGAACAGTCCGCCACATACAAAGTACCTAACCTATACTCCGTACTAATATAGTACTTGGACTACCACCTACGGCAGTTGTCAAAGATCTCAACACTCACCTAATAGTCTAGATGCCATGTGCCATGTTAATTGGGCCCCTTCTTTTTAAACTGGAATCGCGAATCTTGCTATTGCCTCAGAATCCCAGTGACAGCGACCAGGATGCTGAGCACCCTTATATCCAATATATAGTAGTACATGGCTCTAGTACATGGCTCTGGCTCGATGGTTACCTTATGCGTTATGCGAAGCCACGTGACGCCATGGCGTCACAGCTTGAGAGCTTGCCCCACGGTAGGCTATCGAGCCTCGCACCAAGCTTGATATATACAGCTCGGAGCCTGCACAAAACGCAAATGCCAGTATGAAGCAGAGATTTTCGTCATTAGATGTCAAGGTACTTTGCAATTTTTCTCCCCAGGCGGATTTACGTCTCGGGCGACCTGCTGACTGCCCTTCCCTTACTCTAGGTCATTGCGCACGAGCTCCAGGCGAGCTTGGTGACTCTGCGACTCGCGAACGTCTACGACCTATCCTCCAAGATCCTGCTCCTGAAATTTGCCAAGCCCGATAACAAACAGCAACTGCTAATAGAAAATGGATTTCGCTGCCACTTGACCGACTTTGCCCGAACGACTGCCGCCGCTCCATCTGCCTTTGTAGCTCGGCTTCGCAAATATCTCAAGACCAGACGACTGACGGCAGTTACACAAGTGGGGACCGACAGAATCCTCGAATTCCAGTTTAGCGATGGCCAATATCGAATGTTCTTGGAATTCTTTGCGGTATGTCAGCTATTGGAAAGCAGAGGCATCTTCTCAACCGTATTGTTCCAAGTCGCCAGAGGCTAACATTGGGTAGAGCGGAAACATCATTCTTACTGATGCGGATCTTAAGATCCTAGCCATTTCTCGTAATGTTGGTGAGGGAGAGGGGCAAGAGGCGCAGCAAGTTGGGCTGCAGTATTCTCTGGAGAATAGACAAAACTATGGCGGCATTCCCCCGTTGACAAAAGAAAGGATAAGGGATGCTCTCAAATCTGCTGCGGAGAAGGCTGAAGCAAACGCGGGGGCCGGTACTTTTTCTGGACACAAAGCGAAAGGTAAATCTGGTGGCGATTTGCGAAAGGCCTTGGCAGTATCCATAACAGAGCTGCCCCCTACTCTGGTCGAGAATATCTTACAAGCGAATAGCTTTGATATCACCGCTAAACTAGCTGATGTGCTTGATAATGAGTCATTGCTGGATGCATTGGTCAAACATTTATCTGAGGCTCGTGATATTGTTGAGAACATCACCGCATCTGCCACCTGCACGGGTTATATCTTCGCCAAGAAAAAAACAACATCTTCCAGCGATTCAGTCGAAGCAAATGAGTCTCAAAAGCGCGAAGGGCTGCTTTACGATGACTTCCATCCGTTTATTCCGCACAAGTTCAAGAAGGACTCGTCGTTTGAGATATTAGAATTCGAAGGCTATAACAGAACAGTCGACGAATTTTTCTCATCCTTAGAAGGCCAAAAGTTGGAATCTCGACTTACTGGAAGGGAAGAAGCTGCCAAGAAGAAGCTTGAAGATGCTAGGCATGAACAAAGCAAGAGAATCCAAGGTCTACAAGATGCCCAGGCGATGAATCTCCGCAAAGCAGCTGCAATTGAAGCAAACGTAGAGCGTGTGCAAGAGGCCATGGACGCGGTAAATGGTCTTCTCGCTCAAGGCATGGATTGGATAGACATTGGGAAGCTCATTGAGCGAGAGAAGAAGCGACAAAACCCCGTTGCCGAAATTATCAATCTTCCTCTCAAATTGTCTGAGAACACGATCACTCTCCTTCTCGCAGAGGAAGAGTTTGACGAGGACGAGGACGAGGCAGAAGAAGCCAACCCGTACGAAACCGATGAGAGCGACTCAGAGGAAGGGCAGAATGAAGCTACTTCAACGAAGGATATTAAGCCTGCCAAGCTTCTCACTGTTGACATTGTCCTCAATGTTAGCCCTTGGAGCAACGCTAGAGAGTATTATGAACAGCGAAGATCAGCTGCTATCAAAGAAGAGAAAACCCAGCAACAGGCAACCAAGGCCTTGAAGAGTACGGAACAAAAAATTGCCGAAGATTTGAAAAAAGGTCTGAAGCAAGAAAAAGCCCTTCTTCAGCCCATTCGGAGGCAATTGTGGTTTGAAAAGTTCCTGTGGTTCATCTCCTCTGATGGCTACTTGGTCCTTGGAGGGAAAGACCCCCAGCAAAGCGAAATACTCTACAGGAGATATCTGCGGAAAGGGGACATTTACTGCCATGCCGATATACGTGGCGCAGCAAATATTGTGATTAAAAACAACCCAAACACGCCAGATGCCCCAATTCCCCCAGCAACTCTGTCTCAGGCAGGATCGCTGTCAGTCTGTTCCTCGGAGGCCTGGGATTCCAAGGCGGGCATGGGCGCTTGGTGGGTCAATGCAGATCAAGTATCCAAATCGGCTTTGACAGGAGAAATTATGCCTGCTGGAAACTTCATTATCCAGGGGAAGAAGAATTATCTACCCCCTACTCAACTCCTGCTAGGTTTAGGATTCGTATTCAGAATTAGTGAACAGAGTAAAGGCTCGCATTTAAAGCACCGAGTACAAGACGATCGCTCGTCAACAGCCGCAGAAGAGGCGACCGCTGGCGAAGATGGGCCAGAAGACAAGGAAGAGATTGATGAATCAGATGTCTCGGACGACGAGTTTTCTGAAAACCCTTCTAGCCGTGAAAAACGAGCAAATCCTCTACAAGGCTCTGGCAATGAAGATGAAGCCATAGATGACACGGCTGACAGGCTGTCAACAGTGAATATCAGCCATCAGCCTGCAAACGATGAAGCTGCTCCCTCAACTGTAGCTGCCACTGAGGATGGGCAAGGAGAGGGAGAAGACGAGATAGATGCAGATGAAGAGGAGCATGGCAGCGAGGGAGACGAAGTAGCACCTTCTGAACCTGCCACCGAAATGTCTGAGGCGCCTAGCAGAATCTCTTCACATTCAACAAAAGCTTCTGAGACAACCAAGAAAGGAGCCCAAAAGCGTGGACAAAAAGGAAAGGCGAAAAAGATTGCCCAAAAATACAAAGATCAGGATGAGGAGGATCGCATTACAGCAGAAGCCTTGATAGGAGCTACGGCGGGCCGGCAGCGGGCTGAAGCAGAGGCAGTCGCGAAAGCCCAACGGCAGGCTGAAATGGAAGCTATGAAGGAGCGCCGACGAGCTCAGCATGAGCGTAAGCAAAAGGAAGTTGCAGAACAAGAGGAGATACGCCGCGCTATGATGAACGAAGGCCTCGACGTACTGGAGCCTGACGAAGCTGAAAAAGCGACAAACTTGGACACCTTGGTCGGCACGCCGCTGGCTGGAGATGAGATTATCGAAGTCATTCCCGTCTGTGCGCCTTGGAACGCTCTGGTTCGGTTCAAGTACAAGGTCAAGATGCAGCCTGGTTCTGTGAAGAAGGGCAAAGCTGTCAAAGAGGTGCTGGACCGACTGAAGACCGATTCTGCCAGGAAAGGTGTCATTGACGAGGCTGCAAGAGATAAGGAGAAGATGTGGCCGAGAGAGATTGAGCTCATCAAGGCCCTTAAGCCAGAGGAGATTGTCAATACTATCCCGGTCAGCAAACTAAGAGTCATGCTGGCCGGCGCAAGCGGAGGGGAGAAAGGGTCTTCTGGCGGTGGCAAAGGCAAAGGAGGAGGTAAAAGCCAAGGCAAAGGAGGTAGAGGAGGTAAAGGCTCCAAGAAGTAGCCTGTGTTTATTCTGAATAGAGGCCAGGACTTTACGATTGCATAAAATTGTGCCAAATAAAACAAGCATATATATTTTGTATAAATGGGTAATACCTACTAGTTGATTGCAATCCCCCTTCCTTAGGACACGCAGTAGATGCCATGTCGTGAAAATGCCATGTCGTGACATGGCATTTATAACGTTTCTCCACGCTTCATTCAAATTCCATGTTATTTATTAATTAGTGTCTTTCCAAAAACAGATAATACCAAATCAAGCCCAACATTTCTCATATAAAGTAAGCGTCATCCCCCCTTCTAGCCAGATGAGGTATCTATGGATATATGGGTAATACATATAAAAAAAAAGATTTTCACAATTTATCGAGTATTCTCCATCCTTCGTATCTCGTTGGGCATCCGCGCAATGCACAGCTCGCGGCAGAACATGCCCCATTCGCCGCTGGTGGCGCCGCGCACGGCGTCCTGCAGGTCCTGGCCGTAGCGCTCGCGATAGGCCTTCTTGACGTCCTGCATGTGGAAGGAGTCCCAGTGGAAGCGCACGAGGCGCGAGATTAGCAGTTCGCGGCGCAGAGAGTCCTTGCGGGAGGCGGTGATGGCGTGCTGCAGGAGGAGGGCGTCGCGGACGGGGCGGTTGATGACACCGTTGAGGATGTGTGCCAGGAGCTCGCCCTAGATTTTAATTAGAAAGTTTTTGTTAGCATTCGCTTCTCTCTTTCTTTCTTTCTCCTCCTTTTTTCCCTCTCGAGGGTTATCAAGAGATACATACCACAAGATTGTTGCTCTTCTTGAGAGCGTCACGCGCAAAGTTGCTGCGGTATTGGTGTTCGTACTCCTTGAGGACGGCGCGCAGGTGGGCGTCGCTGCGCTGCACGACAATTGTGATCATCAGGGTTTCTCCGCCCTTGTCAGACTTGACCGCCTTGTGCAAGTCCTCGACATCCTGATCGATGAGCTTATAGTCGAGCGGCAACCGGCGGCCCTCATAGTCGTACTCCTCCATGCGGCGCTCCTCCAAGACTATCAAGACGGCCTTTTTGAATTTATCTTCCTTGAGCTCCGTCTTCATGCACTTGGTCAGGCTGTTGTCGTACTTCTTGTCCGAGAAGGAATCCTTGATGCGGCGGATCTCGTCGTTTGTCCGGCCCATGAGCGACTCGATCAGCAGCTCTCGGCGCGTCTTGTCGCCCTGGTACCAGAAGTTGGCCCAGTAGGCCTCGCTCTCCCACTGTCCCAGAGCAACGGCGTAGCACGCCTTCATCAAGAGGGGATCCTCGTCCTTGAAGCGGGCGCGAATGTGCTTGGCAATGTTGACGCCCTTGCGGTCCGCACCGGTCTTTACAATCTGTTTGTACTCGGCGCGGAGCTCCATGACCTGCTCGTGCGACAGGCTGGGAAGGATTTCAATGACCGGCGCAACATCCGGTCTGTGATTGCCCTTGAGGGCCTGGGCAAGACGAGAGGCAATGTCCTGCGGATCATGGAAGCGAGCTCGCCTGTTGAGGCGGGTGTCGCCTTCACCGTCAGAGAGCGGTGAGAGGGCATCCACGACTCTTGGGAGATCTCCCGGGTGCCTGGACGCCAGCAACAAAGGCGAGGGCATGGGCGAGCAGTTTTGATATGTTCCATGGTATGACTCCAGCAGGGGAGATGCCGGCGCAGAGGCGAGCGAAAGAGAGGCCATTCGAGGCCCGGTGTTGACCGTCAAGTTGGACATGCGACCGGTAGGCGGCTGGGGAGACCTATCACGCCCGCTTCGGCCATCTCTTGACCGTGAGCGGTCCCGCGAACGAGACCGATCGCGAGGATCAACATCCACGGTCAAGGTGTGGGAGCGTCGGTGCGATCTTGAGTCGCGGTCGGAGTCAGAGTGCTTCCTAAGCTCGCTGCCGTAGTCGTGCGACTTGGAGCTGTGATGGCCTCGGCTGGGCGATTGGCCGTAAGCCAAGGCGTCATCGTCGTCACGGCGACTATACTTTTGGGGCAGGTGAATCAGCTTGTCGTCTTCGGGGTATGGCAAATAGGCGCCAGAGCCACGGCCGGATCTGCGATCCAGCTCATCATCGGCGTACACGTAGCTGGACTCGCGGGAGTCGCCGTACGCAGGCCGCTGTGGCTTGGGCTCGTCGATGAAGCGCCCGTCACGGGACCTCGATCTGGCCCTGGGATTGGTGATTGAGGCCAGGGAAATGGTCGCTCCGGGATGGTCCATGGCGGGAGCTTCGCGCGCGGGGTGGCGTCTGGCGGGAGTGAGTTTGTGTCAGTTATTGGTTCGTCTTTGTTTCCGCTGGAGAACAAACGCCGGCCGTGCTCCGCTATTAACAGCCACCAGTGATCGAAGTGGGCTGTGTGTGATGGTAGTATTCCCTGGGGAAGCGCAACAGCAGCAGAAGCAACAGCAATGCCGACGTCGATGATGATGATGATGGAGGAGGAAAAAAAGAGACGGCTGGGCCACAGCTGTCGGAGGACTAGAGAAAACACGAGCAGTCGGCCTGTCAGTCCTTTGCAGCGCAAGAATATGCACCTAGCAAGTAGCCCAGACAGTAAACTGGAGGCAATACAGGCCACCTGCATATGCGCTACGCCTTACAGGTGCTTAGAGGCAGAGCCGCTGCAGGTGGGCAGGGCCAGCGGCAGTTCAGGCGCTAGAGCGGTTGAGGAGCCAGCTGAAGGGCGCCCCTCTTTTTGCGCGTCAGAGGGCATGGACCGCGGTGCGAAGCCATTATCCATTATCCGGCTGGGCTTTAAGGCAAGACTTGCAATGAATAACGGGGTTGAGGACCTCGTGTCAGCCGCCTAGTTCAGGTGGGTGGCAGCGCTGCTTCAAGGCAGTAGTAGTACTTGATTGTTTGCCGCCGCCGAGAGGTACGGGAGGGATACTGCTTGTTAGGCATTCGATCATTATCTGAGACAAAGACGGCGGTACGGGACAAGCATTTGACGTAATGGACGAGTTGATCAGTTGTTTTGTCACGGTTGCAGCTTGCGGCGCCTGTACGAGTTTGCAACGCGTAAACAGGGCCCCCCCATGCCAACAGGGTCACATCGCCGTCCCTGAGTGCCCTGAAAGTTTCTATTAGAGTAGCGTGATCCCGCTATTGTTGCGAGCTCCATAGAATAGACATTCAACGCGTGCTGCTGCTCGGCCCCAAGCAGGAGGTGGAACTTGTCAGTTGGTTTCGATCCTGCTGTTTAACTTGGTTCCTATACTGTCTGTAATCCTCACTACATGTACGCAGTATGCATCTGGGCACCCGGTGGCCCGTGGCAGGCATTCGTACACATGTACCCATCCGTTGATCTCTGCTATTACTACCTAGTATTCCGTGGCATTCGCACACTACCTCCGTACATGATGGTGTGTGTATGTACTCACTCCGTAAGCAAAGGCCGCAGTGGCCCGAAACTAGCGTCATCATTCCTGCAGAGCCTCACGCATGTCACATGAAAGGGCGAAATTCAACGCGATGAGTGCTAGTAAGCATTTGCTCCAATCTATCGCTCTCTAGCGCCTCATACACGGTGTCCTGGAGTAAGCTTACTTGTGAATTTTATCCGAATTCTGCCAACTTATCTTAGCTTTCTTTGATAGAGCCTACACACCTATATTTGAGATTAACAGCAGCTATTAGGCTAAGAAGGATGCGAAATAGCGCTCGGAGCCGCCAGCTGTCCCTATTCTTCCATTATAAGTCTTGATATCATACAAGTCCATACATTAACCATATTCCATTTTACTTCACTTCATACCTCCTTTCATTTTGTATCCCATACCCAAGTTTTCGACCCCCAAAGCATACTCCTTGCATCCATTGATACGTCACTTCAGTTTGAGCTCGATGCGGTGGGCGCTCTCTCTCCTCTCTGGAAGACATACAGCGCCTCGTCCTTGCCAGCAAAGCTCGGCAGTGGAATCTGTACCACCTTTGTCCACTCCTTGTGCTCCTGCTCCATAAAAGTATCCATCGTCATGCCCTTGAATCCTGTATAACCGTTCATGTTCTGTGTTCCAACAACCGCAATGGTGTCTCCTTGGAAGGCACTGACGAGGCCTCTGGTAAAGCTGCCCTCGGCGCCTCCTCCGACGCCCCCTCCGACGACGGGATAGACCAGCAGGAGGACCATGTCTTTGCCATTTTCATTCTTCCGTAGCCATTTCACGCCATCTATAATGGCCGTATCGTCGATCCAGTTGACTCTCCACTCGCTCTGCATATTGTCCACCGGATAGACGGTCAGCCCATACCGCCTCAGCAGAAACGTCCAGTACCCATTACCCGAGCCCATATCCGCAATGGCTCGGCCGTCTGCCAGGATCCTCAACACCTCCAAGCTCTCGTGCGATGGCGTCGCACAACCAAAGTGGTGCATGAAAATAGGGAGCACATGGTGACTCGTTGCTACTCTCTCCGATGAAGCGCACGGCCCGCACCACTCCAGGTTCCGGCACGACCAGGCCCAAAAGTCAAAGTACGGATTGTCACTCGGCGGCTTCTTTGATTTGGGGATGGTTAGTTGAGTGGCCAGAGCCGGGTGGATGAACCGCTTTCCTGCGATATGGCTCGCAACCTCGGAGCGGATAGACGTCTTTTTCGCATTGGTCTCAAAGTTTTTCAGGGCTGACGCTGTGGCAGTTGAGGGGCTGAATATAGAGATGTATGCCTCGATATCCGGCAGGGGTGGAGGGTCTCTCTGTGTTCATGAGATTTCCCACTTTAGCTCATCGCTCATGTAATTTGAAATCAGAAGGGGGCTGGCTCACTGGCGTGCCATCTTCACCACGATACCAGGCGTGCAGGCCATTGATGCCGCCCAGCCCGACAACGTGCTGGACCTCGGCTAGCTTGACGCTTGTCATGGCATGATACGTGAATGTATCTCTCTCAGGAAGGCTAAGCAGGACACGGCTGGCGTTGTACAGATCATTTGCTGCAAGTAGCTCTTGCGCCTGTTTGAGTCGCGGGCCATCTTGGATCACTTCATCTGGAGCAAAGGACGGGCTGCCAACGCAGCGAGGCGCCTTTGTGTTGCTGCGCGACATGAAGTGAGGGGCTGGTAGTGTTATGCGTAGTTTCTCGAATTAAGATGAGTCGTTACGAGATGCGCTGTGCTGCATATGGACGAATCTGGAGTTGAAGGTACCCAGGGGTTGTGCGATATGAGATGTTGTGCTACCAGTACCTATATAACGAATGTTCCGTGTGCTGTTCCGTAGGTAATGAGGCGCTAAGCTAGATGATAGTTGATATCGCCGATTTGCTAAGGTCCGATGAAAAGCGGGCATTTTGGGATGGAAAGACGGAGTTAAAATGAGGACCACGTCTGCTAAGAAAAAATAAAATAAAAAATAACTGCTATTGATTTTTATGAAATTTACTTTTATCATTTCAGACTGCCGGGTAGCACCATGAATGAGATGAATAAGATGAGATGAGATGAGATGAAGTGAGGTGAGGTAGGGCTCGAAGCGCTCTCTCATTCGCGGTCTCATTCCTAGTTGGCGCACATAGATGAGAGTTGAGTCCTTGTTCAGCACATGCAAAGTCCAATGGCTGGCTAAAGGATCTGCCGCTAATGAAACTCCCCGCTTGCCGGCGGCAACAATGGATAGCAAAGCTTTTATTTCATGCATCTGCAAATGAAACGTCGGGCAACGTCCTCCTTGCAGCCAGGCCTGGCAAATGGACGGGGCTCGGATTTCTCACAAAAGTAGTTGGTTCAACAACCATAGAGTGGGTATCAAGCATCCATCTCCTGTCGCACGGCATCTTAGTTTGCACCATTCATCTATACAGGAAATTCTGTTCAATGGAGCTGCGTTGGTTCGAGCCACACCGAAGGCTACCTCATCCTCCGTGCGGTTTGTTGGTTCTGCGTGCGTACCAGAGTTTTACAAATCACCCAGTAGACGTAATGGAACGCGGAATACCAAATCGAGAGATTTGCTTGCCACCCTCCCATTATCGTCGAGAGAAAACTGGGCGCCCCTTTGAGTCTGACCTCTGTCTGTTCGACAGATTGGGTATATCCTCCGCTGAGAGCTTGAGAACATGAACATCATGTAGCCTTGCACTGAATGCTACACAGAAGCAACCATACATGGTGGCATGTACCCCAGTTCCACTACAGGACACACAAAATTAAAGAAGAGAAACAGGCAGCTCAACACGAGACATCGAAAGAAACGAAAAGCGAGGCAGAAAGCTGCATTATTTCGTAATAATCTGCCCCAAATGTGGTTCCTGTTGGCCGGCCTAACCAGCACGGAGCACCGATGAAATCTGAGTGTGACGCATCGTATTATGGGGTACGTATCCCCTGTTCGTGGGCGAACATCCCCCAACGGCTCAGCCCCGCAGGTGGCTGCAATCCACTAAAAAACGACCTCGAGCGCTGTAAATCGTATCATCAAGGTCGCCTTCAGCTGGCTCTGCACAGAGCGTCTCGGCGACTATATGATGGAGCCCGATCATCCAACCTTTGGCATCTTTAGTGGCCCTCTTTGATTCTAGACTCGTCGATTCTAGCGCCAGATGCTTTGCTCCCCAGCATCGTGATCGGGCTGGGCCTTGTTTAAGCTGTTCTCCGCCTGCTTCAACGTCTGATTGCCGTCCAATTGCCACCACCCTAGATATACGTACGATTGAGAGAAAAAGGCAGCCCATTTGCCATTCATTATACAGCCTTTAATCTTCATCAACGGACCAGGCTGCTTTCACATGTGAGATCTCGAGCTTCAGCCGCCAAGCACGTCCTCAAGTACCCCTGGACTCTGGCAACCAATCCTCCTTCCTTCCCGGCTGCGGCGGGCCACTAGAGCTGCCCTTACCAAGACAATCAATCATTGCTTTTTTTCTTTTTTTTTTTTCTTTCCTTTTGGCGACCATAAAGCGATTCCCCGAGACATTGCGGTCTCCAAGTCCCCGAACAAAGACAAGACAGCGTTATGCATTTTACCCGAAGGCCTCTCTGTGTCAAGCAAGATAGCCACCAGAGGGCTAAATTCACGTGTTAAGGTACCGTCCGTGACTTGGTTTAATCGAGGCCTGGCCTCTGAGCAACACTTAGTACTTCCTTCGGAATACTTCGTTCAGCAAGCCACGATCATACATTCTTTTTGCTTCTCCTATCATATCGGCTACTCTCTTTATACCGCAGATTAACTCGTCTGGCCTTCGCTATGGATAGATATCCCCAGAATGACTTCCAGAGCTCGTCTCACAGGACACGCTCTCCTTCTCCCACTAATGGCGCGACGAGCACTGCCAGCCGCACGGGCAGCTCTTCCAGGGCGAACCACAACTTCACAGCCAACACCAACGGTGGTGATTTGTATCACGAGCCCACACCTCAATATGGCGCCGCCTCACAGGCTCCTAATGCTACTGATTACCAGCAGCCAGCTTTGAAAATATCAAATCTTTTGCAAAACTCGATGGCCATCTCAACTGAAAATGGAAATGGAAATGGAAATGGGAATCTATACGGACATGAACAGAGCGATGGTGTTATGCCTCCTTTGGATCTGAAGCAAGACGCAGAGAAAGAAACAGCGACGGGACCAACAGAACAAACAAAAGGTTATTCAGAAACGCTCAAATCGCCGCAGCACGCGACAGGGCCAGAGTCAATAGGCTCTCCCTTGACCCATCCAAATGGCGTCTCTATGTTTCCAGATCTTTCTGCTGCGGAACAGGAGGAACTATCTCGAGAAGCACTTGACCAAGCCGAAGAATCCATCATTGCCGATGATACCGCCGATAGCATCGGATCCGTACATGGCGATGACGCTGGGTCTGATGCCGGCTATGACAGTGACACTGCCAGCTCAGCAAGCACATCTGTCATGTCTTCTGTTCGCGATTATATGTATGAAAATGGCCGACGATACCATCGATATCGCGAAGGCACCTACAACTTCCCCAATGATGACGTGGAGCAAGAGAGGGAGGATATGAAGCACGCCATGGTCAAGCTGCTTTGTAGCCAAAAGTTGCATTTTGCCCCCATCGGTGACAACCCGCAAGAAATTCTCGATATTGGAACTGGGACAGGAATTTGGTCAATTGAAAGTGAGTTGTCATCAATCTTGTTCATGATACCGTGACTCTTGATAGTGGGAATCTCTAACGTCGTCTGCCCAGTGGGAGACAAATACTTAAGCGCCCATATACTTGGAATCGACTTATCGCCTATTCAGCCAGATTGGCTGCCGCCCAATGTTCGATTCATGATAGACGACGTGGAATCGCCGTGGTTGCACCCCCGCAACCACTTCGACTACATCCATTCTCGACATACAGTGATGGCTGTTAGAGATTGGATGAAGCTATTTCGAAGGGCTATCGAGTGAGTTATCTTGCCTTATTTTCCTTTGCCATAGGACAGCTGCTTACAGATATGCTAGACATCTCAAAATTGGCGGTTGGATTGAGCTCCAAGAAATCCACCACACCCCCAAAAGTGCCCTGCCAGATGGAAATGGCGAGATGCCTCCAGATCATCCTGTTACGCGTTACTGGAAACACGTATCAGAAGGATTAGCAGCCCTTGGCATCGATTTGGATACCGCGTCAAATGGTAGAATATCTGACATGATGCAGGCCGCAGGCTTCACCAATGTTACGGAGCGGGTGCTGCATGTGCCCATCGGGACTTGGCCCAAGAATAAAGTCCTCAAGACGGTCGGCCTCTACTGGCGGACTATCCTTTTGGATGGGATTCAGGCAATTGCTCTGGGGCCGTTGACGCGGGGCCTGGGATGGAATCGAGACCAAGTGGAAGTGCTGCTGATGGAAGTCCGGCAGGCCTATTTTGACGATTCTAAGCTCATGTACATGCCTTTTCATGTTATTTATGGGCAGAGGCCATGAGACTCTGCAACATGGTGTTATTAGCGATCTACCTATATTTTGCGTGGCAACACTTGATACGGATCTCGAACTAGCATCCGAAATAATAATTCTACTTTGGTTGGGGATTGATTAAATTAGACACTTTAAATATGAGATTTTAGAGAAATTGCGCGGTATTCTGCGGTGTCTCCCCTCGGTTACCGGTCTATACTTTCCACCCGAAGATACCGTGACGATGATCGATCACCATTAGCGAAAGAAGCACGCACAAGAAAAGGGAATTGCGAATACGACGCAGCAACGTTCTGGATATGGCGGGACGGGACTGTGGCTCCATCTACTCAACACCTGCGTACTGCAAGGGACAACTTGATATACGAATGGGCCAACGAGAGCACCCACCCGCGCTCCACCCGCGCCTCTCGTCGTTTATTACAGGTATACTAAAGAGGAACACATCCGAGACCATGCTCGTTCGCCTCTTTGCCGCCAAGACGGCGTCTCGGCCGCATCGTCTAGCGCCTCCGTACACAGTTCATTTCTCTGACCCGGTTCTTGGGAGCGGTTGACACACTCGTATTGCGTACATGTAACACACTTTGCGGTAGTGCTGTCGACGGGTTGACAGCGAAAAAACAGGTCTCACAAGGTGGCTTGGCTTCCGGTATTCACATGCTCTTGTGCGGTGACATATGGGTAGATGATCAGCCCGCTTGGCACTATTGATGCCAGTAGACTGGTCCTTGGGTTTCCTGGTATCTGGGACAGTCGGCGATGCGGACGCAAGGGTCTTGGAACAGCCAGGAGGATTTGGAGATGCTCCGCCAGGCCACATGGCCGTCCGTGTTGCGTATCATATTGACAGTTATGTTGGTTCGTGTAACTGCGTAGCAGCAGAGCTCACTAGTTCCAAGTTCTTTTGTTTGGCTGGTCCATTTAGTGGCCCTCCTTATACAGTAGATGTGCGAGATGCTGCTAGCTGGCTACATGTATTCTAGGCCTATTTCTGAGCTGGAGCGAAAATTAAACGTCTGAGAACGACGGCGGCGGCGGCGCTACGGTCCGGACCTAGGGATTACTACTTAGTATAGTAGATAGCAGTAGTGCTACTACTAACTGCGACGGGCTGTATATGCAGTATTAGCAGCACCACTATTACGGGGGCATGGCTTGCCGCTAAATGGGCCGGTTTGTGGAGAGACAGACATTGGATGGCAATCCTTCAATCACTTTAACTGCCACTATCATGTGCTGTACAGTAACACAAACTTGTAGAGTATATACATGGCTCCACCCCCAAGGATGTACCATCGGAACTGACATGTTTTGCAATTTGTAATGGTCTGAAAAGTGTGGCTCTGCTTGAAGATTTGGCACTTTCTCGGAACGGAACCGGAAGCTTCCGAATGCTTGTATTACTACTAGGCACTGCTGGGAATATAGCAGCATGTAATATTGCTGTAGCAGTAGCAGTGGGATCTCTCTGCTGGCAAGGGCCACGATCCAGTTGTGCGGACCCTGCTCGGAATACAATGCCAACAGTATCTGGTGAAAATGCCATTGAATAAGGTGTTGCTGGCAGAATGCTAATGGGGTACAAGCTTGTGCCTGTACACAGCTCTTGGTACTCTGGTATATATTCCAGGTACCTATACTACTGCTGCAACCACCACACTTCAACTACGAGTGCATTGTAGGCCGCGGATACATATCCAGAGATTCGAGGCCATTTTAGCCCGCCGGGGGTCGCCGGATAAGATGGGATGCACGACAAGGGTTCTCTTTAGCTTCTCACGAATAGCGGCTCTTGCATAGATCGACCCGGGCCTGCCTGGACCAGAATGACGGCGAGCACGCGGAGGCCGTTTCGGGGGCTTGCTCTAGTTTGATTGCTGTGAGTCTGCATGTCTTGGGCGATGTGGTTACATTTGGCCTCTTCCCTCGTTCGTCTTCTTCTCTTCTTGTCGACACTTCCCGTCCTCTTCTGTCCTCCTCTTTCGCCTTTCTCGCTCTGTTATTCCTTTCCAGATCTGGGGTTTGTATAACCAAAAACTCAGCCTTTGTTGCCTTGTGTCTCCTTTGGTTGCTGGACGTGAGAGCAAAACAGACGACGTCCTCTAGTAAGACAGGATTCTTACTGCCAAGAGACATCCAAGCATCTTCCAGAAGCACGGCTCGACGAAGACAGAAATACGACAAAAGCGGAAATACGACACATCAGATTGCTCTCGTTTCCCCTCACGTAGCAGGGGCATCTACAGAGCGTTTACCAACTCTGGCGCGGAAGAAATTCACTCGGTTTCAACGCAGAATTGCACGTAAGTATAGAGTACATTTACATCTTTTCAAAGCCAACTTGCAACCATTCTTTCAACCCTTGCAACACTGCCTCTTCTTGCTGGATAGCGCAGCCTGCCAAGGCCGTTGCGTTAATTTTGCTGCTCAATTGCGTCGGCTATTTTGCTTGGGTCCTGGATCCTGGCTTGTCTATGCATAACATGGATGGGAACAAGTGGATCGATCTGTTTGCGGCGTGCTGCAGCACCAGTCAACGCAACATACCAAAGCCATTATGCGGTGCTGTCAATCGCTTGTACTACTATTCGTACATGGCCGGGATTGCAAGGGCTCTCAGTTTCATCACACATCATGCGGTCACAGTCTCTTAAATTGTGAGGCTCCTGCAGATACATGATGCTTTGCTCTCTGGGACTCTGGCTTATACTTCCCTTGCTTCTCAGCTTACTCCCCAAGCAATGCAATGGGACAAGAAGCGTGGATTACTGGATAAGCAGTATGAAAACAAGGTACAGCCGCTCCTAGAGTAGTGTTACAGCTGCAATTCGGCAATTCGGCCTCTTCGGACGCTCCATCTTGAAAATTCAAGGACCAACAGAATTATCTTAATGGGACAGGCCATCAGCAACCCACCTCCGCACAATGGCTGAGCTTATTGCTGCGATTTGCCGCAAACTACACCGCTTGGCGGCGAGTTCAGTTCTCCCGCAAATTCGCAGATCGGAGTGGGTTTTGGACCGTTGTGGGTTCACATTCCGAGGCACGCATCGGAAAATAACACCAATTCCGAAGTTGATTAGAACAGGCTCACCTGAGGGCGAGGAACCATCACCAACACGACAAGACTTTAAAAACCTTCCCTTCTCTCAGGTTCAAGCCACCCTGACTTGTCTCACTTTCCACAAACACATCTTGCCACAAACCTTCTCGTCTTGCTTTTAGCTCATACAAGTCCTTCCAAAGTAAATCTTCTCTCTGACTTTGTCTTACAGTAACTCCAATCGCCAACCACCATGGCTAAGCTCAGCATCCCATCTAACGAACGTAACGGTTCGACTACGGCTGCTGGTCAGCATGCGGCCGGCGGAGTAGCATCCCAAGAGTCTCGCATGGGGGTGCTGGCCGAAATTATCCGTGTTGAAACAGAAAAGTTGGAAACATACCTCAAAGAAAACGGCATAACTCAACCGAGTTTTCATGTGGACGCGCCTGGCGATTTCCCCCACTTGCCGGACGATATTCAGGAGAGCCGTCAAAAGATTGTCTTCGCCACGAATGAGCTTGCAAATCTTGTCAGGGGTCCTCGAGAGAGCGTTAGGTTTGGTGCATGGAGTGTAAGTAGTACATTTGATTATGCTTTTGCGTTTTTTTGTTGTGCTAATTCGATCCGGTAGTATTTGGACAGCTTGAATCTACAACTTATCAACAGCTACCAGCTTGGTAATACAATGTACTCTTGGTGTTGAATCGCAACTAACATCAAATAGCTAAGCTCGTCCCGCTGGACGGCCCTATTTCGTTGAAAGAACTTCAGTCCAAGACTACGCTGGAACCCATCTTTCTTGCTCGCACTCTACGCTATGCTATGACAAACTACATCTTTCACGAGCCGTCTCCAGGCTACATTGCCCACACCGCCAATTCCCGTGTTCTGGCTCAAGATACTTCGCTTCAAGCCTGGGTTGGCTTCAACGTAGAGAGCTGCTTTCCTGCTGCTAGCAGGGTACCAGAGGCGTTGAAAGAACACCCCGAGGCAACCGAACCAACTTTTGCAGGATTTAATTATGCTTTTAACACAGTGGGCAAAGAACCCATGTATGCAACTATGAGCAAGAAGCCGATTGAAGCCGACCGCTTTGCCCGCGCCATGCTAAGTTTCACACACGGAGAGGGCTATGAAGTCAGCCACCTGGTAAATAATTACGACTTTTCAGACGTGGATGCGCGTGGGGGTACATTTGTGGACATTGGCGGTAGCCATGGCTTTGTATCAGAGGCTTTGGCAAAGAGGTGGAAGAATATCAACTTCATCGTGCAGGATAGGCAAGAGATGGTAGATTCTGCCCCAGTCCCCATCTCCGAGGATCCAACAGTAGCAGAAAGGCTCTCTCTACAGGTTCACGACTTCTTTAAAGAGCAGCCTGTCAAAGGCGCAGACGGTAAGCCGCTTTCCTGTTTCTTGAATCAATCGCCTCGATTCTCTCTTATAGACGAAGCTAACAGAGATTCCTAGTCTATTACTTCCGCTGGATTTTTCACAACTATTCTACGCCGTATGCTGTTAAAATTCTGAAAGGTCTCATTCCTGCTCTTAAGCCGGGAGCCCGCATCGTCATCAACGATTACTGCATCCGGGAACCAGGTTCAGAGACCTTGTGGGATGAAAAGCTTCTAAGAAGTCTGGATACGATTATGGGAATTCTTTTCAACTCTCAAGAGCGAGACGAGCAGGAATTTCGAGATCTGTTCAAGGCTGCCGATCCTAGGTTTAACTTTAAGGTAAGTTGAGTGTCAATAATTTCCGTGCTCTCTCTTTCTTTCTCTCTGTCTCTCTGTCTCTCTGTCTCTCTGTCTCTCTCTCTCTCTCTCTCTCTTTTTTTTTTTTTTTTTTTTTTTTTCACTTTATTTCTTTATTGGTGGGGTAATTATTCACTAACAGATTTATCAGGGTGTCTTTAGGGCTGAGAATTGCAAAATGAGCGTTATAGAGGCAGTATGGGATCAGTAAGATCTTGATACGAAGGGAAACGGCACAAGCATACGAAGAAAGGATATGGGCATAACATGAATCAACTGTAGGGAGGCAAAAATGATTTCACCAAGATGTTCATATAGCAAAACTAAGCTTGGTCCTTCAACAAGAAACCCGCGTAATTGGTTTAGTGGTAAAATTCTCCGTTGCCATCCGAGCAACGTCGGGGAGCCCTGGGTTCGATTCCCAGATTACGCAAGCAATTTCTTTTTGCCCCTTTTTTTCTTTCTTTTTATTGTTCATTCATTACTGCTTCAGCATTCAACTTTTTTTTTTTTCGGTTTCAGACGCAACTCATTCTTTCTTCACCTAGGAAACTTTTCATAGACCTAACTGCTAACCGTACAAACAAAACAATTCTCATATCATTCATTCATTGTCCTGGATCCCCTTCCTTTTGTCTTCCAGCATCGCTCACTCTGTCTTGACTCCTCCATACCCTCCCTTTTCCGCAATCGCATTCGCCATTTCTGCAATGGGGGACTCGCCGAGTATGTCAAATACCGACAGCTGCACGCCGTAGTTATTCAAGATCCAATTCCGAAACGTGACGGCCACAAGGGAATCCACACCATAGGCATTCAGCGACTTGTGCATATCAATCTCAGAGGGCAACATGTTCATCGCCTTGCCCAGCATGACAGAGATACCATCGCAAATAATAGACGCTGCTTCCTCGATGCTTGCAGCAGAGGCTAGCCTAGACTTCATGCCCTTATTTCCTGCGCCGTCGCCGGCGTGTAAATTCGGTGAAGGGATATCAACCAAGTTGAGGTAGGAATACAGTGCTTTATGGGCCCAGTATGGATCCGAGGTGTTGATTTGTGCATTGATGCCTCCTGTGCCAACAGCCATGGTTATCTGAGGAGGAGTAGGCACTCCTGGTGCGATCTCTCCGGTGATGGCATGCTTGACAACTGTGAGGAAATCTTCATGCTGAATGCCAAAGAAGCCATTGGAACGCAAAGTATTCAATATTTCTTCATTTTCAGCCAGCATCCCGGCTCCCAGAACTGGGCCAAGGTCAATGGCTATAGCATGCTTTCCTTGCTGTCGTAGATATCTTGCAAATGAGTCTTGGAAACAGTTGCCTGCGGCATAATTGGCCTGGCCACGGTTGCCGATAATGCCGGATGAACTGGAGAGGAAGATGTAAAAGGGATCATGTCCCGTAGCATGCATTGCATTATACAGATTCCATGAACCATGTGTTTTTGGTTTGATGGCCTCATTCCAGTCCTCAAACGTCATGTTGTCAAAGACAGAATCTCTGAGTACAGCAGCGCACATAAATACACCTCTGACAGGGGGCATCTCCGAAGTAAGGACATTTTTGATAAAGTTGTGCAAAGAATCTTCATCGCATATATCCACAGCATAAGCTCGCACGTCAACTCCCTTTAGCCTCATATTCTCGACAAACGACTTTGAGGCATCCGACGATGCGCCGGATCTCGAAAGAAACGCCAAGTGTCGGGCACCGTTGTTTACAAGGAGCTCAGAAATGCTCTTCCCAAGACCTCCAAGTCCGCCTGCCAGAACATATGTTCCCTCGGGCTCTAGAGATTCTTGGAGAGATTTTGTAATATCCTTGTTCAATACAGAAACGGTGCTTGAGTTGTCTTCGGCTACTATTAGCGAAACAAAACCGGTATATGGTGTCTGCTGAAGAGAAAATAGACCATCTGTCAATGCGCCAATGTCAAATGACGGCCTGAGCTCGGTGGATAAAGATGGCTTGAAGTCGACACCCTCGACGAACCGGATCGCCAAGTCAAAAAGCTCCGCCACATACACTGGGTCTTCCTCAAGAAACTGGCGAAGATCCCAATTGACAACAGTCGCAGATGTTGATAGCATACGACTTGAAGTAGGAGCCATAGACTTGTTAACAAACCGAATAATGTTGCCACCTAATAAATTAGTTAGCTAATTAGATAATCGAACACGAATTCGAGAAGCGTAACTATCATCACTTACATCTTCGTACGCAGTCGAATTGTACGTCAAATGCATCCAAGATGGGGTTAAACACACAGTCAACGCCATGACCATCGGTAGCCCCTAGCAAAGCAGTGACAAAAAGTCCAGATTCAACTTCGAGGATGTGGTTCACTGGGATTCCATGCCTTTTTAAAACCTCTCGCTGTCGATCAACATCTGAGCCGGCAGCGGTAGCAAAGACTTCTGCGCCAATGGCAACAGCCAAATCGACTGCAACGAGCCCAAAAGCACTGGCACCAGCATGGATTAATATCCTACGGCCCCGCTTAATTCTTCCGATATGAATGAGGGCAAAGTAGGCGCTGATAAGGAAGCTTGGGACAATAGCGGTGTCAACACGTTTGACGAACTGCGGTTTGACTCTCAAGAAATTCTGAATCGCGCCGTCAGGAGTCAAGGCAACTACACTATCACCTGGGGAAAATCCCTTGACTTCACTACCAACCCGAGTAATATGACCCCTAACATCTACTCCTATATTTGACTCTTTAGACCTTCCAAGGACAATTTCGAGATCTACGAAGGTCAGAGGCACTTCTTTAACAGCAATCTCTACCTCGTCCGGTCTCAAATCATGTAGTTTAGACTCAACGAAAAATAAGCCATCTTCACTGATACCAGGACTGTTAATTGTGAGCTGAAGTCTTGGGCTAGCTGCGAATGGCTTTTGAGAGAAGCTCGAGGGCGAATTTTCATCCTCGATAATGCTGTTGAGAGGTCGAATTGTAGTGAGACGAGGGATGTAGATTTTCCCGCCACTTTCGGCAAACTCGGTGTCTTGAATGGACCCTGACTTGGATCCGAAGGCTGTATCAAGAAGACGCAATATATGCTTTATAACGGTAGTATCTCCAAGATTTGATCCTTTTGCCAAGTCAAAAGTGACCATAGACTTAACAGAGTCCTCGGAATTAAGTGTTCTGGCAAGTCCAACGATGGGCGACCCACGAGGATTCTTGCAGCTCATCTGAGCCCCTCGAGTAATCCAGAGCATGTTCTTAGCACGAGTCTGCAATACGTGGAAACTGTCAAAGTCTTTCTGTTTCCAGGCAAATACAGCATTGTCACAGGATTGAGGAAAGCCAGAGAATTCGAGTAGCGAAATAACCACCTTGCCTGTGAGAGTAACTGGATCTTCTATTGCCTCGTCGACAGTCATGACAGAGACACCGGAAGATAACTCCCTAGCTTGTTCAAAGCGTCTGATAGAATTGACAAAGTTTTGTACCTCCGTGCCAATTTCTGATGGTATGACAATGACGACGGGCCTTGTTGAAGGGAATGCTTGCTTGATCCTACGAGCCTCGAATATTATCTCGCCTTGGCTTCCGCTGTGACGTACAAGCGCATTATCATCTCTTGTACCCTGAAGTATTGTTTCACTGCCGAATATGCTCCTAAGTTTGCTTGTCTCCAGTTCATGAGAAACCCGTGTCAACAGCAAACCGCCATCTTTTAGGTACGCTTTCAAGATATCGGTATCTAGCCCATTATTGTCGCAAGCCACGATCATATGGTAATCGTACTTGATATCTGAAATATCAGACGCCTTCTCAATGAACGGTTGAAGCGGGGTACCTTGGACAGATTCAATCACCCGAGACGCAGCATCATCTCCTTCTGCCTCAACAATTGTGTACCTCAAAAGCTGAGGGGCCATGCCGTGGCCCGGAGTGATTGCCTTGAGCGTTGCTTGCGACAGCTGATAGCCACCACCTATTTGAAGGATTGATAACCCTGCATACTTATGGGCTAGGATAGTAACTTGCTCGCTATATGAGCTGGGCCGAGCGAAAGTAGCATCCTCGTTCCAGATGATCTCGCTACACAGATTGCGGTTGGTGGGTAGGAAACTCCCCTCATCACGCGTCGAGCTCTCCAGGGCAACAAAACGTAAGCCTTCGATGATAACGTAAGATTGGTCTCTCTTCGTATGACTCATGAAAATCGTTGCTTCTGCGTTTCGAATTCCAATGGCATTGGCTGTAGAATAACCAGAGAAGTCTTCGCCGGATTCCGCATCGCTCAAGTTTGCCGTTACAAAAATGCTCTTGATGAAAACCGGGACCATTGGTAGCGGCTGGACTGCCAACAAAGTATGAATCATTGAATCCAAAGTAGTCGGATGTATGAGGTGTGGGTACTCAAACTGGCAAGGCATCTTTGATTTGGTATCCGGAATCTTGATTTTGCTTACACAGTGATCGCCATGTTTGCGAACTTCCACAATATTCTGAAATAAGGGTCCATAGTTCATTCCAATGGAGTCAAGATGCTCGTAAAGATGGCGTGGAACTATTGACTCCTTGCACATGTCGTTTATGGCACTTTGACGCTTGTCATAGGATTGGAAGGCAGTCTGCCAATTTCCAATCTTGTAGTGGAAACGCAAACTTCCGCTGGCATGTCGGTCCCAGCATCGACCTTGGGGTCTGGAGTAAATTGTAAACAGTTTTGCACCAGTTTTTTCATCATCGATTACGCTTGTTGGATCGTCCTTTATGCTGAGAGATACTTCTAAGCCGAAGGCAGTATCGGGGACGGTCAAGGCCTTCTCAATCTTCATATCTACAAGCTCGTAGCCTAGAATATTTCGTGTATCTTGAGCCAGTTGTTTTGCTCCTTCCAGAACCATTGCGATTATGCCTGAGGCTGGGTAGACAACTGTCTTTTGCACTTGATGGTCTCGAATCCAAGGATTTTCCGAGATCCGCAAGAACCCGCGCCATCTTGGTTCGAAAGGCGCAATAGAATCAACTACTCTGGCTCCGATAAGGTCCATTCGAGGGTATTCCCTCAAACGGCTCTCAATACTCATCGCAGTCTCATGCCAGTATTTCTTGCTGTGGTTCCATGAGTATGACGGTAAATTGGAGAGACACCTCAAAGAATCCCGTTGATAGCCCTTTGAAACGACATTTTTCATGTCAACGGGATAACCTCTAGACCACAAAGAGCCAATGAGGCTGAGTAGTGTCACGCATCCATTTTGATTTCGTTCAAGAACAGAGTAGTATCCAAGGTTAGAAGCCCCGTTGATAGTGGTGAGGATATCAGCTGTGGGTGATCGAAGGGCTGCGGCTGGACTAAGCTCGATCAAGATATCTGCACGGGCATCCGTCGGAGCGTTCATGAGCGATTGAACCGCTGCAACATATTGAACAGGAGAGACCATGTTATTTGACCAATAGCGAGCGTTCAGCTCACTGCCTATAACTTGTTTGCCAGTTACAGAAGAGATCATTTTGACTCCATCGAAACACTGGTTAGCGACAATGTCGTCGAGAGAATCAGCATAGTCGTGCTCGACAAGCTTCATGTGAGATGAATGGTAAGCAACTGAGACGTTAAGAACCTTGGTAAAAATCTTCTTTTGACGCAAGTCGTTTGAGATAAATTCGATGGCGTCGGCTTGGCCGGAAATCGTAACTGATCGGGGACTGTTCACGCAGGCAACTTGCGCAGACTTATTAACCTTGACGAGATATGCTGACGCTTCCTCAGTCGACATTCCAACTACCATCATGCCTCCAATGAGTTTTGGGGCTCTAACCGGAAGGCTGGCCGCGGCTAGTCCACGGTAATAGGCAATTTTCCATGCGTCATATCTTGAAATAGCTCCGGAGGCATACGCAGCAGCAATCTCGCCCGAAGAATGCCCAAAAACATAACTGGGTTTAATACCAAAAGATCTAAGTAGATCGACAAGAGCGACCTGAAGAGCTGTTGTTGCTGGCTGTGAGATTTCCGGATCAGATATGTGTGTGCTATCTGCTCCCTTAAGGATCTCTTGAAAAAGATCGAACCGGGAACCGAGAGCAATCTGTATGAAACAGCTGGCTTCCTTAAGACTGGTGGCGTAGGTGTTGAAAGACAAGAGATCTTTACCCATCTGTGCCCACTGGGCACCCTGACCGCAAAAGATGAAGCCTAGCTTGGGCTGCTTCTTTAGCAACGAACGAGTCGCACAGTTTGCATCAAAAACTCGAATCTTATTTACAAGCTCCGCGGTAGATTCAGCCACAATGAATCCCTTCCATTCAAGATTTGATCGACGACAGCCGAGGGTATATGAATAATTGCGCAAGTAATCTCCAGAATCTTGTTGGATCAATTCAAGAATCGGGATGTGTGAATTCATAACACGAGACACACCCGACTTGTCATTTGCTGAGTAAAAAAACAGTCGTGCTTCATGCCGTTGTTGTTCTGAATCTCTACTACGCTCTAGAGGCGTAATGTCCAAAGAGGAATGGTTTGCCTCCAACTTTTTCTCCAAAAGATAACCTGGGGCTTCATCTACTACAACATGGGCATTGGAACCACCAAAGCCGAAAGAATTGACGCTTACACGACGAATGCCAGGAATTGGCCAATCGAGCATATCTAACGGGACCTTGAGTTGAATTAGCAATTGAAAGCATTAGCATGTCTTTTGATGTGATGATTGCAATTACCTTGACCTTCCAACTCTCGAAGTCGATGTTAGGGTTACCTTTTTCGAAGTTGATGTTTGCGGGTATGCGGCCACGCTCTAAAGACAATATTCCCTTTATCAGACCCGCAATGCCGGCTGCGCCCTCGAGATGACCGATATTTGTCTTCACGGAACCGACAAGTATCGGGTTGTGAATAGAGCGGACCGAAGCAATAGTTTCGGAGATAGCTTGGAGCTCTTGACAATCGCCTGCCTGTGTTCCTGTACCATGACACTCAATGTAGCCAGTCTGGTTAAAATCCAGGCCCGCTGAAGCATAGATCGCACGGATATTGGCAATCTGAGCATCTTTGTTGGGAAAAGTAATACCTAGAGACTCATTAATACCGTTATTTCTTCTCCTTTTTTTTTTTTTTTTTTTTTTTTTTTTTTTTTTTTTTTTTTTTTTTTTTCATACTCGTCTTATTTNTTTTTTTTTTTTTTTTTTTTTTTTTTTTTTTTTTTTTGGAGAAAGAGACAGCAAACAACTCCTGTTAAACATACCTTTGGTGCGGCCATCTTGGTTTATAGAACTAGCTCGCATGACGGCGTGGATGGTGTCATTGTCACGGATAGCATCTGACAAACGCTTCATGACTACAACACCAACGCCCTCACCTCGTCCATAGCCATTGGCTCGAGAATCGAATGTGAAGCATTTGCCATCGGGACTCAGCAAGCTCAATGCTGTCATCGGAAGCATCGTCTCAGGGGTCAGTATCATGCCTGTTCCAGCAGCCAGAGCCTAATATTCAAGTCAGATCTGGAGCGTCAAAGGGTTTAAACTCATTTGATCTTACTAGGGATGTCTCTCCTGTTCGAAGGCTCTGCGCAGCCAAATGAACTGCAATGAGGCTTGAGCTGCAACCAGTGTCGACAGTCATGCTGGGGCCATGTAAGTTAAAGAAGTACGATATGCGATTTGACATGATGGCAATTCCGTTTCCCGTTGCGGCATATCGTGGTCCCCAACTCTGGTCACGGAGGCTGATATATTCGTAATCTGATGGCTCGATGTCGTTAACATATTTACTCTTCAACACCGCCTAGATGGCAAGATATGTGGTGCTTGCTTACCTTTGACAAATGATCCCACGTACACTGCAGCATCGCTGCCATCGATGTCCTCTTTTCGAATGCCAGCTAAAGGACAGAAAGTCATGTTAGCTTTTACTTTTTGCAGTGATGGGCTTGACTCTGAACTATGCGCACCATTTTCGAGAGCTTCGTACGAAATCTCAAGAAGCATCCGCTGCTGGGGGTCGACTGCATTCGCTTCTTCTGTTGGAATCGAAAAGAACTTGTTTCTATCTGTGAGTATGTGCCTAATACTAAACTTTAGGATGATTCTTATGTTCTTACCGAAGCGTCAAATGCACTGATATCGTCTTTCAAGAAGTGCGCTCCCCTGAATGAGATCTGCGATAGATCAGTAAAGCAATTAGAGCACAAAAAAAGCTGAATAGAAACATACACTTCCCAACCTCTGACCACTTGGGTGATAGTAGCCATCAATATTGAGACGATCTTTAGGAAACTCCGACCACTGCGATTCCTTACGCTCCAGCACATCCCACAGCTTTTGCGGGGAAGTTGCATCGCCTGGGAATCGCAGTGCGAGACCAACAATAGCGATGTCATCCATGCTGGTGGATCGAATGGGTAGTTTGTAGGTAGTTTACTATCCGTAGTTGAGGCACTTATTTGTTTTTCGGTGTATGCGAATAAGAGTTTACGAGAATGAGGTTGAGAAGAGGTGCAGCGGCAGAAATGAGCTCGCTTGCGCACTGGGCAGTAGAAATTGAATCAATGAAATAAATCCTGAGAGATTTAGAGTGGAGAGTAAGTAAGAAGATATTCAATAAGGCGACCATTGAGAGTCTTTATACGCCAAGAAGAAGTTTTTGAAATTTCGTTTGCAAGCCTGCGTCACTGAATCACAGCTCTCTCTTGATCAAGTACCAACACCTCGCCATGTGAATCTTAACCTAGGTATATTCTCTGCTTTATAATGGCGCGGTTAATATCGTGACAGACATGGCCTGTACCGTATAACGAGAATAGGCGCCTGCAAAGTTTGCCCTAGAGAGAATTGATTAAAAGTTCTAGAGCATGCTGCAAATAGCAATTTGAATGGCAGCAAACAACCGTACCGAGACGAATGGGCGTGGAGACTTCTGAGCTGTTAGCTTTAGCTTTATCTGCACAGGCCGCCGACTTGACCAGGGGGCGTAGCCTCTAATCCGGAAACGGGCCGTCATGGGGACAAGAACTGTTAAAGTGTCGATGCCCCATGAGACAGTTAGCGGTGTTGGGAATCCTGCAGGAAGCTGGCCCATGCTCCTGCATGTGGAACAGGCAGCATCGGAGCGTCAAAGGACAGATGAAAGGAATGGCTACGGAGCTGATCTCATCAGATTTGATTAAGCTCATGCGTCACGCTCCGCACAACATTGTCAGCCTTTCTGCAAGAAAGAGTCTCGCAGGAATTGCCGAAAGGAACGAAGTGATCCCGAAGATTTGCGTCTGGGGCATTCGACCGGCCAATAGGAAAGGTTGTCTTGACATGAGCGGCTGAAAGGAGTAGCTGTATTTCTAATGACTCGGAATATTTTCTTAGATAGTCCTGTGAAAAAGCCTTTTAGAGTGACGGCTGGTATACCATACATTCCTTGTTGAGGGATGCCTCTTAAGCAATTGTGATAATACTCTTAATTTCTGTCGGATATATTTCAATGGTTAATTATAATGCTCAATTCATCAGAATGACATACTTGAATGCATCTCAGAGTCCAAATAGAATGTCTAATTTTGGTAACCCCGGTATTCCAATTGCCACACCGTATATGGCTGACTCCAACAAGAGACGAACCATATCTGCCCCGACTTTGATTAATAGTGTAGCTAACCCTAAGACTTGGTAACATCCACGCGCTTAGAGAAGTTGCGGTCAAAAGATTTTGCTAAGTGGACAGTAGAAGAATGTACGGGTACAGGCATTTGACCTTTGTACTAGTTGACCAATGTTGACGCGTGGTGAATCAAGAAAATCCAGTGCTGGAATATCTTAACAAGGGGCAAAAGAGGAATAGGGAGCACGGTAACGTGGATAGATAGCATAGCTTGTGCTAAAGCAAAGGTACGGAACTGAAAATAAGAACGGGTTTCGAATTTGGCACAACAATGAAAAATTCGTTCTCAAATGTGACTTCAAGTTGGACGCCGCAGATAAAGATTTGGTTTCTCAAGCAGATAAGACGCTTTCATGAAAGAATGTATCAATATGACTAGAGTACAAAAAGAAGGCTGGACCAATTAAAGGAAATGCCTTGACTGTGACGCTCTTGTAGAATATTCGCAGCACGTAGTCAAGCATCTGATTTTGGTACCGTTGGATGAACACTCTGATGAAAGAAAGTAGTGGCGGTCAGCTTCAATGGACCCGAAGCCAAAGCGCTCCAAGATTATATCGAAAATGAGTCTAGTCGCGGAATCAAGCATCGATTGCGCAGCTCCCCGTTTAGTGCTCCTCCTCATGTGATGTTTTGCAGGGCCCGTAGCCGTGGAGCCGGTTGGCTCGATGAATATAGATATCATAGATCTTCAAGGTCTGCTAGCTGGACCATCGGATATAAGCAGCATCTCTTATGGAGCCCCATATGTGGCATTCCGGCTCCCCTCTCGCTTCTGCATTTTGTTTTAACCGGAAGAAATTCCATTAACCACGCCTTTGTTGTATGTTCCACTATCGAGTGCAATGCGCTCAAAGCTTCAAGAGGCTCACTTTGACCGGTATTTCGAGGCAGTCTTGTTCGTTACTACCCTCATAATCTTAGGAGGAGCACCAATGGATTGGAATGTAGGAGAGTGTACTCGTCCAAGTTCATCTACCAAGATTCCATGGACTGTATTTGTGATTTGACCTACTCCCTAGCTCCCGTGATCTGGTGACACAAAGAACGGCTGAGCCGAGAGAATATCTAACGGCGTCTTTGGATCGATATCCTGGTAGACTTCTGTAGACTTCTGTAGACTTCCGATAATCACTCAAGTCTCTTCCCGCGCAAGTATTTTCACGGCGGCCAACTAGCCAGTCTCATGGAGGTTGTCTTTCCGCTATTATGCCCGGGAGCTGGGGAGATATTAGACGGGCAAGCGGATGAGACGCTTACGTGACGAGCCGAGAACTTCTCTTACCTCCCCCACATAATCGATTTCATGCCGTGTCTTCTCTAATCTCGGCCGCTAGATCTCTTTGCGATGCGGCTTAAGCGGCCGCATGCTGGTCCAGATCCTCGTACGATGAAACGTTGACCTGTGTACCACAGACTCATCCAGCAGTCGATCGCTACTTGCTTACTCAAGTGCTCTCACGTCTCATACGCCTGACTGGTTGAAAGAAGATGAGGTGTAACCTGCTTGCAAACGAACGGGTCGGCGCCGGGCGTCAAAAACCAGCCAAGTTTCGTTGCTGCCTGTGCACTTGCCATTTCTCTAGCGGTATAACATCGCGACATATGCCGGAAAAGCCGTGATATCCCTAGGGAATAGAGCATACGACAGTGTCACTCAAGTCAGTGGCCGTTCCCAGTACCCGTGAAGCCGCCCGCCGTCGGAGTAATCGGCTCGTCCAATGTTCGTTGAGCGCGGAGTGAGAGAAGGCTCGAAACACCCCAACAAAGCATATGGCTCGTTGCCGCCTAGCTGGTGCCCAGAATGGACGCCATCCAGCATCGCATGCACACCCTCACGCCAGCCATCGTGGTTGCGCCTCTTCTGTGGGACACAGGTAACGTACATACAGCTCCATGAGCCGCACAGGTGCAACCGAGCCCAGAAATGTTTCGGATACATATTCAATGAGGACCCTCTGGCGCCAGAGGCCGTCATCCATCGCCCAGACTCGCCGACCTGTCTCAGCACAACTATGTCTGACTTCGGCTCCCACGGCTCTCTCTGTCCCAGGATTGCCATGGCTGCGCATGGCTTATCATGGGAGCAATAATCGGCGCAAAAAGAGGTCTGATCTGGGGACAGTTTGCGGTCCAGGTCTTGGTTTTTAGTGCCGAAAACCTTTCACATCGACAGTTCCACGACCAAGCCGCGCCCTGTCTCATACTACCCTGAAATCGTGGCGTGGGCAGTTCCTTCCTTGCAGCTTATCGAGGCGTAGTGCGATCACCTTGAGCCACTCTACCAAGGAAACCTGCCGCAATCATCTCGCTTGGCTCTTCCTTCCCTTGCAGAACAGCTGTCAACGGTCGAGAGTTTAAACCGTAAAAGCTCCCCTTTCTTTGGCCATCTTCATCCCCTTCCTCTTCGCAAGGAATCGATCGCTTGAACGATCAGGTAAGACGCCTGATTTTAACTGCTTGGGCAGTCTTGACTCGTTTGCAATAAAATCGAGATAAAACAGGCGTCATCTCCAGAAACCATGGCAACAGAGTACCGTGTCTCGCTCTCTTATCCGAACCCATCGCTAGGCCAGATGGTGGCAGGATCACAAACTTCCAACTCTATAGATGATGAGGTCTCTCGCTCGAAATTTGGCTATGCAGGCTCGCAGCAGGTGAAGGGGCTGCAACAGGTGGTCTTGGTCGTAACGTATGGTTTATCTCCCGTCCATACTCTAATTCTAACGGTGGCAGGCTGCTTGTTGGTCTTTTAATCTCGACCCTCGATACGTCGATCGTATCTACGTCCTTGGTCACAATATCGAATGACTTGGGCGATTTTGTCAATGCGCCATGGATTATTTTGGCATATTTATTGACCTATATGGGTTCGAATCATGCTGTCAGGCCTTGAAAAAACAGTCTACTCTGACAACGTTTTATAGGATTCGCCGTTTGTATCTCCAAAATGAGCGATATATACGGACGAAAGAACGTTCTAGCTCTTTGCTGGGTCATCTTCTCTGGATTTTCTTTGGGCTGTGCCAACGCAAAAGATATGACTGCACTGTACGTAATCTCTTGATGGCGCTTTCTCTATGGTAAGGAGGGAAAGAAGATAGTGACACAAGCCTCTTAGCATCGTGTGCCGTGCATTTCAAGGCATAGGAGCATCAGGGTTATACAGTTTGACGCAAATAGCCCTTGTCGAAGTCGGCCCTGCCCACCGCCCTAGTCTTATCGGAGCCTTAGTCGGAGCAACACTCGCTGTTGCCTTTATTCTTGGCCCTCTTCTTGGAGGCTTGATATCAAGACTCTCCGATTGGAGATGGCTTTTTAACCTCAAGTAAGTTTGACAACATTTCAGCTCACCTTGACCTGAACTAAACTACGATTATTATTTGTTACCGAAGCATCCCCTTTGGATTGGTCGCTATCCTCGCTATTACAAGCTTCTGGCCTCAGGAGGACGTTTCGAATTTGCTCTCCTGGGAGGCTTTTACGAGCATAGACTTTTTTGGCGGCGCTACTCTGCTTTGTAGCTCAGCTCTGCTCGTATTTGCCATTCAACAGGCTGGTTCTCAGACATTTGCATGGTCCAGTCCGTTGATCATCTTGGCCCTTGTCATATCTGGCTTAAGCTGGGCCGCATTTTTATGCTGGGAGGTGCTTCTAGATTCGAAGAGGCATCGTCATATTGAGCCAATATTTCCAATTCGCTTGATGTTGCATAGGGTCTATGCTTCAGGTCTCATGTAAGAGTCTCGTTTGCTTGTACCCTTTGAACAAGTCTTAACGCGGCGATGCAGACTTACTCTTCTCACCGGATTTTCATACATCTCTCTCACAATCGTTATACCGGAGCGTTTCCAAATCGTCAATGGGGACAATGCTCTCATAGCCGGTATCCATCTCTTCCCACTTCTTTGTGCTTGCGCTATCGGATCCTTTCTTGGTGGAGCAATATCTAGCAAGCAGAATAACACTTCGTATACACTCATCGGATCCTCTTGTCTCCAGTTGATAGGGCTTGGATTGATGACAACTCAGTCAAGAGAAAACAGTACACAGCCCTCCCAGTACGCGTATCAAGCATTGTTCGGATTAGGAGTTGGTCTCTGCTTTTCTGCAACAACAATCATGACGAGCATCTCTACAGCTGAGTCGAGTGAGAAAGCTACGGCGCAGGGCGCCATTGCGCAGGCCCGAGTATTGGGGGGCAGCATAGGCCTTTCAATTTGCACGGTAATATTCAACATTCACGTTAACCGATATCTAGAAGGTCACTTGACCGAGTCACAGCTTGAGAGCCTTCATCGATCGCCGTTATCAGGATTGCAACTTCCCATTGACCAACGAGATCTAGTCAAGACCGTCTACGCCGGAGCATATGCCGAGGAGATCAAGATTATGGCCTGTATTTGCTCTGTCATGGTGGTTGCTGCTTTCTTCACTCTGGAAAGGCACCCTGTGCCACTAACGAGAATAAGGTCAGGATCAGAAGAAGGACGATTTTCGAAGCGTGGAAATGACTCAGAGACCGAAATGATTAGCATCAGCAACGCCCGTCAGACTGCTTGAGTTGACTCATAGCCATTTGGATCACCACATTTTCAGGTGCTTATTTCTTTATTGAAGTGTACTCTTGTGAAGCATATTACCTCTTTGTCCAACCCATACAAAAATGACCAGCTTGACGTTTGCAGATTTAAGGCAAAGCTCAAGTTGAGCCCCTTTCCTTATCATTCTGTCTACCTTATGATATATTTCAGAATCCAATGTGCTTATTTTGTCTCTATTTTTTTTTTCTTTGCTTTTTTCTTTTTCTTTTTCCTTTTCTTTTCTTTTCTTTTTTAAACAATTTTGTGTTTGTTGTCTAGTGTTAGGGTTAACTTCCTAGGTGACAAGCGGTCACGTCAATGTATGATATGAAGTCGTTTATTTTATTTTGTTTCCGCCCCATATGCCTCTGGCATAGGAGAGTATATAGGGTGTATAGATTAGGTGTTTTCGCGTTGAATCTCCTCCATGGTACAAGCTGAGGACACCATTCGATGGTGACGCTAAAGTCATCCATGCTCCAAAGATAATTTACGTATCCAACGCAGGCCCTTGGTCACCATAGATGGGGTCTTTACTAAACCAGGAGAGATTCTTTATGTTGCCTATTTTTGACTCCTCGTCCTGGGTACCGTAGCACATGTCCCAGCTTTCACCCTCAGGGTAGCATCCAACCATCAAAAAATGATCGCGATCCATATCTTCGAGGAGACGGTGGCCCACGCCTGCAGGAACTACAATAACGTCTCCTCTCTCGACAATGGGTTCGACACGCCCAGGGTTGTGTTCACCTCCAAAACAGAGCCTCGCACGACCAGCCGTGACGCAGAGGACCTCGTGAGTTGTACTGTGGAAGTGCGTGGTGCTATACATGGTATAGCGCCATTGAGGGGCGACGACGCCAATCTTGCAGACGTGCGACTCGATCCGGTCTGCTGAGGCGTCCGAAGGGACAAAGGCAGAGTGGTAGATTATGAGGGGCTTTGAATGGAGGGATGAATTGGGGATGAGCTTGTAAGCTGGTATTTGGTGTGCGGAAACGCGGAGCTTGGACAGGGGAGTGAGATGAGAATCAGTAGGGCTCATGATGGGCTGGAGATGGTTGGCTAGAATGAATGGTATGGGTAGAAATGAGAAATGAGGTTTCGATTATATGGTATGCGTGATATGGATTCTGCTATTTCATCCATTTGCTATATTCTGCTTTGGCATCCCTTGACGTGGATATGGTAGGACCTGAGTCAAGATGATGTAATGCGATGGCATGTGGGGTTTGGCAGAAGCAATCAGTTTGCCCCTTGTGCTTCTTTTCTACGCATATGCTATGTGTACTGTACGCGTATGACAGCATTTACGTTGTTAATGGACCAGATCGTTCACGAATGAAGATATTCATCCCTCAAATTATACGGGTTTTCATTTTTTTTTGTTCTATAGTCTAGAATGGCAATTTTGTCTGTTGTGCAAGTGCTTATGGAGCTCCAGCACGGATAACTCTGGCTCTCTTTTCTCCGTCCCCCCTCTTTTTCTTTCATGGCCTAGATGCCTCCCGTGAGCAGCTCCTTGAAGTAAATCGTCATCAGTCCATTAACCTCCAAGCCGCGAGCCGCCGCCTTGAGGGCCTGGTGAGCGGGACACACGTCGTCGTAGTACCGCATGTCCTCCAGACTGGCAAACTCAAACCTGGCGGCGAAGTCAAAGCCCTGAGAGCGCTGGTCGGGCTCACAGGCACCGACAGCCATATTAAGAATGTAGGGCTTGCCATCCTATTTCGGGGGGTTGCTCGAGTCAGCTCTTTGGTTTTGTGCCTGTGCTAGGAGGGGAGGTTATGGCTGCTAGGTTGGATAAGGGCCGCAAGCGGGTTTCACCTTGGTGCTCGTGTCTCTGACGGTTCTGTAGAGCTCCAGGAGCTTTTCCTGGTCCTCCTTCTTGGGGATCTTGAACATGGTGACTCGGTGGACGCGTTCAGCCATTTTGATGGGATGTTTCTGCTATGGCGCAAGGCGAATGGGCTGCGGGGGCTTGGACGGAGACAGACGGAGGTGAGCGACGGAGATGTATAGCAGGAAAAAAAGAGAGGAGAGGCCAGAGGACTGCGTGAGTGAGGCTGGCAGCTTTTAATACAGCGACGATGATGTGAGCACGACTTGCTAGTGAGTTTGGAGAATTGCCGAGTTTGGGTACTTGATGCTGCGGCTGGTATCGGGAGAACGATTCAAGTACCTGCGGTGCCGAGGGGGTTCGCAGCGCGGAAAGACGACAGGACGGAAATAAGGTGGGCGAACAGATCTTATGCGAGATGCGGAGATGCGGAAAAAAGATGAGGAGATGAATCTGTTTAGTTTATTTCATCTATGATAGAATTCAAGACTTTTATTTATTTATTTATTTTCTTTCCTTTTCTGATGATTTGATTTGATAGCCTCGGGATTTGTATACTGAGCTGACTTTAGCAGATGTACTACTAATAATTACTAATCCTCAATGAGCCGACCACAGGCGGTCCGCCAGAAATCCGGGGTTGATTGAACTTTGCGGATTGCCGCGGAAGCTTAGCATACATGCATGCATTATCCATATAATACATAATTCCGCGTAGATGCATGCGCGTCAATAGACCATGACTACCTAGTAGGTAGGTAGGTAGGTACCTCTGTGACGACGATGCTGGCGTCGTCGCTTCTCCTTGCAAGCAAAGAAAGGGGCGAAAAAAAAAAAAAAAAAAAAAAAACATGGCAGCAGTTGCCAGTCAAATAGAGATTGATACTGAATCTGACTTTGTATAGGAATAAAGTTCTGGAAATGAGGCTCCGCTTGCAAAAATAGCTTTGTGGTGGTGATAGTGTATTATGACCGCCTTGGTTTTGTTTACTGGACATTAATTTCATGCACCTATACTACGTACTAAATAGATGTCGCATCAATAAATAGCCTTTATGCCATGTCTTGCTTTTGGCCTTTAATCAGCCAGTTCCCACCATGCCTCCAACTTTGACCGAAGCACTCACTCAAACTTCAAGCTTCAAGACGATATCTCGGATTTCCCTCCAATTTCCGCAGTAAAGATATCGCCGACAGTGCCAAAGACGCAATGAAGAGAGCGAAGCTATTTTTAGATTAAAGTTATTTGTACTAAAAATACCAAACACTAGACTTGAGAATGGACGCCGCAGAGTTCCCTGGAAATACGGAGACCATTTCTTCCCAACTTTCAGACTGACCCAACGTCTTTTTTCAGAATAAATTTAAATTTTTTTCTTACATATAGTTAAAAAGACATACAGAAGAACAATATTCCATTTCAATAGGTAAAAAATGAGAGATGATGGTGGAAGAGAAGCCGAGTTCTTTCAAAGTATCTCCTCTTCCCCTGAAAGAGGAAAGGTTATATAAGCACCGACACTGCTCTACATCGAGGTCAATATTCCTTTGCATATCAAATAAATATTAAGAACAACATTGTACATGATTTCCACTCATGGAGACGTATCTGCTAGGCGGATAATTCTAATTTTGGTGGTGGCGTCGACTTGTTGGGATTCCCTGTAACTGGGCATACGCCCGTCGTCCGTTTACCGACACGCCCTTAATCGCCCCGTCTCTAGAGATTGCTGTATATCATCTCATGCTGGCTCCCTCTTTTCCACTCTTCTATTCTTGTCCTTGCAAATACATTCTTTCTCCCTGTCTTCCTCTTCCCATCTGAGCAGGTTGCCCCAGGCAGCAGTCGTTCAGCAACTGGCCGCAACACTCTACACTCAAAGGTAATATTGCACTCTCTATTTCTCTAGTCTTTGCACTGTTTCCGCCATCTAGCCAGCCGGCAGACATACCATCGTTTGACTCGGATCCATCCGCCAGCTGGCGGTGGCGCTTCTCGAGGCGCTGCGTGTTTGTTTACCGGCGGGTTATTTATACTCGCCCACCTCTTTTGTTTATTTCCCCCCTTTTCTTCCCTCTTTCTTTTCTTCTTCTCATAAGCAACGCGAAACTCTCCTTCCGCCGCGCCTGCTTATCAGCACCGATCGCATCTCAAGCCAAGCAACGCAAATACGCCAGTTTACATCCTCCAAACCACCAAAACTGGCATCATCGCCAGCGTTTCCCCCCCCTATCCTCAATCTACATTGTTACCTGTGCCGAACTTGGGTCGAAAGGCCTCCTGACCGTGTTTTAGACCATCAAAACTCTTACATGCACCATGAACTGCTTGTGCGATTGTTCCTACGTTGTGCCTGCTCGGGGACCTGAGCCAGAATATGAGAACCCTATCTTTCATCATTGGCAGGTCTCCCAGTCTGGCTACAACTTCTACTTTTGCGCATCGCACCGAGCCTATCATTGCATGTACATTGATGGCAACCTCGATCAGCCCTATTGTGGCGAATGTGCCCCCTTTTACTATCAAGGCTACCCAAATATAGTTTGGCAGAAAGATCTTGATAGACATGCCGAGCTGCCAGCCACTCGTCTCAACAATCCCACCATCGTCGCTTATGAGCTGATCATGATGAATCTTGCCATCCGGGCCAATCATGAGGCCCAAGGCCAGCATCGCCACGCCCCAGCGGCCGACGCTGGACCCATTGATTATAGAGAAACTCTAGCGGATCTCCTTCGAATGCCATCTGCTAACGACCTCCCTCGTCCCGGCATAGCCGTCCCGCGAGACCACTTTACGTACGAAGGCCTCGGCACTGTTCTGGTTGGCAGTCCTCGTCAGCGTGGTCTGTTTCGCCTAGCTTTCCGTAACTACGCGGGAGCGGTGGGATGGATGCCCTGTGGCCCAGATATTGGCCGGCGAGCAGAATTCCTAAACCTGGCTCAGCACGAAGAGTTTGGTGATCCCATCTTCAAGAGCGCCCGCCTTTGGGCTTGCAAGGTCCAAGGCTATCTTTACATGCCCAAGGATATCCGCTGGGTCCTGTGGAGCATCTATATGCTGAGCAACGAGGTCCTTTACAACAGCCAGGAGGACGATGAGCAGGTTCTTTGGCTCATGCGCGTGTGGCTCAACGACCTGTACTTCACAGCTCAGAAGCTCTTTGATCGTTACCAGCTTGAAATGCCCGTCCCCATGCCTGAGCATGATTGGCTCGAGCGCCCCATCGGCCGCTTTAACCCTCCTGCGGGCGCTCCCGAGCAGCAAGCCATGGGCGGACAGCCCAACACTCCCGCGGTGGCTGATACGGGCTCTAACAGCGATATGTCTTCCTTTGTTGATCTCGCAATAGTCGACGAGTCTTCTGGAGAAGATACTCCCGACGAGGGCAACTCCGAGATGAACTTTTAGCCCTTGGCTCAAATGAGGCAAAACACTGCCTGCTCTCGTGTTCACGTTTCTCTAGCCACGTCTGCGCTTTTGACAGTCGTCTTGTTCCTGTCAATGTCATCGTTGAGTCAAGAAAAGAAAAGAAAAACCCCCAGAAAAAAACTAGAAAACGGAAAAAGCCGGAAAAAAAGGGCATAAAATAGAAGATAAAAAAAAAAAAAAGGGGGGGGGTTCCTTCTTGTTGGTTCGTTCTTGTTCGCAAGTAATAACTGTTTCATCTGGCTGCAAAGGGTTTTTCGTCATTCCGCTTCCACAATAGAGAAGCATATGGTATCTGGCATGGCTACAAAAAGTATTATCGTCGCTCACTTTCCATATCAGAGGAGCAATAACGAATCGAACGCATCAAAAAGACAAAATACACCAAAAAAAGATGGAAAATATAAACTCCAAAAAAAAGAGAGAGAGAGAGAGAGGTTTTACTTGACCTTTGTTCTTGTATCAGCTTCTGGATGAGAGAAGCGATGATTTTATTTGCTTTTGCTACAGTGAGTTACCATACAAAAAGATCCGACTTCACCTGCTAACTTCTTTTGAGTTTTCTGTTGCTCTTCTGTACTTTGGGATACTCATGAATGGATCCTAACGCTTGATCACCGTCGATTTTCCTGCATCTGCTGGCTCTTGGTTGAGGAGATATAGCGCCACAGCAAGGGATAGGATATCAGAGGCACATGGATTCAGGCTTTACGACTTGAGATGAGGATACGAATAAGGGGTTTTTTTTTTTTTTCGATTTGGTATGGCAAGCTTGTATTTAGGACATGTTTTTGTCTTTTCTTTTCTTTTCTTTTTTCTTACTATCGTTCTTCCTTTCTTTCTTCTGTTAGGAATAGCGCTAATATACCAGCGCGTGTATGACTTGTGTTAAAACCTATTGTCAAGTGCCAAGTGAGAGTTTAGAAGCAGCAAATGGGATACAGAGTGAGTAGATTGCTACTTTTGATCTATCGTCGTCTATCGTTCCAAAATTTAACCAATATCACGATCGACCGGCCAAAATGCCCACCGTCATCATCATCACCATCATCACCTGTCCCCCCCTCAGCAAACCCCCAGTTCAGCTTCCCATGGCCAACGAAACATAGACTCCCCACACAACTCCCGCCAGCGCACCCACCAGATTCCTCCCCTGGACGGACTTGACGAGCGTAAAGTTGATGAGCGACACGGCGGGCCAGAGCTTGGCGGCGGCAATCATGAGCGCCCAGAACTCGGCCTTTGCCTCCTCCCAGACGACGGCGAAGTCGACAACCCTGAAGTCGACGGCGTTGGGGCTGGACCAGTACTTTGCGGCGGCGGGGAGGTTGGTGATGCGCGGGGCGTGGAGCATGGCATAGCGGAGGGAGCGGGTGAAGGTGCTGAAGAGAAGCGTGTTGAGGGCGGCGCCGACGGTTTGGTCGAGGACGAACTTGATGATTGTGTTTGTGAGGGAGAGCTTTGGGGGAGGTGATGATGGGGACTTGTCCTTGTTCTTGTTCTTCTCTTTGGAAGAGCCTGGAGATGCTTTGGATGGTGGGGGGCTGGGATGTGCGGGGAATGTTGATTCGAGAAAGTCTTGCCTGTTTTTTTGGCGGTGTCAGTGGCTGTGATTCAAATGAGATGTGGGAAGTTGTAGAATGGATCTGGAAAAAAGGGGGATTGCATCTTGGGCCGTGAAGATGTGGCGGGAGGGGGGGGGGGAAGTGAGGTGAGTGGTTATAGTAAGGTTATAGTTGGGTATAAAATTATTGAATGGCTCACCAGAGAAAGTTTGGCGGCGTGCTCACTACCGCGAACAGGACGAACTGAAAGACGGGCACCCAGTCGATTGTCACGGCTTCCTATTGCATGTATTAGCTGCTGCTCCGTTTTGGAAAGATGAAAGGCAAAAGAGAGAGAGAGAGAGAGAAAAAAAACAAGAATAATTCAGATAGGGAAGAGGAATTTGAGAATGAAATGCTTGCAAAAAGACGACGCCGACTTACATTGTTCTTGTATGCGGTAATGGCCTGCGCCAAAATATTGGACACGGCTGCCAAGAGAGAAGACTGCAGAGTCGCCTGCACAATGGGTGGAGGAGCCATGATTTCAGTGCTGGAACTAATTCTTCGCTTCCTTGTTCTTGTTCTTCTCTCCTTTGAGTTTTCGTTGTTTTTTTCTAAGCGTTTGGGCAAGCTTTTGCACAAAGCTTGGGGCTGGAAGTTATCAGACTTCGATGGAAGAAAAACAAGCCCAGCACAAGCGATATCGCTATCGAGTACTAATACTAATACTAATGCTAGGGCGGTGAAAATATTCAGTGGCGTGCGCGTTCCACCAAGCCACGGATATCCGTCGTGGCCCAAGTAACGTACTTGCGTATTAATGGGAAGAGTGTGATTACAAGCTGCCTAGTTCTAATAACACGTCGAATTATCACAGGGATTTTGCGGGTAAAATACCCGATTGCGACTTAGAGACAGCTCACTCAATGCGGCTCTCGCGAGGAACCAGTCATAGGAGAAAGAACACCTGTCATCATGGACGTTATGATATGATTATACTGCTTTTTATTCTCTTTTTGTCTGCTTTTTCGTATGATCAAATATGCTACTGTATCTGTTCCATGCACCTCGTGTAAAAGACACCTGGCGCATTCTCCTTGCCCCCCTTTGAAAAAGCCCAAGCCTTGGCTTACATCCACAACAGATGCATCGTGTATCGTCTGGTTAGAAATTAACGTGGGATATAGATATGTAGTAGTATCTACCAAACCCCGCAGTGGAGCGGGAACCCTGAAAACGCCGGTGGCGCGGCAGTGAAGCGCTTCTTCCTCTATCAGGACCTCGAACTACGGCTCTTCATACAGCGCCGTGTCCAGCATTCTGGGCACCGCAGATGACCCTCTTTATCCCGTGTCTAACGCCTCCCGTGAAAAAAAATATAGTGAACCTTTCTCCTTTTTTTCTCATAGATGCAACGCTTTAGTCGTCGTCCTTGTCTTCCCTTAAATGGACTTTCAAGACCTGGTCAGAAGCCACATGAAGAAAAGCTGGACGAGGTAGGAGTAAAAGAAAAGGAATTGTGTCCTCTGGTTGCGCTTTGCCCTTGTGTCGGTCTGCATAGGACCTCCAGAGTTAGAGGACGTTTCAGGCAAAAGGACATATTTCAGTGATCGCATCTAAACACACGTCGTACCGCTTCGGTCAGCATTCTAATTACATCCAGGGGGATGAGTGATGTGGGCTGCAAAACGTACCAGGAATAGAGAATTGGCCAAGAAGGTGTAAATGAAGACCAGCCACCCGACCCAGCCGCCAGTGCCCTTGCCACCGTTGACAACTTCCGCAATGGCTATGGTAGCAATAATACCAACAAACTTGTATCCAGAGTAGGCGATCAAATCAAGTAGCTGGGACTGGCTGGAGATGCTCAGGAGGTAGCATCCCACCTTCAACGCGATAATCTCGAAAATAACCACACCGAGCGCAGTTGTTGCTGTGTATCCGAAGAGCTCAGGGTTGAATTTGCCCCTTATGCCGGCAACCAGTGTAGACAGGAGGATATATGTGACCAGTGCCATCACTATTTGGCACATGTATTTATGTTAGCTGTCATTCATTCTTGTCCATGATCTTAGTATAGTGTTTCGAGGCGCGACCGACCTGGAATGTACATATCGGGACTATTGATGTCGTCTCGCGGGGGCAGGTAGCGCAGATCCTGGCCATTCGTGCCAGCGACCTGCTTGCGGGACCAAGGCTTATGCCTCCAGGGGAAGAGAACGATGAAGAGCTTGTTGATGACGTAGAAGTTGGAGACGTTGAAGTAATACTTGAGCGCGGACACATTGACATAGCGACCAATCTAGAAACGCAAAAAGCGTCAGTACGAAGTAAGCAATGCACAAAAGTCTCAGTTCAAGATGACAAGACAGAAAATCGAATCGATCACGTACGTTCTGCTCCACGTATTCCTGGCCATGCTTGAAGGCAGTCTGTCCAAACTGCGCCGCGACCTGGGCCGTGGGATCGCTCATAAACTGCCCGTATGCGCCAAAGGCATTGCCCATGTTGCCCCCCTGCTGCTGCTGATAGGGATTCCCCCCGTAGCCCATCTGATGCGACTGCGCGGAGCCCGGCGGCGGAGGCGGTGATCGGAGCTGAGGGACGGTCGACACATGTTGCGGCACTGGATGGTGCAAAGGAGGCGACTGAGCCGCCCGATGCATGGCTGCGGTTTTGGCTTTGACGTTGGTTTTGGGTGGGCGAGGGGAGAAAAAAGATGTCTTTGTATTTCAATTCGAGGCGGAGAGAGCGAGAGCGAACGCGTGGCTGGGCTAGGCCCCAAGGGGTTATCGTTGCTGTGGCCGCTGTTGTCGACGACGAGATTCGAGATGCGAGTTTTGAAATGTGGTCGATAGCTTTGCTTGTGCTGTGAATAGAGCAGAGAGAGTACCCCCCTGCAGCAGCGTCATAGGCCAGCCAAGGGACAGCGGGTTGGTGCCACTACAGTAAGGTGCTGAGCTGCTGCAGACGGGGTAGTGGCCAACAAGGCATCCAAAAAAGCACGGCATGTACCTGCGAGTACATTTCTACACGTGCAAGACCCGCTGCTACCTCCGGATACCTCCCACCAGGTACGGATTCGCCGCTGCGGCCACTGCTACGGGGCTCTTGATTGCTATACCGTGGCCTCTAAGGCCCATCCGTGGCCAATTACCACGTGATTCGGTTCTTGGCCATCCGCGCATCGGCCTCACTAGAAGTGCCATCACGATAGTCGAATCGCAGGCAATACGCGGCCATTGGCGAGGATTGCGAGTCGTCGCAGGTCTCGGGGATGGTTCGGTCGCCGGCGGAATTAAATGCCAGAATTCAAATAGAAAAAGGATAAATGCCATTAATTTAATGCCTTCTGACGCGTGAAGGCGAGGCGCCAGAGCCGCCATCTGCTGCCCATGTACACGCGCATGTAGACGGATAAACCTTGATAACTTAGTACCATCGCTCCGTTATCTTCAGTGGTGGTCGCAAACCAACTCTCGCTACTCCAGCTCGCAACCAACCACGCGCAGTCGCTTTCTTGCTTGATCTCTACAAAGACGGTGTGGGAATCTCGTTATTGCATCTTTGTTACCACTGCTCCAATATCTGCTGGCTTTGCCAGGGTCGAGACTTCCCTAGCCCGAATTTTTTTTGCCTCCCAATTCCACCACCTTCCACTCCTTATCGTCCATCTGGATGACTACGCCTGTTCCCTGATCTGATCCTCAACCTCCCTCCCTCTCGCGCTCTCGCTGCTCCTACCGATATCGCAAGCTGTCCTCAAGCCTCGTGAATCCGTCACAGCTGGCAAATTCAACATGTTGGATGCGTTCGAGGTTCTCACCACGTCTGGCGTCGTTGTCTGGTCCAGGACTTATGCGCCAGTCAGCCCCGCCATCGTCAACAACTTCATTGCCGACACATTCATAGAGGAGAAGAATGGCAGCATTGCGCCCACCGATTCGCAGTCGGCCGCGACCAATCCCGCCTATAGGAGCGATCAGCACACTCTGAAATGGACCTTTGTTAAGGAATTGGGCTTGATCTTTGTGGTATGGAAATTCCCCATCAACGTCATCCTCCGCCCAGTATACTGACAACTGCCTTGCCTCACACCAGGTTGTATACCGTTCTCTGCTGCACCTATCATGGGTCGATAAGCTGGTGGATAACATCAAAACCATCTTTGTCCAACTCTACGGTGATCAGCTCACCAAGCCCCATACGACCCTCGTCGAGTGCCATTCGTTTGATGAATATTTCGACCAGCAGCTTCGAGAACTAGACAGATCGAGCAATATCGGAACTATAAGCCCTATAGAAGAAGAGGAAGTGCCCTCAAACGGTCAGCAATCGGCGCCTGGCCTGACTTACAGAGGTCGCACACTCAATGGTGGCGGAGCTGGCACTCAGGACCCCGTCTCAACCGACTCTACGCCTATCCCAACGCCAGATGCCTCACGCCCCTCAACCCCTGGCAATTTGGTTGTTGCCAAGGCCGGCCCTGTGGCCAAGATGTCAAGAAGAGCTCGTAAAGCTCAAAACAGTAGCTCGGCGCCGGTATCCTCTGGAGACGAGTCTTTGACCTCGTCTCGGCAGAAGAAGGGCGCCAAGGCGACAAAGAAGGGGCGCAAATGGAATGCAGAGGGATTCGCAGACGAAGAAGACGATAGCCTACAGCTGGATTACTCCCAGCCTAACAGAGCAAGCGAGTCGGAAACCGAGGCGGTTGGGCGGTCCAGTGCACTTGATGCCGTCGAGTCGTCGACCTGGGGATCTAGGAGTAAAGGAAAGTTCATCCTCAAGGATTTGGGAGATGAGGTACATGACATCCTGGCGTCGGCAGAGGCTGAGAAGGCCGAGAAAGCCGCTCGCGCAGAGTCCAAGACGGGCCTTTTGGGCTCTGGAGTCAACACCATTAGCGGCCTCTTCCGAAACATTGTGGGTGGCAAGACGTTGACCAAGGCGGATCTTGAAAGTGCAATGAAGGGCATGGAGGACCATTTGCTGCGCAAGAACGTAGCCCGTGAAGCAGCCGTTCGCCTCTGCGAAAGCGTCGAGAAGGAGCTGGTTGGCGTCAAAACTGGAAACTTTGAAAGTATGTTTGGCAATCCCTCGCCCCCTTTCTTTACCGCCATTCCGTTCTTTGCCAAGGACTTTTACTCATGATTTTGTGTTTTAGGTATCAACGCCAAGATTCATTCTGCAATGGAATCATCTCTTACCAAGATGCTCACCCCCACCTCATCGCTTGATCTTCTCCGCGAGATTGACTCCATCACATCTCCGCCTGTCACCTCGCTGCGAAAAGCTCGGCCCTATGTCATCTCAATCGTCGGCGTCAACGGTGTCGGCAAGTCTACTAATCTGTCCAAGATCTGCTTCTTCCTGCTACAAAACAAATACAAAGTCCTCATCGCCGCCGGTGATACTTTCCGTTCCGGCGCCGTTGAGCAGTTAGCCGTGCACGTGCGAAACCTCAAGGAGCTCACGGCTCGAGAAGGCGGACAGGTAGAGCTGTACCAGAAGGGATATGGCAAGGATGCTGCTGCTGTCGCCAAAGATGCCGTTAGCCATGCAGCTCAGGAGGGCTACGATGTCGTCCTCATCGATACGGCTGGACGAAGGCACAACGACCAGAGACTCATGTCGTCGCTGGAGAAGTTTGCCAAGTTTGCCCAGCCCGATAAGATTCTCATGGTTGGCGAGGTACGTTTTCTGTCACATTACATCCGATGCTCGAAATATATTGATTCATCTACTAACATTCTGTCCTATAGGCTCTTGTCGGAACAGATTCCGTTGCCCAGGCTCGCAACTTCAACGCGGCCTTTGGCTCGGAGCGTGCTTTGGATGGCTTCATCATTTCCAAGTGCGATACTGTCGGTGACATGGTGGGAACTCTAGTCAGTCTGGTTCACGCGACCAACGTGCCCGTTGTGTTTGTGGGAGTCGGTCAGCATTACTCTGACTTGAGGAATTTTTCTGTCAAGTGGGCTGTAGGAAAGCTGCTGAGCAGCAACTAATAATGTATAACAAGAAAAATGAGCACATGAAACCCTTTTTATTTTACACCTTGGTAATTTTGGATATAGTAATTTGATACGATATGCGGAACCAATTGAAAAATTGGCCACCTCTGCTATCATCGTAATACACTTTCACTTCAAAATACATTTACAATATAATAATACCTTGTGGTAGAATCAAGTCGTTTTTCTCTAATCTCCTTTTGTGAGCTTCTTTTTTCATCATTAATACTATAATCCTGCATACTAGTCCATACTATGCATCGAATTAACCATTCTTTTCAATCCAGCATTCCATCCTGTCATATCATAACCCCCTTTTCAATTTCACATTATTCGCCAGGCGGCTACAATGAGCGCGATCTGGGAGTTCATATCCATCCATCCATCCATCCATCCCACCATGCATATAAAAAAGAGAAGTACAAAGGAGATAAGGGGAAAAAAAAAAAAAAAATAGGAAATTGAAAAGCCAAACAAAAAAGCTCAACGGGGGCAAAACAAGGCCAGCGTCTGAGTCTAAAAAGGTGTGGTAAAGAAGAAAAGATAATATGTATCAATATCGAAAACCGAAAATCAAAAAACCATCCAGCTTAAAAAACGGAACAAGGCTTTTTTTTTTTTTTTTTCTTAGATATAGTGCTAGCGAGAATTTTTTTTTTTTTTTCTTTTTTTTCTTTTGGTAGAATTTTTGCGTGTATCTTCCAAAGATGAGCGACTTATTAAACAAGCAGCACAAAAAATCCAAACGGGTATCTCTTTCTAGGGGTGGTTGATGTTTTCGCATTCTGATATTTGATCCGGAGAAGGTAACGAGTGATTGTGACTCGATGAAAACCTCAAGTTCGATGACATATATAAATATATCTTTGTATATGTATATCTCTTCATTTCGGCGTAGGGGGGAAATAGCGGACATTACCGTTAAAAAAAAAACGAGACAAAGGAAATGATAAAGGGATAACAATCTTGTAGAGTTATAAGAGCGCATCGCTCAGTAATATCAACTTTTATTCTTCCACAACAGCGCAAACATCAAACATCATGCTGCTCAGTCCTCTTCAAAAAAGTCATGGTCGTCAAAGTCACCAGGCTGCGCATCCTCATCATACACACTCTTGTGTCCTAGGTGAGGAGGTGTCACCGGCTCGGCTGCCAACTCCTGACGTCGAAGAGGGAGGCCTTGGAAGGGTTGCTTGTCAGACCTATGAGATACATTTGACTCTCTACGTGTCCGATCATGAACGCTCTGGCCTGTGAATCGTCTTCCGATGCTCGAAAATGCCGTAGGCTGCAGTTGGCTGTCCGGCGTGGGGGGCTGGCGAAGAGCGGTAGCTGGAGGGGTGAGAAGCCCGCTCACCATGCCGCCGTTCTGCTGCGTCGAGTCATTTCTGCTCTTAGTAGGAGTGGAATTGCCCGTGACAACGGGCGAACTCAACACTCCCGAAATTCCTCGGAAGCCAGACTGGCCACTCTTGCGCCAACTATCCCAAGCCGCAGCGATAGGAGCAATGGTTTGCGCTACACGTGGCGTCGCAGCTTGAATTGTCTGAGCAATGTTGGGGAGAGTTATGGCTGAGCCACCATTCATGGCCCTCTCACGCTCTTGTTCCTCCATCTGCAAGTTGGCCTTGAGTCTGATGGCAGCATCCTTGACAGCGGCACGGTCAAACCTGTCTCCCGAAAGAGCCGTGATGATATCTTGAAGATCTCCCTGTCTCACAGCAAGAAGCTCGCGCAGCCAGTTAATCTCGTCGTCGCGCTTCGAAATCTTGGCTGCCGCATCGGGATCAAGTTCAGCAACAGTCTGTTCAAGTTCCTCAATGTGTTGTTCGCGGGCCTGCAGCTGTTCTTGGAGAACCATGATGGATTCCCGGAGAGCTTGTGGGGAGATCTTTTCAGGCATCTCAACCCGCTCTACTGGTTTAGCCATCACGGGGCTCAAGATAGAAGAGTCAACGCCAGCCGACTTCGCTGCTTGAGCTGCGGCGGCAGCGGCCTGCTTCGTAATCTCAAGTTTCTCTTCAAGGTGAATGACACGGTCTTGGAGAAGCTCGGTCTTGGATGTAGACAAGCTGAGACGCTCCAGGAGGTGCTGCTCTGTTCGCTGACCGTCCTCAGTTGCGTTGTTCAACTGGCGCTCATAACGAGCCTGAATATCCTCCAACTCGTTCTGATGCTTTTGTTTGAGTTCACTCAACTCGGCGATCCTGGTGGACTGCGCTTCCTCTAGAAGCATCTCGTTCTGCGCCTTGGCAGTATCAATCTGAAGCCTGAGGTGGTCAAGCTCAGCGCGCAATTTCGCGTTCTGCTCCTCGTACTCTTCTCGGACAACGTTTACCTGGTTGTTGGCATCCTCGAGCTCGGCCTGCAGAGACATGCGAGTCCTCTTGACTTCGCTAGCCCCAGACTCACGAGCCTCTTCAAACTCGCGTTGATATCGGGCAGCAGCCTGCTGAAGCTTGAAATTCTCGCTGCGAAGCTCAGAGAGCAGCCCCTCAAGGCGATTGCACTCATTGACAGCACGCATACCAGTCCGCTCGTTATCTTGAAGTCGTTCCATTTCGACTTCGAGACGTTCTCGAGTCTTGGATTCAGCTTGCAGCCGAGCTTCCAAAACCTCTTGGCGCGCCAGCATGGCCTGTTCTTTCTTGATGCGTCGCGCACTTTCCTCTGCCACCTCGCGAGCGGCCTGGCCCATATCGTTCTGAAGCGAGAGGAACTTGGATCGCCATGACTCCCGAAGTCGCTCGTTTTCTTCAAGTTGGGAAACGACACTATCAAGTGATTTATGCAGATGCTTATTTTCATTCAAAGCATGGCCGAGCTCACCATTGCTACGGCGTGCGGCTTCATCAGCTCGTTCAGCCTCTGCTCTCCAAGTATTGTTATCTTGGCGAACGTTGCGAAGATCGGTTTCGAGGACATTGATCCTGTTAACCATTTCAGCTTGGTGGTGGGTCCAGTGATCACGAGCAACCTCCATCTTGGATATTTGCAAGGCAGTCTTGCCTGCAGAGTGCTCCAGTGACTTGATGGCCTGGTTTCTTTCTTCCACCACTTCACGTAGTCGGGTCTCTTCTTCGGAGGCATTGCGTAGCAAGCGTTGAACTTCGGACAAATTATCTTCGGCTGCACGCCTAGCTTTGACTTCCTGCTCATTGGTATCCTCTTGCCGTCTAACCCTCGCTTCGAGCTCGGCAACACGGCCGTCGAAAACGCTTCGGTTAATAACTTCAACTTCCACAAGTGCCTCTGTAGACTGTAGCTTTCGGTTGAGCTCAGCAACTGCATCTTCTGCAGCCCTGCGCTCATTAACCTCATTCTCAAGGCTCTCTTGGTCTAAGCGATGTCGCTGCTCGAGATCCATAGCCTTTGTCTCGAGTTCACGAACCTTTGCAGCAAGCTCTTCATTGGACTTAGCTTGCAGCAAGCCCTCGAAAGGAGTAGAGTTGGTGTCATCGCGAGGCGTGTACCTGGCGCTGGTAACCAGCAGTTCTTTGATCTCATCAAGAGACCTCAGGAGAGTTCCATCGCCAAGAGCTTCCGTATTGGCAGTTGGTAGGTTGCTACGTGACTGCGAAGCAAGAGCTTCGACAACAATTGAACGAAGCTGGTCTAGTCTTCGGTCTCTCTTGGGGCTCATGGAGCGACGAGGAGCAGGCTCATCGTCTTCATCGTCAGCGTCGCTCTCCTGATACTCGGTTGAACCACCACGGACATCACGTCGGGACGAGGGAGCCCGCTGGTCTTTAGATTTGAGAGAGTGAGAGAGAGTAAGGATAGCCTTCTCAAGGGGTTCAAGTCTGGATGCCAGGAGCGTACCAACGACGTCGTTAACACGGCCGTCGAAAAATTGGGCACGATTCTCAAGCTTCGAATGTTCCTCCTCTGAGAAAGCAGCTTCCCAGTCACTAACTTGGTCACTCTCAAGCTCGCCCTCTTCAAATCCGCTACCTCGTCTCAGAACTTGGGCGCTCAGTGGTGGGTCTACAAACGGATCTTCCAGTTCAGTACTCAACATTGGCTGAGACGCGTTGTCTGGAATGTCGCTATACTTGCGTGGAATAACGCTCATTTTCTCGCGCGCATGGTCTGAGGGGATATGCAACTCATCCGACGATGCATGAGCTTCGACAGCTGGATGAGGCCACTTGAATGTCTCAATGGATTTGTTAATGCCCTGAGAATGATCTCTCTCCATTCGCTGCATGACCGCATCAATCTCCTCAAAAGTAAGCTCACGCTTAGCGCCATTTGTAGTAGGTGTAGCGTTGAAACCGCTTGTTCCTTCTTCTGCAAACTCAATTGTGTCATCGTCATCGTCATCTTGCTCAGCAGCAACAGCCGGAGTCGGCTCTGCGAAACGAGATGAGGCCAAACCAGCTGGCTTAGGCAAAGGAAGAGCAAATCTGGACCCAGCCAGACCTTTAGGAGTAAGCTTGCGTCTGGCAATTGCGAGTTGAGGATCTTCAGGAGCAGATTGAGCATTGGGCTGTGTGGATTCAGATAAGCCTTCTCCGTCTGAGCGAGCTTCGGTTTCGTCCGGAAGGTCTGGAAGAGACGCTGGAGTAGCCGCTGACAAATGTCGAGGAGTTAGTTCAAAAGATGACGTCCATTTAATGGATGCTTCCGCTGGTGAGGTCTCAGAGGGAGCAGCAGTGGTAACTTGGGTATCAATCTGGTCAACCGAAGACATGGAAGTATCGGCAGGCAACACAGCTTCTCCATCAACTGAGCCTTCCTCAGCAATGCTCCGCGATTCTTTAACCGACGATTCAACCATGCCAATGTCTTCACCTCCACCTTCTTCTTCCTCTCCCTCTTCCTCTTCCTCTTCCTCTTCAATCAAGTCGTTTGGTCTCTCAGCAAAGAGAGGCACATCATCGCTATCAGCGGCAGCGCTCTTAGCTCGCTTAGCTCGGGAGTCGTCCTGAATGCGACCATCAGGCTCTCTAATATCACCTTCAGAAGCCACTGGCGATTGGCTAGTAGGTCTCAAGATGGGGATGGCTCTGGACTTCTTGGGAGCAACAGAGTCAGCATGTTGATTAGGTTCAATCCTGATATTAGTAAAGATAGAATCGGTCCGTCTCGGGAAACCCTTGGTGCCAACTTCAGCAGTATTGGATGCGGCGCCTTGGGGTTGGAAAGGTGTAAAAGCGGGGGCATCAGGCCGGAACTTGGGACCAGAAGAAGAAAAGTTAAACTCGCTCTGCCCAGGAGCAAATGCTGGGGCATTGACATTGATCTTGGCTGCTAGAGGCTGCTGTGGCGGGACTCCGAAAGGAGTCTGCTCCATAACATCTGGCGCGCCAGCATGATACACGCCAGGCTGGAAGCTAGGAGTGTTGAAGTTGAAAAGGCCAGGAGTGAATGTGCTTGTTGGGTTAAACTTGAACTCTGGTGCTTCCACGTTGAACTTGGACAAGGAAGACTTGCTGTCGTTGGCTGAATGTTGGCTACCAGCGTTGTTAAGGGACACTGCGTCCTGCCATGGGTTGCTTGAAGCAGACACATTCTTTTGATGCTGGCTAAAGGCAGCAGCAAAGTCGATATCCTGAATAGGGGTGCCGAGATTGCTGGGATTGGTTTGGATTTCCTCATAAGCCTCGTCGACGCGCTGAGTCTCCGGAATGTCGTTCAATGGGCCATATGGTGGCATGCCACCCTGGTTAACGCCTTCAGAAGGGTCATTATCCCGATAGAAATTCTGGGTGAGAGAATGGCCGCGGCTGTGGGGTCGTGGGTGGTGCAAGACGAGAGGCTTGCCAGGTTCATTAGCGAAATGCTCAACCTGCGCAAAGCCGCCAGCAGAAGGCTGGTGAGCATGCGCAGCGGCAAAGGGCGGGTGAGCAACGGATTCTGCTCTAGTCTGAGGATTGTAATCCTCGTGTTCCAACTCATTGCGCAGCTGTTCCTCCAGGTGATATTCGGCATCATCAATCTCGGCCTGTAGTTGGTCGGCGTTGCGTTGCGTAGGCTCTGGAGTCTTGGATGGGCTTTCGACACCCACATGTTCTTCCTCTTCTTCGTCTTCTCTAACGTCCTGAAGACGGGGAGAAGCTCTAGCGTACTGCTGTGGTAGATACTGCAGTGACTGATGCCTCTGGTGTAAGTTGAATGCTGGGCTGCCAGCCTGGTGGAATTCTACACCGTAAGGAGACTGGGGAGACATGATGCCATTGAAATTCACAAGGGATGGCGAATCCTGAGGACTCATAGCTTGCAAGATACCGGCCTGGTTGGGCCATCCCTGCGGTGGCTGTTGGAAAGGTGAGTTATTTGCAGGGAATGAGATGGATTGCCGTGCATTGAATTTCCCAGCCACGCTGAAAGGTACTGGCGAAGCGCCCGATGCCAAAGGGCTCTGGTTGGCGGCAGCGCCGGGGATGAAGGGAGATGGGAACGGAAAACCGGGTACCGCATGGTTGCTGGACGCTGAGGAAGTCGGAATTGGGGGTGAGAATGGCAGTGGAGGATACTGAGCTGAAGGTAGGCGTGAAGGTTGTGAAGATATTGAGGGCGCAGCTTCGGCTTCATCGTCGCCAAATGAGACGCCAAGGGCCCTAAGCTTGGCTTCTTGTAACTCATTGACGTAATTCTTCCACGCTGTGACAAGTAGTAATGTTAGTCGTCAGCCTCTTCAGGAGATCCGTCCATATATATATATATATACACATATATATATAGAGAGAGGGGGGGGGCTATCCATATGTAACATACCATTCAGGTCTGGTAAGACTACTGTAAAGTCTCGTTCACAACGCTCTTGCGCCAAGTCCTCAAAACTTGGCCAAGCCTCTCTGCTTTGAGATTCACCAGTCGTATCATCCTCTGCCGGCAAATCAAAGCCGTCTACGTTATACCCCAACTCCACCCATGAATCAAACATTCGCTCAATCTCGTGTTGTCGAAGAGGAAATGGTGGTCGTCCTGGGAGGCCGCGCTCCTCATCTTGTGGTAGCATAATCATGATGCTCTTACCCTTCCATGGTACCTTTTTCTTAATTCGTGGCGCAGCAAGCGGTTCCCTGGGCAGGGGCTTCTCTGAGACTTTGATGGGCGGGATCGAAGGCATCGCCTTGTTGCCGTTTACTTGTTCAGGTCCAGGCGCCGCCATGTCGTTGTGATTGTTTGGGAGCGACAGGCCCACGACCGAGCCCGTCTCGGTGGCGACTGAGCTCGCCATATCGTCGTCTATTTCCGATTGTAAAGGATCACCGGCCTTTAGGGTCTCGACGCTAGAGATAGCACGAGGGTGTCGCGAGGTGGATCGAGACTTGGCCCTATATCTGCTCGACGGCCTAGGTGTTCGAGGATCTCGACTTTGATACCAGTCAGCTTCCGAGCCGCTCAGTGAAGAGTGCTCGCTGCTGTCTCCGTCGCTGAACCAGAGTCGAGCTTCCGTGTTCTGGTCGCCGGCGGTGTGAGTGCGGATCCAGCCCTCGGTAAGTCCCCTGTTCCGACGCCTGGCCCTGTGCACAAGCACGGCAGCGGCAGCACTCGTGGGTAAAAGCGACTGCGCCGGGGTTTGAGGCCGTCCGCTCAGGATAATAGGCGGCGGGCGCAAGAAAGGAGTATTGATATCCAAGGAGTGGATGGGGAAGCTCTCGGACACGTCGCTGTCAGACCCCTCGCTTTCGTAGCTCTGGCGCCTGAGGTTGACGTCGCTGCGGAGATATGGAGAGCCCCAGCTGGCAGTGCCAAACTGGTCGTCGTCAGAGGCGAGGTTGCCGTCACTGTCGTCCTGTTCGTCGTCGTCGATCTGGAAGTCGTGGATGTCAAATGCAGGCGCCCTCAAGATTGCCGAAGCCCGTTCGGATAGCTTGGGGGCAGGAAGCAGAGGAATCGCCGGGGACGATCCGAGGTCGTCGTCTTCGTCGTCGGCCGTTGAGGCTGTCGACAAGGCGGGAGACGTCGGGGTCCTGGATCCCGGGCTAGAGTCTCCAAGGCCGTCCTGCGCAGGTGCAGCAGGAGGAAGAGGGATTGTCGACGTAGCTGGAGACGACGTCGTAGCGAAGTTCTACACGGCGGGAAAAAAAGGAAGAGAAAAAAAAGAATTAGCTACTCTGGACTTTTAAAGCACATGGCGGTGTTGCTGCACAGGAAGCGGGCCCCGGCCAAGGCGTCGGATTGGAGATGCTGCTCACCAGGTGAGATCAGCGCAGACGAAAAACGTGTTCGCCTGCAGCTGATTCTCAACATCCGCCTACTGGGAGTCCCTCTATTTCTAACTCGTCCGTCCCGTCAACTGCCAGGGACACTCCAGGAAACACACAGCGACTGGCCGTCGGGGGGTGTGAAAATACGCGACGCGTTGACGAGGCCACCGCGGACGGATTAAAACTAAATAAGAAAAAGGGGGGGCGGTGGGAAACTGGGGACCAGGAAAAAGGCGCGGGTGTGTGAGTTGCGAGAGTGTGTGTGCTGGTACAGTATCTTTTGCTGGATCGGATCTGGAGTCGAACTCGGGGCAAAGCACTCAAGCAGCGCCGGGACGAGGACAGAGTCGATGAGTGGCCGCAGTCATTGGGGAGCTGGGCTGGGGCGGGTCTGGGGTCAGAGAGCGAGGCTCGCAGCGTCAGTCCAGTCTGGAGGCGAGAGATGGCACGGCAAAGAGGACAGACGGAGGAGAGAAGAAGAGAGGAGGGGAGTGAGCAGATGGATGGGCCCTGATGGAGAGCTGCAGCTCCGACTGAGTGTCGTGGCCCGGTTGCCAGCAAAGAGCTCCAGCGGCCTGCGTTTTGCATCGGTTGGGCCTTCAGCCAATGGCCAGTATACGGGCATGCCTAATCCGACTAGAGAGCAGCCCGTATAGTGCTGCAAATAGTAGGTCGATGCCCCCATCTGGGCGATGCGACTCCATACGAGCGCTACTACGGGCCATATCTGGCCTGGCATCTGGGCCTAGCATTACGGGGAATTAGAGTGCCATTACTAGAGAGACAGTTGAGAAAGAGCAGCAAACAGGCATATGGCCTGCACCAGCGCTCGGTAGTTGCTGCTAAACACAACACCACCTTTTTGCCTCGCACGCCGGTGCTGGACATTTAATGAGAGGTTCCGCTGGCCAGACCCAGTGGCGCGCTGAAGTAACCCAATGTCGGGTGGCAGCGACAAGGGTCCAGAAGGCTGCCACGAAAGTCGGTACGAGGCTTGAGGTACAGGTACTTGGCTCGGCCTGGAAAAGTGACGGTGAAGTGAGCGAGTCGCCGTCTCAGACACTTTACTGTAGGTGCTGAATCGTACGCGCTCGTAGCCAAAATGCAGCGTGGGTGACGTAGCTTTTCTTTTTTTCTTCTTCTTCTTTTTTTTTTTTGTTCAAGCATCGCCGCCTATGCAGAAATGCATGTACATGCAGCGTGAGTTGGTAGTGGCTTAGAAAGATGGAATACCCAGAAAAAGAATTGAAGCTGAGACAATAATGGCGAAATAACTGCTCAAGTGCTTGTGGTGGCTGACCAGTGATCCGCCGCTAAGGGAAAATAAAGCTGGAGCGTGATTGTACCTTGACTTGGGGCAAATGTACCAAAAACGCGGAGAGACGACGTCGAAACACTCGGCCAGACTCTAGAGGGCTATTGGAACTACCTACTACCCCATACCGAAGAGGAGCTGCGAAACAGGCCTTTGCAAGGACTCGGGTACTCATTGTCAACACGGGCCAGGTCAAACCACAACGGCTAATACTTTCTGTTTCGGTACCTGCAGTCTGCGCTCAAGTTGCTTGAATCAGCACAACTTCTATATTGCGTCAGAATGCAAACCCTCAACTGGCTTTTGACCTCTTCTCGGCATGGCAGGAGACCGGGCGCTAGCACAAGCACAACAGATACTCCGAGAGTATGTACAGTACTTGGCAGCCACTTTTAGAGCGTCATTCGCCCCCCACGAAATACCACTAAAAGCCGTCACGCCGGAAAAAAAACATTCTGCTTCACGTGTCGCGCAGATCAATGCTCAACTGCTCATGACCCTTCATGACGACGCGATCGCCCTAAGGGTACTAGACAACGCAATACTGTACTACATAGTAGTTGTAGTAGTATTATTCAATATTCATCTATATTTATGTCATGGAAGAAAAAAAAATATTGCAGCTGCTTAACTTGACATCATGGTGGCCAGCACTCCAAACCGCGGGCACATCCCCGTGCGAGTCGAGTACCTGTACTTTCTCTAGCCCCAGGGGTCGCGGGTTCAATCCTCGGGAGCTAAAAGACACCGGTGGGGGGGCCACGAAGCGGCTGTGAGCCACCGTTTGAGCGTTTGTGCCACACCTAGGCAACAAAAAATGCTGGAGATTTTAGATTGACTTTTTAGCGTCAGCAACATTCATAACAACGTATTGGGAATATCCCTGTGTCTGCTGAAATGAGCAAGCCATGATGCTACCTCGTACTACTCCAGAACTACTCCTACTGTTTAGAAACGCTACGGCTACCACTGATAACGGGCTACTATTAGTACTAGTAACCAAGCCTAGAGAATAAAGGTGGGAGAAGCCAAGGGAGACCTCCAGACACTCCAAGTTTGCTCGACTCACCCTCCCCCCCACAAAAAAACACAATATGGGAAGGAAAGAAGGAAAAGAAAGAAGCAGCCTCGGTGTTGTATGTGACGCGCCCACGATGCATCGCAGCGGCTAGTCCTGCATTGTCCAGCTGGAGCCGCCCTATTGGCCGATTGGAATGAACAGACGGCATTTCAGCCAGCATGGGTGGCCAGGATAATGCATGCAGCTCTTCGGGCGGGACGGAAGAAGGGAAAATAGAAACGAGAAGAAGGAAAAAAGAATCCATCAGACACTGCATTCTATTTGCCCTGGGCAAGCGAATTAGAGAGAGTGCGTTGGGTAGCAGCGTATGTAGGTGTGTGTGTGCGTGTATCTGCCACCTATGAATCCTGCCAACGGTGACGGAGCACTCCGTAGGCCAAAAGAAAAGAAAGAAAAGTCGGGAGAGAAAGAGAGGGAAGCGGTTCAGGTTAAAAGAGAGGCTATCTACTTGCCTAAACACGACAAGGGAGAGGGGGATGCCAGATAGGCGTGCCCAAGTGAAATGTCTCTAAAAGACAATGCCTGAGGGAAGAGAACTGAACACGGTATTCACCACTATGTGAGAGGAGAATGGGCATTGTCTCTTCCTCGCCATTGTTCTCTGGACATTCCAAAGTACCAAGGGAGTGGCAACGTTGCAACAATGTCGTACCTTGAGTGCCCTCGTATGGAAATAAAACCATTTTACAAAAGGCTCATATGCAACTCATCACGTCGGCCGTTCCAGAAGAAGGGAGAAGGGTAACGTAAAAAAAATATATTCGGTGTTTAGAGTAATTAGTTAGGTATCACGCTTTCTTTCCAGAAAAAAAAAACAATATCGATTCTATATGCCAAGTGACAGAAAAATAATAAGAGCTCGCTATGCAGTTTGCAGAAAACAGTCTCGCATAAACGTATAGCAGCATCGCTCCAAGAAATTCTTTTTTCAACCCTTCACTCTGTTTCCATCAAAAAGTTTTTTGCGGCATCACCAGTCAAAATCTTGTCGACATACATCGTAACCCATGCTTAGGGCGAACCATACCCGTGTGCCGCAACAGCTGCAAAATGAACAACAGCCTCACCGCAAGAAAAAAAAATTATTGTGTTAAAAGTTGGCCGACGCGTTTACTGGCTGGTGATAGTTCTCCAGCGTCGACTGGAATGGGTTCCGCGGACCATTGCCCGACGAGCTACCCCGGGGAGACTTCTCTGCGGCACTGATGTCGACGTCGTAAGCCATGAGGCCGTCAGCCTCTTCGGCATGCTTCTTGCGGCCCCAGACTCGGAAGGCAACCAGTCCGAGCGCGCCGAGGATAACGGCACCACCAACACCGACAACAACGCCAATGATGGTGTTGCGAGTCTGCACCGACATGCCCGAAGAAGCTTTAGAGTTATCCGCGTTGAGGCCCGCAGTCTGGGTGGTCTTTGTTGTGGTAGTCTCGGTTGTCTTGGATCCATCGCTAGCGGTCTTGACGATAACCTCAACCTTGGTCGAAACAGGGGGTGGCGTCGTGGTGGCTGCTGCTGCGTTGTTGTTATCGCCACCAGCAGAAGTCTTGCTGCTACCGCTGTCGGTGCTGCTGTCGTCATCGCTGCCTTTGCTAGATGTGGTCTTGGACGGGGGAGGGGTGGTAGTAGAACCAGAGGCATCTGCTGCTGGAGTCGCAGAGCTAGAGCTGGCAGTGGTAGAACCAGCTGGTGTAGACGCGGGAGTAGAGCTGCTATCTCCTCCGCTAGCACTTGAAGATGGTGCATCCGAGGTTGGGGCAGACGATGGAGAGGAGGCGGAGCTTGATGGCTCGTCAGCTGCAGACTGGGAATGCGCAGGGGTGGAAGATGGGCTCGAAGCTGCTGTTTTGCTGGAGTTCGAATCGTCTGCGCCTGCAGAGCTCGATGAGTCGCCGCCGGTGAGGCCAGAAAGGGGGTTGTCGTCTCGTCGAATCAAGCCTCGGTGGTGAACCTTTTGAACATCCCACCAGGTAGCCTGTACCACACACAGGATGGACACCACCGCGACCAGCACCTGAATAACCCTTGTTGCATACATGGCGAGTGTTTTGTAGAGTGATAAAGAACGTGAAGAGAGAAGAGAAAGAAATCGAAAAAGAGCAAATTTCTCGGCTCTTGCTGACCGGGGTCGTTTGAGGGCCTTTGGCGTCGACAAGGTAGTCGAGTCAAGGCCACAGGGTAATGTTGAGTGCGATTTAGTTCTTAGATACGATCGGTGTTTTCTTCCGCTGTCAATCAAGAAGCTCTCAGGTGGAGGACCAAGGAGAGAAGGGGGACAGAGAGAGAGCGGATAGTTGGAATAGGAGAGAGAGGAAGAAATGAGAGATTGAGGTGCAAATATGCGTTTGCAGGTAGAAAGAACGAACGGCACCGAGATACGGAATAAAGCGGGAGACCGGAAAGGCCTTGCGGGAGTTGAGTAAAACGTCAAAAACGAGAGACAAAAAAGGAGAACGGTTGAGAAGTGAGGATAAAACGAGAGTGTTTTAATCTTGAGGTGACAGGGTTTGACAAACAAAGGAACGGCGAGGGCTCGTATTCAAAGCAGCAGCGGAAAAAGGAACCCCCCCGAACCCAACCAAGCTTGCACAGCACTGTGCCGCACTGTACGCGGCGAGCTTAGAGCTACCCGACGCTTTGTCGCATCGGCCCAGTCGGGACTAGGGGCTCTCGGGGCAGGCCGCCTAGCTCGCTATAGCGGCCTGCGCCTCCGCCATCTTCTCCTGTGGATCGGTGCTTGGCGTGCGAATTGCGCCACGGCTACGGTGCTCCAGGGCTTGGCTGCAAAATTCTGCACCACCAAGGCCTGCGTTTCTGGCTGCCTGTCACGTCACGCGGCTTGCTCGCTAATGAAAAGAAAACAATAGCCATGGTGCTGTTTACCGTTTGGCAGCGTGTAGGTATTTTGCGTCGCAATAGGGCATCAGGCCAGAGCAAAAGCAGAGAGCTGCTGGACGACGATGATGATCACATCTCATGCTCAGGACATTTTAAAATCACATTAGCGCGAGCTATTATTAGCCCTCGCGGTTCTAGACATACCGCACAGCAACTACAGCGGTCGTAAGATAGCACCTAATACGGTGGGCATAACGGTGGCAGGCACTAAGATATGCAAGTAGTACTGCGCACTCCTGGACGAAGAGCCGGCAGCAGCATCACCTCACGCAAATTGCTGGAGCCATCGGTTGACGGAGCCACATGTGCCGCACGGAGTACCTGCTCGCCGACGCGCAACATGCGGCGCAGCCCATGTACTCCGTATGGATCCGAAATCCCATGCTTTGGCGCCCTCACGAGCATTGACTGGCGCCCATGGCCCGCGCATGCCCTCTTTTCTCCTGCCAATGCTCGCGAAGTCTTGACGTCCACGGACCGTTCGGGCACCTCCTGTGCCCAATCGATGCCGAACCTCGCCAGCAGCACAAGTAGAGGCAGCGGCAGAAGCGCTGCCGATTCGCAGGGTTTCACGGGGGGCCGAGTCAGTGCGACAATCGTCGTAAGCGTCTGCACGCTGTCCCTCCTGAGTGTCGCAGTGGGCGCCAGCGCCTCGGTCAAGCCCGTGGGAGAGTGGCCGATCTAGCGAGGCCATTGGCGGAGGGGACGCACGCTGTATGCAGGAGAGCACCACCAAGACGATGTTGTCCTCCAGAGTTCTTCGCACGGTTCGTCGTGCTGCCGAATTCCTGTTACAAGCACGAGCACCCCGTGTGCTCTGCAGAAACAGGGGGCTCTGACAGCTCTGATAGCGCGAATAGCCAGTGGATGCGGCTTGGCCAGAGGCCTCTCTTGTTGACAAGAATCTTACTGTACAGCACAGCCCACTTCATATCCAACGACTACGTACTAGTCTGGCGTCTTCTCGATCGACATAACCGCAGATCTACCGAGTTATGACGAGCCTTCGTTATGCATATGACAGCTAACCAAGTATTTTGTCGTATTTCATCATATGGGCAGCAATGACGACCAGCAGGTTCTTCTCTCCTGTTCTGTTCGCTCTTTTCCTTTTCAAAGTAGAGGGTTGAAAAAAAAACAAGAAATGGGAGCATCAATTACCAGTTATCAAATTATGTAATCTTCAAATTCCCATAACGGTCAGTATCAGAGCGGCACGAGATACATTTCGCACATGCATGCACGTATAAGCTTACGGTCAAAGCTTTAGTCTCAAGAGGTGCCAAGACTAAGTAGCCAATGCGTTTTGTGCAGCATCATCCTGCCAGTATTAGCAGTCGCTATTTTACTTTTGCTCCCCATTTCGGTGAAACGACTACTATGGTCTAGAACAGGAAGGAGAACGCTGACTGAGAGCAGCTGAGTGCGCTTGTGCTTCGTGGGAGTTGGTATTATGTACGGAGTGGCCATGGCGCAGCCACTGAAGATGATACGTGATGAAACCGATCTGCACCGTGTCATTATTACAACGCCTCCTCAATCGAGCTTGTCGGCTTCAAGGGAGCCCAGGGGAGATCTGCTTTGCTACCACCGCTCCCAGGCTGCCAGATACGACGTATTTTAAACAATCCAATCCGACTTGCACTTCTGAATGAGACAGGGGAAGGATGGATATGACGTCAGGGAGAGCGGGTGCTACGCCAAGCAGACGATGCAATATCGTCTAGATGTTGGATAGTAATTGCAGATGATATACTCCGTACCTGCATGCCGTTTGCTCATCTCGCCAGTTATCAGCTGCTCGAGACACAGAGGGAAGATAGAAACGGCGGGCACACAGATGGTGCCGTGATTGACGTATCGCCTCAGAACGGAAACATCTACCCATGCGGCGGAGGATAAAGCTTTATCCTTTATTTCCGCGATTGCCGTCTTCCTACATACATCACCGTGAATAAAAGAAAACATCACAATCTATGATGAAGTGTTTTTTCCGAACTTTTGCCTCGAGAAGACAATGGGCTTCTTCTTCGATGCAATGCCAATCCGCTCAGCCTCGGCATGCAGAAATGGACGGGCCGTGATCAGCCGCTGCGAACACATCCATTGGAGGAAATGTCTTGGAAATTCCCAGACGTGACGGGAGCAAAAGTTCACCGCTCATCAATTCCGCTGCATCAAAATCAGCCTATCCTCCCAACCAGGTTGCTGAACTCGCTTCTATTCGCTCTGCTCTGCGTGTTATAGGCAAAAATCAACTGCAACTTCGCGATCATCTTACCAACTACGCGCTCCAATGAAATGGCATCTCCAGTCCCGACCCCGCGTTAGCCAAATCTCATCTTGTCTAGCTCATCTATAATTACGGAAGAAAAATTCCACTTAGTTCACATTTGGCGTCGAAGGAATGGCGATGAGTTGCACAAAGTGCTAGTCAACGACATTTGTAAGGGGAAGTGACGCTATCAATATGCAGTGAAACCCTACAGAGTCGGCTTTGGCCCGGACCCCTCAAGAGAGTGTGACATGCGATCTGAGTTGAAGAAAAGCATAAATAAAGTCTGGAGAGCTGATGATCTAAACGAGATGTCTGGATACTCATGCTCGTGTTAATGGGCGGCCAAAAGCAGCCAAAGACAGAGAGTAATCGGAATAGCAATGAGATCAGTTACTCTTCTGACAGCAGCGTCTGCGCTGCTGCTCGCCGGCACTGATGCATTAAACACCGGCGTTCATGCTGGCCGGCCTCGCGAGGTTGTGCTGGACAGTTCAAAGGGCCCTCTGCTTCAAGACATTGTCACCTGGGACGAAGATTCGCTTTATATCCATGGCGAGCGTGTCGTCATCTTCTCCGGCGAGGTCCATCCCTTCCGTCTCCCTGTGCCATCCCTGTATCTCGACGTATTCCAAAAGATCAAGGCCTTGGGATTTAACATGGTCTCGTTTTATGTCGATTGGGCACTTTTGGAGGGAAAACCGGGACACTTCCGTGCGGACGGCATATTTGACCTTGAGCCCTTCTTTGAGGCTGCCACCAAGGCTGGCATTTATTTGCTGGCTCGCCCGGGGCCTTATATCAATGCGGAAGCGTCAGGGGGTGGGTTCCCCGGGTGGCTAGCGAGAGTCAAAGGCATTCTCAGAACGAATGCAACTGATTACTTGGATGCTACCAATAAGTTAGTTGAGCCTTTTATGAAGTCTGTTATATAGTTTCTCAGCTAACATTTACCAGTTACGCGGCACATGTCGCCCGTATCATCGCAAAAGCACAAATCACAAACGGAGGACCAGTGATTTTGTATCAGCCAGAGAACGAGTACAGCGCTGGCAATGCGGGCGTCGTGTTTCCAAACAAGCCGTATATGCAGTACGTCATTGATCAGGCTCGAGATGGTGGCATTATCGTCCCTCTGATAAACAACGACGCGTTCGCCGGTGGCACAAGCGCCCCTGGAACCGGTCTCGGCTCCGTAGATATATACGTGTGTTCTCCCATAACAGGTATCTGCGGGGGTATATGCTAACCTAGTACAGGGCTGGGATGCTTATCCTGTGGGATTTGACTGTGTACGTTTGAGAGCTGCTATCGAATAAGCCTTAAAAACGTTGAGATGCTAATAGTACGACAGGCCCATCCATATTCCTGGCCGGAAAACGGGTTACCTATAGGACAACAGCAAACACACCAAAGGATAAGCCCAAATACTCCATTTTCTCTTGTCGAGGTCAGTACGGCTTGCCTAATGGAGTTATATGCTTGCTAAAATGGAAACAGTTCCAAGGTGGCGCTTTTGATCCATATGGTGGATGGGGCTTCGACCAATGCTCCATTTTGGTTAATCACGAGTTTGAGAGAGTCTTCTATAAGAATAACTTCGCATCCGGCGTAAAAATCTTCAATATTTACATGGTTTGTTTTCCTGCTCTCTTGTGAGATGAAATATATGAAAGAAATGCGAAGCTGATGAGGAGACGTACGAAACTAGATATTTGGCGGTACTAACTGGGGCAACCTCGGACACTCTGGCGGCTACACATCGTATGATTATGGGGCGGTGAGTCAAATATTTATTATTTATTATGTATATTTGAATTGGTCATAGCTGACTAGATGATTAGAGCATCAGAGAGGACCGAACAGTTGATAGAGAAAAGTACTCGGAGTTGAAACTGCAGGGCCAGTTCTTGAAAGTCTCTCCTGGATATATGACAACTACCCCTGGCAACTTAACCCAAGGAGTATACAGTGACAACAAGGACATTTCGATAACGCCACTCCTAGCGAAAGAAAATGGCAACTTTTTCGTTGTGCGCCACACAAACTACTCAAGCCTCGATTCAACATCTTACACAGTCAAGCTACCAACCTCTGCTGGAGAATTAACCATCCCTCAGCAAGGCGGAACGCTCACTCTCAACGGCCGCGACTCCAAGTTTCACGTTACTGATTATCCCGTGGGCAACTTTTCGCTGCTTTACTCAACTGCAGAGATATTTACCTGGAAGCAGTTTGCCAACAGGACCGTCGTGGTTCTATACGGCGGCGCCGGAGAGCTGCATGAATTTGCTGTCAAAAATCCATTTGGAAGCACCAAAGCAGCTAAAATCAATAAGATTGAAGGAAATGGTGTTACCGTTCATACTGCAAGCGATTTGACGCTTGTTCTTCAATTCACGGCTTCGACAGACAGACAAGTTATCCAGCTGGGTGACTTGGTCGTCTACATGGTTGGTAAGTGCTGATTGCAAATACTGATGGCTGGATAAAATGGCATCCCACTCGTGCTCTTGTCTATTAATGAAGATACTGACAATATACTACATAGACCGTAATGCTGCGTACAACTACTGGGTTCCTACTCTCCCTGGAAGCGGTAGCCAGCCCGCTTACGGCAGTTCTTTGATGAATCCCGCTGCCGTAATCGTAAACGGAGGCTATCTTGTCCGCTCTGTTGCTGTTGATGGATCAACTCTCTCTTTACAGGCGGATTTCAACGTCACAACACCACTAGAAATAATTGGCGCTCCTCAAGGTGTCACAAAGCTAGTTGTCAACGGAGAAGAGCTTCCATATACCGTTTCAGAGCTCGGAGACTGGACTACCAACCCAAATACCGTGCTGCCGGTCGTCCAAATTCCCGAGTTAACGAAGCTCACATGGTACCAGCTAGACTCGCTTCCCGAAGTACAGAAGAACTACGATGACTCCCACTGGCCCCTCGCCAACCACAAGACATCAAACAACTCAGTAGCACCTCTGAAAACGCCCGTCTCGCTCTACGGCTCAGACTATGGTTTCCATGCCGGAACGCTCGTCTTCCGCGGCCGCTTCACAGCGCAGACTTCACAGCAGCAACTCTCCCTTACAACCGAAGGTGGCAATGCCTTCGCCAGCTCTGTATGGCTAAACGACAAGTTCATCGGTTCCTTTCATGGTTATGACGCGGGCGTAAGCGCCAATTCCACCTACAAACTCAACAACCTCGTTCGAGGAAAGAGATACGTCCTCACCGTTGTCGTGGACTCCACCGGCCTCAGCGAAAATTGGAACATAGGTCTCGACGAGATGAAAACCCCGCGCGGCATCATCGACTACAGCCTCCTCTCCTCCACCGGCGCCCAGGTCCCCATCTCATCATGGAAGATAACGGGTAACCTCGGCGGTGAGGACTACCAGGACACCTTCCGCGGACCCCTCAACGAGGGCGGCCTCTTCTTCGAGCGCCAGGGTTACCATCTCCCCTCCCCTCCCCTCCATGCTTTTGATGGCCGCCACGGCGTATCTCCCTACAAGGGCATCTCACAAGCGGGAGTCGCCTTCTACGCCGCCAAGCTTACCTTGAACCTCCCCTCAGACGCATACGATATCCCGCTATCCTTTGTCTTCGACAACACCACCACCGCGGCGCCATACCGCTCTCTACTCTACGTCAATGGCTTCCAATACGGCAAGTACGTCAGCAACGTCGGCCCGCAGACGGAGTTCCCCGTCCCGGAGGGCATCCTCAACTACAACGGCGACAATTGGATCGGTGTGGCTCTCTGGGCGCTCGACGGCGATGGCGCCAAGGTCCCAGGACTGGAGCTCAAGGCCAAGTCGCCGATTCTGACGAGCAGGCAAAAGGTAGAGCTGGTTCAAGGCCCGGCATATAAGAAGCGATGGGGAGCGTATTAAGGGGGGGGGGCATTCTCTACCATAATATGAAGTAATGAGGTTCTTTCAACCTTTCTTTTTCTGAAATGTCATCAAGTCATGTCAATTCAAGCTTCTAATAATAACCAAAAAAAGAAAAAAGAAAAAAAATACGTCCAGCGTCCCCCTTATAGATGCCTAGACGCGCAAGTGATTCCCTTCCATCATGTATGTCCAGTAAAAATGTATTGTTCCCTTCAAAACAAGGCAGAAAAAAAAATAGAAGCCTTATACAGATAGCCCACCGGAAAATAGGGGTATCAAAATCCAATATGTGAGCCAAAATGAATGCTAATTAATATACAAGCGCAATGCGATTCCGTATACAGTGAAGAGCGCGCATGGTAGAAAAGATAGAATAAGAAAAAATAGAAGCTTCTGTGCCTGTAGGTAAACAAGAAGGAACATTTTTTTTTTGTTTTGCTTTCAAGTGTGCCAGCGTGATATTAGCACTGAGTTCGAGAAAGCATATGTACCTTATATACCTTATGTGACAGAGCAGATTGTACCCAAATCGAGAAACAAAGATAGGTGACATATATACGATATGAAACAACGCCGGCTGGATTCGGCAGTTAGAGTTGGTAAGTAGAAAGATTGTTGCTTAGGAGCTGATATTGAACTTGGCAAGATGAAAATAATAACAAGCGTATATCGTATTCAGATTCGAACACCCCTATACGTTGGGATATAATGCCTTGTAGGCTGGCCATGCCTCGGAGAAATCGGGCTCTCATGAACGCGGTGTCTAGCAGGACTGCGCTGTGCTGGGTATCCCGTGGGTACATTCTGTGGCTGAGTCCTATCCCAGGATGCTTGAGACTGGGTAAGAGGCCAGTTGGGCGAGCTATTTGGAATGGCGAGCGCTGGAAGCGCATCGAAATTTGGCGCTCGGAATTGCGGCGGAATAGGCGGTGGTACGCCTGAGTCCCTGAGTCCCCGAAATCGTGGGGTCCTTGGCGATGGCGTTCTAAGGGTTGAATGGGAAGAACGATTGTCAGTGTTTCTGTTGGCGTGAGGAGTCGGTATAGCAACTCGAAGCTCTGGAGCGGATGCTCGACCTTTAACACCAGAATTTCTAACATCTCGGTTGGATGCTTTGGGAGATTGTGAAGTCGCAGCTGCTGGCATAGACTTGCCGCTGGCCGCTGAAGATACGTTCCCGTTTACGAGTGAAGACGCTCGCTTCCTTTTTTCAGTAGCTGAAGGCGTCATATTCCCGGCGGCAGACTTTCGACGATTCAAGTTAAGTGACGACATTCTCGATGTTGCAGCTTCAGCAACTTTTCGCAGTGAACGTCGCTTTTTCAAAGACTTGGCTCCATCCATTCCGGCATCAACTTCAAGGAAGCCGTGGCTAGACAGGGCGGCGCTATCAGAGGGAACCAAATTATCCACGCTCATAATTGTATTGAGAGTTGCACTGCTCGCATCCAGTCTGTGGGAAGGTAAGCAAGACGAAGAAGCTAAATGATAGTGCTTATCATTTCGCTTTGCTCTCGGCCTCACAAGTGCAGAGGCCGATTCGGCGGCTCCTCTGGCCGAGTCGTTTGTCGTGGTACTGCTTCTTTCAACTCGAACAAACGGCCTATATAGTCGGCTGTGCTTCTTAATTCCATCAGGAGTTGAGATGGGAGCCATTGTTGGTTGCTCTAACGTGCGTCGCCGTGTTTGGAGTGGGCGGGTATAACCTTTATCATCGGCGTTGTTCGAACTCAAAAAGGAACGCTCCGATGCATTGGAGCTATATCCACTATCAGTTTTTAGCGAAGGCCGGTGCGAAGACTCAGATGAAGTTGTGGAGGCAAAGCCGCTGTTAGATCTCCTTACTACTGCCGTTGCCTTGCCAGAAGTCCCGTCATTCTCTTCGCTATCGAGATTCTGGAGAGGGCTAGGAACTTTTGACAGTGGGCTGGGCATCAAGTCACCTAGAGGATCTGCCTTTTTGTTTGATGGCTGTGGGCTCTTTCCGTTCACATTAAAGCCAGAGATAGACGCCAAGGCACGAGACTCTGCTACTGAGCCAATGACGGTGTGACGCTGCTTGCGACGTGTCATTTTCAGTTCAATACCAGAGTCGTCGAAAGCTGTTGCTGACGATGATTCGGGTCCTGGCCCAGACGCACGCTCCTTTTGTTGCTGCCGCTTAATGATATCTTGAGGACTTGAAGGAGGTGACCCGTTCATGATCTTCAAAGACCCAAACTTCATGCCTCCAAGCTGCCTGTAAGCTGATTCTTGCGGGGTGACAGCTCGCTCCAGTGGCGCAAATCCTATAGGCATAGGAGGCATAGAGATATGTTTAGGCGCCTTGGAGCTGGGCTTGAAGGTATACGAGTCGTCTCCAAAGACCGGCTGGCTGTTTCGAGAGCTTGTTCTGTCTGGGATAGAGAGCATGTCATCTCGCCTTGGTCTCGTTGCTACACCGGGCGTCTGGATCACAGAGCGCCGCCGCATCGGAGCATAGAATGATAAGTCTGAAGTAGTCCTTACAAGAAAGGCACCAGCAATACTAGAAGCTCGACGGTTCTGATGCGCATCGGATTGGCTTTTCATGGCGGCTGCTTGAAGCTCCTGTAAGAACTCTGAGCTTGTTCGAGGCAGTTGTTGAGACTCGTAAAACTGCAGCAGCTCAGACTGCATTGACCTTCCCCTGTCCATGCGATTACCATGCCAGCTAGTTCTCTGTCAGCATTACGAGGCCAGTGGTGAGAATATATAGAGAACAAACCTCTGCGTCCGTGACAGTCGTTGCTCGGGGTCACTATGCATTACAGAACTGGCCCGGCGCATCTGGTTGTTGCTTGCAACCGAGTTTGCATATAAGGAGTGGGATCTTGTGTTTGTTATGGGAGATTCGGGCAGAACTGGGCTCCGCATGTAGTCGGACTCTCTCCTAGACAGCCGCCTAGAAGGTTCATACAGCCTCTCTACGTAAGGCTCTGAGGCTTCATTGCCGCTACCCGCTATATTTTGCGAATCTCTTGAAGAAAAGGGTAGCGAGGCTGCGAGGTAGGATTCAGACATTCGAGTGCTACTGGATGCAGCTGCTCCCGTAGGATTCCGTGGCCTCGGCATAGCTCCATGGCTAGCTGCCCGGGGCTTAGATAGCTTCTGAGGCGCCTTTCGAGGCGCCTCTGCTGATGTTGTATTCCCCATCAAATAGCCGCCTCCGCCACTGATATTCAGAATAAGAAGACAAAAAAGAAAAAAAAAAAAGGAAAGGAGTGTGGGTATTTTCCGTAAAATAGAATGACAATTAAGGAATTGAGGGAAAGTCTTGGAGAAAAACAATAGCCAGGCCAGCTGTGTAGGGCTCAAGTATGGAATGCAGTCGTCTCCATGTCTCTCTAGGTTTGGGTTGGGTGTAGATTTCAAAACATGGAGATGGGGTTCTCCGCAGGGGAATTTGTAGGAGAACTGTAAGAGAATTCGTCGTCCTTTTGTGCCAAAGTTAAAGATGAGAAGAATCGTAATAATATCTCCAGAGCAGGCAAGAAAAAAAAAAAAGGTTTCAATGAGGGCGTAGCGCAATCGGGTATATAGTTTGTTTGGCTTCCGAGAATCGAGGCGACAAACGACACCGTGATGCTTAATCGATGGAGAGAGGGGTGAAGCTTTTGACCAGAACGCCACCTCCAACTGCTTGTTTAAGCCAATGCCCACTGTGCCCCGATGCCGGTTCCGGCGACTGCAAATCGCGGAGTAGAAGCTCAATTGAAGTCGGACTGCATCGAGGCAGTTGGATGAAGGAGTGGCGCGTCGCAGAGCAGCTGGCAGGCGTGAAGAGAAGTCTGGGGCACTCAACTGGCAGCCCAAAATCGCGATGCCAGGGCCCTTGATCATCGCTGTCGCAACACATCATCTCCCACACACTCAGTCCAACAAAGCCCACTAAGCTGTCGTATATGCGGCTCCACAATTATCGCACGCCGCTGATGGAATTGCTGCCGCTTCCTAGCCAACTGTGACAGGGGCGACTAATTACAACCGAAGCTACCCCTGTGAGATTCCCTGGTTGGCGCATTCGCGGCCAAGAGTTCGTCATGCTGCATGTCTGAGACGGCTCGCAGGAAGAGCAAGGATGCCGTACACAATGGCGGAACGCCGGAGCTCTTTGTTTGCGTCTCTTGCTTGTTGCGCAAAATCTTAAGTCTGGATGGTGAGATTATGAGACACAAGAGGGAGCAGCAAACGGCCTGCCAGCTGCAGCCCATGCCCGTTTCCAGACGCCATGCATGAGGCAGTCGGAGAAAAAACCTTGGAGAATGCGAAACATGACTCTCCTATTCGCCCGTCGTTGAGTTTCGCCGTGGTGCCAGCTGGAAATCAAGATTCGGGACTAGCTGGTCTAGCGCACTCGATAGCTAAGAGGTAGCCAGTCAGCTATGGGGGTCTTAGTCCGAAGACCGCAGCTCGTCTCCAACAGGTACGTGCATTGTTCGGGCATGATGCTGGAGACCTACTGGCATGGGCTCATCGTGAAGCTGCGAGGCCCGACCTGATGCGGCCAGCTATTCGGCTTGCGGCACCTCGAAAGACGGATGACCGGCTGCTGCAAGAGCAATAGGTGCTGCAGGTACTGCAAGTAGAGACATGGGCCTGCGGACACTTCGGTGCAAAAGATCCGGCGCAAAGGATCTCCAATTGGTCTCCATGGCATGTGGGGAGCTCTCATCATGGACTGAGCAGAAACGGATCCCACATCACGATCTAGTGATAATTACCGGGCCCCTCACCACGATCCGGCGAGAACAGCTGAGCTTCTCTGCTTCTAATTTCAGACCGGGCAGCGGGGGAGCAGAAGCTGGGCTGCGCTGGCTCGGCATTGTGCATATTCGATGGTTGATCCAGCGCAAAGTCGCAATCGCAGTGGAGATTTTGCCCGGTGAGGGAAATGAGCAAGGCCATGACTAAGCAGGCATCTCCCGTGTGCCCCCTTTCTATTGTAGGTGCCTAGCAGTAATACTTGGACTCTACAGCAGTGGTCTTGTAATATCAAGTAAAACGAGATGCTGGGAGTACGAAGTGGTAATACGAAATTTAGGTAGTTGGGCAGTATTCCCTGTGAGCATTGAATGAAACGGGGCCATCTTTACAGCAGTATTTCCGTGTCTTGGGGTCGTGGCGTGCAAACTACACAGGCGTCGGCTTCTTGGAAAGGAGATGGCTTGGGGTGAGGAGGAGTGAGGAGAAGAAAATAGCTTCTGAGATCGACGCAAGCCATGAAGCATAATTGCTCCATTTGGAAGTCGTGACAGCCGCGGCTAACCAACGCTGCCATTCCCTCTCCAAACAACATTCGGACTGACTGCGCTGACGTTGACCCTGATACTGCCCCCGGCAAGCGAAATCTCGCCTCGTATCAGCCAAACATGGGCTGCACTGATCTCCATGCGCTCTCGCCTCTTGACCATTGCACTTCCAATTACTCAATTAGTGCTCTGTATTGTATCAACTATATTAGTAGCATATTATTAGTACAGTCGATCGAACCGCACGGCATTGCATCATTCTGGCACGGCACGCCCGGAAGGGAGGCTTCCAGCTCCAAGGAGCTATCAGCTCTAGGCATGAGCACATGTCGAATGTTTGGGTTAGAGTTACCCTAGACCATCGTGAGAGTTTGAGCGTATAGTTTTTTTCTTTTTCTTTTTGGTCATCTGCATGCTTGACACTATATTGATTCGATTTCGTTTTATTTCATTTCATTTCACTTCATTTGCTTTTCCTTCTTGGGATGCGATACTCGTTAATAGCAATGCATTAAACCATGAAGTAATTGGTACATAGCTATTCTCACCTTGTGAAGTGTAAATTTACTACTGACTGGTAAACAGCCTTGCCTGTCCCCTCTAATACAAGCAAACTCTCTCGTACGAGAACACCCAAGTATTGGTATCCATAGCTACACACTAGGTATCCATTTCTTACCACCAAAACCATATCACAACATCAGACATGGTGCTAATGCTACTGGCTAGGAGTTGATGCGTGAGACACTGCGCATCTTTGACTTTTTCTTCCACAACTACTACCACAATCTAGGCACGGCGTTACGTGCAACAGAATCCGTCTCTATCCGGACACGGACACATGCTTGCCTCGGGCTCTCCTTGCCTTCAAATTTCCGTTGAATGTATTCAAGCTGAGTTTGTGGCGTTGCATCTCATCCCCGTCTGAGTCGCCGAAGCTCATTCTCCAATCACGTACGTGCAACCTTGGCTCCCAATCCAAACCTCGTGCACTCGCCCAGCCTCCACGTCGACTCTGGACCCGACGCCATATGTTACCTTTTTACGATCCGGCTCGTCAGGATACCACAGGGTCATTTCGCCATCGACAATAAGATGCGTTGTCAGCCCGCTGTGCGAGTGGGGAGCATAGTGCGAGTTTCTGCCGTTGCACAATTAGCGACTGTGAACACAGCCTCCCTGAGAATGCAGCAAAATCGCTATTGCGTCAGAGAGTGCAGTTCAGAGATTCAAATAAAGTGGTTGTTGATCGCTATTGAACATGACGCAATGCCTTGACAAAAGCTAGAATAGGGGCTTTTGAAAAGAGTAACAGGAGAGGAAAGAGAGGTGCGCAGGAGGGAATAAGAGAATATGATGCCATCGTATCATAATACTAGCATCATACAGCAGAGCACAGTTGTGCATACCAGGTTAACCACAGCAAAGTGAAGACGACTTACGGCCCATCACTCCATGTAAAAACATGCCAAAACCCCCACGATCTGACCTGCGCCTCATGCCGGTCACCCATCTTGGCGGGTGCGTGCTTTTTGATTGCAGGCAGCGCCCCGCAAGCAAGATCCTTAGAGAATGCTTGCCTTTTTGAGGCGAACCTGCCGGGACGCCTGCTTGAAAGCCTGAGAGGCAGGGCCTGATGATGCAGCTCGAGAGTGGCTGTGATCTTGGGTGCCTATATTCTTCGGTGACACTTACAAGATTCGGTGTCTCACGAGGAACAAGAAAACGAAGCGAAGAAGATGAGGCAAAGTGAAAAATGCCAATGAGGACGGGATGACCTCACTGGGCGCGGCCCACCGCGGGGAGAAAAAGGAAGCAGCGGTGCCACGCCCGTGCCGCAGCGCTGGGAGGCTTGGACAACCTTAAAAACACCCGCTGAAGCCGTTGGGCGGTAGCGGTTGTTTTAGCGAGGAATGACCCGCGGGGCCATTACTAGATGCCGTATCGATCCAATCCATATCGCACTGGACTCGGTTGCAGCATTGAATTAGGGGACGGGGATCATGGCCACAGCAGACTTCTAATGATTAGAAGATGACATCGCCTCTTAATCAAAGAGATGGGAGACAAGGCAGGATGGCTTGGCAATTTATCCATAATAGATAAATAAATATAATAATTAAACAAATCTGCCCAAGGCGGAGTTTTCTTGGGCACACAGTTGATCGTCTCAACTCGGTTGTGTTCTTCCTCAGCTTGGACGCAATTGGCCCGCCTGGCTTCAACTGGGCAAAAGCAGCAGCGGGAGGGTTGCACTGGCGAATCCTTCCTCCGACAGCCCTGCCCGTAGAATTTAGCATGTACCCTGGCTCTGGACCCAGGTATCTCCATCCTCCATCTCCCTACGACTGGTACTCGCAGTCCCATGGCCAAACCAGCTTGGCCGTCCTAACATTGCGCCGTATTATCGTGCTCCCCTCTTTTTCTCTCTCCATCTCCTCCTCCAATCCCAGGAGAGGCATCCGACGGCGTGTCCGCTGCCGCCAGCCTCGCTTCTCTGGCCCGCCACGGCACACCAATGACCGTCGACCGCATCTCAGTCTGAGCCAGCAGAAGCTGTCACAGACAGGGCACGAGAGCACGCCACGCATGAAGCTGCTTGGTCCAATACCGCACTGCACCAGCATTATTGCACCAGCAAGATGAGGCTGTGCTCGTGGCCCAGTATGCCAGCAGAGCCCCCCGTCCTTTCGAGCCGAAGACGCAAGATAGAGACAGAATAATAAGCAGCGCTGGATGCACGAAGCACGGCTCGCAGTCTCCATCTAATGACTCGCACACTGTGCCATCAGCCGCCCTTGCCAGCCATTCCCGGCGCCGCAGCCCGATTTTTGAGGCTCAACAAAGGCAGACGCCAGGCCGCCTCACATTCACACGGTGCGCGCCGTCGAACCGCCCCGGCGAGCCCATTCAGGCCGCCTATCCACCAGAACCTCTCCACAAACCCAAACGACTGACTGGGCCCCGGCAAAGCCCCAGGCCCTTGGAGAGCTGCTTCGGCGCTGCTGCTGCTGCTGCACTGCGACTGCTGCACTGCGACTGCTGCTAGTACAAAAGTGAGGGACCCTAGCCCTACCAAGCAAGATGTTGGCAGCTGAAGGCGCTAAACCTGCTAGACACGCAGCGCTGCTAGCACTAGTACTTCTCTCCAGTCCCCAGTAGCGGCACCTAAATTAAGAAGCTGACAGCTCGGTTCCCCGAATCAGTCCCTCTCAGTCAATCCTCGTTTAGATTGCCTCACCCGTCTCTTTCTTACTCTCTTCTTACTCTCTTCTTCCTCCGATCCTCTCCATATTCTCTCGCGTTTCTCCTTTGATACCCCTTTGACAGCTGATTGCCGGGTATACTCGCACACACTCGAATAACAGCAACCCTTTTTGTGATAGATAAGACGGCCGACCAAGGGTGGGAACAGACAACTAAGACAGCCACACGTCAACGGCACCGCAGCTTAATCCAGGCACAACGCACCGCCAAAAGAGCCACAGCCACATCATCTTCCGCCGATATCTCTGCCCTTTGGACCCTCGCATCCTCTGAGCGTCTCTTTCTCTCCTTTGTTTCTTGTCCGCTCCAAGAGCGGCTGACACTTTGTCGCCTCTCATGAAATCTCTACAACAGCGATAACGACGGCAGTAGCGATAGTATCTCGCTTCTCGTCCTGGTCTTTGCCCTCCCACTAGTCTCCCTTGGCCATCATGTCTTTCACCTGCGGCATGTTTGTACGTCTCCAAATAATTTTGCTTCTGCTTCTTCCCCTCCACTCCTCACTCCTCTAAGCATTTTGCTAACATGAGCTGCAACTCCCAGCGCCGTCGTTCCAAGTCGGAAGAGAAAAAGCCAAAGCGGGCCCACACTTTTTCCATCTTTGATCCGAGTCTCGACGCCCTCAAGCGAATGATCAGGAACGCCACCATGATCACCCCCGTGAAATTCCACGGTGATACGGCAGCCTCTCGAGTCCTCGCCCTGACGCGCGAACATAAATTGACCCACTCAATGCTTGACATCATGCAGGTCGTCTTCAACAACCTGCGAAGCAACGATCCTGAGCTCTCAAAGGAGGACTTCGTCAAGTTCCTCTCAAAAGTCCAAGGCGAAACAACGATCCAGCTGGACAAAGACACATACAACGAGGGTGATTTCCTTTACGTATTGGCACACAATTGGGACGCCACTCGGAAGCCGTCAGAAAAGGACTACTCAAAACCCATAACCAATTATTTTATCAACAGTAGCCACAATACCTACATTAGCGGCAATCAATTAGCCTCTAAAACTTCCCCAGAGGCCTATACAACTGTGCGTATAATCAACTTGGCAAAAAATCGATCATAATTTGACAAAGCCATGCTGACAAGTATATCATCTAGGTCCTAAGGAGGGGTGGCCGTTGCATCGAAATCGACGTCTGGAATGGAGACGAGATCCTAGTGACTGCCCCCAAGTCTCAGGGTGGCGGCGGTCATACGAGAGCTATATCGGGAAGCGCTCTTCCCTACGCTGCCGCTGCCCTCATAGAGACAGTGGAAGACAAACTCGAGGCCGCTAGGGATTACCTAGCGAGCTCCAACCCCAGCGGGCGCTCGCGGAGCCCTAGCTCTCATAGCAGAACCACAACTGACGATAGATCGTCAAGCTCTAGCGACGCATTCCTTCCTGGTGGCAATGAATTGATCGAGAAAGAAGAGGCCCCTCGCCTTTCGAGAACTCGGCAAAACCTCCCTAGGGGAGAGCCCATTGTAACCCACGGCTGGACTTTTACGACTCCATGTGGCTTCCGAGAGGTGTGCGAGACGATTCGAGACAATGCGTTTGCTCACGGGAATGACCTGCCTATCATTATCAGCTTGGAAGTTCACGCTGACCATAGCCAACAAGAGATCATGGCGAAAATCATGAAGGAAGTTTGGGGGGATATGCTTGTCCAGCAGCCCTTTGACGGCTGTGATCCCAAGTTTAGGGTGCCCACCCTTGATGACCTTCGACGCAAAATTCTAGTCAAGGTCAAGCGAGCCGCCGCCAAGATGCCGAGCCCAGAGGACTTGACAGCTTCTATGCCAATTTTAGCGACCGAAGACGATGGCTCGACTTCGGACGATGAGCCTCATCTCCCTCGCCTTAAAACATCTGCATCATCGCCGGCCGAAGTACCGCAGCAAGATGCTCATGGAAAAATGACAATATGCAAACCTTTGAGTGATCTCGCTATATACACCCGCAGCGAACGGTTCATAAGTCTCAGCACTCCGCAAGCAAAACAACCTACTCACATCTTTTCCATTAGTGAGAGTAGAATCATGGAATTGCATGAGAAATATCCGCGCGAAGTGTTTACTCACAACAAGAACTTCTTCATGAGAGCATTCCCAGCTGGGCGGAGGATTAACAGCTCTAACCCGGACCCCAGTCTCTTTTGGCGGCGGGGGGTCCAGATGGTGGCCATGAATTGGCAAAACCTGGACGAGGGAATGATGATCAACGAGGCAATGTTTGATGGCGAGGATGGTTGGGTTTTGAAGCCTGGAGCATATCAGAGTTCTGACAAGTCCATGGTGACGCTGGATCTGGCTGCAAAGCATACGCTGCACCTCACAATCACCGTCTTTGCCGGACGCAATATTCCGACTGACGACAGCGACAAAGGCGATGACTCCCAGAGCAGGAAGGACCTTCGCCCCCGAGTCAAGGCCGAGCTCCACATTGGCGAGAATGAGAAAGATGGGCATGAGCACTCTTACAAGCACCACACAAAACCAGCCAGCACAACATATCCCGTTTGGAACGTTCAGAACAAGAAGATTCTCGGTGAGAAATTGCAGTTTCGCAACATCCCCAAGGTGGTGGAAGAGCTGAGTTTCATTCGGTAAGTGATTGAAGACCCCTCCTCCCTCTCTTTTTGCTTTTGTCCATCCTATACCATTCCCTGCAGTGAGCCTCACATCCCCGGAGCATCGCGTAACACTATTGCTATCACCTGTACATCTCCTTTCCCCTCACAACCTCACTTCTGGCGGGATTTCAGAGACTTTCTGTATCACGTCCACACGCAGCGGAATACGATGTGTCTAGGCAATTGTCTCCCCTAAAAAAAGACCAAGCGGTCCGGCTTCATATCGTCTATCCGAGCCTTTAATGCCACATCCCTTCTGTTGTCACTAAAGCTGTGTATGTGTCGCATGACTGGCGGCCGAACTCAGCTTCGGATCCAGTTTGTCGGGCCTCGTGGGTGTAATAGCTCTTGCCCTCCCTTTCACCACTCTTTGCGGCACGTTCCTATCCGCTTGCAGCAACGAAGCCGCCTGTTTTTTTTTAGTGACCTTGTTTGGTTTAACCTACACTGTTGGCTAGAGCTAGCTTTCTGGTTTGCTACACCAAATGGATGCCTCTTGAGCTAGTTCCGTTGCGTGTTCCCGTCCAAAAAGAGGCAACTGAGCACAAAATGCCTTCTCCCCCTTTTCAAGCCACCTTCCCCGGTAACGCTGCATATCGCCACCCAAAATGAGAGAAGGTTAGATGTGTGAAGCAAAGCAAAAAGAAACTAACGGAAAGAAATATAGATTTAAAGTTGAAGACGCATCTCACACGGTTAGCCAACCGTGCCTCGCCTGGGCATGCATCCGCCTCGACCGACTCCAGCAAGGTTATCGCTTCGTTCGCCTCTACAACAAGAGAGGTGGAGAAATCGATGGCGGCAAGCTACTTGTCAAGATTGACAAGATGCTATACTAATAGGGAGGTGGAAAGAAGGGCGCGGTAAGATGACGCCGGTACCCATCCTATCCGCCTCTTCTCCCTTTGCTTTTAATTATACCCCTGTTGTACAGCAGCTTTGGTTTTATTTTCTTTGGTTGGACACACTATGGTGCCATATTTATTACTTTTTTTTCTATACCTTTTCATTTCCTTTGTATAAGAAAGACTCTTAGAAGGCTTTGGAAAGCGCGGGCTTAGCGTGCGGAAACGGCGTCTCTCGTTTTATTTACAACTTTTTGGATACCTTTGGACTAAGGGATGGGGAACCCCATTGCGTGATAGATACGCATCTACAAACATTGGCCCTGGATTTGGGAAACAGGCAGACACAGAGAGCACCTTCTTAGAGAAGAGTGTAAAATTACCTAGCTAGGCGTTGGGAGGAGATACAAAGCGAATTAAATTATGCCGGCTTGGCAGGTAGTATTAGACTTGAAGTTATTTCAAATGGCCCTGAGCCGCACATATTGAAAGCATTTACTGTGTGTCCTGTCCCCTGCTACCTTTTATTTTTCTTCGTTCCTGGGATAAAATTGTTGTAGTTCTGTTTATTAGGGACCTCATACGTCAGCGCCTATATTTCAAATGCTTCGTAGAATGACAAGCGATGTGATGTACAACTCTGCTGCTCCCTTTGTCAAAAACACCTTTACTCTTCTCTCTTCTTTCACGTTTTTTACGCCAAGAGGAAAAAAAAAGGGGGGCATTTGAAAAAAAAAAAAATCCTCCACTTCAGGGAATGGCACACGGATGTAACTATGCTTCCATCCTTAGTGTAACAAGCTATATATGCATGCAGCTTCATGCCGGCCGAGTGTTGGAATAACATGGCGCCCCCGTCCTCCTCTTTTTTTTTTCTCCATCCACACCACCACAAAGACACATTTGCTGCCGCTAGAGGTTATTATCGAAACACCGTTGCATGAAAGAAACAAAAAAAAAAATTAAAGTAAAAAACAAAAATAAATAAATAAATAAATAAATAAATACTTTGTCACTAGCTCGGGAAAAGAAGCAGCATAAAAGTAGGAATAGTAGCGCGCGGGAGGATTTCCCGGAAATTAGAACACACAGCCATTACGATCAAGCAGCGAGCCAATTGGATGCGTTTGCTGGCCGCTGGCTCGGGCCCCAAAAGACTTTCTTTATCTCTCTCTCCCTCTCTCTCCCTCTCTCTCTATTTGAGCGAATGGTTACCTAGTGGCATTGGGCATGTCCCGATACCCTGCAGCGGTACTATCACGACGCTGTTTGCCGATGCAGGTGATTGGCAGAGGGCTGATAATCTCCATTCTGCTAATTCACGGATGCGGCTGTATCCGCAGCATCCATTTAAAGCACCCGCCGTAACACAAACTCATCCACTCACCGTCGCCGGCAGACATGCGTATGGGGTCACGGAATGGACGAGGGGTCCACCATCGACGGTCGGTGGCCGGGCACGAGCTCGCTGCCAGCCGAGTACGAGTCCTTTCGCCGTCTATCTCTGTTGGAAAACCATCCAGCCTGCAAGCTACCATTATTGCCGTCTTGGCTGTTGGCGATGCGGTGAGACAATGCTATTCAAACCCAAGCACGGATGTCATAAACGATGAGTCGTGTATGGCGTGGTGGTAGATGTCGGTCTGGCAAGCCGCATCTTGTCATGTCATAGTCGCCGTCGACACGTCACAGCAAGAGCTGGCATCGTCCATGGTGCGACTTTTTTTTTCCCTCCCTCACTCTATCCCCTTTTCGAAGTGGGGGAAGACAGACTTAGGCATAAGAAACAAGTGTGTCGAGAGAATTCTCTGTAGTCTGATAGGTCGTGAGTATTGGCTTTCATTGGTCCAGGTGTCTCGAGCTATATATGCCCGGCAAGGAGATGTCTGCAGAGCAGGACATTTCAATGCGTTCTAGTTTACCCGGATAGGCTTGTCTTTCTTTAGGTTGTTGTAGAAACAGGAGTTCTCTCCTGAGGCCGCAGTTTTCGCCGATCGAAGCTAGCTTTATGCCATCACCAAGGGGTGGTAATGCTCGTCGTTAATGTGGTGTGATGGGGCCAGATAGCTCGTAGTTGCTGCCAAAAGCCTGAAGCTACGATCTGATGGTTGCTTAGACGGGCTTGTGCTGCTGCAGAATATAACAAGGAGTAGAGGAATTCAAGCGCGGTGTTTATGCGGCCGGGGGTTTGGCACCTGCGTCAACGTATGAAGGCGGAATCCATATCACACCAACTATAACTAGGATGCCACACAAGCCATTGGCTGGTAGCAGAACCTGGAAAGATGCTGTAGCATCCGTATTAGCCATTCTAAGAGACCATAATCCGTTCTGGTTAGCGGTTGGCGGGCTGAAGCCAAGCGCCTCTGGAACACGCATGTTGAAACCTGGCCCAGCAAGTGATAACAGCATATAGCATATTAATCAGGTCACAATAGTGGCATCATAGAATCAACAACTCCCCTGGCTGCAGCAAATTAACAGTGCTTCTCTTGAGAGAATTTTTTTGAATTTCTTCGAATTTTCCTTCATCCCACGCCCCCCCCCAACAAAGGTGGCTGGCCTGTCTGGTAGATTGAAACAGTGGACGAGAGGGTGTGGTCACGGGGGCCGGGTATATCTGCATGCCTTGTCAATGGCAAGCTTTGGAAGGCCCCCGGATTAAAATCACGCTGCTGTTAGGTCTATGGTATATGGCTTCTGCGTATCCATAGTTGGCGGCCTCGGTTTACTTCTAACTGGCTTTTGTACTCACGACTTATTTTACTGAAGCTATCTGATTCAGTGGACGAGAGCCATAGTAGTCGTGCTATGCCAACACACTGCACTGAACGTAAAGTATGAATTAGACAATGCTTGTTGTTCCCGAGCGTGCTTCTGGGATCGAGTGCTTGTAGCACTCATATTATGTAGTATTGCAGCATGCGTAAGCGCCATATTGCTAGGCAATAGGTTTGCTGTGCCTAATCACTTGTTGGGCACTAAGAAAGCTCTTCAAGGGGGTGTTCTGTCACGCTTCGGATGCGGTTTTGATAGTCCTCCCGCCAGTGTATGTAAGACATCCTTCCGCCGGTGGCTTGGCCAATCTTTCCCCTGATCCCAGAAAGCTCCGCTTTGATAATCTAGTTTGACCGATGGCATGATATAAGCAACGTGGTCTTAGAAGCGCTGCTATGGCCTCGTCTTTGAAGGGCTAGTTCGTGGGTGGTACGAGGTTTTAAGGAGAAAGGCAGTTGGAGGCTGTCCTTGTTCCATGTGCCGCACCAGCAACTTTTGTGCCACAAGCTCGGGGTTCCCCTTTCAAGTTGGCTACGGCTACAAGTATTGGCGGGTAGAACTTGTAAAATCAACCTTGTTACTCGTGTTTGAGTTGGAACTGCAAAAAAAAAAAAAAAAAAAAAAAAAAAGAAGAAGAAGAGAAACAAAATGTTTAGAACTGCGAATATGCGTCGCCTGTCGTCCTATCTCTCTCCGCTTGCAGAGCTCAGAGGTACGGATGCCACGGACGCCTTTGGGAACATTGCCGCGACGTGGTATGCAGCATACTGTTGTAATTGAAGCAGGTCGAAACTCTGTTTTGCCAAGGCGTCTGGGGTTCTGTAATCCGCCGTTGGCGGCATTGCTGCTGGCTATTGATCACTTTAACATTGGTTGGTCCTCTCGATTATGAAGAGGACCCCTCCCCGCGTCTTTCATGCTCGCAACTCAGCCTAGGATCTGTCTAAGAGCTATATCAGAAGGACACTTTAGTATTAATCCCTAGTCCAGCACTGCCGTGTACTCCATTCTAGTACATACCTAGTGCTTTGCATTTCAGTATCCGCAATCTCAAAGAGCCCAGTGACTGGGGTAAATTCTACTACAAGGTAGCAGACCCAGTAGTTTGCAAGCCTATGACCCACTAGCCTATGCAACCGCTGAGATGGTGAAGTGGGGAACGAAGGCGTGGAACGAAGGTCTTTGTCGCCCTTTTCTCTGTTTCTCTGTTTCTCTGTCTCTCTGTCTCTCTCTCTCTCTCTCTCTCTCTCTCTCTCGCCAGGCACAGAGATGCCAGGAGTGATGGATACAAAAACATGTACCCTGGACGGCTAGTTTTTGTGGAGAGATACTGTGTGGAACAGTAGCTGGCGTCCCCGGACCTTGCTTGTTGTACCGTATAGGCTCTGTCAGACATCGTAGAGTCCACGGTAATAAGAGAGCGGCAAGGTTTAATTTCAACAACCGCTAATATCTGACGGAAGAAGGGCCAAAAATAAATAAATAAATAAATTGCTTGCAGCACGAATCATGTTGAACCAGCATTGATTTGGCACATTGAGTGTGCTTGAGAGAACAAAGAAAATAAAAGAAGAAAAGAAAAAGGAAGAGAAGCATTGCATTGCCAGTACTCACCAGGCCAACTTATGTTACAGCCGTCTTGGCAGAGAATTGCTACGGCATGATTGTGGCAAAATAGCTTTCTTGGACGGGGCATGCTTGTATCCAGGTAAACTTGGAATTGAACATACGAGTAATATGACAAGTAGGATACTACTTACCGTGAAAGAACGCCATACATGTACGCATTCGCAATATCTGACGAGAGAAGGAGAAGCTCGAAAAAAAAGGGGGTCCGTTGTGTCAATAGCGCTCTCGCTGGGTTCCCCTGGCTAAACTGCGCAAGCCTAGTTTTGCTTTTACCGTTCAACTTGTCGCCTGACCGTCGAGCCAAAAGATAGAGAGAAGCAACCCATCTGAGAAATGACAGCCGCAATGCGTGTCTCTCGTGACGCCGTATCCATTCCCCCCTCTCTTCTCTGCCAGAATGGAGCATGTCGTAATCTGGTCTTTTAGCACTGGCAGTGGCACAAGACGGCAGATTGACCAATACCCGCGGCACGGTTCCGTCGAAGCAAAAATATGAGCAGAGGGATGCTGCGCGTTGTCTGTTTGCTCCCGCCGGCCGGCCCAGGTGATGGGGTGTTGGCTAAGCGGCGACCTCAGTGCTAAAGGTGGTCACGAGACGCTCATTTGCGTCCGCGTCGTCGGTGGTCCCTTTGAGCAAGCAGGAAATGCTCTTCTCTGCGTGCTCCGTATAAGTCTGCTTGCCCTTTTAATGCAGATCGTCGCACTGGCGGCAGGATCAAAGTCTCAGTCTGAGTCGCTGGCCAAAGGCGATGGCCACCCACGTTGCCAGGCTCTTCTGTGCGCGAGATCGTCAGACATTTTCGCCCAACGACCAGAGCAGTGGTGTCGGGATATCAGAGAGGGGCAAGAGGAGAGAAATCGCACAAATCCCTGTTCCATCGACTACTGAGGGCTGCTGGCATGGGGTCCCGAGACAGACAGACCAAAGGATGAGTCCCGATTCTGAGCATCGCGGGTGGAGGATGCTTCAAATGGAGCAGCAGTAGAGAAGCTCCAGCATTTTGTTTCCCTTCTGGCTTGCCGAGGGCAGCGCCCCGTCTGTTCTTGCCTGTTCCAGCCGCGCCAGCCCGCATGCGGCAAAGTAGACGAGCCGCCTATCTAACATGAAATCCTGGACCGTGATGACCTCAGGGTTGTTGTCCTCGCACAAGTACACATACATGGGCGGGGCTGGTGGTCCTTTGTGCGGCTCGGGTACCTGTACCTGCGCGTACATAGTATGTGCTCGCATCTCAATGCAACTCTGGCACATTACTAGGTGGTAGCCCATGCGGACCCCTTGCCTGTAAGGCACTTGCGAGCCTATGGAGTAGTGGACAGCCCATATGGCCAGCGGCCAGGGCCACTGATGGGCCTATATGCTACGGAATGGGGACAAGGCGGCCCATATTTGTACCAGTGTGGAAGGTAACCCAACGAGGGGGGCATGTGCTGAAAAGTTGATGATTGTCTACAACGATAACATTGCCTGTTAACGCATACAGCAGCAAGTAAGCATCAGTCTCTAGATCAAGGGATGCAGTAGACCAACCTAGGAAGCGAGAGACTTGGATAAACATAGCACTAGAAGCCATCTCAAGGCTACTCAAAATGCTGTTTAAACATGGAGCTATACATAGATACGCAAGAGGAAAAGAACAAAGAGAAGGAAGAAAAGAAGAAGAAAAGAAAATAACACCCAAATCGGAAATACCGGGGGTTCGGCCATCTGTGGAAGGCCCGAATTGCAAGGTGGTTGTATTCAGCTGGCGATAGGGCTGCCCTTGAGTTCGGGCCAATGTCTATACTGCCGGTTGTAGCCTGTCATATCGGGATATCGTTGTAGGTAGGCACTTGCATGGCATCTGCTGCGCTCTCATATAGATGGTTGGTGTACGATACTCTGCTTTTGATACTTACTCGTACTTCGTATAAGCACGTATTGGCTTTGGTAGTAGCCACCACTCTTCGCTGTCAATCTTAGACTTGACACACACGATGATTCGCCTAGAGAGTTGTTTAGTGCGTGTACTTACTATATCCCGTGCCCAATCAATACTCACAGTTCGCTAGTACGAGTGAATGGTAGCGGGCTTGATCCTAGGATAAACGCAATGTCAGGTACGAAGTACTTAGTGCTTTGCATCTAGAGGGCATGTACAGGCACGCCTACACTTGCAAGCACTACTACGACAGAATAAGGTAGTAGTGGTAGTGGTAAGCATACAAGTAGTAGATGGGCCTCTGAGCATGGGCAAGGGTATGAAGAGCGATCTAAAAGCAGATTGATGGTGGGGTCGTCAGTGCTAGAGGCGGTTGTAGAGCCTACCTGTGCCCATGCCTTATCCTGTACTCTGTACATCTCGCAGCAGTTTGCATCTTCGAGACAGGGAGAAGTAATTCTCTGCCAAGTACAGACCAGTGGAGCCAATATCAAAGCAAAGCGAGAGTATCATTTCAATAGCGTGGGTGGGGTATACTGCTCCTGCAAGTACGGCACGCTGGTGTACACGGTACTCTATAAGATTATTAGCAGTTGGGGAGCCCTTTTTCTGAGAGATGATAAGCGATAGTGAGAAATGAGGAGTGACGAAGAGGACAAAACACGGAAAATATGGAGTAAAGAAGATGAATCAAATTCATGGCCTTTTTGATTGAAATTGGCCTACGCCTGCGAAACGAACAAGCCCTAGGACCAACATGGTTAAATGATGCGGCGATGGCCGTGCAGTCTCCGCGGCACAAGTTGGCGATAGTGTCATCTGTATGGCTGCCACAGCGAGAAGCATCAACGAGCGTCGCGAGCCCAAACCAAGGGCTCGAACACTCTACAAAGTTAGCGGTTGCCTGCACTGCTAGCGCACTCGTACTTTCTAGCGATGCATGGGGCACTCGTACATATGTATGTATGTCCAACATGAGTGAACGCCCGCGTCCAGAGCGCAATACCGGGAGGTCCATGCTTCGTATGCGAAGAGCCTTTGTGCATACCCAATGGCCGTTGTCCTCTAAAGACTTTTAGCTGCGGAAGCTTTCCAGGTCGTCTCGCGGGGTGGTGAAGAAGATGGCCGCTCTGGACCGCCCGGCTAACACACAAGCACCGGGGAGCAATTCTTTGCCCCTGTGTAATCTTTCAAGTCTAGCCCCTTGCCGGCAAAAAGAGGGAAAAAAGTGGCATCGATATGACTGCTGTCGCTGACTGTCCGGGACACTTGCTCAACATGAGGCGTCCGACTATCACTCGAGTCGAGCGGCAGGCTGGATGTGTGAAGCATTAGCCCGCCCGTAGGATGATACCTACTCCATAAGCATGTTTTACCCACCGGCCGCTTCTGCACACAACTAGGCCGGCCGTCGGCATTCCATCCCATTTGCAAATCGCCGCATCCAAACCGGCTGTGATCCGCAAGTTTTAGCAGCTCTGGTCCGGGTTTGCTCCTAGTGGCTCAGCTCCTGCCGGCAACCAATGCGTTGCCGCGGAGCACCCTGGTCCATCTTCCAAGAGGTTTTCCCATCACAACAGAACCTAGCTGCGCTAGCTGGGGGCACATGTGTGCAGCGCTGTGCTCCGTACCTGTCATCAGCGTGGTGCATGGGTATGCCCTACAGAGTAAAAGCAGTACAGTAAGTAGGTAAGTGGGTATTTACAAGTGCGGCGTGGTTGCATCCTGGATATTGCTTGTTACTGTACATATTGCTGGGCAGGTAGGTAAGTCGATGGAGTAATGAGGAGTATGCAGAGCCGCAGAGCATGAGTATGTTTCCTGCTTTCTCTTTGTATTGATGGCAAGGATAGAGTTCCGTGCGCTGCTCTCGTATATATCTTATATGTGCTCACGTGTGGCATGTGGCATGTGGTCCCGGTGTTCTGGGAGTTATTAAGGAGGAGTAGAGCCATGTAAGAGAGGGCCATTAAAAGAAAACCGATTGGACATGCACTAAGCAACCGCGGCCCCCTTCTGGCGGCCCCCTTTTTTGAGCACATGCATGCCGTAGACTTGCAGGAGTTTCATCAAAAGACTTATAAACTAGTGTAGCTGCACACGGAGTGTTCGTAAAGTTCCCGGCGACCGGGATCTCCTGTATCTGGAGGGGCGATGGTTGTGCGAGATGTCTGATCCAAGATGTAAGATGACTGAGCTGCTCCTTGCTGAATTCGGTAACGAAAGTACAGGCAATACGGAGTGTCTAGTACCAGTTAGGAATTCTCACTTGAGTAAATAAATCAAACAAAAATAAGAGGGACAGTGCACGGGCTATTTCCGCGCCTTACTCGGAGCTCTATTCTCGGTTGCACAAGGCGGGATGTCATACGAAGGAATGAAGGTACTTGTGTGTAGTTGTGACCAGTAGTAGTACGTACTCGTATAGCATCAATACCGCAATAGTGCTCTTGGCGATTCGCAGAGCCGAGTTGCAAATCGCGCCTCGCATCAGCAGGCTAGCATTGGGTCTCAGGGGTTATCTGAGAGGATCGTCGCGGGGGTTTGGGGGCGAAGCTGCAGCAGACCGTCATCGTAGCTAGCAGTAGTCGCCGCGGAGGAGTGGAGGCTGTCCTGTACTCACCGTTGGCGCCCAATATCATCCATCGCCTTTTCTTCTCTCGTTGCCATTTCTGTGCTTGCGTAACCCGTCAATGATGTCGGCAAAGCGCGCCTCGTGCCTATGTAAAGGCTGCTGCTGCTGGTAAGCGTAATTTATCTCGGACTCCGTGGAGTGAAATGCGGAGGCCAGAAATTAACCCGCCCCACGCACAGCAGAGCGGCTCTCTTACTTTACCTTGTCTTTGGGCTGCTCTTGAGTGCATGTTTGCTCATCCATGGCTTGCTGGATGTGATCCGGCCCGTGTAAGTCACCGCCGCCACTCTGCTTACCGCTGAGCACTATCCATCCACCCTCTTGTGCTTTAATATGTCTCCCTCTCCGTTTAGGCTTGGTGTGCTCTGGAACAACTCGGTGGGCGGCTGCATGCATGCTGGAAATGAAGGAGGCGCCTCGTCGATGCTTTTTCTGTCGCAGAAGAACAGGCATGCGGGAAATCACGCGCTCAACGTACGACCACAAAGCGGGCGGTCTCGTACGTTCCCAGGCTGCAGAAGTGGACTTGGTCTCGAGCCATTGCTTTCCATCGTGACTCAATCGTCTGCTCTCTGGGGTCTAATGGAGCGTTGGGGATGGAGCTAGCCGGAGAGAATGGCATCCAGACAGCGTCTAATACCTACTCCAACTCCATACAAGATACTGTACGTGGTGAGGGGTGGATGCCGTGTGCCTAATAAGCGTGCGTCTTGGCAGGCTTGCCTTTCGACGCGATGAGTATTTTTTTTTTTTTTTCAACAGGGAACAAGGGAGAAGGAGAGGGAGAAGAAGAGGGAGAGGGAGAGGAGAGGGAGAGGGAGAGGGAGAAAAACATCGTCATAATTGCCGACTTGCCATCAATCAATCGCTCGCATTTGCTGTGACCCCCAACCATCCTTGTCTCTCAGTCTGGCTCTAGAAGCAACGCCAGCCAAATCGGCTCGGTATGCTGCCGCAGGATCCATGGCTCTGCCCAGTAGCAGTTTCCTCTTCTTCCCTTTTCCCTTTTTGAGGGAGAGGGCGTGTGCCATGCGTGGGAGGGGAGCCAGCAGACGAACCAGACGGCGGCGAGAGATAAAACCAAGTCCAACAAGGCCCTTCCCGCCAGCATTGGGCATCCAGCTGCTGCACTGGCTTTTGCCGGCTCGCGTCTCATTTGCTGGGCCCTGCAGCGCTCGTCCGATGCCGTCGGCGACTACGAAAAGGGCATCGCATCGGCGCCATGTGCTTGGGACAGCGGCTGGTGGCGCCAGCATGACACCGAGCGGCTTGGGCTGGTGGTGCTGCCAGCGCGAATGGCATCCAAGGCCACGATGCTCAGAGGCTGAATGGAGCTTCGACGTCAGCCAGCAACAGGCCACCGCAGGCGCTGGGCCGATTGATACCTTGCCCGTGCCTGCCTGTTCCTTGTCGTGCTTTGCCAGGTACTAGCCTGGAAGTCTGGATGGTATCACTGCCCAAGCATGCAGCTTAGGCTGCCGTTAGCGCAAGGCGCGATCAATGTGTAGGTTCCAGTGCAGTCTGTCGTTAGCTCTCTGCAGCCGTGCCTGTAGCGACACGATACCTGTACCATACCTCCTCCTGCTGCTGTTGCTGCTGCTGCTGCTGCTGCTGTATCAGCTACTAGTATCTGTTGCTCAGGATTGCTAGTCCCCCGCGGGCTATTAATAGTGGGCTCCTCGTCCTGTCGGCAGCCTTGCTTTTTCAACAAGCAAGATCGCATCGTGGCAGCTGGAAGGGCCAGGCTAGCCCCAGCAGCTTCAGTGCGGTAGCGCAGCTGGGCAATTGGCGAGCTCTGGGCGCTCCACCGACGTGCGTGTAGCGTGCAGGTACCTTTGGGGCGCTCAGCTAATGCTAAATTGCCTGCCGCGTACCTGTACTAGAGGCATCACCCAACATGTCCAGCTGGGCGTGTACTGCCCAGAGCCGCACACGCCTTGCCCGCAGAGGCACTGGTATCAGTACATGCCAGGTATGACCCGTGAGCAGTCGCACTGCAGTTGCTGCTAGAGCAGGTAGGCCTGGCTAAGACATAGTACACCTGATACTACCCTCGCACTCGACTTCGCACCAATTTTAGGCGGACGAAGCCACTGCCATCATTACATGTAATCGGAACACGGGCTGTAGCGACTGCCGGCTCCATTCCACCGCATCTCTCTCACCTTCCAGCCCGCCATCCCACTCTCATCTCCATGTCTCTGCCCTGTTCCTCTTGACGGCTAGCGAAGCTTCATCTCTGTGCACACGCACCGGTATAAGTGGCCCGGGTCTCGTCCCTACCCTTGCCACACCATCCTTGTCCTGGCCCTATTCTGTTTCTACCCACAATCTACCCACGAACAGCAGGCCTACTGTACACGGCCATGACGTCCATACAAATCTCCTACAGATCTCCTCCTCCGCCATGGGACTAGGACTGCTGCTAGGTAGTGCTAATGCTGATGCTAATGCTAATGCTAATGCTGATGCTGATGCTGATGCTGATGCTGATGCCAAAGGCAAAGGCAATAGCAATGGTAATGGCAATGGCAATGGTGATGCCAACTGACACTCGCACCAACACTAATTCTTAGCTTTGGATTCGTGCGGCCCATCATGATGCACATAAAACAAACCAAGCTCCCGGGAGCAATCGCACACAGCACAGCCCACCAACTCGTCGAATCTGCGCTGCTCCCATACAAGTCCAAGCACCAGCTCCCAGCACGCCGTACCACCGTTACTCCGTACGGGAGCATGAGCACGAGCATGCTGGACAAGTACCGGCAGTGTTCGCACATGCATCCGGGCCAGCATCATGCGTCACGCTGCCAGAGCCTGACTGACTGCTGGACTGGACTGCTCTTCTCCCTTACTTTGCCCTGCCCTGGGGCAAAAGGGGGGCCTGGCCCCAGCTCAGATACAACGCCGGACCAGCATCCATCCTCTACCAGGTTCCTGGACCTGTTCCGCGCTGGCGCTGCCAATGGGAATGTCTAGCCAGCGCCTGAATCGCTGCTCATCTGTGTCTGTTTGCCGTGCCCCAGCCTGCCACCCCTGACCCTGCGCTGCATTCCCTTGCTACAGTATAGCTTCCCCATCTTCTTTGCTTCCTTTTTTCTTTCTGCTCCAGCTCTCAAGAGCCGCCGCACCGTCACTGCCGCACGCCCCCCCGGAAGACTGCTGGCTGCTCCTAGAGCCACCCCAAAAGGGCCTCCAGACAAGACGTGCAAAGTACATGCCCTCCTCGTACAGACGGAATTCCCCGTACTCGCGGTGCTGCCAGGTACAAGGCCCGGCCGTCCAGCGCCGCCTTGCCGCTGGTACTGCTGCCGGCGCTGGTACACGGCGAGCATGTCGTCCAGCGTCTCACAGCCGATATGACATGTCTGCTGCCACCCACGGCCGGCCAACTCGCAAATCCCACCCCCAACACACGGTCCATTCTGCTTCCTCTCAGACATCGGCCTCCCGATCAACGGACGGATAGCTTGGCCGCTGCCCGCATTAGCTCTGGACATGGCTGCTTTTTGCCTTTTGCTTTTTGCTTGTGCCGCCCCTCCCCAGCGCGCCCGTCTCCAGTCTACCACCTAGCGCCATCGACTTGTCACCAAATTCTGGTGTTCCTGGAGAGCTGCTTTGTATAATCTGATAGACGCCAGCCCAAAAGCACAAACAAATGTCAGTGGGCCCCACACGCTCTTTTTTTTTTTTTTTTTTTTTTTTGGCTCTCGATCTGATCAAGACCAAGCCTCTCTTGGTTTCAATTGTCTCTAGAGGCCTTCCGCCGGGCCCTTTTTTATTCTATCCAACCCCACGTTGGATCCGTCTCGACATATAAGACGCCTGGCCTGCCCGGCCCCAACACCATCGCCATCACCATCTTGTCAATCCCAACTCCAACACCAACATCAACAGCTAACTACTGCTGCTGCTGCTGCCATTGCCATTTCCATTGCCACTACTACCACCTCCACCACTCCTTTGGACCATTATAACATTGGACTATTCTTCCGTCCATTCGACTGGAAATCTCATCGCCTTACATCCGTCTTCCTGCTCAGATATTTCATCAAACCATGCCTCTCTCACACACTCTCCGTGGCATACAAGCCCCCGTCTTTCCTCTCATGCCAGGACAACAGGGTTCCTCACAGCCCTCGGCCATGCCTGCCGGTATTATTATGTTAGGGCCCAAGGTCAGAAAAGCAAGCTTTTCTTTAATGTCTGTTGCCATGTACTCCTTGATACTAACCTTCAATGTAGGTCCCCGGCACAAGATGCCCAACCTGTGCCCTAGCCGGCAAGGAAGTTTGGGTCATCCCGGGCAGGTGCTGCGGTTATTGCGGTACTCCTTGTGACTCTGATCATTATCATGAATAGCGTGAGTTTGTATGAACCACGAGCATTGCCAGATCAGCCCAACTAAGCAGTTTGATATAGTTTTTGATTCTGCTCCTACGAAACCTGCTATTGAAATGGCAGTATAACACCAAGGTTTCCGCGTCAAACTCTCTAATACTTGGCCATTTTTCTCGAATCTCCTTTATACAAGGAGCATCTCTCTAAAATGATTTGCCAGGGCATACAAAAAAAAATCGAATCATACCAAAAGACCAAAAAACAAGCTCAAAGCTGTCTATCTTTCAATTTCGGACATAGATGACACTAATTGCTCGTTTGGACACTGACGAATGGGTATCATCTCGGCTCTTTTTTTTTTTTTTTTTTTTTTTTTTTTTTTTTTTTGACAGAGGGGTCCCCCGCCTTGAACCTCGGTTTNCGCCTTGAACCTCGGTTTGCGGCTCCGGCTTGCCCCAAGACTCCGTAAAGTCGGCAGGGTCAAAGCGCAAAAAGAGCTATAAAAAGGCGGGACGACTTCGTCAGCAAATTCTTCGGTGTTCACCGGTGGTGTTGGTCAACCAACAGAGACACGGGCTGTCCTGACCAACGACGGGTTGAGACACGAAGCAGAATCATTTTTTTTTTTTTTTTTTTTTTTTTTCGTCTTTTTCTTTAATCTCCTACCTTGTTCTCCTCCTGGTCTGGATGCTTTTACCTTCTTACCCGCTTTCAAAAGAAAAAAAAACAGAGGTTATACTTATACATTGGGCAGCACGCGAATGTTCCATCGTCAAAAGGCGGAGTCTGGAAGGCTTGGGAAAAACAAAAATTTTGGGTAAAAATTTTTTTTTTCTTTTTTCTTTTTTCTTTTTTCTTTTTTCTTTTTTTTTTCTTTTTCTTTCTTTGGACAGGGCAATTAATTTGGCACGAGCTTTGCAGACAGCGAAATCTCTGCATGGATGTTCTGCCTAGGGAACCAGGGCGCTTTTTTGATACCAGTATGTTCTATTTGTAGATTAGATGTAGCATGTACGTTGATATATTATGATTTTACGAGACAAATCCTGTTTTGCAACTCTTCCTGTGATGCCAAATCCGGATTTCAGGTATACAATGCTCGACCACCGGCGTTGGGCACATGCACAGAAACAAGGAGATGCATGCAAGTGCATAAACCAATTACTCGGTATGTGTTTTGGGAGAAGTACATGAGCCACATGTTTCTTGGGTTTATGCAGGGAGTCAATTCCCAACATGCAAGGTTGTGTTTCACAAAGACATGATTGAGTGTGTAATAGTGTGTGGGAGGGGATGAAAAGAAAAGCCATTGGCACCACACAATTCCAAATGACGTGGGGGCAAAAACGGTATCATTCGAAGCAGTACATCCGCTATCCATGCGAGACATGGGCATCTGAAAGGTTGGTAGCGCCGGGTATTGAATGACGAATTTCCGGTTTTGGAGCTAAGGAGCCCAAGGTGGTATTCTGGTGCCGGTATGTATCCTGCATGATTTGATTCGCTGAATGGGCCAGACCGGGGCAGGCCTGCGAAAAGCACCAGTTGGTAGGTACTTGGACCTACTTACATGGAGGAGTGTACTTTACAAGGTAGGCAGGTAGGCGTGATAGGAGAGGTAAGATGCTACCAAAACATTTCGCACGAGTGCTGACTTTGGGCGAGATACGATAACTCATAAAGTGTCTCATCAGAATGAATAGGAGAAACCGGCGCATAAGTTGCTCTTCTGATACTAGTGGTACCGTCGGAATGGACGGGGAAGGCTTTTCGCATCCAAAGGCAATTCCTGCGATCGACCACTCTCTTTTTGACTGGCGGCTTTGCAGGCAGGATGGTCTTCCGAGCAAATAGTCTACATCTTCAAGATTGATGACATTTTGGGGGGGTCCTGGCCCGGGGGAGGCACTAATAAGTGATGCATGTTTCTCCCACTGTGTGCCGTCCAGAAAGCACAAGGACTCTGCCCCCGTCAAGTTGACCTGTCTTGTGTCTCCTCAGGCGCTATAGGTTGCCCAGGGGCGCACACGTCTTGTGACCTTATCGACGAGTTTGAATTGATGTGTAGTCGAGGCACTAACGACTCATCGATGGCAGGCCTGTGCTATGAGTTGAGCGCGGTTTGGCGTTGAGGCTGAGGCTAAAGAGCCATGCCTGAATTAACTTCAGCTCTTCGATGACGCTTTGTCTTGCTGCCCCTGCCGTTTCGCATCTGGCGTTCCCGAGTCCCTGGGTCCTGGAGCCCTTTGAGTACACCTCAATGTTCCAACGGCATGGAGTGTCAGTACGAGTAGTACGGAGCAGGTGCGGCTGTATAAATTGCATATGCAGATTGGCTATCACTAGCGCTTAGTTTTCCGACTTGCCGGGCTTCAGCTAAGCCGCTGACAGTCCCATGCCGGGCTCGATTAGCTTTGGCGTGGCCAGATATATACGGATCATTGCTGCTATCTGCCGTGCTTTTATGCACTCCGGGAATATGGTCAAGGCTGTCTGAGTCGTGAAATGAGGCCTACCGCTATGGAGTACTAGCAATGTCTCAAAATATGGTATCTTTGTCCCTAAGCCAGTGGCGGCCAGAGCATCCCATCTTCCCCCTATCGCCGAGACAGTTTTCGCTAGGATATCCACTCTGGGACGGACAGGGCACTGAAATGAGGCGAACCTGCAGCAGCCGATCGCTTAGAGAGAGAGATCGCATGTCACTGCTTACCGATGGCCTGTTCCTACATATGCCCAACTAACTAGTAATACAGTTAGCCGTAGCCCCTTCGTAGCAGCCGTGGCATCAGCAAAGTCTCCGAGTCAAGCGATGGCGGGGCAGACACACGCTCTACTTGGTCCTGAATCCGCGGTGGCCGCCGCTGTTACGCAGATTTCTCTTGACAGGTTGGGTCAATGTGCGAGCAAGGGGGCCGGCTGCAACTGGGAATGTAATGCAGGGACCACTGACCGCCGCTATTGGAGAGTCCATGCTCCTGGTTGCAGCCTGTACCGACAGATAGTCTGGGTCACTGGACCACGCTAGCTGCAGGCCAAATGTGCCGAAGAGGGAGGGATATGGAAAATTACCAGCTAGCCGGGTCGTAAGTACTGCACCAAGCATGGATGTTGGATGTAGGGGGTGGAAGCTCGGACGTGATGCAAAGTGTGCGTTGGTTGGTCGGCCGAGGTCCAGGCTGTTGTCTGAGACTCAGAAGCAGCTCACCTTGCGCATTGGATTCGGGCTACTTCTTTTGTTAGTGACGGCTGGTAAATATACGAGATGCTAGTTCTAAGCTGGAGGGTGGATTACCTGGAGCCATCTAGCCCCGAATTGTGATAGCGGCAATGACGAGGACGAGGGTTTGTTGCAAGTGACAGCTGCCAAAGCCAACCTGGAATGGTCAAGGGTGTGGTGCGAACCGCACGAACGGGGAGAAGGCTGTTGGCTTCGATGCTGGTAACTGTCATCCCTTTCTTTTCCTCGCTCTCTCTGTTGTTTTCCCTTTTCTACCCGCTACCGCTCTTGATCCCCGCGGGCTTTTCTCCTATTGGTCAGTGCGGGGGCGTGCAATAGTTGCCGCAACACCAAGTCCTAAGGATGAATTGTTATCTCCAGAGCCTCCCTCGATCAGCAGGGGTAAGTAGGAGGATGAGAAGGTTGCGGTGACAAAGCATTTTATGATAAAATAGAACGGGACTTGTGGAGATTGATCAAACTTTATCGCAGTTGCTGAAAATAGGAGTAAAGTCGGGCGGCTTGGAAATGAATTGGCCAGACACAGCTTCGCAAAGGTGTCGAGAAGAAATGCAAATTCGGCATTAACAAGCAAAGGTGGGCTGATGGCTCTTTGGACCAACGACAATAAGAAATTGGTACTGTTGAGGGGGGGATCATATACGCGAGAACAGATAGTAAAGAAAAGCACACGTGTGGGAAAAGGAGAAGGGAGGAGAACTGAGGAGAAATAGGAAGAGGGCAAGAGAAGAAGAGAAAAGCAGGGCAAGAGAGGTTCAGATTGTAGTAACTCGTAGCTTCCAAAATGCTGTGTATCCTTGAACAGCCGCGGTAGGGAAGGCACGTCAACTTCGACGGCTGCGAATGCGAGCGTCCAGTGGTTCGTTTTCATGTTTATTTCTTTCGCCACGCAGAATCCCCAGACAAGCTACGCTCACCAAAGCCAAACGGCTAAGGTGCTCTCTGGCTTTCTCATTGGTATTTTCTCCTCGTGTTCCTTGCTGCAGGCTTCTTTAGGCGCATTGGATAGCTGTTGGGCTTGTCTACTGCTGGGCTCTTTACATTTACATCTTACTCAAACTTACGCCGTGCATTTGTTTACGTGCATTTGTATCAAGAGAAAAGCCAGATTTTTGTAAGCAGCGATGGGCGATTCCGTACAGAGACTCTTGGCAGAGGCCCCCAATGCTGGAAATGATGTCTCTTATACAGACTTACATCCCGATATCAACAAGGCAAGACTCTGTGAAGCTGCTCGCTAACCTATAAACCCCCAAACTAACCTCATTACTCTTTCAGAATGAAATTCTACGCCTAGATAGATTGACTGCATGGGGGAAGCTGTTGATCGAATGGGACCAGGAGACGGCGCGTCGTTGGGAGGGATGGCATGAAAGAATAGTAAGCGACGACTCTGGCGATCCATTTACAGGAGACGACGGTCCAGTTCCCAGCAGCTCTGTTCAGGATACTACCATTCTTGGATATCCAAAGACAACAGAGCAGATGCGAAATTATTGGCGGATGGTTGGATGGTCTGTGGATGAAACTTTGCGGACAGATGATTACTACAACTTAGAGAAAGCAGCGACGAGTATCCTACCACCGAAGGGTGACCAAGAAACTTGGCTCCTGCTCGATGCTAGCAATCACAATCTCGTCTATACAGGAGCTTCTGCTTATCACAGACAAGGGCTCGTGAGCACGACCAAAGGGGGCGCCAAGCTGGTCCGAGCAATGGTCATATCACAAGTAATCACGGATTTTGAAAATCGGAATCAACGGTTTGCCACGCATTTCCTAAAGCTCCTAGCTGAACAGATAGATAGCAGAAAGGGCGAGGAGCACATTGCCTTCAGCGTGCTGTATAGCGGCCCCAAGACGCAACTGTTTCAAAGGTGTGGCTAGAGGCCACTTCCTGCTAGACAGCTTCGAATCGCACTGGGAGACTTACAATTCAGCGCATTAAAGGGCTATTTCGACCAGTACCCAAATTATGTGCCGCACTTGGCATATTTGAAGGTGGAGGATCTTGATCTTTGGCATCGTGAGTATAATGGTCTCCCCATGATGGCGATGAGTGCCGTCAAACACCCTACTACGCATGCACAGGTCATCTTGTCTACAGAGCTTATGAAATGGCACTTGCTGCGAGCTTCATCCAGGGAGTTTATGTTAAGACGATGGGCTGCCTGGTTTGCCCCAAACAGCATCACTGTGGGGGCCAGATTTCATGATGTGAAGTCAAACACCACCGTCTCGGCGTTTTGGGTGCACGACTTTGAGAAACGAAGACTGTACTTGGGGTGTATGGACGTGCGGCGTCGCGATAGAATGGAGGGTGGGATCAGGATGGTGCTCTCCATGGCTGTACAAGAAGCCTGTGGATATGGCCTCAAAGAAGTCATCTTGTGGGAACCAACGGCTCAAATCATGGAACAGGCAGAAAGACTTGCCGATGAAATTGGCCATGGCGTGACAGCAACATGCGAGAATCGATCTGAGATGATACCCTGCTTCCGATGGCACGGAGGAGAGTCGAAAGAGGTGATATGGACAGAGAGCGGGTACTTTTGCCATGCCTGAAGCACAATAAAGGACAAGGATCCTTCGACATATTCCCCATCTCGCTATCTCTCTCTTCTTTTCATATATTCTTTGCTTTCAGCCGACTCTGATGGGCGGCCTGGAATGGTTAGCTGTGAGATGGATTGCATACTTGATGAATCAGGCACTGGGAGTCTCTCTTAGAGTACGACTAGGAATATTCTTTGGTCTTACAACACTTTGGGTGAATATCTGAGTATCTATTGTTCATCTGCCAACTCTGTCTGCCAGACGTATGAAGGTGATGCTGAATTTTCTTTCTTGCTCCTTTTCTTATGTTTACGATTACTCTCCTTCTGTCTGCGACAGGACCAGTAAGGAGATATAACTACCAAGACTACAGCCCCTCTTTCATCTTTTTCTTCTTTTATTCATTACTACTTCTCTTCTTCTTTTTCTCCATCATCCTCTTCTACCTCCTCTCCATCTCGACCGCGTATCTTTCTCATATATCGCTACATGGCCATTTCGCTGACATCACCAGCTGGTCTACCCAGACCCCGCCCCCACCTTGCTGAACCTCGGAGCTCTCAGACTTTATGGCCTCCACTTGTTTTCTCAATGGGCTCTGCTGCTGTGCTTTATAATGCCAGTGTTAGGTATGAATGATGCATCCATCCCCGCCTCTGGTCCATCCACAGCCCGAACTTTTATGGGGACATGTAAACAAAACCAGCAGTGGTGTTTGTTGCTTGTATTGTTTTATAGGCCATTGCCAATTCAAGTGGCGATACCGCTGTGTGCAGACAGGTGGTATTGCAGCAGGGCTCCTTACAAAATACCTACGTCAGCGCCCAAAGACTGTCGTCACATCGAGTCGCTTGATTGATAAGGTATGTAAACGTTTAGATGCTCTTCGCACTGCTTGCATCAACGCCAGCACACAGAAGCAACAGCGTCAAGAATCACGCGCTGTTTTGAAGCCCAACCGATTGCCCGCTGTTCGGCTCGACCCGCACCGTCTCATGAGACGTGCCACGCATCTCCAGCTTCCATCTGGTGGTCCCCGCAGCAACAGAAGCCTCCGCCCCCTCTTCGACCTCTCGCAACGCCCCTCCAATCATCTCCAGGCCAGCTCCCGACAGCTTCAACCCCAATCTCGGTCTCTGCACCATCACCAACTCACATCCGAAGTCGCAGCCGCCGCCGCAGCCCAGATCCGCGCCATGTCTGCCATGCCCGCCTCTCACGGCCACAGCGCCGCCTGCTGCAACATCCCTCCAATTGTGTCCAAAGGATACAAGCCCAAGGGCTCATACGAGGAAATCGGTGGCTACAAGACATGTATGTCCATCTTTCTTCAAGCTTCTCTTCTTCTCCCAGCTCCCGTTTTTCTGCCTCCTTCGCACATGATCATGATCACGATGCCCTCCTTCATTTACCGGCGTTGCTTCAATGTGACAGCCACGCAAGCCAGTCGGTGAAAGGGAGGGGTCCTGAGAAGAATGAAGTGAAAATGAAGTGAAAATGAAAACGTAATCAGATCAAAGGTTGATTCTGCTGCTGATGAAACCATCTAGATGTCACTGGCCCCGCCGACGCTACCAAGGCCATTGTCGTTGTCTATGACATCTTTGGCTACTTTGACCAGACCGTCCAAGGTGCCGACATCCTCGCCTTCAGCGACGAACATCAGAAGTATAAGGTGTTCATGCCCGACTGGTTCAAGGGCAAGCCCTGCCCCATTGAGTAGTAAGTTGATCCTACCCCAGGTCACCTAAGTAGACATTCATCGAAATTGTGGATGATATCATGTTCCTGAAGCATCAAATGCTGACACTCGAGGCAGCTACCCTCCTGATACCCCGGAGAAGCAAAAGGCCCTGGGCGAATTCTTTGCCACTTTCCCTCCTCCCAAGATTGCTGGTTATGTTCCAGAGTACGTGGATGCCGTCAAGGCTCACAGCCCGTCAGTTTCCAAGTTAGCCATGCTGGGTGTAAGTCTATCTATATCCATTATCTTAATGCCGTGTTACCCACACTTCTCCCCTCTCAAGTACTATCAAAGCCCACGCAGGAAAGAGACTCTGACACATCCCAACAGTACTGCTGGGGCGGCAAAGTCGTTGCCCTCACCGTCAAGGCTCCCACCAACCCCTTCGCAGCCGCCGCGGCCGCCCATCCCGCCATGGTCGACCCGGCCGACGCCGAGGGCCTCACCGTCCCTTTTGCCCTGCTGGCATCTAAGGACGAGGATGTCACGGCTGTCAAGCAGTTCGAAGAGGCGCTCAAAGTCCCTCACCACGTCGAGACTTTTGCGGACCAGATCCATGGCTGGATGGCCGCGCGTTCCGACCTGACGAATGACCGTGTCAAAGAGGAGTATGAAAGGGGATACAAGACGCTTTTGGAATTTTTTGGTAAGCAATTGTAAAGAAAGTTAAAGAAGGAAAGTGAGAAAAGGTGGACGCGTTTCTCCGCTTTTTCGCAAAAAAAGTCTTTCCATTACAGCAAAAATTGCAAAGAGAGATGACTCTCTCAAAGAAAATAAGCAAATTAAAACAAAGAAAATAAGAAAATACATGCAACTGAACTGTGAGATTTTCCATTGTCTCAAAAAAAGAAGGTTGTCATAATCTGCAATACATGTGCTCTGCTCGCTATCAAATAAATCATGTATAATCCATCGCTTTCTGCTTCATGTCTCTCTTTCATTTTCATCCCATCTCTTTCATGAATAGGGAAGCATACATGCCACAATATATATATATATATATATATATCACTGTCCCAGCTCCTGCAACAAACCCTCCGCAGCCTTCAACGTCTCCTCCAGATCCAAATTCTCCGGCGGCGGCACATCCAGCCCTACATCTCCCTCTCCCCTCCTCACAACGGTGCTAATCATGTACTCGTCCCCAATGGCCCTGTCCAGCTTCACATCCACATCAGTCACCCTGCTGCCCTTGAACCACACTTCCAGCGTCTTGTTGGACCCCTCGGGCGGAATCTCCCCGGGGGGCGAATAGTACCGCATCTCCAAGTCGGCCAGCCACGGCGCAAGCAGCGCCTCGCCCGTCATCTTGACATACGCCTCGCGGAGACACCACAGCGCGTAAAAGTAATCCAACAGCTTCTGGCGGTCGGGGATCCGCAGCCCGCACAGCCGCTGCACCTCCACCGGCGAGAGCACGTCGCTGTGCAGGTTGACGTACGACGGCCACCCCTGCGTCTCAACGTGCCTGAGATCCCGCTCGCGCCGCTCCCCCGCGCAGACAATGTCCGTGCCGATGGCGACGCCCGCGGGCGGCAGATACGCGCCGAAGAGCACCACCACGCCGGCCTGGTGCGTGACGTTGAAGAGCAGCGGCTCGTCGCCAGAGGGCGTGATGAAGACGGGCTTGGTGCGGGCGTCGCGCACGGCCGTGGCGGAGGCCCAGGGCACGCGGCAGAAGCGCGAGATGGCGAGGCGCTTGAGCAGCGATGAGGCGAGGGACAGCTTGGCGTCCCGGACGAAGTAGTACTTGAGGACGGCGGCCTGTTCGGTTTCGCTGAGGAGAGCGAGAGCGCGGCGGGCCTGTGGAAATTGGGTTGGGCGTTTTTAGTCAGTCCCGATGGAAGGTTCAAAATAGTGGGAGTTTGATAGTGTGAGTCTGATGAATGGCTGTGAAAAGATGAAGACTCATGAGAGGGAAGGGGGGAAACGTACTGCTCCGGGAAGCTCTTTGGTCTCTTTAGCTTCGGGCCATAGGTTTCGAGTATCGAGAGCCCAAAGGAAGACGGCAGGCTGGGCCATGATGGCTTGTTCGTGGGGGGGGTTTTATTAAACCTGCTTTCTTTCAAAGCATATGTGTGGATGTATATAATGGCGAGAAGTCGTGTTTCAATAAACGATACGCTGTATCAACGCTGCATATGACTATGTTCTATATGAGTGAAATCTAGCATCGCGGATGAGTGAGATGAGTCTTTGAGACAGACGGGTGAGATTGCCGCTGCCAATCAGCTCTCCCGCCGTCAGTTCCCCGCCTTCGGCCCGCAGAGCCGCAGGCTTGGTTACATTCATACGTGTACATGCTCTTGCATTATTCTTGTACAAGATGGGATATAAACTGACATGTTTTCGGCTTATCAACCCGGTTTTAACCAAATATTGGACCAGGGCACGATGATTATACATTGTTCCTCTATTCCTTTATCTGATAATTCAAGAGATCCGTCTCCTTTGTATATGACAAGGATGCAACTGCTTCATCTTATACTCCCTCTGGCGGTGCTTCCAGTGATATTGAAAAGACTTTGTGCCCTTTTCTGCTCGTTTGTCCGGCTTCAGCACTCTTCTTTTTCTCTTCTTCTTCCTTCTTCTCTTTTTCCTTCTCCTTCTCCTTTTCATCATTATTCTTCTTGTCATCCTTGGTCGTATCTACCACGCCATTCTCCAGCTTGCCAATCGTCTTCACCGCCTTGCCATTGCCGTCCAGATCCACCACGACGTCGACTGTATCAAGGCTTCCATCCTCCGTGTACATCCATAGCTCTTTGAACTCTCCACGCACCAAGCTGGTCAAAAGTAGCGACCCGAACACGCCTGGCACGAGATATAGCAGCGCCGGCTGCCCGTGCTTGAAGATGAGCAACATGGCGAGCGTGACCATCATTCCCAAAAAGTATCCTACCATGGAGGCATAAAAATACGTCTTAGAAAACTTTGATGCGGCTACATCAGGAGGTAAGCTTTCTGAGCCAGATAGGCCCAAAGACTGGCGAGTCCAGATGCGTTCTCCCCAGTTTCCCTTGGCATCCACATATGGAACCTTGATTTCTCTGTGCTTAGTCTCACTTCGTGTGATGATCTCCCCCGAGGTAGAATCCTTCTCCATAATTTTCAAGTCGGTAGATTCGTACTTGATCTTTCTGTAGTAGTGGATCCAAAGATCGAGTCGCAGCGCCCAGCCAATGACCATTCCAGGAATCACAATGTCTCCCAATCCGAGGATGCTCTTCCTTGATGCCGCCTCAAATGTGAGCTTAATAGGGACATCCAGAGTTGTTGCTACCGTCACCATATAGGGGCTACACGAATACATAACGGGTAAGTAAATAGTCCCAGCAGCATATCAAACGGCGCAAAGAGAGACAAGGCAACTCACGTGTAAAAGACCATGAAGATATCGTAGAAGAAGAGGCCCCACAAAACCAGCGACCCAGTGAGAAAATCAGTAGGCGAGAGAAGCAAAAACGACCCGTAGCACATTCCATAGCCCAGTATGTTGGAGAGAAACGACCAAGAAGTTGCAAAATAGACAATTGCCGTCACCACGGACATCAGAAGCGCCATCATATGCGCAAACTTGATATGGATCGTCTCCTTACCCATGCCATGAGCAAACACCTCCAGCAGCCAATGTCTCGTAAAAAGATCTCTCAGCTCCCAGGCCTTCTTCTGCAGCCACGCAGCTGGCGCAAGGAAGGCCAGCGCTCCGGGGAGCGGGTTCGTCCCCCCAACACCAGAGCTCTCAATTTCGTTACCTGCATCATCACACACGGCGACTGTATTCTTGGTTTGATCGACTCTGCGGAGTTTGCCGTCTCTGCCACGCCAAAAACGAGGGAATACAAACGACGATACCACTTGAATGCCATGAGCATAAAAGGTCAACAAGCTCGCCATAGACGCCGTCGTCATGTAAGACCGTAGAATCTTGTTAATGAGAGCAGGGTCTTGAAGCCACTGGATAAGATAATACAGCCCAACAAGAACGATCGCTGCCATGATTGGGAAAAGGATTGCATCAGAAAGCTCCAGTCCTTGGGTAAACGCCTCGTCATCCTGCTTCCGCCGCTTCTTATCCTTTGAGATGGCCGCAGATGGTGGACGGCGTAAAGATGCATGGGCCCCGAGGTAAATGATTCCCATGGCACCAGTGACGAGCTTGAGCTCAAGAAGGAGGAAATCCATATCCTGTAAGGTGTCCATTATCGTGGCAGGAGTGGCACCAGCTGCTGTGTCATTGAGGGTAACATTAAGGCCGTCCAAGCCCTCCATGAGGGTGACATTTGTGGCAGCCATCGCTCTATATCAACATATACCGTGGCAAATGACAGATGGGCAATAATCTCAGAGATTCGTGGAGATGTTGTCGAATAAGAGAGAGCAAAGAAACGAAAACGTGGTCTGAACTCAATAAGGCTGGCTTTATGGCGTCGGCAGCGACAAACGAACCATTTCAANTCTCCAATCCGTGCGATACCTTGCTGAATCTCCAAAGACAGTAGTAAAACGCAAAAGGGAGAATGGAAGAAGAAGAAAGAAGGCAATAAGAAGGAAAGTCTGCGCTTGAAAAGGCACTGGTGCCTTATATGCCAAGTCACGAGCTATGAATCAAAGCTGTTGCAAAGCCTGGCCGCTACAAGGCAGAGAGAGGCCACTAAAGCGGCCACTAAAACGACTATCGCTGCAAGCTAGGCGAGGCAGCCAATAGGGCGCCGCGATAGCGCCCAGCAGCAACAGGCATCTCCAGCGCCTAACATCGCAGCCTCGTCCCGCAGTGACAACATTGATCCTCTCCATATCCATTTTTTTAGTTTTCCCCATACAATAACATCACCAATTCTAAGCCATTATTCAGCCTTCAATTGAACCAGCCTCGATCTCAATAACCATGACCACAAACGTCGTCCTAGAAACCTCAATGGTAACCACTCACTTCCAAAGACTGGGTTAAAAAAAAAAAAAAAAAAAGAATACGTGCTAATTGTCAAACAAAATAAACAGGGCACAATCACCCTCGAACTCTACACCACCCAAGCCCCCAAAACCTGCGACAACTTCGCCACCCTCGCCCGCCGCGGCTACTTCTCCTCCACAATCTTCCACCGCATCATCCCGGACTTCATGATCCAGGGCGGCGACCCCACGGGCACAGGACGCGGCGGCTCCTCCATCTATGGCGACAAGTTCGAAGACGAGATTGACCCGAGCCTGAGACACACCGGCGCGGGCATCCTCAGCATGGCCAACGCGGGGCCCAATACAAACGGCTCACAGTTCTTCATCACGCTGGCGCCGACGCCGTGGCTTGACGGGAAGCATACCATTTTTGGCAGGGTCAAGAGCGGCTTGGGCGTGGTGAAGCGAATGGGCATGGTGCCCACAGGGCCGGAGGATAGGCCAGTCGAGGATGTCAAATTGATCAGCGCCAACGTGGTGGAAGGTGAAGAGCAAGATTGAAAGGGCGACGATTCGTTTTATCCATTTTTCTTCAGAATTTTTTTTTTCCGCCTTGGGGCATGCGACGTGCGACGGAGAGGAGAAATAATGATTCGAGATGTACTTGAATCGGCTTCGAGGTATGATACATACGTAATAGGCACGTATATACGTGTGTTGTGGCTTACGGCTCTGTATAGATAGACAGCATAGCAAGGCGTTGGTTGACGAATATCCAACACACGCGTCAATGTAAATGAAGCAGCAGTGGTGGCATCATAAAAAGAAAGAAATCTCACAGATCATGGACAGCACCACAAAGAATTAAAATGGCACAAGATTTAGAACGAAAGAAATGCCGTGCTTTATACATACAGGCTTAGCCAGCCTGATAAAAGAAAATCAAAAAGTAATAGACTCATTTTAGCCCCCAAACGCCAAGTTCCCGTGTTCTCCGGGATGCTGGTTTAATCGTCGTCTTTATGTAAAGCCAGTAGGCCAGCCCATAGCCAACCACCTCCAGAATCCGCACATCAAATCAAATGCAAAAAGCAAATAAGCCTGAGGTTTCGTTCCCCGTTTGCCTTCACCTCTTTTGTCTTTATAGTGCGTTGAAAGAAGAAAAAATAATACAGTTACCATGGATATAAAAGCGTCAAGCCCCATCCGTTTCGAGTCTATCCATATCCAATCCACCAGCAATAGTAGCGATGCAAAACATATGCATGTATGCGCGAATTCCTAGATTGCTTGATTCAATTCTCTTGTTTTTAACGGTGGCCTGCAGGCGGCGAAGAGAGGGTTTCTGAGGACTCGGACTCTGCATCGATATCTCGACCATTCTTCATGGGTGAGCTCATAACTGGTTTGCCCACTTTCAGCTTCTTAACTGGGCTGTCTGTTTTGGACTTGACCTTGTTCAGCACCTTTGGCGAAGGCACACTGTAATCTGCCTTCTGCTCCTGGCTTAATGAACTGCTCTTGATCTTATCCTTCTTCAGTGAGGACTTTGTCTTGATTATGACTTTCTTCGTCAAGCCGTGCTTTATCTTCTTCTTCTTGTGACTAGTCTCCGAGTCGTCATCGTCGTCGCTCACGTCTCGCTTCCTAGGGCTTTGGGCTCGGGACGCCGGCGTGGGCGTGGCCTTTTGGGAGGGTGGAGGAGTAGGTTCGTTCTGAGAGCCGCTGCCATTCATCCTTTGAGCAGCTGCTCGGCTGGCGTTACGACCGCTGTTGCCAATGCAAGACCCCATGTGATTATTTAGCCGTGTAACCAGGATGCATCTCTTGCACTTGCTGCACGTGGCAGAAGGGAAGGAGAGGACATTGGGAGGGCGCTGCTCGGAGCCACCGTCATCTTTCTTATCCGAGTCCTTCTTCTTCTTGCCCCTACCAGGGCCCGGTCCTACCCAGCTCTGGCCGTAGATGTCGCATCCGGGCTTCTCGATGAATGGGTGCTTTTTGCAGTAGACGACGGTAGGGTCGGGCTTTCGGGCGCCTTTGCCGTCGGTGGGATACAGTAATCGCGGTAGATGGCATCGGGGGCACAGGATATCCGTCGTCGTCTTGAGAGGGTTGCCTTTTAGGAGCACCTTGCCATCCTCGTAGATGGCGGCATCCGTCTCGACTCGCACGTCGGGTCTTGAGTCGGGCGTCGAACTCTCCGAGGCATCTGAAGCCAACTTCTCCACTCGAATGGCGGCAGTGGTCGCTCTAGCCGTCTTCTCCTCCCGGTGCGTCTTCATCAACAGATCCGACACGATGTTGTACAGCACATCATCGAGCACCGAATGCGCCTAAAGCAAACAAAGGGCAGGCATTGTCAGCAGCTACATCTCACCAGAGAGATGACTCGAGGCATTGATTGGCGATGCGATGCATGCAGCAATGCTCCTCTTCTATGGGGACGGCGGCGGCAGCGCAAAGCCAGCAGCGCCTTAGCCTCTGGGGCCCAGCAAGAAGTGGTGCTCCGGCCTAAAGGGCGGGAATGGGAAATGCATCAAATCGACGACTCACCAGTTTATCCATGCTGCCAGCATCATCACGGGCACGGATGATGCCCGCCCGACCCGAGGCTGAATTCATGATGGGCGGCTGCGAGCCCTGGATGGGGGACCAAGGGTGAATAAGATAAACAAGGTAAGATAATAAAAAATTAAAAAAGTTCCCAGCACAGCTGAGGTGTGTGTGGTGCGTGGAGTGTGCGTGTGCCGGCTTCTGTGCAACTTGGCGTCGTGTGATGAATGACGGAGGAATCCCGGGCGGAATGGAACGGTGCCGGATGTATCGCCCCCGGCTGATCTGACGGAAGGCTAAAGACAAAGCGAACAGAGGATGATGATTAAGGTTCGAGGTTGGAAAGCGAGTGATGCTGCTAGCATCGAAATAGTGGTTCGCCGCAGCGGCTCCTTTCGTCACAGCACGCTTGCACTTTGCACTAGGCACCGTGCACCATGATTTTCGCTGCGTAAAGTCGGGGGTTGGGCCGTGGGCGTGCTGTGAAGGGGTGATTGCTGGATTCTCTGGTTTTGGATTCTTGGCCACGAATCGGTTTCCTCGCGATGGAGATGAAGGATCAAAGGCGACAGATGAAGGAATTGATGGTGGTTGATTCTCCCTTTCTGCGGGCTGCGTCGAGCGGTTTGTGCGCCCTCGCTGTCTGGTTATTTATGCAGCGTGGCGAAAGGCAGAGCGTCTCTCTTTCAGCTCTGCTGGCTGCAAGGCCTTCTGTGGGTGGATTTGCGAAAAGAAGTTTAAAGGCTAAATCGAGCGCAGTGCAGAATCGGAGTTGCGATTGAGGCCAGACGCACCCCATGCTCGCTTGCCTGCTGACTTTACAGTGGCTGCCCGCTCTATAAGGCAGTTGCATGGTCGCTAAAACCTCCGTTGTAGTCACTGGGTACAGGTACTGGGCGCTTCTGTAGCCGCTGGGGGTCTAGGGGCCGTCAGGGAGCCTGTAGGAGGGAGCACTCGCTGATTAGCGGTACTTTACAGGTACCGTCTCGCTTGCGCCGCAGTGCAGCTCTCTGCAGCCAACAAGCCGAGCCCAGCAACATCCCTTACAGGCTTCATACACCCAACAAGAGCGAATCCGGCCAGCAGACGCCCAGAATCGAGAGCAATCTCTTCTCGGCGACCCCCCCTCCCCTGCCCGCATCGCGCAATCACAGATTCGCACATCGATTTGCAGATTACGTACATGTACACACAGATTTGCATCGCACATCGCCGCCCAGTCACAGGCAGCGTCGGCAAAAACCGCCCAGCCACGCGAAACTCTCTCGCAGTTCAGTCCCCTGAAACGCCGCCCAATCTTATCGCTGTGGCTGATAAGAACGCCGCTAACGTAGAGATGGAGTTGATCGCAGAACCGTTTTTGCAAGCAGCCACTCGAGACTCCGGAATTACTCCGCCGTCAGACGGTCCCCTGAATGGATATAAGTCAAGATCGGCAGGCTATCCAGAAAACCCATTGACACGTTCCACTCCAGAATCTACGTGTTTGCTTGCATTCTTGCGGCTCTTCTCCGGAGACTTGGTTCCCTTTGCATTGATTCACTCACTGATCCGAGATTGTTTGTTTTAACTCTCGCCCTCTCTTTAATTCCCCCATCTCTTTGTTCCATCATCCTTCTCTTGTCCACCCACGCGACCTCGTCAATCCCTTCTTCACCCCCCATCCTTCGTTTTATACCTGCCTGCTCGCCATGTCACTCCCCACCACCAGCAAACCATCGCAAATGTCTATCCGATCCTTCTTCCAGGCCAAGACGCCCAAATACGCTCCTCCTCCGTCACAAAGCCAAAATAGCAGTAATAACAGCAGCAAAGACATCGCCGTCGACGCCTCTACGATTCCTCTCTCTTCTGTACCCGCCACATCAACATCACCACCTCAATCGCAATCGCAGTCCCATCCTCTCTCCGATCTCACCCCGCATCGGACGTCTCCCAATCCAAGTCCAAGCTCAAATCCGAATCTACCCCGCGAAGCCGCCATCCGCGCCATCATCCCAGCCGACATCAACGCCCTGCGCCGCCTCAACTCCCTCCTTCTACCCGTCAGCTACCCCGAGACTTTCTACAACCGCGCCGCCGACCCCGTCACCGGCCGCTTCTCCCGCGTCATCACCTGGTCCCACGATGGCAGCGAGCCCAAGCCCATAGGCGGCATCGTCTGCCGCGTCGAGCCCGACATTGACGTCCGAGCCCCAGACGGCGGCCCCCAGGTGCCCCAGAACCTGTACATCCAGTCGCTCTGCCTGCTGTCCCCATACCGCTCAATGGGTCTCATTGCCGCTGCGCTGGACAACGTCATTGCCGCTGTCGTGACGGACCCGGCATTGGATGTCCGGACTGTGACGGCGCACGTATGGACCGAGAATGAAGAGGGTTTGCACTGGTACAAGGCGAGAGGCTTCGAGAAGCACGAACCAGCTATCAAGGGCTACTATCTCAAGCTGCGTCCCGACTCAGCCTGGGTCGTCTCCAAGCCCGTCGGCGCTTCCGTGCTCAATGCCCTTCCCTCATCAACACCGCCCATCTCTCGACCTAATATAACCAGCACCACCGCTGCAGTCATGAGCCTTCCGCCAATGACGAGCCAGATACCGCCGCCTGCTGCTGCTGGTGCTCCTGCCACTCCTCCCGCTGCCAGTAACGGTGCTCCCCCGGCGACAAGGCCTCCCGTCAGAGTCGCATCAGGCCAATCCTTCCAGAACCAGCGCCCCGAGACAGAGTGGAATGACCTCCCCGCGGACATGGCGCCGACTCTTCTCGGGCCGCCAAAGAATGGCAGCGAACCCGGATCTGGCGCGAGCTCGAGGAGCAGCTCCACCGTAAGGAAGAAGAGAGATAGATCTTATCCAGCCGCCGCATTTGGACAATAGGAACAAAAAAAAAAAAAAGCGAAAAAAAAGACATTGGCGCCATAGAACTTCTAGGTGAAACGATTCTATAAACTACGAATAATGCACTCCGTATGGGAGTCACGAATTACCACAGCGATTGATGATGTAGACTTTTCAAATAACAAACTAGAAACACTTTTAATACGACTCTGAGAATAGAAATCACTTCTTCTCCTTAGTGCAGTCAGTCTACTTATTCATCACGTAGACTTCCAAAGAAAAATGAAGACACGGTTACATAAAAACATAGACATACAAACATATAAATAGATAGTTGATGTCTCCATAGCGTACATGACAATCGTACTAAACCCGTCCCATCAACGAGATTCTTTGATATCCAGAAAAAACTTTTTGTCCACAAGTGCAATGACGCCTCCTATAATCTTTGATATCCCCCTTCCAAACGTCGGTGTAAAAAAAAAAAAAAGAAGAAGAAGCCGTAAAACAAAATTAGAATCAGTTATAAAAAAACAGCCTCCCCAGATTATACAGCGCCTAAACATGCCACCTCTTTAGTTGCTGAGCCTAAAGCTGCTGTATCTGCTCCATAAAAATGCAGCAAGTGCGCCAATACCAACGCCGCCCGCAACCAATGCTGGAAAAGACAAAAGTGATGATTCCTCCGCTGGAAAGTAGGTTAGCATGCCTGAGGGCATTCAAGAGGGAGAGGAAACTATACCAGGTGATTCAAATGGCTGAGACAGTCTCCGCTTAATATCCCGTCGCAGGTCAGCAAGGAAATCTCCAGGCTTCTCCATCTTCTGCGCAATCAAAGCAATCAACGCTGCGCCAACTCCACTACCGTCCTTAGCGATACCGATGCGAATCTTATCCGCGCCACTGGGGCCAATGCCGTCGATGGCACGCAGAGCTTCATAAATCATATCTCGGAAGAACGGGTAGTGCTCAACCAGACTGCCGTCCACACCAATGTCGACAATCTCTTCTTCGGGGTCGTCTAGCTTTCCTGATTGGAGAACGATGGCACCAATTGCGACAGCTGATAGTCTAGCCGCTCTGCGGACAACAGCGCCTGCAACAGCCTTGAATGCTTGCGCATCTTCCAAAGAGGGAGTATAAACTTGGAGCGTGTTCTCCAACTCTTGTCGGATAGTTGATAGCTCAGGAGTGTTGTCGGCCGCAGCTACGGACAAGATGGCAGTGTCCAGTCCCCATTGGGACAGAAGTCCAGACTTAGGGCTGATGTTTGTGGTGGTTGACCAATCATTGTAGCTGGAGTTTGTGTCGCGGAATAAGGATGTGTCCTCGTCCTTGATCATGTCTGCAACCGCCAATCGTACAATCTCGCCCAGGAACATGCCCGAGACTCGCTTCTCGTACATCTGAATGCCCGGGTTGACACTGTCTCTGTCCAGAGCGGCGTCCCATACCGTTGAGGGGAGAACGTTGAGCTGGTTATCAAAGGAGCCCCACTCAGTGTTGATGACCATTTCGCCAGTTGAGGTATTGTATTCGCCCTTGATTGGCTTCTTGATATTTGATGTCTTCTCGATGTAGGCGCCATTAGTACCCGTGCCAAAGATGGCACCAAGGATAGAGCGGTGCTTTCCGGCAGAAGTGTATGAACGAGCCATGAGTGTTCCTACGGTGTCGTTGACCAAGGCAGCGACCTTGACCGGAAGACCAAGTCGATCAATCTCGTCTTGGAGAAGCTTGCAGACATCTTTGCCGATTGCATCGGGAATGTCGAAGCCCTTGGTCCATCGGATCAGCTTGCCCTTGTTGATGCCAAGCTGCTGGACTGGGAAGCTGAATGTGAAGCCAAGGCGAAAGATCTGCTCATCGTGGTAGCCCTCGGGGAAGCTACTGGTGTTGCGACGAGATGTCGCGCCCTCGAAGTGCTCTTTGTGGTGCTCTCGGAGGAAAAGCTCAATCTGCTTCGCCAAGAAGGCGAAAAGATCTCTTGCGGTCTTGGCGACCATGAGATTCTTGGGAATGGCAACCTTGTTGTAGGTCAGGTTGAAAGTGCTGTCGCCGTTGAGAGAAACGGAGCAAACGCGAAAGTTTGTGCCGCCCAAATCTACGGCTAGATAGACACCCTAAAAAACGGAGCCGAATTGTTCAGTTTGATGGCCCCTCTTCAGCTAAGCTCGGGAATGAGTGAGATTACTTACGCTCTCAGTGCCGTCGGGCACGGCAGTTACGTAGGAAGGAATTTGGCTGAGACTGGTTCCATCTTCTTTCAATCCCGACTCTACGATGATGTTGATGTTAGTAGTGAACGCAAGCAGTTGAGCGCAAGCAGTTGGGCACAAGCAGCTGCAAGACCAGCTCCAGCTCAATGCCATGAGGAATTGCGGCAAAACATACCGGTCTGCTTCAGGAATTCTTGGACATGGCGATTGAGCTCCTCGTCCGAAAAGTCGAACTCGGAGACAATCTTGTTTGTGTGCTCTGCTAGACCCATGGTGAGGACTCGCGACGTTGGTGGTGAGAGTGTGAGGTGCGTCAGTCGCGGGCAGATGAGGTCTTCTTGGATCGTGAGCTGAGAGGTCAGAGAAGAGAGTGGCCAGTGAGCTGTTGGAGGAAGATGGAGATGGAGAAAGGAGAAAAGCTGGCACGCCCACGGGAGCTGGAAGATGAGTGCGTCGACCTTGGCGTCATGGAGCACGAGATGAACGAGCTAGAAATCGGTAGCAATAAACGTTAGCGGCCAGACACTATCGTGGGTACGTTATACTTTGCGCATTGATGCGGATTGAGTGCAGCGAGCATGGATCGCACAGGGATTAGCCCCAACTCTGGGGACGGCGCGGGGCGGTTTTTGGCCGAGAGCTCCATGCTTAGCGCAGCCTACCACTGAGACTCCCGCAGACGTGGACGCGGCCAGCGAATCATGGCGGCCAAGGCTCAGGTCTCTCCACCCATCACACGCCGGAGCAGCTCCAGAGGCTTTGGAGCTGATGGCCACCGGAATATCCGTCCAAGCTGCAAACTCTGGAATGTTCCCCAAGGGACACGGGCATCCACTGAGGAGCTGGTCGTGCCTAGCTGTTACGTCGGTACGGGGCAGAGGACGGAGTGACGTGGGCGCTGGAGAGTTTCCAGAACAGCTTGGGGCAGAATGACGATGGAAATGAAAGCACACTCACGAGAGCCAGCAGCACTAACAGCATGGATAGCAGCCACACATGATTGGCAATGGGCTGCGTCGACCTGCGTCCGGCGCATTGCTCGGTTTGCCCTCGCACCACCCTGTCGCTCTCACCACCACCGCGCCACGAGGCGCCGAGGCCTCGAACCTTGTCCTGGTGGCACGCCGTCTTGACGGTAGGATCCTGTGCAGCTAACAGAGCAAAATTAAGCAATTGGACCCCCAAAATTCGGCCAAGGTCCCCCAATTCGCGTCATCACTCACAGTACATGCTCCAGCCTACAGCCGCTATCAAGCCTCAAACGCTCCCACGGGATTGTACTCCGTATGAGAAAACCCTCGCGCAGTCAGCCGTGGAGAAACAACCGTCCATGGAGACGCCCGCATACGCAACTGCGGAGCGAATGTGGCCCAAGCTGGAGACGCTGGTGAAAAGGGCCGTATACTGACGATGTACTCCGTACAAGTAGTACTCGTTCTGCGCACGAGAAATTTGGTGGTAAAAATGTCCGTCCTAACAGAATGGAGAAAATTCGCGCGATTTTCGGCTGGGTGGCTGTCGGATTGGCGACTCAGAGCTCCCCAGTGGCGTCCATTGAGTGGTGCTGCGGATTTGGCCCCTGTATGGTTTAATTTCCCCCCAAATGGCCCGAAGATGCAGGATGCAGGCACAGCGTACCACTCAAAACGCCAAACTGCGAAGGCCGGACGATCACGACGCTGCAATGCAATGGCACGATGACCAGCAGCGAGGAATTTCGCCGAACTGCGCAGTCAGGCTGAGCCGGGAACCTTCGAGCTGCAGCTCTATATCACGGCCGGCCTTCAATCGCAGAGACTAGCGTCAAGTTAGGTGCCAGCTCCTATGCGAGACTTGGGAAATGCCGAAAAAAAGGGAAGCCAAACCTGCAAGAGCGAATTGTTGAGGGTGTGGTAAGGGGGGCAACAGAGATAACGCCAGCAGCAACAATTGGAAAAGGGGTTTGCTGAATGCCTGACAAAGCGAAATAGCGTGGTAAGAAAAAAGAGAGAGAGAGAAATGAAAAAGATCGAAAAAAAAAAAAAAAAAAAAAAAAAAAAAAAAAAAAGANAAAAAAAAAAAAAAAAAAAAAAAAAAAAAAAAGACACTCAGAGTATCAAGGATCTTCTGCAGTGCGCTCCTCTTCGCGTAGATGGTGGTTTTGCTTGCTTGATCCTGTTAAATTGTCTAAGTCTAACAAGACAAAGAGCTTAGGTACTCGATCACAAATGACAAATGAGAGGGTGTGCTATGCAGCCATAGATCAACATGCTATGTCTTACTCAGGGCTCTTATATAACTTCGTCAGATGCAGACAAAGATGGGGAATTCCCTCCCTCGAGCCGAGCAATCAGCCATTGGCGCGGGGAAGCTGGTCTGTTTTCAGCGAAAAGCGACTGGTCCGTCTCCGGGTCTTTAAAAGGCGGTAGGTATTTGATAATATCCCCTCGCTCGCCCATTTTAGCCTGACTCAAGAATTTTTTTAATTTTTTTCTTATATTACTTGTACGTAACTTGGGGAAATGGCCCATTACCCTCCGGCTATCTGAGTAGAGAGGCCCGAGAGTCTGGGAAAACTGTCTGGCCCCAACATCGTACTGGCCAAGCTGTATACAGACGGCAACATGCATTAATACGGCGGCAAACGTGGGTTGAAAGCGAACCAGCGCTGGGCCAAATCGCAGCAACGTGGGCATGTGGACCACCTTCCAAAAAGGAAGCAAATGAGGCCAGATATCAAAGCGGATCCTAGCAGAGATGAATAACGGCATGGCCCTCAAGTCTGCCTCGAAATAACGAGAAACGCCGCGAGCAAGAGCCCTGAACACACTAGGAAAACAGTATTTCGATGCTCATCGCCTAATCTAAGGGTTAGCAGGATTATTGTATACGGGGAAAGTGGAACGGTTTTGAAGGACCCTGACCATCACGATCGAGACTGTGTACAACAACCACGAAGATATTCAGTGGTAGTCTAAGAGTGCTATACACTCCACCTCGCACAGAATCATCGACTACATTACTTTTGATGAGTGCCATTCTTGGGAAATATATCCCAACACAACCCTCAATAACACAAAAGGCCCAAAAGAGTAAATGCTCATGGCCAAGCATAGTTGAAACGGCAAACGCTGCAGAAGCTATGATGAATATGAACGAGAGTGTATCCATTGTTATGCTGTTCGAAAATAAAGCATTCCGAGTCGTCGATATGCTAGATCCGGCCATCATTGCGCACATGAAGCTCGAAAAGATGAGACCAAGAGGGAGATCATCCTGATATCCTGACTTTACTCTGGCACTCCCCAAGGCGGCCGGCCAGAAGAATACGAACAGGTACATTGAGCCCTCAAAGCAACACGAAGCAAAGACCAGGGCTGCGACCTGGGGGTTGACCAATGTTACAAGCATGCGAAGTTTGAGCGTCTGAGATTCGGGGCTTCCTTTGCAAGTTTCAGTGCTGCCATAATTTTCTCGCCATGCTGCCAAGATGAAGATGCCGGCCCCAATGCAGCAGCCAAGGCTGGCCAGAAACGGTGCCAGCGAAGAATCACAATATTGAACGAGACCATCTCCTAACACGCCAGAGCATACTGCTGTGATGCTGCTGATGGTTGTCATGCTAGCAAAGACGGTGCAGAGAGAAACTCTGGTTTCTTCCAGGCGCGACAAGTGGTATTCAGTAATCATCCAAGCCTCGAAGACACTGAAGAGCAAAGTTGTAGCAATCCCGCCGAAGAATCGGCCAACGTATAAGATCTTAAGATTGTAGCTTAGCATCGCCAGACATGTAATCCCGTAGCAGACACAGTAGGCAACACATGCAGTGCGTCTTCCGTAATGATCTGCGAGCTGTCCAGCAAAAGGGGCGCTGGCAGCACCCGACACAAAGCCAAAAGCATATAAAAGAGCGACTGTCTGTTCTGCCAGCTGCTTTTCGTACTTGTATACAGCGTAGGTGTATGGTCCCTGTGTGTTGTACCTCGTATTAGTCCGGCATGTAGAGGAAGGGAGGCTTGATTATATCTTTGTACACACTTGAAGCCAATCGGCCGCGACCACCAAAGTGTAGACAAGGAGGAATTGCCGTTGAAATCGGACAGCAATTACTTCTTTGGGCTCGTCCTCTTGGGTGCTGCGATGACACGGCTTGTGATTTCGAGGGCGATGACGATAGAGGAAAAAACAAGCATTGACCAGAGCCAAAATGGCCAAGTTTGCCTGATAGAAGTTCATTATGAACGGACCTTTGCGTCTCAATATTGCCGGTATTAACAAGACGGATTCGCCTCTCTTAGCTTTATATGGAGAAGAGTTGCACATTACGCTTGGCAATAGGAGATGGAGCCTCCTGCTCGGGTTGCGTCGCTCTTTCCATTTCAATGCGAACCTGTAACTACCCCTTGAGACAATTTGCCCTAAATCAAGACGGTGCATGTAACTGAAGTACCTGCCTGGTAGGCAAGACAACTTAATATTAATGCCAATTGGTAGTAGGCATCTGCAGCAGTAATGATGAAATGGCAAGTATGTTGAGTGTACGTGCTTTAGAGGCGGAATATGCTAATGCTACCCGGGAACGCGTGGTGCAATATGGACGGACCTCAGCAAACTCAACAAGTCGCTTTATAAAATGTGCAGGTTAGATGATTATATTTAGGTGAAGTGGTATATATTCAAAATTGGATAATAAGGAGGAAAAATCAGTTGGAGCTGTCGTACTGTATGTTTGGAAGTAATATAAGAAAGTCACAGGTTTCACATGTTAAAGAGGAAAATTGGAAAGGCAGCAAAAAGATGTGCTACTACTGAGCGTATAGAATCCAACCCATTTCAGTAGCTGACAATTCAATGATGAGTAAATAAATAGTGAGCGAAAAGCAAAAAGAGAAGGGGCCAGCCAACAAAAAAGAAATTTAGAAAAGGATATCCGTTCGTTACAAGCAACGAATATCCCGATAATTTGTTGCAACGGGCAAAAAATTGCGGCCTGTGTGGATCGAACACACGACCTTCAGATATCAAGTGACTTGAAGTTGGAACTTCAGTCTGACGCTCTCCCAGCTGAGCTAAGGCCGCAAGGTTTTCGTTGGAGAAAATGCAAGCGTTAGACGATATTAGAACCATACAGATAACACAAAATATGTGGAGACGTGCGCTTGATTTATAGTGGGGATTTGATTCGCTGCGGCTCTGCGGCGGCGGCGGCGGCCATGCCTGCGAGGGCTAATAATAGCCCGCTGTCTCTTGGAGACGGCTTACACACTACCCACCGTTTTGGGGCATATGAATTGAGGCCGGCCAGGGACGAAAGGAGTTCTACAGCCTACAAGAGATCCATACCGCAGTACGTATGGCATTACCAATTGTGATGCTCTCCGCGCTAGTCGAAACCTATAAATACCAGGCCCCGATATCTCTCGCTGGAGAGTCAGGTCCCTGACAGCTAAGGTAGGTAGGCATAGAATAGTTACTACTGCTAGGTAGTTTCAGTAAATCTGGCAGTGGCCCCACCGTTCCGCGAAGAACGAGAAGCGGGCTGCAGCCCAACCGACCCCCGCCTTGCCCAAACAAAGTCCTACCCGCCAAGAGCAAAAGTCCTGGGCTAGTGCTGCCACAGGACATACAGCGCAATGGCTTCTGGCCCTGGGACAAGACGAGTCCTCCATCTCATTGTGGCTAGCGGAGGTGGTGGCCATTTCTTGTCCTATATCACGACATGTGAGAATAGAGAGATAACTCGAATGAGATGGAATAGGGCGCACAGCCTGTCTCCGGCACGTGGCGCGCCATTTGGAAACAGAAAGGGCAGCAGAATTTTATTCAGCGCTTGTATCGATTTCCGAGTGGCTTTGCCCCGCCTCTCTCGATCACCGCCTCCACCAGTACCGTACGGAGTGCATGCTTGCTTGTACAAGGGAAGAGCAAAAGCCCACTTTGTGCCTGTTTTGCGACTCGGGATGCGGAGATGCTGTTTCGTGAGGCGGTGTTTGCCACGCTCTTCACGCTCTCCAATCCGTTCAGCCACTGAATGAAGATGGACCAGAGAAACGCTGTAGAGCTGCTGGGCCCATCGATATCCTATTGCGTTTTCAATCCAGATCTGCCCTATTACTCGCCTGCATCGCTAGCACCAGGCGAGTTTGTCACTAGCCCCGCTGCTGTGGCTTCTGCCATTGCTGATCGCTGGCGTCTCGACTTCTCAGCCGCACGGGCTACAGCGCCGTGTACATGCGGCCAGACCTGCACCCTGCAGGTTCCTAGGCCAGCTAAACAGCCATAGCTCAAAGAGACTGCATGAGGGACTGAGCATGGTCTGAGCTGAGTGGAGGAGGTGAGGCAAAGAAGGGGGGAAAAGTGAAATGAGTTGAAGTGCCAAAAAAAAAAAAAAAAAAAAAGACTTAGCAGGACAGATAGTAGAAGACGGTCTGGTATACAGTTGCGTTCCTGGCACGGTACCAGCCACAGGGCCATATAAGAGGGTCTGGTGGTAGCGCACACAACGCTCTACGGGGACCAAATACGGAGTGCATATACGGGCGGAGAAGCTGGTTGACGTCAAGTCGATTCCGTTTTGCAAGTACCGACGCAAGCAGCTATCAAGCAGTCACCTTGCTGCTGCGTAGACCATGTACAAGTACGTGTAGCTGGAGCTTGCAATGCTGGCAAACGTTCGCAGCGTTCGTAGCTCTACCCGAGTTTCCAAGGGCTGGCGTATTACTGTGGTTCCTGCTGCGCAAGGCACATCGCCGGGCCCTGCTTAGGCGTTCTCAAGGTGCGGCTCAGCCCTGCCAACGCGTTGGGTCGGCTTGCACAGCCAGGCCCGGCCTCGTGTTGCTAAATTCTGACTGCCAGCCCCGGGGGCGCGTTGCGGTGCTTGTCCAAGCCCAGTCCTCAGGTAAGCAAGCGCTCGTACGAGTACGAGAGAAAGAGGCGGCGAGTCCTGGCCGTGTCCTGCGCTGCTACATACATACGCTGGAGAGAGAGATAGCCCTCTGTGCCCTCTGTTACGGAGACATTGAACTGTTGCGTTGCGCCCTTTCCGGCTCCCCTCCCCTTCTCCATCTGCCAAGCACGGTACCCAGCAGTACTTCAATCGCTGTCGGGCAGCAGCGCTCGTCCTACCTCTAGCACGGGCGTCCTAACTCTCCGTCCTATCGCAAGCTCCAGAACCTGTCAGCGCGGACACTAAATTTAAAAAAAGAGGAAAAAAAGAAAAGCTGCTGCTATTTCCACCACCACACCTCTGCTGCCGACCTGATCTTACACTATCAATCGATCTAGGCCTAATCCTCTCGCCCCAGCACCCTGCCTGCGCCTTTGCCTTCCCCCATCGTATCGCCCGTCCGGCCTCCCCTCCACTCCCTCCTCCTTCATCTTCCCTTCGGGACCTGTCCTTCTTTTCCTCCTCCATATGAGTTCGCTGAACTCCCGCTTCAAGAGCTTTGGTCTCGGCAAACGCAAATCCGTCGCCAGCATTCACAGCATCCAGCAGCCAGTGCCCCCCACCAGCGCCAGTACCCCTCCTCCCGGCCAAATACCTCAACACCAGCTCCCGCATCCCGGCCAGACGCCTCCTCCAGGCGCCGCGTCGTCCACCACCAGCCTCCCGATGAACCACCCAGGCCAGGGCGCGCGTCCGCCCAGCTACTCTGCCGGCAGCTATCCGCAACCGCCTCAGGGCCAGCCCATGGGCCGCACGAGTCCCATGAACCCCGGCCAGAATCGCACCCCGCCGTCGCAGATGACTGGAGGCCCTCCCCCGATCAACACAGGAGCTCCCGCTGGATACCCGCCAAACATGAATCCCATGGGCCAGATGCCTCCGGGAATGCCTCAGGGCGGCCCTCCCGGCTTTGGCCAGCCTACGGGATACCCTCCTGGACCCCCGCCTGCGGGAGGACCTATTGCGCAACAGTTCCAGCAGGGCAACCCCGCGGCCGAGGTTGAGGGTGCCAGCCGAAGCAAGGCTCAGCTCATTGTTGGCATTGATTTTGTTAGTAACCCTTTGATTCCCAAGCTCTCAAACTTTATTTTGCCCTTGTCCACGTGCTGGGCCCTGTCTCGGCAGTAGAAATACGAGCTATACATGGCCTGCTGGAAGAACATGGGGAAAAGAAAATGAGAGAGAGAAAGAGAGAGAGGGGGAGAGAGAGAGAGAGAGAGAGACAAAAGAAGACAAACGACACTTTCTAACACGCTGCTATTCATAGGGAACAACATTTTCTGGTGTCGCTTTCGCTTTCGCTACTAACAACGAGGCCAAGGAAGACATCATCACAGAATGGCCCGGTGCGGGTTCATACACTAAGCAGAAGGTGAGCAGTGTCAAGACAATGATGGCGCCACACAAACGCTTGAACTAACTCTAAATCAGATCCCCACTGTCCTCTACTACGACCAATATCAAAAGGTGGTCGGCTGGGGCCCCGACATTGCCGATGCTCTGGCACCGACTGGCTACCCCAAGCCAGGAGTCCAAAAGGTTGAGTGGTTCAAGCTGCAGCTGATGCTTAGCGGCAACACATACATTGACCCCATCAACCTGCCTCCTCTGCCTCCAGGAAAGTCCGAGATCGATGTCGCTGCCGACTACCTCTTCAAGCTCCGCCAGGCTATGCGATCATCGCTGCAGAAGACTCTCGGTGAGGTGTTCAACAGAGAAGAGCGAAATATCCGATACTACCTCACTGTACCGGCTATCTGGAACGACGCAGGCAAGGCTGCCACTCGAGCTGCAGCTATTCAGGCCGGCTTCCTGCGTGACGAAAACGACAACCGCCTGACTCTTGTTTCCGAGCCCGAAGCAGCAGCCCTGTTCTGCTCCAAGACGGGTCTGCTCAACCTCAAGGTGCACGATGCCGTCTTGATTGTTGATTGTGGTGGAGGTACTGTCGATTTGATTGCCTACGAAGTCGAGGATGAGAATCCTTTTACCGTCGCCGAGTGTACTGCCGGTTCTGGTGATTCGTGCGGTTCCACAGCCCTGAACCGCAACTTTAGCAACATCCTGCGGACCAAGATTCGAAAGATGAAGCTGCCCGACGGATCCAAGACAGCCGGCCGTGTCTACGCCAAGTGTATCATGGATTTCGAGAACCGAATCAAGGCAGATTTCCGAAACAATGGCCAAAAGTGGGCTGTTGATGTCGGCATTGAGGCTGAATTCCCCGAGGCTGGCATCGAGGAAGGCTACATGACCTTTACCAACGAAGAAATCCTGCAGTGTTTCGAGCCTGTCGTAAACAGAATTCTGGAGCTGGTGCGAAACCAGATCATCGCCATCCAGGCCCAGAACCGTACGCTCCAGAACATCTTGGTTGTAGGTGGATTTGGTGCTTCCGAGTACCTGTTCCAGCAGATCAAACTTCATGTGCCCCCTCAGTTCCAGTCCAAGGTGGTCCGACCCATGGACTCGGTGGCTGCCATTGTCAAGGGTGCCGTTACCGCTGGTATTACGGAGCGTGTCATTACTCACCGTATTGCCCGACGCCACTACCTCATGGCCACCCTGCAGCCCTTCAAGGAAGGCTACCACCCCGAGGCCTACCGAGTACCGTCGCTTGACGGCAAGGACCGATGCAAGTTCACGAGACAAATCTTTGTGCACAAGGGGCAAAAGGTCAAGAACGGAGAGCCTTACAAGGTTTCCTTCTTCAGACAGGTTGCTCCTGGAGCTACCCTCATGTACGAAGATGTTTTGTACGCCTGTGACGATGACGTCTGCCCAGAGTATACCAAAGATCCTCGTAAGTGTCCCTCCTTTTTCTAACTTACCTGATATCTCTTGATAGGTACTCAGTGATATAATTTGCAATTGATAAACTAACGTCTTTACCCAATAGGCATCAAGGAAGTTGTTACCCTTACATCTGACCTGTCTCGCAAGAACCTTGAGAAGGACTTCGAGCGAATGGATACGCCTCAAGGTACCTTTTACAGAGTATACTTTGACATTTACCTGACTCTGGACGGCTCGGAGTTCAGTGCGGAGCTTGTGTGCCAAGGCGAGGTTATGGGCCGCTGCCGAGCCCGCTTCAGGTAAAAGAGGGAGAAAATTAGACGAAGAAGCCTTTAACAGTACATACGTTGTTTGAAGCCGAGAGCTTTGATTCAGACAGCTAGCACGCGTTTGAGGTCAAAGATATATACACATGATACCTACCTGGGGATGCAGGCGAAAAGAGAGGAAGAATATAAACGATCCAGCGGTATTTTAATATAACCGGCGGAGTGCTCGGAGAGGACCAAGGAGGACAAGGGGGGGTTTTTATTGCCACATTAGCAGCATACTTTTTATCTTTTTTTTATTTTTTTCAATTTTTTTTTCTGATGGATGTTGGATTCGGATGAGAAACAAGCCGAAAGCATGGCATGCTTTGACACGTGCTTTTGCTTGTTGATTTGAGGAAGATGACGAATGAAACGAAAGGGAAGATTACGACTGGCAATGTTATTAATAGACAGTCTAAAAGGGTAGACCAAGGAATATGTTAGTCCATTCGAGTGCAGTCTCCACGAGGTGTAGCAGTGATGTTTAGTTCATTTGCCATATTGCTTTACACGATAATACATTGTAGCATGGGAATCATAAGACTTACTGTTCAGGTGCTCACCCAAGGTACTAAGCCAGATATTGCAGACCTCAAACTTGATCTGACTCTACTTGGCAGGTACAAGTATTTGGTATCTGTAGATGCTATTTTTGGCATTATGGCGACAACATCGGGAGGTGTGCTCAAATGGCTCCTGCATTCTCGCAACCCGACCGCGACTCAATTTGGAGATGCCTCGTAGCCGGATGGACTATCGAGCGGAAGGAGGCACATGGGCTCGTCTTTAATCTCGCTGCAGCTTTATAGGGTCAAATCTTTGTTTTGTCATCCCTTTTCTCTACTTTCCAGTATCAATATTTAAAAATTTCCTGCTCACAGCACCGATTTACTATCGATTCACATATTTAGCCCTCGTTTACACTCCTGGTTGTCGACTCTCCCTCTTCTCTTCAATTCTTACTTCTTCCTTGATCTTTTTTTTCTTTCCAATAATATACTATTAGACACCGTTGTACTGGAGACAACGGATACTCTTCAACCCTACTTATCATCTTGATGTGTTACTCTGCACCTTAAGACGCGCTGCCAATTGCCGGCGCAACCGCTTCTTTTTGCGACCTTCTTCTTCCCTTCTCTTGGTAAAGCCATTGTTGACTGTGCCTTCGCCGCCCTTTGTTCATCTGTTGCTGCAAACTTTCACGAGTTGCTTTGGATTAGGACAACTCAGGCGGCCAAACACGCAAACAACTAGATTTTACGACTGAGTCGATCGCCCTCTAGTCCATTAGATCTCAAGAAAAAAAAAGCCTTGCTCGTCTGGTAATCAGGTATGGTAACACCTTTGTCTCTATATAATGGTCCTGAATTTAATTAGATCCACGGCTGTAGTCTCTAAGTGAGTTGGACACGCCTTCATCAGACTAGAGCCATGGTATATATGTCGGGAGCCTCGAGACAGAATACAGGCAACAGGCATTCTATGACCGAGCAAGCGCTACTAACGCTGATATGCGCCCTGCTATTAATTCCTGGCACTCAAGCAGCACAGGATTCATTTATGAACCACAACTGGCAAGCTGCCTTCTTCAGCGAAACCTCGGACAAGCCGCAAAGATTCATACGGGGGCCTCCCGGCGATTCCGACGAGAAAATTCCGCTGGTAGTAACAAACAAATGCGACTCGACAATATGGCCCGGCGTCGCCACTCAATCTGGAACTGGTCCGGGGATTGGAGGGTTCGAGCTGGCGACCAACAAAAGCAAGAAGCTATAGGTAGGCCCTGACTGGCAAGGTCGCGTATGGGGGCGGACGAACTGTACCGTGAATGGGGAATCATGCGCCTGCAAGACGGGAGATTGCTTCGCAAAGATGGACTGTGAATTCAGCGTAAGTGGTAGTTACTCTATCTTTGATATCTTGGACTGCTAGGCGTTGGGAAGACAAGCCTTAATATGAGCTGCAATAGGGAGCTACACCTGCAACACTGGCAGAGTTCAACCTCGCTGGCGGAGTTGACAACATGCAAACCTTTTACGATATTTCTCTCGTCGACGGCTACAATATCCCCATGGGCATCAACTACATCCCTGCCAAGAACACCACCTTTATCCCGCCGAATCTTACAAACTGCGCTTGCATCGCCACCACCGGCTGGGTATTCCCGCCGACGAGCAACGGTACAGGCACCTTTTACTCCAACGTAACTTACCCGATTCCTCTAGAGTCTGAAGAGACAAACGAAAGTGTTAGCGGGTGGTGTCCTTGGCTGAATCTTGCTTTCCCTCCGACTCATCCCGGAAATGGCATCTACCCCTATCCTGATGACAACGTTGAGCGGCCCGCCTTTGCTCCATGCAACAGCGCCTGCGCAGCCACAGGCACAGACAAAGATTGCTGCATTGGCAAATACCACGACCCCAATATTTGCAAGCCGTCACAGTATAGCAAGTCAGTCAAGGCCGTGTGCCCCGATGCCTACAGCTTCGCCTTTGATGATCAGCAATCGACGTTTATTATTCCCAAGGGCGGAGGCTGGGAAGTTGTCATGTGCCCCGAGGGACGGTCGACTGACATTCTCCGCAAGCTGGGAGCTGAAATGTTCGAGTTGGCGAGCGGCGGTAGATTATCGACACATTCGCTCAAGAGACTCAGAAACGCGACGTATATCAGGGAAGAGCGGGGATCCGCGGGTGCGACAAGATCGTCGACTGCAGTACTGATGGTCTTTGCTGTTGCTGCTTGTATCTTGATAAGAGCTTAAGAAGAGGGCTGTGGAAATGTGAGCTTTGGTCGATGATTCCTCCTTAGGATGGCAGACATGGAGTATAATTTTGTATACACACGATTGTTATCCTGGAGATGTATATATCAGCCTCTTGTGCAGCAATAATACCTAAAGAAATCATTGAAGAACACGACAACAGTATAAGACACGATCATGGCCACACGAAGGGTCTATGTTGAGTATGATTTTTCTGGCTCTTCAACGATGGCGTGTATAAGAGCGCAAATCTAGCCACTCCAACATGCGCACTATCGTGTCTTTGCGACAAGATGTACCTATTGTATACAAACGTAGCCTTCTTCCTCTTCGCCCCCTTGTCATTGTAAGAATTGGCAATCCTCCAACGCCTAGCCTCGGTTCGCTCAAAGGTGCTCAGGTGTGCTTCGTTGCTGGCTCCCCCTTTCACCTTTAACTCTTCTCTTTGTCTCTCTCCTCCGCTATAGGCCCGCTCCCGAGATTTCTTCTTCTAGTAGAAGTTGTGCGTATACATTTATATATATATATTGGTGTTTGGTTCCTCCTTGGGTTTCTAGTTTAATTTACCGCCTGTTCTTTCTCCTGCGCTCCCACTCGGCTCGCTCCTCCTCGTCGCTGCCGCTAAACTCGGCATCGTCGTCGATATCGTCATCCTCGTCGTGGGCGCCAACGTGGTTCACCAGGGGAGGTGCCGCTCCGGGCGGCGGAGGGGGCGGCGCGCCGCCGGGCGCAGCGACGCTGTTGCTGCTGCTATCGCTGACGTTGATGAAGTCGCCGGCGTTTTGGACGGCGTAGATGTGCTTCTGGATGAGGTCGCGGAGCTCCTGGTTGCGCGGGTCGACGAGCTGCAGGGCGGTGAGGCCGCCCTTGTTCTTGATGCGCGGGTTGGAGCCGGCCTCGAGCATCATGTCGATGAGGTGGTGACCGAAGGGGCGCTGGGCGGGGGGTTCGGCGTTGAGCCAGCGGATGGCGGAGTGCAGGGGGGTGTCGCCCTCTTGGCGGTTGATGGGGTCGCATTCGAAGTCGGGCTGGTCGAGGAGGTGGTCGATGATGTCGTCTTTTTTTTGGTGTGTTAGTTTTTCTTTTTCTTTTTTTTCTTTCTGGTTCGGATGGATGTGGAAAGGATTATATGAGGGCGGAGAAAGGGGACACGGGGGAGGAGTATATAGTATGGAAGAGGAGGAGGAAGAGACGGACAGTTACCGCGCGAGGCAGCCTCGTGGTAGAGGTGGTTCCCCATGACGGTGGTGGTTTGGTTGAGGAGCCTGGTGATTTCGGAGTCTTCCTTGTCTTCGAGGAGCTCGGTCAGGAGTTCGACGTTGTCGCGCCGGCAGGCTTCGATGAGCTGCTCCTCGATGGATGCGCCCTGTTTTGTGCGTGCGTCACATCTGCTCGTTAGTCTGGTTCTGAACAAAAACAAATGATTCGTTTTTTTTTTTTCTCTTTCTTTCTTCTCTTATTGTATGGTAGATATCCAATATGGGCGTTGGGGGGGTGTGTGTGTTTGAAGAATTGACGTAATTGTACGCACCTCATGCTCCTCGTTACTCATGATGGGGGATGACGACTCTCTCTCTCTCTCTCTCTCTCTCCTGTCTATACACAAAAAGAAAGGGGGATAGCACGGGAATGAATTTATGCGCTGAGCAAGGAAAGCCGACGACGATGACGACGCTGAAAGGGGAAAAAAAAAGACAAGAGAAGAGAGGAAGAAAAAGAAAACAAAGGTACACAGACGCGACTGCGGAACAGTTGGGAGGTTTAAAAGAGGCGAAGCGATTATAGCACCCACCCCCGGCGGTTGGTCGTGAATGGCTGCAGGCAACTGGCGGTGATAGGCTGGGACGAGCGACGCTTTTGGCGGGCTTGTCTCAGGATGGAGGGGTCGTTTTCGCTCGCTGGAAACCCAGGGGGGAGCAATTGGAAGGCATTGAAGCTTAGCGGGGTCGGTTTTAGCGCTCAGCAGCCCATTTTACGGGGGACTGCCTCTCTGCTCTGCAATGGACTACTGGCTGCTGGGCTGCTGACTCAAGAGCTAGTGCCGCTACGTAATACCTGAGGTGTTGTGCGGACCCCACCATCGCATTTGTCTGGCTTGTCGGTTTTTTTGGCTTTTGGATGCCGAGTTGGACGAACTTCATTTTTTTTTTTCCCTTTTTCAAAGCTGCGACAGATCACTTCCGAAAAGAACCACCAAGCTCCATTCTATATTCTATAGAGCGCGCGCAAAACGGCTACGACATCTTATACCATTATTTGATTTTGTCCATCTATCCCTCGCGCAGTCATAGGGTATTTATAGCATAAGAATATATACAGTCACAGCCATGCTTCTCTGTAAGCACATGATTCCACACCCAGTTGAGCATTTCTCCGTTTTCCCATCTGACCGAGAATTTCCTCCGATATAGTCTGCCCGCACTGCGCAAACATCTTGACCGTCTCCTTGACGCTCAACCGCACAAACCGTCTCGAGTGCCGCACATGCCCGTACGAACACGCCATTACCGATCCGGTCTTTTCCCGCCGAGTCTTTGAGCGCAAGGAGCGCGAGGACGTCTTTGGCGGCCCGGGGGCCTGGGACAACGCGCAAAAGTCCAAGGCGCAGTGCCCGAACGAAGGATGCAACGGCGAGGAGGCGGCGTTCTTCCAGGTGCAGATTCGAAGTGCTGATGAGCCGATGACGAGTTTCTTCAAGTGCATGACCTGCGGTCACCGATGGCGCGAGAACTGATTCTTGGGGGAGAATGCCAAGAAGCCCAAGAGGATTTGCCATTGTAAAACTGAGAGGAAGGACTTTTTCCTCGTTGTTTTTTTTTATTTGTTTCGGCGTTGGAGGATATCGGGATAAATATGGGGGGCATATTTTGTTTGAAGCATTTTAGCCAACTTTTTCGTTTATAATAGACATTGAAAAAAGCGTTCTTCTTTCAACATTGTAATGGTCGCTCATCCTCTTGCTTGCTGATTCGTGAATTGCCTCGTCAAAAGTGGAAAAAAAAAAAAAAGGCATCGAGTAAATAAGCCGTTGGCATCGTGAGGATATCCAGTAGCATCACGGCTCGCGATGCCACTGCACCGACGCCTTCATCTCGTCCTCGACCAGCCTCTGGACCAAGTCTGGGCTCATGATATCCTGCCTGAACCTCTCCTGCTGCAAAAGCTCGAGGTGACGCAGCGTTGGCCCGGGATAGGTGAGATACTTGAGGTACGGCGGCTTGGACCAGTACTGCAGATAGGCAAGGTAGGCGATGAAGGCGGGCTGAGTGAGGAGCTTCTGCGATGCGAGATGGTTGAGATAGTAGGGATTGGCGAGCGATTGGACAAACTGTGTTGGGGGGGTTTTGGCAGTTAGATGGAGACGCAAAGCTGGCTGCAGAAATGATGATGAATCCTCACCTCGAGCTCAATCTCGAAGCGCGAGTAGCCGCCGTACTTGGGCTCGTCGTCTGAGGCGGGGACTGGGGGCGGCGAAGAGCCCATGGAAACATCTCGGGTTGCATCCGAAGCCATTGTGTCCTTGGCGCTGCGGGAATCCAGCAGGCAGAGAGCTTGGGTTGTGGAGATGCGGACGCGAGTTGGAGATTTGGATCGCGAACGGTGTTTCGGTGTCTGGAGATGAAGTTGGCTGCGCTAGAAGCTCCACTAATGTTCAGTGCAGCTCCCCCCACAAGGTCAACTAACTAATCGCGTATCAGTCCCTGGATCTATCAGCCTCACCTGGGCAGCCTTCCTCACTCAACCTCTCATTCGGCCATGTTTAGAGCTTACCCCTTGCATGAGCGTTTCTTCTTTTTAAAATGTATTAATGACTCATTTGAATATTCCTGCTCACTCACCCTCTTCTTGTCTCTCCTTTTTTTAAGGCAGCCATAATATGCTCCTAAGCCTCTGTCCGACGGCCATCTGGAATGCTGCCTGGAGTTTACCGCGGAGAAACATCATTGGCTGCACCACTTACACGCCGTCACTTTATCACAGCCAGCATCTTCATACTCAACCCAAATATCACAGCACATCACCACCTCGACGAAAACCAAAAGTCTCTTCATCCATTCAACAACCATCCAACGGCATCATTAGCATCGATTCCATCATGACAATCCCTCCCAAGCCGAACCTCTCTCCATCCTCTCCCACCATCAAGACCCGCATCCTCATCATCTCCGACACCCACGCCACCGTCCCCCGAACCAAGGAGGCCCATCCCGCCGCCGACACAGAAGACGAACTCAACAAACCGGGGGGCCCAATCAGCTTCCCCACCGGCTTCAGGTCGCCCCTCCCAGAGGCCGACGTCGTCCTTCACTGCGGCGATCTCAGCAAGCGCGGGAGGCCGGATGAGATGCGCAAGACGTTTGACATGCTGAGAGGCCTGCACGCGCCGCTGAAGCTGGTCATTGCGGGAAATCACGACTTGGCCTTTGACGACACGCATTATTCCCATGACGATAGTAGCGATGGCAGTGACGACAATGCGATCAAGCGCAATCCCAAGCCCAAGCCCATGTATATGGAGGCCCTTGAGATTGCCAAGCAAGCCGAGGTCGACGGCGTCAAGTATCTCACCGAGGGGACCTATTCTTTCGACCTCGCCAACGGCTCCAGGCTACGCATCTACGCAAGCCAGTACACGCCTCAGTATGGCTACTGGGCGTTTCAGTACCAGGCCGGGGAGCACAGCTTCGACATCCCCTCCGACGTCGACGTCGCCATGACCCACGGCCCTCCACTCGGCATCCTCGACCGCACTTCCGGCGGGGACAGAGCCGGCTGTGGAACTCTCTTCAGGGCTCTGTACCGCGCGAGACCCAAGATCCATTGCTTCGGCCACATCCACGAGGATTGGGGCGCTCAACTCGTGCAGTGGAAGCCCGAGCCCAGCAGTTCCGCGCCCCAGTCCTCGTGGACGGTGCCGAAGCCATGGAACTCAGAGCCCGTCATCTCATCTGCCACTGTTCTCGATAGAGAACACTCACGCATGCTTTATACGCTCACTCCGCCTCCCATGTCTGTTGCCACCAATACTACGTTGATTGATATGGAGGAGCACAAACACCTCTTGGAGTGGAGCAAGGATCGGGGCTGTTACATTGACCTGGCAGACGGTGAGAACAAGATCAAGGAAGGCGAGCAGACGCTCTTTGTCAACGCATCGATTATGAGCGTTCGATATCGGCCATCACAGATGCCCTTGGTAATAGATATGGACTTGCCGAGAGCAGCAGAGTCAAACCCATGAGGGCGTTATTGGCGCGTATATGAGACAACAAGTTGATATAGTGAAGATGAGAGGGTAGTTTCTTCCAAACGATTCTCACGTATCACGCACGCATTGATTCGAATGAACAGATTTTACAACTTTCAAACTTGAGATTTTGCCAGCGACGTTTCCTATTACCACATGTACCTATATATATATATATATATATATGCCCTTTAGCGAGAGTTTATGCTACGATATTGTATTTCAAGTTAGACATGAGAAATAATACGGGGAGGAAAAGTTTCTATGATATATCAGTCTTTCATATTACTGCGTCGTTGTATTTAAATAACCGCTCCATCAAAATACTGAATTTAA